GCTTAATATAAAGCTGCAAAAACTTGTCTTGTTTCATTTAGTTGTGTATTAACGTTGCATACCTAGTTCCACCAAAAGGAAAATTATTTGGAATCAAATACATAGCGAAGCACACCTTCACTATCAAAAGGAAAATTATAACTTTAAACTAGCAACAACTCCAAATAAGAATAATTTCAAGACACACACATACTATATACTATTCTGTAATTATCATATCACAAACCATGTAATTATGTGACTTAGTACATCCATATTTGGGGCAATCTTTTTTTTAATTTCCGTTTTAACTTTTTGTGATATAATTTTTTTAATTGCTCAAATTACTAAAATGTTCATGCCACATGAGTATGTTAATAGTTTTATTGACATATAGGTCTATTATAACATTACATTTTAGAGAGAAAAAAAAACCATGTTGTATTTTTAAGTGGAAAAATGATGACACAGTAAGAGCTAATTAGAATGACGTACGTACAAGTGGTTAGTTGAGAATTTTTCTTCCCCAAACACACACATTGAGTAAAAGCACAATTGGCAAAGTTTAGTTGGGATCGCAAGAGGAGGGTTAGATTCAAATGAAAGAACAAGGGCAAGACAACAACTAAACCAAAATTATAATACTCAACTCCTAAAGTTCTTTTTTCTTTCATTACTCACCCTCTTTTAGAAAACAAAAAAACATAAATAAATAAAAAAGGCAAAAGGTTACTCTTGGTCTCTGTAATTTACTGATTTTATCACTTTGGTCCCCTGTAGTTTTAATTTTGTGAATTTTATCCTTGTAGTTTTCCATTCGAAGGAATTTAAGGAAAAAATTGAATTTGTGTAAAATTTCTTCAAATTCCGTTGAGTTTTGACCACATGCCCCTAGCATTTAGGGGTATTTTGGTCCAATTAAACTATCCAATGGTAAAACACAAGCTGGAGCTTTTCCCATTCACTTTCAACATGATTTTTGGACTCAGGGTTTCTGAAAAAGTTGTATCTTTGGATTGAAATTTGGGGAATTAGGAGGAATTTCAGAATAATTTGGCTAGAATGGACGAACATACCCCTCCACTTGAGTGACACGTACGTAACGGAATTGGGAGAGATTTGATAGAAAATGAAATGCGTCCTTAAATTCCTCCGAATGGGAAATTACAGGATAAAATTTACAAAATTGAAATTATGGTGTATTGGTGATTTACCCGCTAAACTTGTACCTAACTTTCGATTTGCCCTTATCCTTTTTTTTTATATAGAAAATTAAGAATATGAACTCTTTTTTTCTCCAATTTCTCCCATACCGTCTAAATCCTCAATATTTCATCCATTTTACGATTAAATTATTATTTTGGAAAAAATTGAAGAAAAAGAGTAAACCTAGAGCCAAACCCCCCTCCCCCAACCTGAAGAACCTAGCCCTCCTCCCCCTTCCCCTCCTTCCCCTTCCATCTCCCCCACCCTCCCCCTCTGATCTATCTCCTCCTTCACTTTCCGTCTCCTCCCTCCCCTCCCCTTCCCCTTCTTCCCCTTCCATCTCCACCACCCTCAGATCTCTCTCTCTCTCTCTCTCTCTCTCTCTCTCCATGTTCTTTCTCCCCAACTGAGACCCATACCCTAGCCCAATACCCACGCGAGATCCACCCCAGACCACCCCAAAATCAACTTCACAAAATCAACTTAGTTCATTGTAAGGCAGCGATAAAACTCTAAGCTCAATGAGCTTTCTAACCCAAGGTGAAAGTTTTCCAGCTCAATTTCCACTACAACATGAGCTAGTCCTCCAAACCTCAAACCCATTAAACAGAAATTGAAGTTTCAAACTCTTAGAGCAAGAAAACCAGAGAGAGAGAGAGAGAGAGAGGAGTATTATTTCAATTTTCATTAATTTATTTTATTATTCATTTTATATTTATTTTTAACATGAAAATGACTATTTTTCCATCATATTTAACAGCAGATTGGAAGAAATGTTGTAGATTTAGACGGTAAGGGGGAAATTGGCCAAAAAAGAGTTCTTATTCTTAATTTTCTAAAAAAAAGGATAGAGGGTAAATTGAAAGTTAAATACAATTTCAGGGGGCAAATCACTATATGCTCTATAAAGGGACAAAAATGATAAATCGACAAACTACAGGACCAAAAATTAAATAAAAAAAACCCAAACGCTTTTCTGTGATTCTTTGAGCAAAATGGTCACCGAACGAGTGTTTTTCTGAGGCCTCTCTGCTCTTTGTCGTCTTCTGCAAGTTTGGGTATGCTCTCACTCTCTCCCTCACTTTCCATCTACGCTCTCTCTTCCTCTCACCTCTCTCTCTGTGGTTTCATGTTTCGGGTGCAATTTTGGGTTTGTGTTTAACTGCAATTTTTTCGATTACTGGTAAAGGGTTTAATTAGATTTTGGGTTTTCTGTTGTTTGCTTGGTTCAGGTTTTTGTTTTGTTTATGGTTTGGGCAGTTTTCTGGATGCTTAACTTTGGTTTGTAAGTTAAATTTCTGGGTTGACGCATTCGGTTTCTGGCTGCCGCATTTTTCTTAGAGTCTGAATATATTTTTTGGATTGTTGTACTTTTAATTAGTGTTATGTTAATCGTGAATCTGTGATGCAAACATATTGATGGTGTATGTTCTATATGGGTTGCTGGTTCTATGTTGGAGAAATCAAATTTTTGGTTTTCTTTTTTGCTCACATTGATTTTAATCAGAGTGCATGCTACAGAGACGAAATATTGGGTTTTGTTGTACCACTTTAATGTTAAGCAGATCAAACGAAGCCCAAAAGGTTCAGAGACGAGTTTGGATGGATATGACAGTAGGGGAAACATGGAACACCAAACTTTGGTCAATAGGGTAAAGTGGGCCGCTTTGGCTTCCAAGAGACAAAGTAAAATTTGACCATAGTTTCACGATTTGATAATAACCCTGAATGTCGATGCGAAATTATGTAGTGAGGGTGCCATATATGGACCTCTCTCCTTCATATTTCTTTTGACGCATTCGGTTGTTGTGGATAGCTGAAACTACCGGTTTAGTTCTCACGGTTCCAATCTTGATAATCAAATTCAAGAGTGGCGCTTTTGTTTTTGGTCCCTGTATGAAGATAGCTGGAAAATGAACTACTTCTATTAGTTTCCTGGCTCTGTATCCTCTGATTCTCTCTCTCTGTGTGGAGTGAATTTATGCATTATGAGAGATGGATGGTAAATTAATTGAAGGACTCTATCTGGGTTCCATTAACTGTAAATGGATTGGTAAATTAATTGAGCATTTTACTCTAGTTGGGTTCAATTAATTGTAGATAGATTGCTTTGCATTTCAAGTTAAGGATCGTTAATGCTGTTGCTTCATGAAATGGTTTTGGTTTTATATTTTATTTGATTATTTATTAGGTCTCTCAAATACTAGGCCTTGGTTTTGCTTCGAAAGTAATTATAGGATGCTAAGACTTCCAGTCATATAACGATAGGATTTTCCATAGAGACAAATTAATTGTCCTATACTCTATCCATGTATATGCAAGTCTTCCGTGTTGGTTGTTTTTTGGGCTGTTGTCCAGTCAATAATTTTTAACTTCTATTTCATCAAGGCAATCATGTGACATACCCGTCAAACCTTATGACATGGTGCCTAATGTTATTCCTTGTTTGAGGTGATATACAGATGGTAATTGGAGAAAGTTACTGTTCTAATCAGTTGGTTTGTTTGTCTGATTTCTTCAGTTCACCAACAGAAACTATGACATGGTTTCCATGTAGCACACTGTTAATGATTTTGGTGGAGATTTGGTGTAACTCTGCTAAAATTGATTTTTTATAAACAATTTAGTGTCATTTTGAGAGACGGAAATCATCCGGGAATCGACTAGACTTGAAATCTTTTCCATAGACATCTAGCATAAGCTAGAATGCGGGTGTATTGCTTTATTGCCTGTTAGGTCTTTCCTGGTAAAGTTTTTGTCTTTCCGTAGGTGTCATACAGAGCCAGAATGTCTCATTTGTTCCATAACAGGCGATTTAGTGTTTCAGAGATATTTCTTGCAGCTATGGTAATAATTGATTCATTAAATATTTATATCCAAAGGCCATATCTATCTGTATGCATTCACACAAATGCTTGAGTATACAAATTTTATCTTTCCCTTCCGCTATTGTCGAGAGTGACAAATGCCTGCGTTTTGGTAGGGGAGGGGGGATATATGAAATTCTTAATTCAGCATTTATTTGATGATTGCACCTCCATGCAATATGAAAGCACAACAGAATTAGTGTGCTTTCTACATGTGTAAGCATTAAGCAATGACAACGGGGCATTTAGGCTAATTTTGCTGGATAATACACATATAATTATAAAACAGGAAATATCTAATGATAGAGATTTGCTTCTTTGGAATCTGGATTCTGGGCCAATGGGAATTGGATGTATTTCTTAAATTTATAATACTGATGCTACTTTTGGTGATTGATGGCTGTTCTAGCCAAGAAGAGTGGCTGTTCTCAAATGAATGCAGAATGTGTTTGAATTTTAATTTTTTAAATTCATTTCCGTGCTTGGAGATATTACAACTTCTATTTTAGGCTACTTTACCACCTGAGCTAGGGCACGTGGGTATAATGTTGCTTCTTTTTCTGTATCCTTCACTTATTGCGTCCTTATATTTCCAAAACAATGGCATTCCTAATTTCATATTTTTTAAAGACAGAAAAAGAAAACGTTGCAAGGTTAAGCTACCCAGTAATTCATCATGATATGAAATTGCTGCTTTTAGTTAGATGTCATTAGCTTGAGTTTGTTTGAGATATTATCATCGGTCTTGGAGATTGCTCATGTATCATGAACAAGTTTTGGCAGAGTTATTTTTCTCTGTAGTTTAATATACTGGTTCTGTTTCTTTTGTCCTACCCAATGTATGTCTTTTATTAATGTGTTAGTTCATGTTTCTCATTTACAGATACACCGATACTAGTTCAAACTGCACAAAAATTCTGGATTAGATTTTCCTTGGGTATAAAACAAATGGCTGAGTTAAACCCGGGTATACTCATAGATATTGTGGATGAAGAATGGATGAGAAGCACTCTTCCTGATGATGGTATAGTTTTTCCTTCCCCCTTTGATATGCACTTTCATGCATTCATTGAAGGAAAAGTATTTATTTCATTAATTCATTTTGTTCAATTGTTAAAATTGTCTTTTTTTATTGCAGAACTTCCCCTTCCACCAGTGCTTGTTGTACGGACTGATGACACTGAGGATTCAAGTACGTCTGTTTATACTTTAAGAAACTTTTGTGATCCCCGCGAGTCCCTTTTTCCCCGAAAAAAAAGATTTGATCCTCTTTAAACTTTCACACTGTTGCATTGTCCATTCAATTATCTGCCAAATCTGTTTTGTCTTTGTGTTAGTCTTGAATTCTTTCTGTCCCTCTCTCTCACGGAAATTGGTTTTGGGTCTCTCACTCTCTCTCTCGCAAATTAGTTGTGGGTCTTTATGTTTAACTCTTCAGTATACTCTTTGTTACCAGCAAGGGGGGTTCTTTGGTTGATATGGGCCATAGAGTGAAGTGGGTTTCACATTGGGTCATGGAATGGGTTCGAGGATGACATAATGGTGTTAACCTTTTTACAGTTTTAGCAATGGATTGTGTAGGTACTCCAGCTATGAATATGTGCTTTTTAATACTTCTTTGGGCAATAGGGATGGATTCAAGCATGGGGAGCACAAGCAATGGAGCTTCAATCCCACATGTAGGAATACAAGCCTAGTTCTACCCTAGGAGATTTGAAGATAAAAACCATAAAAAAAATCAATTCCTCCATTTCTGCTTTCTGAACCACTTTAGAATTTGATTAATTTGGACATTCAGAGGAGCAACAGAGTGACGAGAGAGAAAGAGATGGTGGGAAAGGAGAGACACTTGAATAGATCAATTTACTGCTCACATGCTTGATACATGACTTTTCTCAACAGGAAATTGAATGGTATTCCAAAAAACTGATCGCAGGACTCCCATTGCAAAGTTCTGAAATTATTAACTCATCACAATATACATATTCCATTTTTTTGGGAGAGCCAGGGGGATGGTGGGGGTTTTGGGGCAGAGGAAGAAGTGGCACTGGTGTTCCAGGGGCATTGCATCAGTTTTCCATATTAACTATTGGGGCAGTTATTCTTTGCTTGTTTGTCTGAAATATTTCGATGAATATCCTACTATACTTTGATATCATTACTTTTGCTGCTGTGGTCCATGTAATTCTGTATGTCTGTCACCCACTTTACCAGCGAAAAGTCAGGTAAACTCTAGGGAACGGGATGGATTTTTGGAGCTCGGCCATTATCTGTGGACTATTATTGCATTTGCGTGGGGCTAATTTTTTTCCTTCCTACTGATTTCTCTTTTCCAATTTTTCTCATTGATCAGATCAGGAGACTCAACGAGTTGCCGCAGATGGTTGGCATGACCTTGCTTTAGGTTCTCAGTGATTTTTATTTTATTTTATTTATTTTATGGCATAAGAATTTGTGTAAGTACAGCCTTCTTTCGAAACGTAATTGAACCATTGTCCTTTGGATTTGTTGAATATGAGGTTTTGGAGGCTATCTTATTGACGTGAAGCTGATAATGTACAGCGCTATAATCTTCTGTATATTTTGTAAGCAGATAGCGTATTTTATTTTTCCTTAAAAACACTTTTAGGCTTGGACCATATTTTTAACTTTGCCTTTTTTGTGGATGGGTTGATTGTCATCTTTGTCTCTCCGTCTGTCTCAGATTCGAGGCCCCTGCCCTTCCCCTTGCCCAGCCCAGCAACCACTAACCTCTAGTGTTGAAAGCTCTAAATTTGTGCGGCTGATTTGATATGCGCCATCTTCAGTTGTAAAGGAACCTCATAGAAACAAACCCATGGTTTCAAATTGTTTAATTGTTCCATGAAAAGCCAATCTTTCTGGGGAAGTATGCTGATATATTCACTTTTCAAAACTTGTATTCTCAAATGATCACTTTAAAAATCTTATTATGATATAATCACTTGGGGACTTGAAATTACCTAAGTGCCCTCCATATAAAAGACTCTTTAGCGCTTCGTTTCTAAAAGGCAAATTCTCCCAAGTCCTGTCCTCCCTGTTTTTGCAGTCTCCCAAATAGTGGCTGAACTCCAAGTTGCGAGCACTGGGCAGCTCTAGTTCACTACCCATCCATCATCATAAACCAGTTGGCCTAAAATTTTGAACCCTAGTTTGACAGTAGCGAAGCCGGCACAACGCACGACCTCCATTGTGGACTTTCACATTGAAGTGACTGTCGCGACTCCACAACGAAGCCACAGTGGCGACTTCCATTGTCGTTGTAAACGGAGGTGAGTTCTGATATTGATTTTGTACTGTATGTCTTATAAATTCGTTTATCCCCTTTTCTCCATACATGGGCAAAAAAGCTAAAATTTTCAATTTGAAGGAGTTCTGATATGATGAAATTCGTAGTTTTTGTTATTCTCTGTAGTGGGATCTGTGTGGTGAGCTTGAATTTTGTTTAAAATTGACTGAATTCTGTATAATGTAGTGCAATGTGTTTGATAATGGCCAAAATAACAGCACACAGAAAAATCATATGTTAACTTTGTGTGGCCTAAAAATAGGTTTGTTAGGTTAGTTTTAGCCTCAATTTAGATGCTTAACTAGGGAATTTGAGGTATTTGAGTGGGAATTTCTTGCCATTGTGGGTTTGTTTTGGTAAGAAGTTTAGTTTGTGTGTTTTGGTTTCCAATTTGGTAATTGATATTAAACTGCACAGGTTGTGATACAAAATGATTTTTGAGTAAGGTTGAGGGTGTTTGATATTATACTGCATAATTCATTTTGTATGACAACCTGATATTTCTGTTGAAGATGTTTAAATTTGTTTAAAACCCTTATATCTTAGAGGGGGCATCTTGCTGTCATGGTATGTTTAGTTGAGTTTGTTAATAACTTGGAACCCAGACATATACAAAATAAGAGAAAATAGAGAAAATAATAAATTTTCGTTGTTGAAGCAGCTACAATTTGAAATTGAAGATTTGTGGATTGATAAGATGATACGGGTAGTGGAATGATAGTTGCGTATCTTATTTTTGGACCTAATTTTTGTGGTTAAATGTTATTAATCGGTCTAGTCAATATTAATGTTATTTGCAAAAATGGATACTGTTGGAATATTGGTATGCTACAATGGAAGTTGGGTTCGGAAGGATAACATTGACAGTTATGAAGGTGGGGAGGCTAAAGGCATAATAGTGTCACGGAACATAACGTTTCCCGACCTTGTTCAGCGCATTTATAAGATTATGGATGCAGATCCCAACAAATACATTGTCACACCGAAGTATTCAGTTCCTATATCCTCATCTGTCTATAAGCACATAAGGGTTGAACACAATGATGATGTTCAATATTTTCTAAAGTACAACATAGAAGTTATGGCCTCTAAAGTAACCCCTTTAATAGCAAGCTTGAAAAATATAGAAGGTCATGGTATTGAAGGGTGGAATGGCAATGTAAGCATTGAGAGTAGCAATGCTCCTACTAAATTTGGTGTGGAACATAGAAATTAGGTAATTGGGGACAACGAAACTGAAAATGGTGGAAATGGTTTTAATTGGACGGATTGGGTTGAAGATGTTAATTTTAAAAGTGTCGAAAATATAGTTGTTGATTTGTGTGAACCTAGCAACGAAGAGGAACCGTACTCTGCGCCAAATATGCATCGTCATGGGGACAACAATTTCGAACCCTCCATTGTGCAGCGTAGACAGGTGCAATCTGAACCTTCCCGACAATCAATTTCGACTGGAATGCAAACAAGCTGGATTGATTTGATGCATGGTCACAGTTTGAAACAGATTGATTATGGTGGAGGCCTTTGTTGCATAAATTGGGAAGCAAATTTTAAGGTTGGTCGAGTTTTTCCAAAAAATGTTTCCCTTTTAAAAACCATAAGTTTAGCAGCAATTAGAGGCCACTTTCGATTGAGAACCGTCCAATCTGGGAAGCGTCAGTTGTGTGTTCGTTGTTGGCAACTTTCTTGCCGTTGGCAAGTTCGGGAATATAAAGTTGGATTACATGAGTTTAGGGTTTTTAAATATGATCCGTTTCATGAATGTGATCTAAGGTATGTAACCAGTCACCATCCTCAAGCTACGACTGGATTGCTGTTCGACAGTGTGAATTGGAGATTGAAGGATTCGCGCACCATTTATACTCCAGTTGATATCAAGAAAGATGTCAAAACAAATTTTGGGGTGACCATAAGCTATGCTACAGCTTGGAGAAGCCGAGAGTTAGCTTTCAAAACAATTAGAAGGTCTGCAGAGCAGTTATATATTCCTTTCTCCCTTTGTATTATTATGAATTGGAGCGTACAAATCCTGGAACTTTGACATACATTGAGATTGATGCAGCCGACCACTTCTTTTTTTTATTTTATATTTTATGTCAATTGGTGCATGCATAAGAGGATTTAAGTCGTCAATGCGCCTCGTCATTGCCGTTGATGCTACCCATTTGAAGTGCAAGTATAAAAGTGTTTTGTTTGTTGCGACCGCATTTGATGGAAATCGTAATATATATCCTATTGCCTTTGGGATTGGAGATTTGGAGACAGATGCAGCGTGGGAGTGGTTTTGACAAAACTACATTATGAAATTGGTGATTGCTCAAATCTTGTTGTCATATCTAATCGAAATGTCAGCATACAAAATGGGTTGAAATTTTTTTTTCCTGGGGCAACACATGGAATTTGCTGTTATCATTTGAAGGGCAATATGAAAGCCTCATTTCGCTTGAAGCAGTGGGATCCTATATTAGGGTATTTTGTAAGGGCAGCCAAGTCGTATCGTTTGGGGGAGTTCAATCATCACTTCTCCATGATAAACAATGACCGAGTGCGAACTTATCTAGTACGTGCAGCCCTCCAGAAGTGGTCTCGAGCCCATTGTGATGGACGGCGATATAATGTGATGACAACAAATATTGTGGAGTCCATAAATTCAGTTATTTGTTTTGCAAGGATGCTTCCGGTGGTACACTTGATCGACGAAATTACAAATATGCTTATGTATTGGTTTAGTCAACGTCAAGATTTAGCAAGGAAATGTCAATCTACGTTGTGCCCTGATTTAGGCGAAAAGAAGTTAAGGAAGAAGTTAAGGATGAATGTGGTCAAAATCAATGATGGGAGTATAATGTTCTGGATGGTGATATGAACGGTCTGGTGAACTTGCAAAACTGTAGTTGTACGTGTAGGAAGTTTGACTTAGAGCAACTCCCGTGCAAGCATGCTATTGCGGTATGTCGACACTTGAAATTGAACCCCGACTCCTTGGCCTCTTCGTATTACACACGAGCAACATGGGCAGCTGCATATGCTAAATCCATTTATCCTGTACCACCTCAAGGGACATGGGTTATTCCCGAACATTTGAACAATATAAAAATCCTCCCTCCTCTTTCTAAGGTTATGGCGGGGCGTCATAAAACACAAAGAATACCTTCTAAAGGAGAGGACCGGCGTGAAAACAAATGCTCAAGGTGCGGTGTGAAGGGCCACTACCGAAATACATGCAAACAATCTGTCCCCGTCACCAACAAGCAGCAGGTTGTGTAGAGGTGACAGTTGTTTAGGTTCTATGTCTCTTTTCATAAACTGGTAAGTTGACGAATAGCTTCGGTGATGTTGCAAGCATGAAAGTCGGTTAACTCAACGGTCATGGCAGCCTTACAAACGCAAGGTAACAAGTCCCTTTCAATGAGTGGCCAGTATTAGTACACATTGTTGAACATACGGTGCCACGGGTCACAATCAAACCAGCTGCAAAATACTATTCCACTGCCACATGTGTCTTACAAATTATCATTTCTGTTGAGTTGTTATGTATCGTTCATTTCAATTTCAATTGTATTGCATTTGGTGTTATGTGTATTGTGATTTCAGTGACATTGGCTTATATTGGTTTCCTTTGCTATAGAATGTCATGTATTCCCTATTTATATTAACACTATCGCCATGGTATTGTACTTTTCTTGCCACTGTATTCGTATTATATTGTACCTTTTTTGTAGTCATATTGGTATTGCAAAGTAAAATGTGTGTCCAAAATGAAAGGAACTAGAAGGCCAACTATAAATGCATCCCGTACATAAAACTCATTCAAATGCATTTGTAATGCAATTATCGTGACATTGGTAGTACTTCATCATTTGTCATTGCAACTTTAGACAACGCAAGGGGGAAATGTGGGCCACTTACAAGGTCAACTGTGCTATTGTTTTACGTAATATGGTTCTAGTTTTGGGAGGGGAGTGACCGTCGTTTATTTTGTTAATTGTCATGTTTGAGGTGGATTCATTGTCATGACGATTGAAGGTACATTAGAGTTCATACCCAAAATTAGAGAGGTGCACAATATTGGCAATGCCTTTTGAATTGCAATTGGAAATCAATAGGAAATGCAAAAGGACCATGTCTGCCATAACGGATCTAAAATACATCGCTTCTCTTCCATTACATCCAAAACCTAACCAGCTTTAACCTGCGAACTGTAGATGACCACACCTCCCATTACTTTTGGCAAACAACAAATAAAATACCATCACAAACATGAACAGAGATACCCAAAACTAGGGGTTTTTCATCTTGCCTTTTCCACTGTTTTTCTTCTTCCAACCGATTTATTTTCCTAAGCAAGCCGGGAATTATGTGCTTCGATCTGTCACACATCTCTGGGTCAGCCCATTCCCAAAATGTGCATCCATTCTTCTGCATAAATGAAAACAATTTATGGTAACGCATAGGCGCACCATCACTTTTTTAATCCATGACAATCCCAAATTTCAGCATCCTAACCACAAAAATAAACTCAATCAACTTACCCTTTCACATACTTGAAACCTCTTTCCAGGATGAGAAAGTGTCCATGATGTATGCGTTTTGAAAACGTTCCCACAGTAGTAGACCCGTGAACATAGTGAACTCGCCTCTTCCATGTCCCCTCGAGATCTTGAAGTTGAGTCTTGAGCATGCAACCGAGACCTGACTGACTCAGCCGCACCGCTACGGAGGCTCCTCCTACTCATCTCCTCATTTAGTCTTTATGAACTCTTGTTCAAGATCTGCGATATTGAGGCTGGTAAAAAAGGTCAGCTTGTATTCAATGGGTTTTACTTGTGTGTGCACAAAGTGGAGGGAACACCTTCTGAGCGCACCAACATGAATAATGGACTGAATGGGGATCCAAAATGTGGTGTTGCGCCTTCCACGTCAATTTTCTTCCCAATAATTTATTTTTTTTAATTTAAATATTTTCCATTGTCAACGGTCAGGCCCACAGCCGCATTTACTTTTGAGTCATACCCTTAATGTATTACAAATACGACATGGTATACAATTGCAAATACAGTACATGCCCTCCTTCGTTGCTTGTTGATTGGCATATATTGCTGAGCTATTGGTGTTATAGTGGCACTTTATTTATTTTATATTGCCTTATATTGTACTTTTATTGGCTTTGCATTGTAAGCTGTGTATTATTATCGCTTACTATTCGTATTATATCATACTTATACCATCTTACGTATTGGTTTTGCAATGTCATTTTACAAGTGTGTACAAAATGTAATTGTGGGGAAGGTAACTACCAATGGATTGTAAACATAAAATCGCTTCCATTGCTATTTGTAGGCAATTACGTTGATACTCCCACAACCCCTTCTTTTGTGATTACAAATTCAAATGATGTAGGGGGCAAATGTGGGGCAAATAAAAGATGAAGTCTCCTATGTGTTTTACAAGACATAGTTGGTGAAGGAGGATTAGGAATGTTCCCCCCCAACAAAGTGCTCATGTGTTGACAAGAACACCCTTGAATTGACGCAATGTGCCCAAGCTAGTCCCAACGCAGGACTGACTCGTCTACCTGATGTATGCAAGCACTCCAAGTTTCCCAATCTCACCCCATTTATTCCATCATCTGGGCCAATGAAATCCACTATCTGGTTTGTCAAAAGCATTGCCACCCCAAACTTGTTTGCTAAAGCCTTTAATTTGCCTGAAATAGTGAAAAACATTTCAGATCAGTGTTTCAAATCCGAGGGTGTTCTGTCATACTGTGACCGGAACAATGCAGCAATGGAATCAATGACAATGAGCTTCAAAGGTAAGCGGGTATGATCAATGACAATACATGTTTCCATGTTTTCAAGGACATGGATGAGTTGTTGTGCATCATCAACGACATGAACATAAATGTCTTCCAAGGGGTTTACCCCAATCAAGTTGGGGTGTGATGCCTGATACACCTTGGCTAGTTGTTGCAATCGACGAAATGAGAAGCTGAATTCTGTGTATATGTAGAGGGAGGAGCCTCCTAGTCCACCATGGCCATGTGGGAGCTGAGCTTGAACTGTGAGTTGGAGACAAAGTTGTGTCTTCCCAGAACTGCTCTCTCCTACCAATTCTGTTATGGTGTTGTAGGGTATCCCACTGCCCAAACAGGCATCTAGAATTGGGCATCCGATGCTTAATTTAGGGGCTGTAAGAGGAAACAACAGGAGATTTTGTGGTGTCATCTTTGTTGTCTTAGTGGGATACATTCGAAAGGCATCCCTTGTATATATATACAACATGAGTCCCTTAACAGGCAGGGTTCATTGTTGTACCACAAACGAACCTGTGTACTTAAGAACACAAAATAATGCATCGAAATTACATGTACTACCTTTTACAAACTGTCATTATACAAAATAAAAATAGTGGGCACCTCAAACTTACATAATACAAAACCAATTTCAAAATAGGGCATCTCAACCTTACATAATACAAATGAAATAAACAGGCCACCTCATACTTAAATAATACAAAAAGAGGCCACCTCATAGTTCCATTGTACACACTATCTCCACAACATTTGACAGAGTCCAAAGTAATATTAGAAGTCCAACCTTTTGTCTGTGGTCACATTTGGATTTGCCGTTTAATTGCGGCGACCGCGACCCATTAAATTCATGACCCCTCCCACAGTGATGTTGTCCCACTTTCCTTCTAGATCCACAATTTTTGCAAACTTCCAAAACAGTTCGAAACCGGTTTCCAGTTGTTTTTGCTTCAGCTGAGCCATTTCCTCAGATTCCTTGAATACGACAACTGTAGTTGTAGGGGCATTTACAATTTTTTCTTTCACAGTCTTTATATGTAGGAGATGCATCCGGGCTTGATAACGAGACCGAATTGTGCGGTTCTTTATGACACCCCACCTAGTTTGGCCCTCGACAATTTTTGAAACTATGTTTGCGTGGAGATTTTTTCAAAATATGGTGTTGGCTCGACATTGCTGCAGTCCATGGACCAAGTCTGCAGTGACTTCTGGTTCTGATTTGGTAGCTGTTTTAGTGTCCCCTCCTTCAGTAATGGAAACAGTCAAGTTTGGTGGGGGGGTTTGGGTCCATGGTTGTTGAGTATTTAGTGCGGGTTGGTTTAGGAATTAGTGTGCCCAAACTGGAAGTTATTCTGATGTGAGTGAAATTTATGTGCAAGGTGTGAGGTTTACAGGAGTTAATGTGATAGAAATATGGTGGTTCATGCAGCTGGGTTACAGTTAAATAGTGGGAGGTAATAATGACCAGAAGTAAATGAGAGTTAGCAAGTGGTAGGAGTTATTGGCGGGAGTTGTTGGGTGGATATTTTGGTGGGAGTTATTGGGCGGGACGTCAGACTTGGGGTTTGTGTAATTGGGTATGTCACTTGGTGCACATGGTTGTTGTTTGTTGTATACGATCCTTGTTGTATTTCCAATTTTTTCCTTTTGTTCTGATTGACAAATTTCCCTCATGTAATAAAAGTACAAAATGTCCCAATTTCTGAGTACGGTCAGTTCACAATGTACCAATTTTGACTTTTAAACAAGTGGACCAGGAAATTGTCTCCGTTCGAAATCTCCTTTTTGCTTTCTTCCAATTTCCTTTATATGAGTTCCCTTTTTTAATATTTCGGGATATTCCGAATTGTCCATTTTTTTGCAAATATGTTCATGTGTTTTTCGGGCATATTGCATTTTCTTTGAATTAAAAAAATGGCTAGCAACTATATATGACATTGTTTCTGTATTCACTTGTGTCATATCGACATTTCCTATTCTCTTCATTTTTAGGGAATACTTATTAAATTATAAACATTTCTCTAGTTTTCGTAAATTGAGAATTATGGAACTTCCTAGTAAGCTATTATTCCGATGTTATATACCTGAATATTAATATAGTATATAGTTTTTTTTCTTTCTTTTTCCGTTTTTTGTGTATTTACCGTTGTTGAGGTGTGTATTTTTGTATGGACCATGATGTCAATGTTGACATACCTTTACTCCCATTTGGTGCAGCTGTAAAAGGGTTATTACAATGCTCTACCTGACAGACAGGAGTAATGTGTGCACAATGACGTGTAATGCACTGTTTGCAATCAATATAGAACACAGTACTTCCTCTATATAAGAGGGGCTAACTTACTTATTTCATTCAATATAAAACAGTACTTCCTATATATAAGACACCAAAGCTGTACTAAACCTCACCATATTGTTATTTACCAAATCATAATTGCAAATTGAATCTAATGTGTTTTGTTTTGCAGGCTATACGTGTGCATTTGCCCCATCGATGCTTGAAGATGTCAAACGTTGCCCCTCCAAACGACCATGTCAGTTACCTGGGAGACCAGCCATGGCATGTGCCTTTCCCATCTCCAGCTGGGACTCCAAATAATAACCCCACTTCATCTGGAAGTGAGGCTGACAACAATGATCCGCTAGACAAATATTGGAGGCGCTAGACAAAATATTTGAAGTCAAGCATCGCCTCCAAAATTTGTCTAGGGCTACGGATTGGTGGGAAACGAAATGTGATATTCATGGCCAGGTGATGGGAAACTTGACGAACAAGTTGAACAAAGCCTATGTTGGAGAAGTGAAGCAAACAATGAAAGCGAAAAGTCGGAGCGCAAAGTTAGCCTCATTGAAATACAAATTGGAAGAAACAAAGAAAGATGTTGTCAAAAAATTCACTGAATCTAAAGAATTTAACCATGAAATGGTTGAATGTTTTAACAATGGGTTCGAGATGTTCTGAGATTATGCTTCGGTCGTCTCACTAGACTATAATTGGAGCGAAATAGATGTTGCTGGTGTGTGGGAGGTGCTGAATATGTGTGGACAGGGAATGGCTGATCATAGCCTTGTGCATGCAACGAGGAAGGAGAGTAAGGACATGGATCTATTGATGGACCTGTAAACATTTGGATTTTGGAAGGGTTAGACCAGCTAGGTCAACCTAAGTGCAGGTTGGAATCATTTTGTGGGGTTGTTGTCATTTGAATGAATGTGGTGCCTTGTTTACGCCTTGCTCGTATTGTAATGGATGAGTGGCAAATTATAACTTTGTAAAAATTAAAAGTACTGTCAATTGGATGTGCGCGTATTGTAAGTTTATTGCCCTCATATTGGCACCATATTGACGTATGTTGCTGTTTTTTTGCTACTTTATTGTGTGGGGAGATATTGGTTTTACAACACCAGTTCACAAAGCTCTCCGTTTCCTTATATCCAATTACCCGAAAATAACTACATATGAAAGCCGATGGTTATATGAAATCCATATAAATATAGTTGGAAATGAACATGAATACACTTTTGGAATGCAAAGATGAAACTGTTTTTACCATGTTGCATTAACAAGGATGGGCGACTTTTGTACATCCATGAAAGATAACCTGTACATCTGATTAAATATACAGTTGTACCAAACATGTGAACTACATAATGTCAAAAAACGCATTGTAAGATAGGAGTACATCCCTTGTGGTATGGATTACAAGTAGTGGGGAATTATGTTAGAGAAATGAAGAAAAGGACCATATTCCTACCACAAAATGACAACACTTGATTTGCCATTTGTACAAAATTTCAAAAATAGTGGCATGTAAGGCAATACATCACATTAGGTTTCATTTACAAAATGAGGAAACAGCCTGCAACTTCTCTCACGTACGTCCACAGATTCAGTGAAGTCAATGCGTGTATGAACCTGGAAGGATGCCCAACATAAGACACATGTGCCACAACAGCATTCAAATAAAGGCAAAATTTAACATCCAAAATTGTAACTACTAATTGTAATAAGTTATTGTATTAACCTCTCGTAATGAACATGACATACTGAAATGAGATGCCATGTGCAAAAGATGTACGTTACCATCTATAGTTTTCAAAAACCGAGTACCCTACACTTTGATGCACAAAATTAGGCATTTTTGTTCATCAAACTTGGACATGGTGCCAAAATAATATCAGTTGTATTAAATGAAGACTCAATTCAAAACTCAATACTGAAGACCTGATTAAAATGATGTATATTAATACTGAATTTCTAAGGCAGTACTTGACAGTTAACTAAAACAAGGTGAGATTTGGAGTTTTACCTCATACATAGGCTTCCCCCCTGAAAGCCTCGATTGCAAGCTTCAATCGGTAGTACCCAAACTTGGAAGGGTCAATGGTATGAAAAGGAATTCCGTCACTTAGATACTCAATGAATTTAACTATCATAATGCTGCATGAGGTACTGTCCACCGAAGAAGTACACAGATTAGAAGTGCACAACATCCACAAATTGCATTAAATGAAGACAGCTTACCCATCACTTTGTTGTGGAACATCTGGAATTCTGAAAATTATGAAAGGGGTAAACTTGGACATGTCAATCCCCTTTTTCTTTACCGCTTCAACCTCTGATTTCTCATAAAACCGCATTTCGTGCAAGCGTATGGGTAATAGGCTCCATATAACTACCAAGCATCGCGTTGGAGGTAAAAGCAGTATATGAGTCATACACAGTGACAGTATGTCTGACAAAGTGGATTTCTACAGCCACCCAATGACACTGTCGAACATTATATGGGACATAGACCTTGCGCACTTTTGTCCAAGCTTGCGCATACCCATGTTGCCATGTACCGTCGACAAAGTGCTATATATTTCTGAGGTAGTTAGGTGGAGGGTCAACGGTCCTTGGAGCAGCTTGTGTCCTCATAACTCGTTTCGTACGAGGTGTTGTCAACGACTATAAAAATTGCTGCAAACAAGGGTGAATGCCACGTTACATAAACAGGAACCAATGCACCCAACACATCCAACAACATTACTCCCACCGAATGCAACAAATGCAATTAAAAAAAAGGGTACACAGTAATACCTGCAAAAAAAAAATCGGCAGTAGTCCCCTCCGTTCCAAACACTAAGGGATGACAAAGTTGTCTTTTACGTATTAGAAACATCGCCATGTCCACGTGCTGATATTTGAGGTCAGAAAAACAACCTCAATACAACAACAAATGACACATACTCAAGGGCATCAAATAATAAATTCATAGGAATAAAGCAGCGTTTCAATTCTTACCCTCGAACTCATCCATGCAGTTTCATCTAAAAGTTTGTAAAAAAATCTGTCCCAACTACAAATGGTTCGAGCTCCAGCTCGCACTACAAACGCAAAACTTGCAAGGGTAAATTTTTTAATACTTCAACAATTGTAACACTAGAATAGGACAAGGACTTACACATGTATATTATAGCTACCTAGATATAGTTATTGTCCATGACTGCATAGTACAAAAAACATGTATATTTGTTTTGGCAAGTTCAAAATCCTAACATGATGTCACTTTTCCAAGCCCTACAAACCTGTATTGCTACATTCACATCGTCCATGGCCACTTCGTTGGATCAAAACATGCCTCGGGTGCCGATGCATCTAAATCAGTAAGCGTCCTCTTTTTCCTGTAGGGATCGGTGAATGGACTCAACAATGTTGTCGCTGGCCGTTTCAGTCTGCACCCTTTGCCTCCCGCATCTTGTTTCTGAACTGTGGCAGTAGCTTTTTTGTTCCCTTCATCACCACCCACAGTTAAATTGGTTTTCATGCGAGGCCTCAGCTTGCCTCCCACCGCCTCTATTTCTATCTTCTTCCAATCCTCTAACAAATTTTAAATTTTTTTTCGAAATAACTCTATACCCATCCCCATCCCCATCTTCCGGAGTAGGAAGGTTGGCATCTTCAAGACTAGGAACCTTCACATCTTCAGAAGTAGGAACCTTGTGAGGTTGTTGCTACACTTGTTTGTCCCCAACGAAAGTCTCAATTTCAGCGCCTTCAACTTCCATGGCTGGGAAGGCTCCCATTGTATCACTGGGTACTTCTTGTTCCATTTCAGCCCCTTCTGTATGCATGGCTGGGAAGGTTTCCACTCCATCACCATCGAATTCTGCTTCCATTTGAGCCCCTTGTGTATGCATGGCTGGGAACGCTTCCACTCCATCACCACAGACTTCTGCTTCCATTTCAGCCTTTGTTGTAGTCGGACTAATAGGTTCATTTAAGGGTGACATCTCATTCTGCCCTTTTTCATTCATCTGAGGAGTAGACACTTCCTCATCCACTTCTCCACCATATTGTTTTTTTTAACTCCTCCATCTCCACCTTAAAATAGTGTTCGACTGAAGCAATTGTGTGGGTCAAATCGCGAATAGCCTTTTTATTTTTTTCACAGTCCATCTCTTGCTTCAAATAATTCTTCTCCACAATCCCTTCCAACTCGTGCACTCTGTTCCTAAGGCCTCAATTTGAAGTGCGTAACTTTGCCAACTCATCCTTACTGCTTTGTAATTGATGCTTCAAATTGCGCAACTCAGTCAAAGACACTTTGTGCTGCATAAATTAAAATGCAACAGTAAATATTCGCACTTCAGTCGTATCGTATTCTCTACATTTTCAGAACAAACTAATTATATACAACCACTTTTAATTCAATAATTACCACAATATTGGAAAAAGATCATGGTTACATTAGAAGATGAGGGAAGGGTAGATGTGTCCTTAACTTCCTTGTTTGCTGCTTCACTGGAACTGCTGGTATTTTGTTTGGCCTCATCCCCAAACAATTCAACAATTTCTTCATTGTTCTCAGCATCACCACAACTCCAGTAAGGTTGTTGCTTCTCAATATTAGTGGGACAGAGAAGTTGCACATCAACCTATTATTATTTGAAAGAAATAATAAATCAGTGAACTTATTACATTTTCCTATACATAACATGATCCTTACGAACTGAACTAACCTCAACATTTTCATAAACTTGACTCATGAGGTCGCGAAAACGGGCCACCGTGTTGGTCCTCCAATGTAATATTCGGGGGATGTGCCCATTGTCTTCATGCACCACGAAATGCAATGCTTCCAATGCTGGGAAGACTTCAAATGCCCAAATCTGTTTAGAACAATGAAACATCAATCTCTATAAGTGTATTTAAATGTACTACAACATTTTGTAATATTTGTTCACCTGAAGAGCGAAGCCAAACCCCTTTACGGTGTACTCTCTCGGTCTAGCACTTGGCATTCTTGTATGTGCTCTTTTTCCATTTTTTTTGGTTATTTTTCTTTTTTGGGTCACTTTAACTCGTTGGTAATCTGAACAGGCTGCCCTCAAAAGTGAAGCGTTTGTCATCGCATATGACACGGCACCCCATGGATACTTGTCAAACTCTTCTAGGTCTTTGGCCAACTTCAAATAGCGCATGTCAATGTTCACATGCTTTTCAGTACCCAATAGCACAAAAATGGCAAAATAGACCATTCCAAGCTTTACCACATCCTCATCATCTGTGCAATTGATGAAGGCAGTGTGTAGGTCTGAAATGGTGGCAGGTTTATTGGTGCTGAAGTATTTTCACTTCAACGAGCAGTTTTCATTTATCGCCTTCGGAATGAAAGGGAGCTTTCCAAACCTTAGCCCCGTGATGAGGCAAAAGTGTTGGGTAGTGAATTGTATCAACTTGTTACCCACAATGAATTTTATCCCATTCACCTGTGTAACACTCTTAGGATGAGCCTTCCTCATCAACAACCTGTGGATAATTTGTGCTGTCCAGTTTAGGTCCTTTATCAGTAATAGATGACCAAAACAACTGCCCTCGAACCTCTGTAACTGCTGCCTACTGAACTTCGCCTTTATTGTTCTAATGGCGGTCCTTGAGTGTGAAAGGGCTAACGCCTTCCTTGATACTTTTCATCCTCAGGAATCATAAGCTTAACTTTACAAGCCATTCTTGATTTCCCTGCGCAACAACATCATACATATGGATCATTAGTTACCCATATTCCATACGTACATTACTCAAAGCTATACTTTTAAGTCATTTAAATATATGTATATACATATGACAAAACCAAATTTGAGTCTCTTTTCTACTCTCTAACTCTCACCACAGTGTACTGTTATCTACATTCCCTTATACCAAATCTACATTCCATTCCATCTAGAAACCAAATACCACCCAAGTGTGAAAACAATTTCATGACTCAGAGATCCACTTCATACAGGGTTTGGGCCAAATGGCTAAAACTACTACCCCAAATCAATCAATGCCAACTAAAATTTACTCATCACCATAGTTATATACAGGTGTAGTCATGAAATACAGTAGGACACATGAAACATCAGTATTGACAGTTATAGACTCTGTGTACAAACTAGACACGTCAAAATGTTACTGCAACTGCAAAATCAACATGGATGAACATGAAATTCCAAAACAGTTAATGAAGTCCAATCAAATACCAATTTCAGACAAAATCCACACAGAGTAACAAAATCACCATCAACAGTAAATCAAGGAAATGAAACCAATCAAAACAAAACAAATCTTATACAAACCTGCACACATTTACAAAAGTACAACATAAAACATGACAAGTTTTTGGACGTCGGCAATGGAGTTCACCTTCGTGGTTGGAAAACGTGCCACTGTAGCTTATTCGGAACAGAGGCCTCAATGATGGAGTCAATGTTGGGTTTCACTATTAAGAAGAGAGAGATGGCAGAATGAGATGGCTTTCGTGACAGAGAGAGAGGAAGAGAGTGATGCTACCAATAATGTTTTTATATGGAGGGTACTTAGGTAATTTCAAGTCCCCAAATGATTATATCATAATAAGATTTTTAAAGTGATCATTTGAGAATACAGGTTTTGAAAAGTGATTATATCAGCATATTTCCCATCTTTCTATCGTTAAATATTATTATTTTGTTTTTTTTGGTCTAAACCTAAAGAAATTTCATTGAAAAAACCAGGGCTACAACAAGTACAACAGGGGCTTAGGGATATATTTGTTTTCTTTCGAAAAATTTGGGTTCATTTTAATTTGCACTTGTGGTTCATTTTAGGGTCTACCATGTTGAAATATTTGGAGAGAGAGTGGGGAGGCTGATGAGAACGTGGGTGGGGCAACGGAGGGGGGATTTGGGGCTATTTTTCGAGGAGGCTTTGGTGTGTGTGTGGGTAGGGATGGCAATGGGTCGAATCGGGGGTGGGTATGTTATTCTCATCTCCATCTCCACCTTCATACCCGCAAAATTCTTATCTGGGATTCCCTATCCCCACCTTCATTGGGGAATGGGTTCTCGACCCGCCCCATTACAGAAGAAAAAATCAATATATAACTACTTTGTTGAAAAAACAAAAGTACTAAGTCAAGATAATGAATATATAAAATATATACTTATAAGAATGTTTATATATGGATTGGAAGTTAACTAAATAAATCAGTAGTGTGGCTTAAGATTTGAATAAATTATATAAATATATAATATAATAATAGAAAATATAAAACTTAGTCAGTATAATCACTTTAATATATGTATATATATTCTAAACAGAGAGGGTTTGGGTTGGGGATTAAAATACCATCCTCGCCCCTCTCTGAACACCATACCCAAAAAATTCCCCATACTCGTCCCCATATATGTTTTTCATCCTTCATACTCAACCTATTAGGGTCGAATCCCAGCGAAGACCCTTACTCGCGGAGAAAATTGTCATCCCTATGTGTGGGGGCAGGAGATTTGGGTGGCCATGGCAATGGGTGTGTTGGAGAAATTTGCTGGGGAGAAGGTAGGTGTGGTCATCGGAGAAGATTGGATGAGGGATGGAAGAGGTGGAGGGGATGGTCGTTGGAGAAGAGTGAGTCGGGAAGGGGAGAAAAAGAAGGAGATATAGGTTTTCTTATTTAACTGAAAATGAATTATAAAAAAAAATTCCACGCGGAACAATTATTAGTGTAAATAGTGAGAAACACATTTTCCGTAGTCATTTAATAAATTTGACCAACATTTTAGCTAACGGCGGGATGAATTTGTATGTTTTTGGTGACTTAAGGTACCTTTTTGCAGGATTTAAAAGATTGGATACTAATTTGAAACGAACCCAAAATTCGGGTAGTTTTATGTTAACCCTATTAGTTTCATACATATGGCAATTCCTACAAGCCATACTAGGAATTGACTTTGATTTTACGGTAAAATCATGCAGTGAGGTAAGAACACAGACATAGCAATGTGTAACATCTTGTCCTGATTTTCCTTTCAAAATTTTGAAACTTTGGTGTAAAATTACCATTTTACCTATATCAGTCCCATCTTGGGATATGTAGTTCCTGTATCGCCAGGAGTGTGTAGAAACTTACGGATCTAGAATTGCAGGTTCGGATATGCTGGATCGGCGATTCTAGGGTTAGGTTAGTTGATTGTCGTCCAATTGAGCAATTGACGAGGATCCGACTATTGGATCGTGAACAAAATCCTATGACGTGGTTAGTGGACTGTAGTTGACCTATAGAAACTTACATATTAGAGATTGAAAGCAAGTCTTGTCAGAATGCCACAAAGTCCATCAGCTGCATCAACATATTTTTACATTCTTATGTAACCTTATTCACCCCATTCTATGTCCCATAAATTCTTCACTAACCAATACTTAGTCCTATAATAATTGATTCCATAACCAACGAGCATATCAATGTCATTTGCGAAAGCAAGGCTTAAGAGGTCAGGTTGAAAACGGGTGGACCAGTTAGCCACCCATTAAGTTAACAGGTCATGTCAATGTCATTTGCGAATACCTTTTAACCTGTTAAGAACATGGGTAATTTTGTAAATTTAAATTCCCTCCTCCTTTTCCTTCTCTCCCAACTCTTCCATGTCTGCATCATCAAACACAGTTATCTTATGTTTCTATTTGAAAGATGCATGTTAAGGAGGCGTACGAGACACGAGTTGCAGACAAGTAGAAGAAGAAGCTTCTGGTCTCTCTTCCACGCGACGATGAACTGAAGTTGAAGGTGTCTTTTTCAAAATGAAATGGGGAGCAAGCTGGTGGGAACAATTCTCCATCTTGTTATGTAGAGGAATTAAAGAACGATGGCATGATTACTTCAGTTGGTTGAGAATCACCCAAGTTCTCCCCATCGTATTTATTTTGGGCTTGAGACACCTTAGTTGTACAGTTTGTTTGCATCGTCGTTGGAAGATTCTATATAGGCTACATTTTCCTAGAACGGTGTGTGAGAGCAAACTCCCCTCCTCCATTATCGCTTGTATAAATAAATAAATAATTCTATATATTTGTGTCCATAACAGGACATCCATTGCTCGTGTATCCCATACATAGCGAACTAAAGGGTCTTGACATGCCTAATCAATGCTCAACACATAGCCTCTCACTGCGACAAAATAGCCAACGCATAGCCTTATATATGCCAAACTCTGTATCATGGAGAAGGTAATTGTTCATTGAACTAAGAAACCCTATTTTGCTTAAAGCTCTTGTCTAACTTTAGCATAGGAGGCTCTTTGGCTCACACCACAACGATGTGTGGCTAACCCTTCCTTTTCCTTCTTAGTTTCAGGGTAGAATTCTTTTTAGACCACAGTCGAGATTGATTCCCCCACAAGGTGCATATTATGTCTACTCAATTGAAAGGATAACTTGTCTTGTGTCATTCGCGTGGAGACACTTGGACAAGTTGTAAACATGTAAATCTTATGACAAATGAGACAAGAACATGCGTACACAATAATTTTTGCATTGATTGAATTTAGGGTTACAATCTCTATGGGTATTCTTCAACAAAGAAAATCTTCTAATTTGATCTCCAAGAGTGTGTATGATTCAAGGGTGGCAAACACTTGATCTTGAATTGGAATTTGAGATTTGGTCAAGGGCCATCGCCACTTGATATCGAGCACGTTATATAAGACCACGAGTAGCGTCACATGGTGATTAGTCTTTGACTTTAGTGGTGAAAGAAACAAAATGGATATGTTGTGCTCGGTAATTCTCTACAAGCCTGACGAATTCATTGGCTAGAGATTTCTTTTTTTTCCGTGTAAGTAAGTGTCTGAAATAAAAAATTTTTTTTTTTTTTTTTTTTTTTTTTTTTTTTTTTTTTTTTTTTTTTTTTGGTGGTCCTTTTCCTTTTTTTTTTTTTTTGTTTTTCTTCTTTTCCTTGAAAGTAAAGAGAAAATATAGACTATTATTAGATTTATATCAATAAAAAATAAAGATATGGAAATCTTGATCGATCAAACAAATTCCCTTTGATTCGTAGGATGTATTTTGATTTTGTTTAAATTGAGCCAATTAATTTGGTATAGCTCCTTTTTCTTTTTTTTTTAATTTTATTTTATATTTTAATCAACGATAAAGTTCAACAGTACAATCAAACACATCAACATGACATCTAAAGTACCGATCCCATGAGGGCAACAAATTAACATGTTAAAAATAAAACTAAAGTGGACAAAAACCACACTAAAACTACTAGCCCACATTACCACAATTAACCATAAGCCCAAACAAAGCCCACATACCCAACATAACCAAAACCCTAAAACAACTCATAAGCCTAAACGAACCTTACCATAACCACCATCTAAAGAAGTGTCGTCTCGGCCACAACCACCAGCACATCTGTAACAGATTTGGGGAAAACATGGTTTCCACTAATCTACATGCTCATAAGATCTAACAAAGAAACGAAAACAACTACATTGACAAAGAACAATTGGGTGATTTGCAGCAACCTCTGTCAAAGACGATGTTGACCCAAATTTAGAGAACATGAGCAGCATTAGAGAGCGGATTTTGGGAGAAGGATTTTCTTAAGAACACCTAAAAAGGGTGACAAGGAGTTTTAGTCTGAGTATGCTTAGAAGAAATCACCACAAATCGCTTCTTATTCAAAATGCCCCATGGTCTTATTCAGTAAACTAAAAGGCGAGGAGAGATGAAGGGCAAAGAAGCTTCTTCCTCCTCCCCCCTATGTGGAGTTTTTCTTTGGGACTCACAGAAGAAGACAATGGTTAGGGTTTTTAAGGAGGGTTCAAGTTTAATTTGGTTTAGCTCCTTATTAAGTCAAAATCCTTTATTTAAGGCAATTAACTCATGATTTGGGAAAATGACCAATTAAGGATAATCTCTCTTTTTGGCATATGAACTGCTGATTTGATTGATGGAGCTCTTGGATGCTGGCATATGTGTCATCTCCAGAGCTCATCTTTGCCTCAGCGAGTCATGTGCCACATGTACTTTATGTGGGAACAACAACTCTTTCAGTGAGCTTTGACTAATCAAATTTTGAATTTTGACTATTGACTCTAAATTAGTGAATTTTTATTTCACTAAAATTTCAATGTGTACACAAGGTAGGTGCTCAATGGAGATTAACCAATTTCTTAGATTATTTAAACGATAAGATTTTCTTTTTAAAATTTTTTTTTACTTCGTTAGATCCATAAAAAAATTGAAAATTTTTTCTTATCAATTGGAAATAACATTGGTATCATATATGAAAATCCAAACCCGAAAGATCAACCACTGTAGCGGCCTCCATAAGTGAAAGCTTGGAAGGCATGGAGGATGCGGGAGATGCAATGGAGGATGAGAAAGACGATGACGACGACAAAATGGGTGAGGGAGAAATTAGCTTATGGTTTGACTCAGACTCAAACGATGGGTTGTTGATGTAATACACTCGACAGTACAAATCTGTGTGCTGTTTGAAACTGGGTGGGTTGGGATTTTGGTAGGTCACGAAGGGAAAGAGTTTGGGACTGAAATGACGGCAATGAAGGGTGTGGGGAGGGTGGGTTAGTGTGGGGGTAGGGCTGAGTAACTGAAGGATGGGTTAGAAATTTTTTAATTTTTTAATTTTTTATATTTTTTATGTTATTTGATTATTTGATAGTTTGATCATTAGAACTTAATTAATTTTAAAAATGAAATAATTTTTAATTAAAATTTCTAGGTATACATGGAGTCCACATCAACATGAAAAGTGTGATTTATTTTTTGCCACATCACCATTTAACAGAATTTGTAACGGTCTTGCTAACATAGGGACTTAAGTGTAAGGTTTCCATAAATTTGGGTATGAGTTTATAGGGTCTTTAAAGCTCAGGTACCAATTTGAAATGACCTTCAAAGTTTAGGGGTTTTTATGTAGTTGATATATATTTTGTTAATATCTAAACCCTCGCGTGGGTCTTTTTGTTTCTGTCAAACAATCTGATATTTACAGAGATACTTTTACAGTAAGAAAGCACACCCACAATATATAATTGAGTTATCTGCATCCTTTATGGTAATCTTTTGGAGTTTGCACATAATATTTGTGAATGGTTGGATGGATTAGAGTTCTCTACTAGTTTATAAAACTACAAAATTTGTTGAAAATAATGGACCTTTAGAAAATTGTCAAGGTCTTAATACTGAAAGGAAAACTATCTTAATTAAGTTGAAATTGGGATACACCAACTCTAATGGATGCTTTTGATAAGCTCTCCTCAGCATTCCATATTAAATAGATGAAGGATCCAAAACCTACAATGACTCTAGTGTTGAAGTTGGCTCACCATTGATGCAAAAGAAGGAAGAGGAAATAGAAAAAAAAAAAAGGGCTACATATGAGTTTTTTCTGGGCTCTAGCACTCAAGCGGAAGTGCAGGTGCTAGAGCAGCAGAGCGTCAATTTTTTGCTCAGTCCCAAGTGCTCGAGCAGAAGTGTAGGCGCTCGAGCGAATGTCTTGAATTCAACGCGGATCCTTGGCAGTTTAGGATAGTTATTCCTATTATTTTGGGGTTTTCTAGCCTAATTTAATAAGGTTTTAGTTTCCTATTCCTATTTAACTTGTAGCAAAAGTCATATGCATTATAAATAGGACTTTTAGGGCTATGTTAAAAATAAAGAGGAAAATTCAAGAGAGAGACACAAGCTAATTCAAAGGGGAATTCTAAGGTGTTTTTCAAGTGCATCGTGGGTTTGAACAAAGGGTGAGAAAAAAGAGAGCTATGTTCTTCTGGGAGCTAAGTGGTTCTTGATTGTAACCAAAGTTGTTCTTACATACTAGTGAATTTCTCAGGTGGATCACCAAGAGGACGTAGGTAGGAGGCGGAACCTCTATAAATCTTTGTGATCTTGTGTGTGTTTGTTTTCTCTCCTATGTGTGTGTGTCCTCGCATAGTCCATCAATGACAAGGTCTTGGAGTGTTTATGCATAACAAGTTGTATCAGTAGCCTAGGTCTTAGAGCAGTGGTGTGTTGACAATGACAGGAGACAAGGAGGCAATGAGAGAAAGCTCCCAAACGAAGACATCATAACATGTGTCAAGTACAAAGGTCGTTTTGAGCCGTTCACTGGCAGCGAGAACTTCACACTTTAGCAAATGAGGATGAAGCACGTCCTTAAGCAGCAACGTCTCAGCTTCGTTTTAGTAGTCAAGGAAAAGAAGCCGGACACCATGACGGACGCTGAATGGGAAGACCAAGATGAGCTTGCTAGATGATTTACCGGAAAACACCTTACTAACGGAGTGTTGTGTAATGTGATAGAAGATACCGCGAAGCAAACATAGGAGAAGCTTGAAGAGTTGTTTGCGTCAAGATCATTGTCCAACTAGCTCTTCGTGAAAGAGAAGCTCCACTCTCTAATGATGGAGGAGGGCGCAAACATGATGGAGCATGTTAGTGCCTTTAATAGGTGTATTGCAAATTGCAAAGAATGGATTATAAGTCGGAAGACAAGGCCGTGATGTTGTTGACATCCTTGCCTCCATCTTATAAGCAGTTTTGCATGACGCTTATGTTCGACAAGGGAACTTTGAAGTATGAAGCGGTCATGCAAGACATACTGACGCATGATAGGATGCTTCAACGTTTTGGAGATAGCCCTCAAGGTGAAGGTCTCGTGGCAAGGACTGGACGACGAGGTCATTCAAGCAAGCGCGGAGGCAAGTATAGCAATGATGGGAATTCTAGATCCAAGGACAATGAAATGTGCTTCGAGTGTGGGTCTAAGGACCATTGGAAGTGGAATTGTCCGGTATGGAAGGAGACGTGGAAAAAGATGAAGAATGCCGAAAGTTTAGGTGTAGCAAACATGTCAACTTGTTATGACACTGATGAAGAACTTTTGACGGTTACGGATTAAAGACAAAATTGGGAAGTTGTGGCACATTCTCCGGGTAAGAGTTCTACTTCAGTTTGGATTCTAGACTTCGGTTATTCATTTCATGTGTGTTAAAATAGAATGAAGTTTGATACATATGAAGAAAGGAATGGTAGCAAGATTTCATTGGGAGACAAAACAAGTTGTGATGTTTTGGGTGTGGGAATAGTGAAGATCAAGATCCATGATGGTGTTGTTAGGAGCCTTAGTAAGGTGAGGCATGTACAAGAACTAAGAAGGAATCTTATTTTCCTTGGCACTCTAGATAGAGAAGGGTATTCGTATCAGGCCAAAGAAAGGAAGCTCTTAATCACACAAGGTTTAGTGGTGATTATGAGAAGGGAGATTCAACCTAACAACGTTTATCAGCTTTTGGAGGGGTACAATTACAGGTAAAGCAGAAAATTCTACCAAGGAAGTGCTTTATACCAAAGAAAAACGAGTAAGGGATCTAATTGTTAAGGAGCTGGTGCAACGGAATGAAGCTACAAGCATGCTGAAGACTAATTGGGCAAGGAAGGTTAATCAAGGTTGTATGATTAACAGTTTATCATCAAGGTTGCTTGATTTCAAAGGTGTAGAAGTTGAGGAGTAGAAGGACAAGGTCCATAAAGGTGAAGTCAAGACAAGGGATGATGGGGAGAGTGTTGTTGGGTTGGTGACAACCGAAAAGATGCTTCTTATCAAGGTGATCGTGGAAGGGACTCCAAGGCCGGTGGAGCTTGACATAAGGGTTGAAGAAGGTGGGTATCAACAACAAACTCACAAAGGGGTTCTACTTGAGGTGGAGCCTTCATCACAAGTAAGGTCCAAGCCTAAGGAATTTATCAAACCGTCCCCAGGTTCTGGATGGATGGACAAAGAAGATTCAACTACGTTTCAGAGTTCTTTAGGAGTATGAAGTGAGAAAGTTGGATGAGTGCTTTGATGAAAACAAAATAGTTAATTCATAAATTCAAGAGCAAAGTTAGTGTCTACATAGGGATTTATAGAATAAGGGTTGGTATGCAGTTTGAGTATCAAGACATGTCAAGAATTCAAGGTTCCAGGAAGGTGATGAGCAAAGAGTTTAGCATGAGGGATCTCTTTTCTACACAAGAGGTCTGGATGGCCCAAGTTTAGCATTAGGTGGAGCACCTTCTCACTTAAGGTGAGTTGAGGCAAGAGGTTTCTTGCCATGGTGGAGCTATTGGGAATTACTAGAATGGTTTCCAAGACATTGAAGATGTTCTAGGAGTCAACAATTGTTCATAAGTGATTAATGGTTAGCCAAAGTGGAGATTCTTGAAGTTGGCTCACCATAGATGCGGAAGGAGGAAGAGGAAACAACAGAAAAAGGGGCTGCATATGAGTTCTTTCTAGGCTCTCGCGCTTGAGCGGAAGTGCAAGCGCTCAAGTGGTAGAGGGTCTATTTTTCGCTCAATCCCAAGGGCTCGAGCTGATGTCACGAATCCAGTGTGGATCCTTGGCGGTTTAGGATAGTTTTTCCTATAATTTTGGGGTTTTCTAGCCTAATTTAATAGGGTTTTACTTTTCTATTCCTAGTTAATTTAATAGGGTTTTACTTTCCTATTCCTAGTTAACTTGTAGCAAAAGTCCTATGCATTATAAATAGGACTTTTAGGGCTAGGTTAAAAATAGAGAGGAAAATTCAAAAGAGAATTTTTCAAGAGAGAGACACAAGAGAATTCAAAGGGGAATTCTAAGGTGTTTTTCAAGTGCATCAAGGGTTTGAACAAAGGGTAAGAGAGAAAATAGAACTAGGTTCTTGTGAGAGCTAAGGGGTTTCTTGATTGTAACCAAAGTTGTTCTTACATACAAGTGAATTTATCGGGTGGATCACCAAGAGGACGTAGGCAAGAGGCCGAACCTCTATAAATCTTTGTCTTCTTGTGTGTGTTTGCTTTTTCTCTTTGGTGTGTGTGTGTTTTATTCTCAAGGGCTTTGTGTGTGTGTCGTCGCATAGTCCAACAACGACAAGGTCTTGGAGTGTTTCTGCACAACATCTTAACCTATGGAGCACCCTAGAATTCAACTCTCTACTTCTTAAAGGGGATATTTATACAAATCTGGCACATATTGTCTATATACCAAAAATTTGTATATAATTTAGACTCAACCTAAATAGATTAAATCCAAACTCAAATAAAACTCTCAAGTGTACGAACCATAAGATAATATAGCACGCAAATACGAGGTCGTTCCCACAAGGACTATTCTAATCCTATTCTAGTTACTTAACTCAAGTTAAATCCTAACACTAGTTAATTCTGACAAATCTAATTTTTATGAAAGAAATATTTAAAAGCCATAAAACAACCAAAACTTAAAAGTTTAGACTTGTAATTTTTAGAATTAAATTCACGGTAAAACAAAGGAGAAGCAAAGAGTCACTAAAAGAAAAATCATCTTCTGCGACCAAAACTTTCAACGACTTACATTATTTAGTCACTTAAAAGGGTAATGGGAGACAAAACTTTAAAAGTTGGTCGCCAAACATTTCATTAGATTTAGGCATGTATGAAGTGTTCAATGAACAAAATAGTGAAGACAGATTTAGGGAAGGCGACGAAATTGTTTCGCAGCAAGGCCATGATTTTGCCACCAAACACCTTTTTGGTCACCCCTTTTATTAGTGGGGTGGGTGCGAAACTCCAAAATTCGACGCAACAAAATTGTTTTGTCTCTAAGTTTTCCTGAATCGCCTCCGAATATAAATTCACGTCGAAACACTTTTATGAGATTTGGCCACTAAGTGTTTTGTCCCCCGCAAATGCTTGCTACGAATCTAATTTATAAAACTACGTCATTTTACAATTTTTGTGTTTTGGCAATCAAAGGGTTTCGTTGCTGGATCTTGGGGACTATAAATGAAAAACTTCTCCTTTTCCATCCTGCTACTTCCCTAGTTCAGTCCTCTCATACCCAATCTTTGCATATGGCACGCCACCACAGCTCCAATAACAACAAAGCAATCTTTACTGACGTAGGCGAAACACCCATATATGAACTCTTTCTTACCCTTTAGCGAAGAAAATTGACCTTTTAGCGACTAAATGTGGTGGCCGCCAAAAGGGCTTTTCCTTAGAGCAACTCCACCCATTTTCCATTAGCCATGGCAAAGGGGGAGCTAGGGCAGCCACTATTCACGTAAATAGTAGTTGCCCTTGCAAATAGTATTATCCGTTTCCACCCGTTGCCATGGCAAAGGGCAATTACTATTCATTTTTATATTTTTTTCACAACTTTTTTTACCTCAATAATTAATTTGGATAATATTTTCGGATAAAATTTTCGGGTTCCTACATGTCAATACTATTCATATCTCATAATCGGATAAAATTTTCAATTTCAATTTTCAGATAAATTAAATAAATAAAAATTGGCTGGTATTTATAGAAAAAAAATTCATTAATTTTTGGGTATTTTTTAAAAAAAATTCAGAATTTTTTTTTAGTATTTTATTGCAAAAAAATTGGTTGTCCTTGGATTGAAGGAAAAAATCAGATCGAAGAGCCCAGACGACGCCACGTGGCTACAAAAAAAAATTCAAATCAGTGGGCTGACATTAGCACCAACCTGAGTTTTGGAGCTCGGGCTGAACTGGCCTTCGGGCCAGCCCGAGTTGCGTGGGACCCACTCCAGCCCTTGCTTGGGCTCACTACTGGAAACCAATTTTTGCCAAAAACTCCCCCAGCCCGAGGCAAGGGGGCCTCGATGGAACTGCTCTTATAGTGAGTTGAAGTTTCTGAAAAATTAAGAGAGAAAATACTAAGGATCTAATTTCACCACTAGTAATCCTATTCCAATTCTTAGCCCTTTATCACTAAATTATCATATATATATATTTAATGAAATAATTATAAAGTGTGTATATGGGTGGGTCCCACCCAGGCATACAACCAGGTCTGCCAGTGCATGGGTGACATGTCATTCAAACATTGCCAAGTGGGCGGTCAAAATTTAGTCAAAGAATAAGGACAATTTATATGTGCCAGATATGAATTGTCATGAGCCAATTAGGATGATGAATAATAAAGAAGGAAAAGAAATATAAAACGAAAAATAAAAAAAGTTACCATTTAAAAGAAAAAAAATATTTAAAGAGGAAGAAGGGTTGATGGTAGCTTAACTAGTGGGAAGACGCACTATCGTTGTGACAGTTTCGGTGCCGGTGACAATCTTGGTTGTGGTGAGCAAGGGTCCGTCAACTAAGGTTAGATTTCATGAGATCTACTTAATTAATAGATTATGTGATTCAAGTTTTTAATAATTAATTCTCTAATTTAGTTTTAGTTTTCATTATCATGTTTAATTAATTAATATGCGTCGTCAAGTCAATGGTGTTTCTCATCATCTAGATCATTTTGTTCTTCATATCGGGAATGTTTGTACTTGGATTGAAACACCTCCCGATTATTTATGATGTTTTCTTGAGAATCATAGTGCCTTCGATTTCTTTTGAGCAATAATATATCATTTCATTTAAATAAAGAAAATTAATTAAATCTTTTGAAGTAATTAAATTAGAGGATATGATACACGATTTGGAAATTCATGTTATGTGAGATATAATGTGGTGATGATAAAGTGGTATAGTTAGACTTGTTAATGGATCAAAATCAAAATTTTAAAGTTAATGCTCTACTCCGAGTAAAGATCCATCCGATCTGAACCCAATCCAAACCCGATAATGGGAGATGAATTAAGATTGTCAATGTGAAAATCCGATTACAACCCAAATCCAATACCCCATTTGCTTAACAAATCAAATTTGAATTAGAGTTGATCCGATTCGATTTAATATAGAGATTTTTTTTTTTTTTTTTTTTTTTTTTTTTTTTTTTGTGGTGTGTGTGTGTGTATGAATTGAGAATACACTTAAAGTAATAAAAAGAAAGTCTAGTGAGGTTTTTCATTATTATTATTTGTTTTCTGTAAGTCTGAAAATGAATCAATATGATCCTAATCGAATGCTTATCGGATGTGGATCGATTTATCGGTTTATATGCCTATGTATACTATGTTGTGCCTCTAGCATTATTGAACACTAATGTGCATATTTATTTCATAAAAAACATGAAATAATATGATTTGTTCGTTTTGCTGTTTGGATTAGTTGTTTTTCCCTCCAATTATAATTCGGCAGCTATACATGCTTTAGGGTATGCTCATTAAGTACTAAAAGTAGTTGTCATTTCAAGATCTCAAAATAACTTTGTTTTCTTCCTTGTTTGCAGAAAGAAAGTGCAGATTAACAGGAATATATTACAAGAATTAGGAGCCAGTGTTACAGTCTAGTATGAAGCTTGTTGCCAACCCACGAGTAAAGTTAGAGCCCGAGGAGTTGATGATTGGGAATCCTTTTTTGCTTAAGTTTAAGGAAGAGCTTGCGAAACTGTATGGAAAAGATGAAGAAAGTGATGAGATAGTCCTTTTGGACAATCCACTTGCAAAAGCTGAACTTCTCGAATTGCGAGTTGACGACAAGTCTTTATTACAAATTAAGAAGGAGCCTAAAGAAGAAGAAGAACCAAAGTCAAAGAAGCAAAGAACGAATTGAGTTTGGGGGAAGGTTATTCTACCATTTTGTTCATGGGCTGTCCAAGTATGTTTTGTCTTGTTTTCTCCTGAAGATTCAACAGCTATTCTGTAAATAGAGAGAAGAATTGTTGCTAGGTCAGACCAATTTCATCCTAAGAGATTTACATGCAATGATGAGTTGAGCCATCCAGAATGGATTGAAAACTGAAAACTGAAACTAAAATGGTTATCAAAGGGGCCCTCAACTGTTCATTCCATCTCTTGAATCCTTGTGAGTTATGAGTATGATTTAATACACATAGATTTACTTCGAACAAGCCATCATTCTTGATTGAATGTGTTTGTTTCATGATTGATGTTTAAAACTATGTTTTAAAGATGCCATCTCTAAGTTTTGATCATAACCACTCTGGTTTCAGTTGCCTAGCTCAAGTATTCATTGTTCTTGAGAAAGATGACCTTGTGAAGCCAAAAAATTTCACATCTTATTCCATCACATTGGTTGCGATCCGAGCTGAGTGCCATTGCTAGACCTTGGATATGTGTCTAATGCAATCCGAGCTGAGTCCCATCAAGTTCATAGATATGCTTTCGCTGCTGTGAAGTAAGGATAATATACTTTAACTATAAGAGTGGTAGTGTGTTTGCTACCTAGTGAAAGTAGATAAAGCACCCCTTAATTTCTTGTACCTCATATTAATAGTGGAACAAGGGAAGAGGAACAATGTTATTGCACGAACTGAGGGTAAGAAAGAAGTCTTCAAGCCTTGACCAAGAAGAATAAGGGGAGTAGTCTAAATTCTTGTAAGCCATTTTTAGGTTTCTCAACTATCTAATATGGTGCATTTTCACCTTTACATTCTTACAAGCCCATGAACGTGTGGCACACTTCAAGCCTAACACGTGAACAACAAATATTGGGTGATGTGGAGCATGTGTGGTCATTGACCTTCGTACGTGGGTAACCCACTCTGATACCATGAAGGAAGTTTAGATTGCACCCCAAAATCAATTGGCAAGAGGGGCAGTAGTCCAACTCCTTAGGCCTTCTCCAACCCATTTGATTCTAAACCCAAATTTCTCCCCTCTAAAAAGTAATTATTTGGGTTTTGCCTGGACTCAAACCATTTTAAATCCGCAACTTTAATTGTTTAAGAATGATTTAAGTTATTTTTTTTTCACGGATAACTTTTCTTCATTTAATATTTTAAATAATTTCATAATTTAAATTTTTGAACAATTTGACCTATAAAAATTGAAATTCTACAAGTATAATTTTATTTGAGAAATAAGTGGGTATTTCTAGAATTTGGAGTGAGTTTTCGGATTGGATATGATTTAGATTAATTTAAAATATTATTTTGACTTTGGATTTAAATTTTAGCCGTTGAATTTTTTTTTTTACCGTTAAAGCTTGGATTTAATTTAGATCGTTGATTTGGGTTACTGTTAGAATAAAAAAAACACTACAACACCAGCGCATGACATCATCTGCAACACAGCAGCCGCGGGCCCTGTGGGCCGCATCATGGCTCGTGGGCTCCACACAAAAAAAAATTCAGTCAAGGAAATAGCTGGATTGGTATTCCGCCTAACTTTTGCGTTTTCCCAAATTTAGCCCCTTATTTTTTTGGGTTGAGAGAGAAATTGGGCTAAAATTTAGGATATTTTTGGTTTGGCCTGCTGGGTTGGAGATGGCCTTATAAGCCCTTGTTAGGTTTGTTAACTTTCCAATGTGGGACATTTTCACCTTCACATTCTCAGAGCGAAAAAGAGGAAAATCATTAGTTAGAAACAACCATGAAAGAAGCAGCAAACTGGGTAGAGTCTTACACAAATTTTGTTGATACCGGCTTACAAAGTTTAGATCTTGAGAAGGTCATGATTGGGAATCCAGTAGCTCAAGGAAGACATTGTTGTGAAGTTGTCTGAAAAAGAAAAGGCAATGATGAAAGAAAATGTGAGATCTTGTTGGCCAATTCTTAGGGACATGCATGTAAGTTCTGTTTAATATCATTATTTCTTTATTTAAAAGTAATACTACATAATTTCCTATGTGTGCATGCATGTAAATCCTATTTAAAATCTATTTTCCTTTGCTTAATTAAAAATAATACGGTATAAAATCCCGATAGAAACAAATCATATCCAGTCAAGACTACAAGTTTGCTCTCACTATGCTTGTCCTTGTAAGAATCACAACGACAACGAGATAGTATAAACTTGGCTCTCACTATGGTAAGGAGTGGTGATGATGGTGTTCATGATACGCAAGGATGCTCACGTCAAGATGGAGCCTCACTAATATCTCACGAAAGGTAGAGATTGTAAGGAGGGGCCCACCGGCTGATCTCAAGCGCACGTTCATGAGATTGTCGCATGGTTTTAGTAGAATTATTGATAAGAGTCTCATTCAGTAAAAGGCTAGGGTCATAGACTTAAAGCATGATTATCGTAGTTGAGCTGAAATTGGAATAATCTACCTTTGATGGATGGTTGAGATCAGCAGTCCATATTCAAATATGTGAAGCATCTAAATCCTACAATGAATAATCTCGACCTAGAGAGCACACTAAAAGCTAACTCTACTTCTTTAAGGGCTTGTTTGGTTCACGTAATGAACTTCTTGGGAATGAATCTCTCATGTTTAATAACAAAAGATGAGAATGGAAGATGTTTATCCTCATATTTGGTAACGTTTGGGAAATGAGGATTAAAAAGAGCCTCTTTCTAGCATTCCCATGTTTTATCCTCATATTTGGTAACACCCTTTGTTTTGTTTTGTATCTTTTGTTTTTTTAAATCTTTAAAGAAAAGTGGTGCTTAAAAATTAGAATAGAAGTAAGTTGGTCCAAAAACAATGCATTAGATGCTTTCCTAAGTTGGGTGAAAAAGATTTCTCAAGGAGAGTCAAGGGTATGAAATTCCACCTTACATGGGAAGTTCATACCCATGAGTCATGTATTATTTTCAATAGTGCACTTACTAAATATGGGAGCACAATCCATTACTAAGCTTTTAAACATTTAACCAAATAGGCTCTAAGGGGATATTTATACATATATTCCAGACATTATATGTAGTTTAAGAAAAAAGAAGAAGAGAGAATATAACTGATTCTAGAACATTATATATAGTGAGAGAATAAAACTAATGGTGTGTTGGCGCCTTCACCTAAGCATACACCTAATTCTGCCATTGTGCATGGGTGACATGTCAGTCAACCGTTGCCAAATGGATGGTCAAATTAGAGTCAAAGGATAGGGATGACCTATAACTCTAAAAGCACTTCCACCCTAAAAGGCAAGGGTATTTACGTGAATAGTGGCAGCCCTTGCTTTTTTTTTGTTTCCACCCCTATGGGTAAGAGCAAGGACAATTACTAATCACTTTAATTTATTTTCTATTTTTAATACTTAAACGATTAATTTTGATAAGATTTTCAGTTGCCACATGTCACTATTTATTATAAAATTCTCATTTAAAATTCCAGATAACATTTTCGGATAAAATTTTAGGATAAGATTTTCGGTTACCACGTGTCCATATTTTGTTATAACATTCAGATGTCAAATTTCAGATAAGATTATTAATTGCCACGTGTCGATATTTATTATAAAATTCTAATATCATATTTCAGATAAGATTTTCACCCTCTAAAATTGTGCCATGTGTTATCTCTATCTTCTAAATCCCTCTATAAAACTACACTCTCAACTCAAACCTCTCACACCATTTCTTCTCTATCATTTCATTTCTCAAATTTTACAAAACACATTCTACTCTCAGTGTCTAACTTGAGGAGGGTGTTGGAGAGGCAACATCGACAAGATGAAGAAATCAGGTGCAGACGTGCTGAAGAAGATCGTGAGTTAGATGAAGAGGAGGATGAAGTTGTTTTAGCGGTGGGTATGCTCAATCAATCAAAGCAACACCACTATGGTCGTGTCACAAACATGGACAGACATAGGCAAGGGTGTAGGCAAATGAAATTGGCAAAATTGTACTATAACAACTTAGGTGGCATGTTACCTACCATTTGCCTCATGAAAAAAGTTTGTCACTCTAAGGGACTAGGCAATGCGAGTCTACAAATCATTATTGTATTATTTATTTTTATCTTTTACATTTACTGTTATAGTTATAGAAAGTAGATGAGAGAGTGTAAATGATATTTTATTATAAAAAGCAAGTGGGCCCTGATATACCTATTCACTTTAAAGTAGACAATATTGCCTTGTTGGGAAGATGAATGAAAAGTAAGCAAAAACAATAAATAAATAAAAGGAAGAAAAAGTTACCATTTTAACTTAAAAAGATTTAAAGAGCAGGAAGGGAAAGCAAGTAGGACAACACACTATCATTGTGACTGTTCTGGCGAAGGCGACACTTCTGGCAGTGGAAGGAAGGGGTCCGTCAACAAAAGGTTAGATTTGACAAGATTTACTTAATTCATAGATTACGGGATTCTAAAGCTGGTTCAACATTTTAACTGAAACTTGGTCATGGGCTTGTTAATAGGTGAACATTCACGGTTTAGACTGTTACTTGAATCGATGTATTTGTTATGTGTTAATCTAAGTGATTAGGGTTTAGGGTACTACTTTGATGAGATAATGCTTCTTAACAACCCACTTGCAAAACCAAATCTTCATGAGTTGCAAATTGCGAATAAAGAAGCAAAGAAATAAGGGAGATTCACTATTAGCTTACCTAGAAAGCCTGACAATTAGAATGACTACCCTTTCAGACCAAAATTTGTATACACGCATGTATATATATATATATATATATATATATATATACATACACCTTTTCTGCCAAATGGAAGATTTGATAGCATCTCAATGAAGCCCCTCATCTTGGAGTAATAAAACTTTATATTTGGACTTTATGTCGTTAATAATGTCAATGTATATTTGGTCCTTTTGGACTCCCATCCATTTGTTAAAAAAACTCCTTTAACACATGAAATCCGAAACATCCAAAAATTACTCGGTTCGTAGTATAGTACATACGGAATTTTATTGTAACAATGAAGTGAAGCTTGAAGAACTATGTTGATGCTCATTTTGGGAGGGTCAACTTAGATAGAGGTGGAATGGTGAATGATGGATGATAGGTGAAGGTGAGGACCTCAGCATGTGTGTGAAGAATTGGGCAAGCAGTAAATATACAAAAGACGAGATGTACGTGGTTCACCCTTAATGAATGGGCTACGTTCACGGAGAAGGATGTTTTCATTATGATATTATGTGTTTACATTCGTACGGGGGGGGGGGGGGGCCACCCAATATAAAGATAACAAGTGAGAAGCCCAGCCTAGTCTTGGGATCCAAAAGAGAGAGTTCATTTATCAGGGAAGAGTAGTCTTCTTTTATAGGTGAGGGGGAGTCTCCATCTCTTGTAGTTTTTCAATGTGGGACTTCCCCTCTTGCTTTGCCTAGAGTTGTGACTTGTGGTAATGCTTCTTTGGCTAAGGTGACAACCTCTCAAGACATGGCACGTGGATAATCTAGCCTAGCTAGTTGCTCAGTCAGTTACGTTACCAACAGTAGTCTTCCAAGTTCACGAGTAAGAAGGTACTTTTTGATTGGGGACTTGTAATTTTAAATGCACTAGCTGAGCAACACCACAATTCATCTTCCAAGCTGTATAGTGCACTACTCATAGTCCTCCAAGTCCCCGGGTAAGAAGGATATTGGAGGGAGAGAAGTTGGAACAAATCTTGCATGTCACTGGGCGATGTGGCTAGGCAAGAGGGTGCCGAAGGCAAAGGGGATGCCCAAGGCGACACAAAGCTTGCATGTCGCAAGGCGATGTGGCTAGACACAGGGGTGCTGAAGGCGACACAAAGCTTGCATGTCGCAAGGAAATGTGCTTAAGCATGCAGGTGTCGAAAGTATAAAACTTGCATGTCGCAAGAGAATGTGTTCAAGCACAGGGGTGCTGGAGGCACGAGAGTGCTGAAGGGAAGAAATGCATATGTGCATTTTTATTTATCTTAAGATAATAATAATTTTTTTTTTTTTTTTGGGGATTGTGGACTTTGGACTTTCATTTGGTCCTTTCGGCATGTCCTTGGAGCCTTCAAGGCTTCGGCAAGGGTGTCTTGGGGAGCACTTTACGAGCCTCTTTATTCCTTCAGTGAGCTAAGACTTGTACGTGGGCCCTCCAGATAAACGGCATGACCGTTATAAGATCATCTTAAATACAATGATGAAACAGACACCATTTCACAAAGCAACTTTAAGCTCAAACCAGCAGGTTATGATAAAAGGAAAGAGACATGAAATCTTTAACTACTTCTCTCTTCTATCTCCTGCTCTGTATCAATCTCCTGCCCAACTTCACTGCTTCCCAAATCCTTTTTCAGGTATTTACAGAAAGAATATTCTCTCTCTCTCTCTCTTTCTCTCTCTCTCTCTCTCTCTATGTGTCAAAAGGCTAACTTATTTTGTGGGGGGCCGATGATCAGGGCTAACTTTCATAGACAATCATGATACAAGCTCCACACAAAACATTTGGCCATTTCCATCAGATAAAGTCATGCAGGGATATGCCTATATTCTCACTCACCCGGGAATTCCCTCAATTGTAAGTTTCCAAATTTGAGTTACCTTTTCTCAAGTTAGAAAGTGGGCATCTTCATAATCCCTCACTAATGCTCGTTTAGCTGACTATAATATGAGATTCTGATTATTGCACTTATTAGAGCACAAAACTTATGTTACTTATGGTCCATTCTTGACATTTGTTTACCTGATTATCTTGTACCAGTTTTATGACCACAACAGTTTTATGATTATCTTGTACCAGTTTTAGTTTGTGGTAAGAGTACGTAGCATTACTCTAATCTTATATAAACTAACCGTATGTACTCAAGGATTATGAGGTTAGATTTTCTCGGCCACTAAACACTAGCCTCCTGGCAATTCATTGAAATCCTATATAATATCTATTTTTTATAATAAAAAAACTTTTTTTTTTTGGGTCATTTATAATTGAAAAAAAACTTGTTCCTTTAAATTGAGGAGGAGCTCCTTCTTACAACCAATATGATTTTGACATATGTCAAATTTTTTTTTTCTTCTCTTTTTTGTTGAAACTTTATGGGATGATACTTCCCTCCTTGCCCATAAGAAGGAACTCTTCCTTACCTACTAATGTGGCTCAATCATAATCTAACATGTGTCTCTCTTGTTAAGAATAATTAAAGTGAAAAATAAATGCATCTTCAAGAATTTTAAAAGAAAAGACAAGTGTTAGTTTGTGATTGAGCCACATTTATAGGTAAGGAGGACAAGGAGGGAAGCATTATCCAACTTTATCAATGTCGCTGAAATTTGATAAGTGTTAAAACTTCATTGGTTTTAAGGAAGAGTTTAACGAGCCAAGCCTTGCTCTTTTATAAATTCCGATAGAAACTAACTACATTTAATACCTTTATCTTTACCACAGCGGAATAATTCACGTAAATCCTATTTAATAACTTTTTTGTTTTTACCTAAAATTGGTACAATATGGAGCCATTGAACCACGCCCAGGACCCAAATTTCCCATTTATATCCCTAAGCCTGAGTTAGTGGGTAGCGTTGCTCCATTGTGGGTTAAGTTTGGCTACTTCTTGTTTTTCCCATAAATAGGGAACGTTCTCTTGACTCAGCTTCAACTGTTTGTTGAGTTTGCTTACAATTCGCCCTCAAACCTTAATCCTTTTTAGCACTCAATTATCCGTGCAAGTTATTGTTGGTTTGTTTAAGTAGCATTTAGTAATGGCTGACTCGCCCAGTTTTTACCATCCACCAACCTGATCAACTCGATCACATTACCAGAAAACTCGTCCGCCGGAGGTAAAAATCAGGGTGAACTCTTCATCTTCTTAGGGTTTCATGAGGGGGTTCCATGGTCAACTCTCATCTACTCTTGGTAGTTGTTACTTGGTTTTTCGTTCATGAATTATATGAATTCCAATTCATGCGCAATGTCATTGTGTAGGTGAGTAGTACTAGTAGTGGCCCGCGTCATGCTATTGGTGAAATCAGTGTGCATTATTTTACCTTTACTGAGTCCAATGTGATAGCTCACAATTCAACCTCACAAACCATTTCTCTTTTTTTCTTTCCTCTAAGGGACATGATTTAACCTAAAATCACCATTGAGATTTGGTCTTGTAAATTTACCAGCATGAAACTACTTCACACAGCAACCTCCTGTTCTTTTTTTTCCTTCAAGCAAAGACCAAGAAAACATACAACCACAAATACTGAATTCAGGTTCGAAAATGTAGCCTCATTAAAATCTTACCATAAAAAACTCCCAAATAGGAAAATCTAGTACCTCACACATCAACATAATATCACCTCATTTGGCAATAAATGGAGCCCCAAATCTTATCCCCATCCTTGGTATCACCAAAGGCCTATTTAACCAGAAAAAACTTGTATGAAACGGGGATAACACTATTTTGCTATACCCGACCAATCACAGACTGCCACGTGGAAAAGTTATCACACGTGGCATATTGTGATTGGCCAGGGATAACAAAATAGTGTTATCCCTGTTTCATGTAAGTGTTTCTCCCGTTTAATAACTGCTCAGTTAAATATATAACTGCAACTCTCACTTACCCACAGAAGTCACATGGATGAGACAGTTCAGCACCAAACATGTACTCAGTCTCCCTTCACCTGAAAAAAGCGTTTTTGAAACTGTCAAAAATACATAGGAAGTTTTATTAGTCACTAATGTTCCTCTACGCCTAGTTTAGTAAAGAATATAATAGTCTACCAGTTTTCCTTAACTGATCTAATTATTCTCTAACAAGGGAAAATACTACAAAAGGGTTAAGAAGTTAACCATACAACAAGCATACTTACATATTTGGGCAATGAGAGTGGCGTGTACAAAGAAAAGCTAGTTCAGTGTTTTAACTCATCTTTTCTACTCTAATTCTTCCACACATCTCAGAGCTTACCTCTTCTCTTTCTCAATGGTGTTACTAACAAAGGCACAGAATACCATGACTGACAAGAAAACCCAATACAGAATTAAGACCAAGAAACTTTGTTACAGATTATCTTCCACAGTTGATCAGTTCAAGTGGCTGTTCAAGAGGGAGGTGACCCCTAAAGCATACATTTTGAAGAATGTCGATTTTGAAGCTAGACCGGGAGAGATCACAGCTATTGCGGGTGCAAGCGGAGCAGGAAAGACAACATTGCTAGAAATAGTAGCTGGTATGATCCCTCTAAGTAGTAGTACTGCTGGCCAAGTTATTGTCAATGACCAGCCAATGAATGCTCAACATTTTCGGAGAGTATCAGGTTATGTCACTCAAGAAGAAGCCCTCTTCCCACTTCTTACTGTGGAAGAAACACTCTTGTACAGTGCTCGTTTAAGGTTCCATGGTGGGCACCAAAAGGCCACGGCTAGAGTGAGTGAGCTACTAAGGGAGCTTGGACTACAACATGTTGCCAATGTAAGAATTGGTAGTGAATCTAGCCGCGGCATATCAGGCGGTGAAAAACGCAGAGTCTCCATTGGAGTTGACCTAGTACATGATCCGGCTGTTCTTTTGCTGGATGAACCTACATCAGGATTGGACTCGTCGTCAGCACTTGATGTAGCCTTGTTGCTTAAAACTATGGCTTCAACACAAGGTAAAACAATTGTTTTAACCATCCACCAACCTGGATTTCGAATTCTTGAGCTAATAGATCAAATTCTATTACTATCAAATGGAACTGTGATTCACAATGGACCCCTGCTTATGCTAGAGCAACGGCTTAGATATGCAGGTCATTCCATTCCTCTGCAAGTTAATGTGCTTGAGTTTGCTATTGAAGTTATGGAAGACTTGATCATACATGTTGAAGAAAGTGAAATAGAATATGGTGAAATAGAAGAAGAATTTAAGCATGTTAGACCAAATTCAATCATAGGTAACGTTCATGAAGACATAGTCCTCTATGCCAATCCTCTGTTCAAGGAAGTTTTCATACTGGGCCATAGATTCTCCAACATCATTTGTAGAACCAAACAGCTTTTCGCTGCGAGAATAATGCAGGCTTTACTTGCAGGATTTGTGCTGGGTACTATTTTTATGAATGCTGCTAATGACCCAAGAAGAGCTAAATTACAAACACAAATTGGGTTTTTTGCCTTCAGCCTCACCTTCTTGATGTCTTCTGCAACTGAAGGACTACCAATTTACCTGCAAGAGAGGAGAATATTGATGAGGGAAACCTCAAGAGGTGCTTATAGAATCTCTTCTTATGTCATATCAAACACTCTAGTATTCCTTCCTTTCCTATTAGGTGTGGCTCTTCTCTATGCTACCCCAGTCTACTGGTTAGTTGGATTAAGAAGGGAAATTGATGGGTTTCTCTACTTTTCACTGGTGGTGTGGATGGTCATTTTGATGTCGAATTCTTTGGTTGCATGCTTCAGCGCTCTAGTGCCGAACTTCATCATGGGAACATCTTTAGTGGCAGGGCTTATGGGTTCCTTCTTTCTATTTTCTGGGTTTTTCATCCCAAAGGAGGACATTCCCAGCTACTGGACTTTCATGCACTACTTGAGTTTATTTAAGTACCCACTTGAGTGTTTCCTGATAAATGAGTATGGGGGAGAGCAGGGAAGAAGGAGATGTTTGCAGAGTGTTGGAGGAGACTGCATTCTGTATGGTGACTGGTTCTTGATGCAGCAAGGTCTGAAACCATCACAGAAGTGGATCAACTTAGGTATAATGTTGGGTTTCATCATTGGTTACAGATGGCTTGGTTTTCTGATTCTGTGGTACAGATCTTACAGAATCAGTAAGTAGTTACAAGTCTTTTGTTGACCAAAAAAATACAAGTCTTGTTCTGTTTACTAATGTATCTGTTTGTTTCCACCAAAAAAAATAATGTATCTGTTTGTTTCTTTTTTTGGAACTTAATAAAGTATGTTGGTGTTTGTAAGCAATTGCATATCCCTGGTATACTTTGTTTTATTTGGATGTTTAATCTTCATTTCACACAGCTTCCCAGAATGTTCACTTCAACTGCATTTCTTTTTATCTTTTTTTATGCGAAAAAGATAGTTACAAACCAAAACCTCGCGGGCACGCAGGCAAAGAGGTAAAAAAGAAAGCAGGAGCAACAGAAAGAGGGAGCCCGGTCTCCCAAAGAAAGGAAGGGGACAGCCCATGGCCTAGATTAGCTAAGGCATCAGCAAGGAAGTTTGCTTCTCGGAACGCATGACACAAAAAACAGAGTCCTCTGTTCCATCGTTTCTGATTCTGTTGGATTATTTTGATTTCTCAACTTTATTTTTGCAATTTTATTGTCCTTTTTTTTAATGAATTCTGCGGTCTGTAATTGTTGATGTAGATCATCATTCATTTAGTAATTTGCATCTTCTTCTTGGATTAATTCATTTATCTTCTGTTATTTGTAAGAACAATTCTTGGGATTTCTCCAATCAATGGTTTGTGGTTTGTCAAATTTAGACATTTCTGTCGTTTACTACTTCTTCAATCTCATGTCATTGTCTTTAATTTTTGGTTCAATGGTTATGTCTCATGCAAAATAATGTCTAATTTACGAATGTTATAAGGTTTATGTGAGCATATGGGTTGTGAGCCTATTTTGTAGACCGTGGGCACAATTTATGTGTATTAATTTGCAAATCAATGATCATATATACTCCCTTTTCAATCAAACTTGTATAAATAAAAAATGTTTGTTTAAACTCTTAAATAGAATTCCTAAATTAAAATCAATAACTTCCATTTGTTTTGCCAAACAGTTGGACTAATGAATGGTTTTGAAATGCATAGATGCGAAATGAGTTCCATTTTAACGGGACCTAATATATTTAGGTGTTTATTTGGGTTCGGTTTAGTTTTTTTTTTGTTGTTGAGAAATTCTAGGATTGCATTCATAATTCAGCCAAAAAAACTATTAGCCACAAGGTGCCAAAACAAACTAGCCACAAAGGGCGATTACAAAACGGAGCGGTCGAACAACAAAATTAAGACAATCTGGTGCGCCTCCACTAACGATCACGCAAGATCGAATAAACTCTAGCATAGGCATCTCAACTAAGATTGCAAACTCAGAATAATAAAAAATAGACAAAGCTTGAAAAACTGTGTAAATGTCAAATTGCCACATCAGCCATCAAATTTAAATTTGATGTTTGGTATTTGACATCTCACTTGGAGATGCTCTAAAACTTAAGAGTTTTTTTGGATGACCTTTTTTATCTTTTTACACAATAATAAAATTTAAGAATTTAATGATTGAAGTATCAAGATAAACAAAGAAAAGTGTGGAATTTAAATAGCACTCATGAGGTGGAGGAGTTTTATTTTATCCCGTAACCACCCGTTCCCAAAAAGACAAAAGCAAAAACGTTTTTAAGCATCCGGCGCACGTTAGCCACATCAAACAGACGAACGCCTCGACTATAAAAGCGTGCTTAAGTACCCACTCTCACCCTCCCTGCCTCTCTGCTTCATTTTTGCTCTGAGTACCAGTCTTCAATGTCGGCGGCTACTTCCTCCTTCTCCCCAGCCCTCTCTGCTCTACAATTGTCGTCAGCATCCAAAACCCACGAGGCTCCGTCCAGCCTAGGGTTTTCTTCAGTGGTGTCGAAGACTCTAAACCCTCTCATAGCCAAAGCTACACGCGGTGTTAACAGTGTCTCCGGCGGCGGCTCGGCTCTCGGAGCTCGTATGGTGTCAATGCCGACTGTTAAGCCCCCGGCATCTCTCGATTTCGAGACCTCTGTTTTCAAGAAGGAGAAGATCAATCTCGCTGGTCACGACGAGGTCTCTCTTCTAATTATAAAAATACATTTCTGAGTTTGTTTAGTTAATCTACATATTGGGTGGTTGGGTTATGTTTGGATTTTGATACATGAGTTTGGGAAAGAGAAAAGGGAAACTTTTTATAGCGCCTGAGCATTTGTTTGCATGTTCTCTATACTTATCAGTAAAAAAGAAAAAGGAAATCCCTCAATGGTCGACCAAAAAAATACGCTCTCTAGAATGGAAAAGGAGGGCAAAATGCTAAAGTATTGCTCCACATATATGAATATATGCACATTTATGTATTTATTGTTGATACATGCATATTATTCATATTGTTTGAGAAATGATTTCCATGTGGGTTTCCTGAATGATCGTTTGGGTTCATTCTGACTGCAGTTTATTGTGAGAGGAGGGCGAGATCTGTTCCATTTGTTGCCCGATGCTTTCAAGGGTATTAAACAGATTGGTGTTATCGGTTGGGGTTCTCAGGTGAATGGATTGCTCTCATTTCCTTTTATCTATTTACTAAATGGTATTGTTTGTTGAAGTTGCATGATTAATATTTGGGGTCTGCATTGTTTTTTATTTTATTTTTTATTCTCCCTATGTGCGTACACCCATAGGGTTAAGTTTGAAAGTGAAAACTGAAACCACTTACTTTGAGTAACTGGAAATTGTCACTTTTTTCCCTTTTTCCTTTTACTATTGTACAAATATATTTCGTTTGATAATCCAGTATCAATATATTTATTTGCTGTCGAATCCTGTATTACAAGCTAGAACCCTGTTATTGTATATAAGCTTAATGTTGCCTCTTATCAATAGTGGCCTTATGGGGCGAGGATGGAGGTGTTATGGATGGGCCATAATTAGGTTGGATTGTTGGAATAGTTTGTGAGCCGGTGTGGGATTGTTTAACTGACTGAGACTATGGTGCATGTGGTTTTATGGGGTCGTGTTTCAGTGTAGTGTGATGGAACATAGATTCTACATTGCTTACGGACTCTGCTCTAGCATAGTGTTTGACCTTGATGTTGCCTCTTTCAAATAACCTGGGCTTAAGGAACAAGGGCGACCAGGGTCGTAATTAATCATGCATTTTTCACTGTTGTAAAATGTGAATGTTTATTGTTCCTGTCTGTCAATATACATTATTTGGGTCTTTAACCTATCTTTCTTTTCTTTAGGGACCTGCTCAAGCTCAGAATTTAAGAGATTCTCTAGCTGAAGCAAAGTCTGATATTGTGGTCAAGGTAATTTCTTTCCTGTTTTACTCATAAAATTCCATTTTGTACAAAAAAGGTTTTTATTTTATTTTTAAAATTATTGAATTGCTTTCCAATCTTTTTGCAGTAAACTAAATTTCTAATATAATATATATAAATTTTATATCTCCTGCTACCTACAGATTGGGCTCAGGAAGGGTTCCCGTTCTTTTGCTGAAGCTCGTGCATCTGGTTTCTCCGAGGAGAATGGGACATTGGGTGATATATGGGAAACAGTCTCGGGCAGTGATCTCGTTTTGCTACTCATTTCTGATTCTGCTCAGGTCTGTTGATTGTACTTTCAAAATTTTATTCCTGCTATTGGCTGTAACTTGTAGTTGGGCTGGTGCTTCTGATCATTTTGCTAAAATAATTTTGGGTCTACTACTCCATTACCATTTTCAACTGTCTCCCCATCTCTGAATTCTTACTGGTTGTACTTACTGATGAGTCACTTAGGAAAAAGGATTAAGATTGAAGTAAAATACTGATTCCTCTTACAATTCATAATGCATTACGCGTCCACGTCTTTTTTGTTTGAAGGCCTTTTGTGATGTAATATCGCATCCTGTATCTGCTAACAGCGTTTAATTTCGTCTCATGTTGCAGGCTGATAATTATGAGAAAGTATTTTCACACATGAAGCCCAATAGTATACTGGGCCTTTCCCATGGTTTCCTTTTAGGGCATTTGCAGTCAGTGGGTCTTGACTTCCCCAAGAACATCAGTGTAATTGCTGTATGTCCAAAGGGGATGGGTCCATCTGTAAGGCGACTTTATGTCCAAGGAAAAGAGATAAATGGTGCGGGAATTAATTCCAGTTTTGCAGTCCACCAGGTCAGCTCTCTCCCTCTCTCTCTCTCTCTCTCTCTCTCTCTCATATAACTAATTTCTTAGATACTAAATGTGTTGTGTTTGTACAGGATGTTGATGGCAGAGCCACAGATGTGGCCCTTGGCTGGTCGGTTGCCCTTGGTTCTCCTTTCACATTTGCTACTACGCTAGAGCAGGAATACAAAAGTGACATCTTTGGCGAGCGAGGTAAGTTTGGTTTTCCTACATTGTATCTTTGTTTCTTTTTTTCTTATGTTTTGAATCCAGTATACTTGATTCCTCATGTTATTTTTATCTCTGCTTCTCTGTATTGTAGGCATTTTACTTGGTGCTGTTCATGGAATTGTGGAGTCCCTGTTTAGAAGATACACTGAAAATGGAATGAGTGAAGATTTGGCTTATAAAAACACTGTAGAATGCGTAACTGGAATTGTGTCAAGGACCATCTCAACTAAGGTTCTGCCCACTTTTGAATTTCATTCATGCTTGTTTTTGTGTATGAATTTGAGACGAAGTTAAGTGATTGTTTTTATTATTTTCCCAAACAGGGCATGCTGGAGATATACAACTCTTTGTCTGAAGATGGCAAAAAGGAATTTGAGACTGCATATAGTGCCTCATACTATCCTTGCATGGACATCTTGTATGAATGCTATGAAGATGTAGCCAGCGGTAGTGAGATCCGTAGTGTTGTCTTGGCCGGGCGTCGCTTTTATGTACGTTCGCCCATATGTTTTCACTATTAGTTATTGTGATGAAAGCTTGATTTTTCTTCTAAGTTGAATTTTGACTGTTGTTATTTTGAAGTTTATGATCCTCCTAGTTCTTTGGAATATAATTGGAGTAATATTGTTGTTATGCAAATGATAATGAAGTTACCTTTGTTTACAGGAGAAGGATGGTCTGCCTGCATTCCCAATGGGTAAAATTGATCAGACCCGCATGTGGAAAGTTGGGGAGCGTGTCCGAGCAACACGGCCAGCTGGTGACCTAGGCCCATTATACCCTTTCACTGCTGGTGTTTTTGTTGCCTTAATGATGGCTCAGGTATGAGCCTAACCCCCTTGATTCAGTGAGAATGTAAGGTTTAAAGCAGGAGATAAAGGAATTGATGACTGAAAATTGCTTGAGTGTTAAGAGGATATCCTTTTGTCCTGATGTCAAAGTGTAGTATATCTAGTAAAAATAAAATAAAAAATCTATCTTCAAATGCTTATTTAAGGTTATCAACTGTTGGTTCTGTGGTGAATGATGAACGCATAGATTTGATGAATCATGATGTAAATCGTTGGTTCTTTGGTGCCTTGGAACTTTAACCTCCATTATATAGTTCTTCAAGGGAACTTTGATTGGTTGGTTAGAGTTCTGTTAATGCTGTTGCTTTTTGTGGAGAAATAAATGCTGTTGTTAGTAACTTGGGATGATTTCTGCTGTATGTGTTTTGAACTCTTATTTCTTTCCCTTGCTTTATGAACATCCAGATCGAAGTCTTGAGGAAGAAGGGTCATTCATATTCAGAGATCATTAACGAAAGCGTTATTGAGTCTGTGGATTCTTTGAATCCTTTTATGCATGCTCGGGGAGTTGCCTTCATGGTTGACAATTGTTCAACAACAGCTCGGTTGGGATCTAGGAAATGGGCTCCAAGATTTGATTACATTCTTACTCAGCAGGCCTTGGTTTCTGTGGATAATGGTGCACCCATCAACCAAGACCTCATCAGCAACTTCATGTCAGATCCAGTACATGGAGCCATTAAAGTATGCGCCGAACTGAGACCTACAGTTGATATTTCAGTGCCTGCTGATGCAGACTTTGTGCGACCAGAGTTGCGTCAATCTAGCAATTAGAACTTGAAGAACCTACTGCCCGTGTTGGCCTACAAAATTCCGTTTGGCGAAATATTAAGGTGTGATGTAGTTCTACTACCTAGTTTCTGTGTTTTCATCATCATGTGTACTTTTATCGGATTGCAAGTTGTGTTTGACGCTGGATGTTGTTTTAATGATTTTGCGTAATAATAAGTAGTTAAATTATTAATGGTGTTTGCCTTTCCGAGTCCAAGTTGATGTTATTGCACATGGTGGTTCCTTTGAAGGTCTGGTTATTGGATTATGATGCAGCTTCAGAGAGGAGAGGAAGAGAAAAGGCCACCAAATTAGGGCATGGTTCCTTTGAAGGCCTAGCTTATTAGTCAAGTGGAAGTTGACTTGCTAAAAATTTGCATCTCTTATTGTTGCAAGTGCCATTAATACCGTTGAGTGAGTAGGCTCATACACAAGAAGCCCGGGAGTTATTGATTTTTTCCTAGATTGGCCCAGGTCATGAGTTGTAATGAAAATGACGGAAGAATCTGCCTAAAGCACAATTGGTTGGATTCAATTTCATTAAATTTTAATTGAACTTATGAGAAGCTCGACAACTTTATTTTTCCAGTCATAGAAACTGGTAGTTTGTTAACGGGCTACGAAGTTTTACAAGCTGATACGCATCATAGCAGCTGCTAGGTATTGTATTTAGTTTGATGGCAAATTTATTTATGCGATGGGGTAAGATCCAAACATAGCTACGCCACAAAGACCTTCTTTTGCATAAACATCTCTTTGCATCCTCATGTACCCTTCTTCACCCCATTCCGTTCCCCATGAGTTTTTCAGTAACCAATACTTTGTGCCATTGTCACTGACACCGTAACCAATTGCAGCAACGCAATGATCGATTTCTAGTCCACATGATCCTGTAAAGACTCCACTTGTATAGAACATGAAGTCGTTTTCTCCAGCATCAATGCAAACAGAAACAGGTTGATTGGCAACAGCCTTAAGAAGGGCTTCCTCGTTGCTTGCAGGCACATCTTCGCAACCAGTTATATTGGCTGCATGAGTCGCTTGGGTGTTGCATCTACCGTCCACACCTGTGTAGTTGTAACTAGCCTCGGAGCTAATCCCTTGGTTTTGATTGATGAACTCAAAGGCACCATCAGGGTAGCCACCGCCACATCCATGGTCTTCACCTTTGATGTCACAGTCAACCACCTCTTGCTCTGACAAAGAGATTAATCTACCAGTTGTAAGTTGTGTAATTCCTTCAACGGCTGCCACTGCTGCAAAAGCCCAACAGCTTCCTGCATATATCAGTTTTATTGCAATTAAATAGCATCAAGAACACACAATTGAAAATATTCAAAAAGAGGAATAATTCCGACTTATAAATAAAAATTAGAGGCTTACCACATTGGCCTTGGTCTTTCATGGGTGTTACAGCTCCTTTGCCTCTCCAATCCATGGTAGATGGTACTACTGTGACGTTTTCGTATTTGAAAGAAGTATTCTTTGTGGAGTATTCACGCCCTTTGAATCCATTTCTTGAGGCTTTCACTTCTTCATTCGTTTGGTCTGCAAATTGATTAACGCTTAATTTGTAAGATTTGTTTACATCGCTATTAGAGGATTCTATGTATGCCACATTCTTCTTGAATATCTCAAAACGCTCCTGCTTCTCGATAACATCATCGTATTCGCGTCCATAACGAACAATCCATTGTTCATATCTTTCGTGCATTGATGCATCTTGGAGGTTACGAGAAGTGGCTTCACTAGACCAAGTCCCCAACATAAGGATCAAGACCAAACAAACACATCTCCACAGCTGCTTAATGAAGTTCATTGTGAAGCAGCTAGGGTTTGGTAAAGTAAATAAATCAGAGAGCAGTTTATATACTGATTGGCTTCACTACCTCGGTGACCCGAAACAATAATATATGCAATCTTATTTTGTTCCCCCCGTAAAAGTTCTTATATGACCCTGCTGTCAGATTAATATAGTAAATAAATGGTTTCTACTATGTGTTGATGGACCCAAAGTTATGAAGGACAATAGCACACGTCCAAAATGCGCATGTTTTCTTCATTGTTTTCACAGATCCCTCACTTTCTTTTTGGCAAACTCCGTTTGACTTGAAGAAGACATTTCCAGTGAAGTTGTGAAATGCTTATAATATGGAAATGATCTAGACAGCAACCACCAAATCTATGAACTATTTTCATTATTTCATTGGCTGTTTCTGTTTTCAAATAACATTGCAGGGAAACTGTTGAATGTGCAACAAGTTTTGGAATATTGCACCCAATATGAGTGGTGGATCAAAATTCGAAAGCCATCCGGGCGAAATTTACATTAAAAACTCGACGATACGAGTGAATTTCATTAATAAACAAAGAAAAATACACCTAGTCAATAGACATAATGAGCATTACCCTCAAATGCATCTTTATACCAATATTAAGTTCCAACTTCAAAAGCCTCAAAAGCCTAGGTCATTGTAATCATTAAATTGTCCCATTACACCAAATAAAGCTTCTACTCACCATTTTATTCACCAACTCTAGCTATATACCAAACGACAAGGGCAGAGCTAGAAATTTTTTTATTGGGGGAGCATTACATTGCTTTTTTCATTCTCTTGTTATACTTTTCAACGATTTGAGAATTATATGCTGAATTCTTTGAACAAATATTGTGTTATATTTGAAGGTATCGAATCTCAAAACGTTTCTCCTTCACATTAATGGCGGCATATACGTGTCCATAACAAACCATCCATACATTGAGGCATCTTGGAGGCTGACAAAGTGAGGTTCAATGGATCAATGCCAAGCAGATACATTACCAGAGAGTTGATTAATGTACTCCATCGTATAGCTGTAGCTAGCTAAGCAGCTAGGACTTGGTAAAGTCAATGAATTAAAGAGCAGCTGGTACAATGAAATAGTAGAGACTGATCACAGCTTATATAGTAATTGAAATTACTCAATTACTATCTGCTAACTTATTTGGTCGGCCAGAAGAAAAATAAAGTTCTGATATATATGAGCCGTGCAGCCAGAAGAATATTAAGTAACGATATGTGCTGATGGCTGTGAAGGACAATATAAATCCAAAATGCTCTGATGGTTTCTTCATTCTTTTTCCGAATTCTCCGTCTCTTTTTGGCAAATTCCTTTTGTCTTCAAGAAGAATGCTCAAATTTGTTTTGTCGATTTTTTTTTGTCGTGAAGGAAGTTGCAGTGAAGGCCTCAAACGCTAAAAACAAAATAAACTATTTACATTGTTCAATTGGCTACTTCGTTTTTCTAATAACTTTGCAGGGAACTGTTAAAATAAGCAAGAAGTTTTTTATTGCACCAAAAATTGAGTTCGAAATCCGTGCTAATGAAGCTTCTTTCCAACCTCAAAAACAGTGGCCATCCCTTAACCGTTTCATTCTTCAATAATACTGAGCTGAAGGCTCACCACATTATTCACTATCTTATTAGATATAAATGAAGGATACAGCAAGATTTTCATAAGACAATGCAACATTTGGCAACAATTAAAGTTTGAGTTAGGATTAAGTTACGTCAAGGTTTCAATTCCGTCCATTTTAACCAATCGGAAGTTTGATGAGTGTAGATAACTCTTAAATTATGTTTAACTTGATGGTGGAATATTTGTTGATTTTCTCAGAGAAAAGGAGGATGTATCGTTCAATGGGGGCCTTTTAAGGCATACTGTTTGTTTAAAGAATAAAACCAAAACGTGCGTATAGTCACCTCAGTTTAAAAAAAAACACTTAACTAGATGAAACGACGTCATTGCTTTAAAACTAACCCTAACAAAAAAAATTCAAGCCAGGTCGTCTTCTTCCTTGAGCTCTAGCTTGCAGACAGCGTCGCTTCTTTGCGCCTTTCAAGCCTCACCTCGCACGCCTTGCCACGCCTCATCACTCCTCGCCACACTAAGCGGGCAACAAGCTAAACAACCGTACGCCTAAGGTGATTTCCCTCCGCCTCGCTCCAACGTGCGCTCCGATGCGCGCTTAGTGTCACGGGTCGCACATAGACAAGTGCTACCGTGACTCCGTTGGGACATCTATGCGCTTAAGAGGTAGTCTAAGCGTGGAAGGGCGAGAGCTTAAGAGCTAGAATGGTTGGTGTTGGCCGGGTTGCACTTGTGAGGGGTATTTTGGGTATTTCCGAAGGTTACGGGAGGAACCTGAAGGAACCAAGAATACCGAAATGTTCGTGATGTCGAGACGCAGGATACGCAACTGACGGTTCGCCATTCGGAGTTCGTATGAGGGAGTTATGCCCAATTATGACTCCTCGTGCATAGGTGATGTTCCCTCCTGGCAAAAGGCTAAATGCATAAAATGCTATATAGGGGGTGACATGGTGTCATGCTCTCCACCACCCCTGGTGCTTACACCCTTGTGGCACTAAGCGAGCATCCTTATGACATTGGAGGTAGTCATAAGGGCGGGCATATGATTGTTGAAGGATAATCTGTGTCTCCGAGGGAAAGGAATTCCCGAGGACAGTACGAACACGCGGGGCCGTTCGTATTGCGCATCGTTGGAAAGAGTGAGGTCAACGTATGGCATTCGCTATGCCATCGGCTAGCGAGGCATTTGACAATACTCGATGGACTTGGTTTGGGTTCGGCCTTGTCCAAGATGGAAGGAAGATATTCGGATGCCAGTACGCATGGGTTGCGACCCCATGCAATGCATAGATGGTTATGTGGGACATTCGGAAGACATATGTCGCCAAGGCTTGGGCGACATGCAAGTATGACAGCTTGCGTGTATAGCTTGAGGATGTGGGCTATCGTGGACGCTAAAGGAATGACCGACAGAAGTGTGGGTAAACCGATGGTGTGTTGGATCGCTATGTCTTGACTTGGACATGAGCGAGCCAGGAGTTAAGCATGCGACGTGGTCGATGCAGTTGACGTGTCTTATGCAACGCTTGATGTATGGGCGTCGAGGGTTCGTTGCCGGATGCGAAGTGATTGTATTGTCACATGGTAGTGTGACTCGTTGTCTAGGGGAAGACGACACTTGAAGGGGAACCTCTCGCGGAGTTGTGAGAGTCATGAGTATCATGAAGTGGGAGAAGGCTGACTGGGATTCGATGGGATCCTAGGCCGCACGGGTGTGCTTTGAGTGGCGAAATTTGTGTTTCGCTTCCGCCGCGCCGCGCCGCTCGCTCATCCCGTGACAAGTGGTATCAGAGCGAAAGCTCTAATGATGCGAAGAAGGATGTCAAAGAGCTGATCAATTCAGATGGTGGCTTCTGCTCAAATGATTCGCACCTTTGATACAAACAGTGAAGCTCTGATCCCAGGACAAGTGGTATTAGAGTTGATCGATTCAGATGGTGGTTTCTGTGTGAGGGATTCGTACCTAGAAGAGATTGGTGATGGAGAAACTTTGATAGCCAGGTAGCATGTCATTGCCTGTGATGGGTAGTGGACTTGCGAAGTTGGATGAAAAACCCAACGTCACTGTGGATGATTGTTGGAATCAGGTTGTGTGACGGTTGTTGGAAACCCGTCTTGGTGCTGGATCCTATGGAAGGGTGAAGGTATCCAAAAAGATTGCCTCGAAGTTCTGAGAAGACATCAAGCAGGATGACTCTAAGATGTGGGATGATGGTTGGTTTTGTTGCTCGGTTGCCTAGTTTTCTAATCCGTGCACCAAGCGCCCGGAAGTCGGGTAGGCAGGGGTTCTGACTTGTGACAAAGTGATGTTGCTTGTTCAGTTTAGGATGTGGGGAGGATGGGAGCGCGAGTTTGGTGAGAGTGTTGAAGATTGTGTAGCACTTGAACCATGACATACCATTGAAGGTTGTGGTAAACTATGTTGGCAACAAGTGTTGAGCAAACAGTGTGAGACCCTTGTTCTGGGAAGATTTGTGAGGGCGGAAGACCGAAAGGGGGCTGTCTTTGAAGGAAGTAAGTTGCTGACGAACTAGGCTCCATTGAGGGAGTAAGTTGCTGAAGGACTAGGCTTTAAAGAAGAAGTCGCTCAAGTGGTTGCTCTTGCAACTGTGGAGAACGTGGGGGTGATGCAAATGTTTGACACAAGGTTGTTAACTAATATTCGGAATGCTGGAGTGTTCCAAAGGTGGATCCCAGAGTCTTTCTTGTGAGGATGGTGGCTAAGGACACAGTACGTCCGCACTTTGTGGGAGGCCGAAGATGGAGTAACTTGAGGGAGGATGTCTTACTTGTTCCCTTGGGGATGCTACAGAAGTATGTTCTACCAAGTTCAAGTTTGGACGTTGGTTGGGTGGTTCTACTCGTAGTAGGGATGGCATTGAACCTTGGAGAGTTGCAAAGGCCTAAAGTGTTGTAGAACTTTGCTTCGGAGGCACGTTGACGTGAGGGTGCGTTGACGAGATAAGTGGGGGAGACCCACGAAGTTCATTGGAGACAATGGCAGCGGAACTTGGTGAGAGTGCCGAAGATTGGCAATACTCAAACCATCGCATGCCAAAAGTGGTTGTGTGGAAGTTGGTTGGTGATGAGTGTTGAACGGATGGTGCAAGACCTTTGTTCGGGGAAAGGTTGTGGGAACTCAAGACCGAATGGTGCAGTCTTCGAAGGGAGTAAGTCGCTGACAGACTAGGCTCCATTGAGGGAGTAAGTCGCTGACGGGCTAGGCTTTAATGAAGGAGTCACTTAAGTGGTTGCTCTTACGATTGTTGAGAACGGGTGGATGAGGCACAATGTTTGACACAAGGTTGCTAACTGATTTTAAGAACGAGGGAGTGTTCCAAAGAGGTAGATCCCGGAGTCTCACTTGTGAGCATGGTTTCTAGGGGCATGGAGTATGTCCGCACGTGATGGCATACAATGTGGGAGTAACTTGGGTGTTGACAGCTTACTTGTTCCCGTGGGGATGCTATAGAAGTGGTTCTGCCGAGTCCGTTTGGGGCGTTGGTAGTCAGGTGGTTCTACTCGTAGTAGAGGCGATGTCTAACCTTGGTGAATTGTGATGGCCTAAGTGTTGTGGAACTTTGCTGTGGAGGCACCTTGAGGTGAAGGTGTGCCAACGAGACAAGTAGGGGAGAACCTCGAATGCCTTGGAGGAATGGCAGTACAGGAGCACAAACAAATGGAGGTGCCGTGGAGGACACACGGTTGGCTTTCGAGTCACACCCGGGCGGGGTGCATCTCTTTAATGTGGAAAATGTGGAAGTACTTGACCAACGAGCTAGGTGTTTGTTAATGGTTGAGTGCGGCAAGAGACGGAGGTCTCGGCCCAAAAGAGGGAAAGGAATACAACTTTGAAAGAGAAGTTGAGAAGGGTTAAGGCAGTGGTGCTTTGTGGTCCTTGGAGCGAAGAGAAGAGGATATTCCTATATGGTGTTGTTATGCAACAATGCAGTGGGCATGTCGACGAGGACGTCGCCATTATCAGTGGGGGAGAATGTCACGGATCGCACATAAGTGAGTGCTATCGTGATTCCAAAGTCGACAGTGCAGTGGGGCACGTCGACGAGGACGTCGACACTATCAGTGGGGGAGAATGTCACGGGTCGCACATAGACAAGTGCTACCGTGACTCCGTTGGGACATCTATGCGCTTAAGAGGTAGTCTAAGCGTGGAAGGGCGAGAGCTTAAGAGCTAGAATGGTTGGTGTTGGCCGGGTTGCACTTGTGAGGGGTATTTTGGGTATTTCCGAAGGTTACGGGAGGAACCTGAAGGAACCAAGAATACCGAAATGTTCGTGATGTCGAGACGCAGGATACGCAACTGACGGTTCGCCATTCGGAGTTCGTATGAGGGAGTTATGCCCAATTATGACTCCTCGTGCATAGGTGATGTTCCCTCCTGGCAGAAGGCTAAATGCATAAAATGCTATATAGGGGGTGACATGGTGTCATGCTCTCCACCACCCCTGGTGCTTACACCCTTGTGGCACTAAGCGAGCATCCTTATGACATTGGAGGTAGTCATAAGGGCGGGCATATGATTGTTGAAGGATAATCTGTGTCTCCGAGGGAAAGGAATTCCCGAGGACAGTACGAACACGCGGGGCCGTTCGTATTGCGCATCGTTGGAAAGAGTGAGGTCAACGTATGGCATTCGCTATGCCATCGGCTAGCGAGGCCTTTGACAATACTCGATGGACTTGGCTTGGGTTCGGCCTTGTCCAAGATGGAAGGAAGATATTCGGATGCCGGTACGCATGGGTTGCGACCCCATGCAATGCATAGATGGTTATGTGGGACATTCGGAAGACATATGTCGCCAAGGCTTGGGCGACATGCAAGTATGACAGCTTGCGTGTATAGCTTGAGGATGTGGGCTATCGTGGACGCTAAAGGAATGACCGACAGAAGTGTGGGTAAACCGATGGTGTGTTGGATCGCTATGTCTTGACTTGGACATGAGCGAGCCAGGAGTTAAGCATGCGACGTGGTCGATGCAGTTGACGTTTCTTATGCAACGCTTGATGTATGGGCGTCGAGGGTTCGTTGCCGGATGCGAAGTGATTGTATTGTCACATGGTAGTGTGACTCGTTGTCTAGGGGAAGACGACACTTGAAGGGGAACCTCTCGCGGAGTTGTGAGAGTCATGAATATCATGAAGTGGGAGAAGGCTGACTGGGATTCGATGGGATCCTAGGCCGCACGGGTGTGCTTTGAGTGGCGAAATTTGTGTTTCGCTTCCGCCGCGCCGCGCCGCTCGCTCATCCCGTGACATTAGGCATGCTTTTGAAAACACTGGCTCAAACGCTAAAAACACAAAAAAGTATTTACGTTGTTCAATTGGCTATTTCTCTTCTCTAATAACTTGGAGGGAACTGTTAAATAAGCAATAAGTATTTTATTGCACCAAAAATTAAGCTCAGTAAGTGTAGGCGAGGGAATGGGTTATGATTAGGTTAGGGTTCAACTATGAAATGTTTAATGAGTGCAGCAGTGTTCATAAATGTTTTAAAATTAAGTTTAACTTGATAGTGGAATATTTGTTGATGTTTTAAAATTAAGCTTTTCACAAATGGCTAAGTTTTCTTACAGCCACAGTACATATATCTTATAAAGTATTTTACACATACAAGTACATATCATAGTACTTACAAACCAAATAGTAGGCACTGGTTTAATTTTAAGCTAAGCAGTGGGGTAAGAGGCTTCCATAGCAATGCCACATAGACCTTCTTTTGCTTCAACATCTCTTTGCATCCTTATGTACCCCTCTTCACCCCATTCTGTCCCCCATGAGTTTTTAACCAACCAATACTTAGTCCCATCATCGCTAACGCCATAACCAACAGCGGTAACCCCATGGTCAAGGCTCGTTCCACAGGCTCCTGTAAAGACACCACTTGAATAGAACTGGAAATCGGAACCTCCAGCATCGATGGCAACAGAAACTGGTTGATGAGCAACAGCGGTTAGAAGGGCTTTTTCGCTGTTTGCAGGCACATCTTCATAGCCAGTTATCTTGGCTGCAATGATTGCTGCTTTCTTGGTATTGCATGAACCATCAACACCATTGTAGGGGTAATTAGCTTCAGCACTAAGCCCATGGTTTTGTTGGATGAACTGAAAGGCATCATCCATCAAGCCACCCTCACAACCTTGGTCTACACCGCTGGTGTCACAGTCAACTAGCTCTTGCTCAGACAAAGAGATCAGTTTACCAGTTGTAAGCTGAGTAATGCCCTTCGGTCGCTGCCACTGCCGAAAAAGCCCAACAACATCCTATTTTTTCATTGCAATTAATAGTAGTTAGAATAACATAAAAATATTACTAAACTCCAAAAGAAGAGTATATAGTGTTACTATAAATGATTAATAATAATGAACCTAGACGATTAATTACCACATTGGCCTTGATCCTTGATGGGGGTTACAGCTCCTTTCTTTCTCCAGTCCATTGCAGCTGGCACTGGCGCCTTAACATTTTCATATTTGAAAGAAGTCGTCTTTGTGGAACATTCATGCCCCTTGAATCCATTTCTCGAGGCTTTGAACTCTTCATTTGTAAGGTCTGCAAATTGATTAACACCTAACTTGTAGGGTTTGTTCACATCTTTATTGGATGATTCTATAAACGCCACATTTTCTTTGAATATCTTGAAACGATTCTCCTTCTCGTTAACGTCGTTATATACGCGACCATAACGAGTCATCCATTGCTCGTATCTCCCGTACATAGATGCATCTTGGAGACTGCGAGAGGTGGCTTCACAAGACCAAGCCCCGAACATGAGGATCAAGCTGAAACCAATACATTTCCATAGCTCCATGATATAGCTAGTGTACTAGAAGCAGCTGGGGTTTGAATTTGATAAAGTAAATGATATGAGCAGGTGTACCGAAATGGTAGACTGGTCACAATTTATAGAGTATATTGATTCTACTGAATGGTCATGCCATGCCCTCTCCGTGCCCCCAAAAATGATCTGCAATCTACGTGCCCTAGAAAATGTTCAGATATGGACCTCTAATTTTTAAAATATAGCTCACATATTTGACCTCTAATTCATTTTGATATTATATATAAAATATATATACAATGGACCATAAACTATATGGGATCTTAAACTTAATTATTTCACATTATTGTTGTTGAATTTCAATAATTTGAGAATTATGTATGCAGAACTCATTGACTATTGTTTTGTTACGTTCGAAGGTAACGATTTCTGCTAAGTTTGAGCCTATTTTTTGTTTGTCCTGGTAAGGAAAATTGGCAGCTAGCCCTGTTATTCTTTTTAGGCCCTAAGCATATATTTTTTAGCCCTAAGGAGGTAGCCCCATTTAAGACCCTCACTGGGAATGGCCTTAGTGACGACCGGGTGTGCAGTGTGGGTTTGAGTTAGAGGTGTCAAACAGGACGGGCCGGCCCAGCAAGGCACGAGCCTAGCCCATTTAAATGAGGCACGGCACGGCACGAGCACGAATATTAATGGGCCATGCTAGGAACGGCACGAAAACTTGGGTCGAGCCGGGATCAAAAAATGAGGTCCAATGGACCGGGCCAGCCCATGGCCCGAGCACGCTTCAAGCACGGCCCACTTAACATTTTTTTCTTTCTCAAAAGTCAAAATGCAATAATTTGACATTTAATGTCATTGTTTATATATATATATATATATATATATTTTAATCATAAATATATATTTGATGTATTTCATTTTAGGGAAATTACTTGGGTCCTTAATTAATTAAACATATCAACTACAAATTAATTAAACAACATTGGACTTGATATCTAATCAGTACATATGACGTATACGCTTCTCTTATAATCAAAGCAAGACATGTTTTCACATATAAAATAATAAGTTGTTTAAAGATGAAAAGTTGAAGTGGACTTTGTGGAGTTGGACACTTTTTGCCATTCGCCATTTCATATTGTTTGGATGTTTGATTGATTAATGTTTTCAAATAGTTCATCATTTCTTGCCTCTAATTATATTTTTAATGTTTATAATTTGAATTATCTAGTGGAAAAAAAAATCAAGTGAAAAAAAATTCAAATTAAATGAATTGGTTCTTGGGCCCGAGTATGGCATGAACACGAGCACGGGCACGGCACAAGCCCGGCCCGGCCTGGCCCGTTTCAATATGGGCATGGGCTTTGGGCCGGGCCGGGATAAATGATTTTACTAAATGGGCCAGCATGACACGGCCCAATAAATTAAATGGGCCGGTCCGGCCCGACACGAAAACGTTAAAAGCACGAGTTTAAATGGGATGGGCTGGCCCGTTTGACACCTCTAGTTTGAGTGAGTGCACCATCATTAAATATTGAGTTGAATGGATTTTATGGGTTTTGCAATTAGAGCCGGTAAACTAACCGAATTTATATTGATACATAGGTATTTCCATATTTCCATGCAAGTGTGCTACTATGCCATCTACATCGAACGAAATTTTGTGGTAGTTAAAAGAAGTTAATTGAAACAAGGGGGGGGGGGGGGTGGGGTTGAATTAGGATTATGAAGCGTTTAAAAAGATTTTTAAAATCCGGGTGTTTTCAAATTGGATTTATACAAACTTTAAAAGAGGTTTTACAAGTCTAGGTGTATTCAATTTTGGCTTGTATGAACTTTTAAAAAGTCCATTCAAATATGGGTGTATTCAATTAGGATTATAAAAAAGTAGAATCAAATCTAGGTGTATTCAAAAGGTCGTATATTTGGAAGGATTACATTAAGTGATAAATTTTCGTAGGTTTTAAGGGGAGAGCTAGAAATAATAATGACCGTAATAAATCCAACCTCCCCCCCCGCCCCCCCAAGTATTTCATCACATGTTTTTCTCTTGCCCTAGCTTTTCTCTGTGCAACAGAAGATGAGCAGCCTCCTTCCTCCATCTATGAAGGTATGCTCCCTATTTTTTCTTTGATCAATACCTCATTGGGTTTTCTTTTTCCATGATTTTTCTTCATCGTGTTTTTCTTGTTATTAGGGTATAGTTTGGGGTTACAGGTTTTACTTGTTATTAGGGTTTAGCATGGGGTTAGGGTTTATTCTTTGTTACTAGGATCCATGCTTTTTCGTCACGGTAATTGAATACACCCCCCAAATCTTAAGAAAGTTTATTAAAAAATTATATAGAAGTCTTCTGAAAGTCTATCAAGTTCTATATGAATTCTAAAGTTCCATCAAGTTCTATGAAATCTGGCACTTAAACAAAATCTTTTTAAACACTCTAGAATCCTAATTGAATACACCCCTCAAAGACTTAGGAATTTTGTTTAGTGTATCGCAAGTTACTTCAGTCACTGTTCTGCTTCTTTTGAATCCAAACTAACAATGTGGAGATAGAAGAGTGGAGATTATTATGAGCTTGCCAATAAAGCGATGATAAAGAAACAACCTTTACTACAACAAAATGGGTGGTGTAAAAATAGGTGTGTGAGTCAGTCTTACTCAAAAATGCACCATCAATTTTGATTCCCTCGGAAAAGAGTCTCTCGGGCTCTAGAGAACCATATGTTTTTTTCTCTCGCACCTTGCTCTTCTGTTGCTTCTAGTGGTAGGTACCACCATTCATGTTGGTAGCTTCGTTGTTGGAATTTGTTTTTTTTTTATGCTGGATCTAGTGGATCTGGTAAAGATGGAGTGTGTATTGGTGAGAAAAGAACTCGTACCCATGAGATGTGTGATGTTACTCAAGAGGCTGAATTTACAGATGAGCCAGTTGTGAATCCTTTTAAGTACGAGGTTAATAAGCCTATGAAGCAAGTGGTTACTCCTACTAGTGGTTTTGCTAAGTCTACTGGGAGTAACGGAAATGAGGTTGGGAAGAGAAATTCTCTTGCTAAGGATTCTAAGGTGCACGTTTTCAAAAACCTTTGAAAGACATTACTAATGCTAAGTTGGAGAAGAGCGATACTGTGGGTTTGAAGCCTGGTTTTGGGTCTAAGAACACTGGGAATGCTAGGTTTGGGCATAATCGTAGTAATTTGAATGTTGGAGTGATGGGTATGCAAGTTCGAGGCTCTAATATGCAAGATGATGTTCAAGGCTTGATCTCTTTTAATGTGGATGCTGCTTTTCACCTACGGATTTTCGGGGTGCTAATGTGTTGTTGCATAACCCTGAGCCTCTTGATATTGGTCAGATGGAGCTGAATGAAGGTAAATCTCGTTTGGTTAAGTCTGGTGTTTCCAATGAGGATGAGCATGATTCAGTTGGTGAGGTTGGTTTGGTTGGTATGTTGACTGATTTTGATGCCTCTGATGTTGAGGCTGGGCAGGTTGCTTTTTGATGAGGTTTTCCCTCTCCTTGTCCTCCCTTTACATATCACTTTTATGATAATTGTTTCCTGGAATGTGAGAGGTGCTGACAAGGTAAAGTGTGTCAGTACCATTAGGGACTTAAAAAAGGCTTATGGTATTGATATTTTTGTTGTGCTTGAGCCTAGAATTGGTGGTTCTTGAGCTCTCCTTGTGAAAAAGGTTTTGGGATTTTCTCATTATCATATTGTCGATCCCATTGGTTTTTCTGGGGGTGTGTGGCTACTTTGGAATGGAAGTTCTGTTTCTTTACAAGTTGTTGTGCATTCTAGTCAAACCATTACTGCCTTAGTTACTATGGATGCTAAAAGTTGGTTGCTAACAATAGTTTATGCTAGTCCTTGTTCTAGTGAGAGAACTTCTTTTTGGAAGTATTTAGATGGGTTACCTGCTATTTGTAATTTACCTTGGTTGTTGCTTGGTGATTTTAATGATATTGTTTGTGGTGAGGAGAAGCAAGGTGGTAATTTGGATGTTGGTGGTCAGCATTTTATTGAGTGGATTGATATGAATCATCTTGTTGATTTGGTTTTTTCTGGCGCTAATTTTACCTGGTGTAATAAAAGGGATGACAAGGATATTATTTAGAAACAATTTGATAGAGGTCTTTGTAATATTGATCGGAGATTTTTGTTCTTTGAAGCTCACTTATCTCATCTACCAAGGGTGAATTCTGATAATTGTCCTATCATGGTTAAGTTTTTTTCTAACCATCTTCCTGCAACAGAATCTATGCCTTTCAGATTCCAAGCAATGTGGTTAAGTCATCCTAGTTTTTTTGAGTTCATATCTGGTTTGTGGAATTCTGGTACATGCCATGTTGTTCAAAAGTCTACTAGTCTTATTTGGCATCTGCAACATTGGAATAAACAGGTGTTTGGGTGTCTTTTTCAAAAGAAAAGAAGGATTTTGGCTCATCTTGCTGGTATTCGAAAAATTTTATGTATGCAGTTTAATCCTTTCCTTAGTCAGTTGGAAACTGATTTGACTACAAAGTATAATCTCATTCTTGATCAAGAAGAGATGTTTTGGTTGCAAAAATCTAGAAACACATGACTTAAGGAAGATGATAGGAATACAAATTTTTTTAATCTTTCTACTATTATTAGAAGGCACATGAATAAATTAGAAAGGTTGACTAATGATGCTGGAGAGTAGATTTCTGAAAAAGGAGGTATGAAACAAATTGTTATTCATTATTTTCAAGGGCTATTTAGTGAGCCTCCTTTATCTGATGAGTACTCTTTGTTTCCCCAGTGTTTTCCTCAGCTTGAGCTCTCTGATTGTACAAGGTTAAATGGTGAGGTTTCTGATGTGGAGATTCAAAGTAGTTTATTTGCTATTGGTGGGTTGAAAATGTTTGGCCCTCTTGGGTTTCCTGCCCTTTTTTATCAAAATTATTGGAACCTTTGCTCTAAGAATATCCTTTCTCTTGTCAAGGATTGTTTTGTCCGAGCTTATCTCCCTGAGCACCTTAATGGTACTTTAATTACTTTGGTTCCTAAGGTTGAACGGCCTCTTAATATGGCTCAACTTGGGCCTATTAGTTTATGTAATACTCTTTATAAAGTGGTTTATAAGATTTTAGTTTCTAGGCTTCGTCCTATTATAACTAAAATTGTTAGCCCCACTCGAGTCAGTTTTGTGTTAGGGAGACATATAGTTGATAATATTGTGATTGCTCAGGAGATGCTTCATAAGTTCAAGATTGCTAAAGGGGAAAAGGGTTTTATTGCTTGGAAAATTGATCTTTCTAAGGCCTGTGATCGTTTAAGTTAATCTTTTATTAGAGAGGTTCTTTGTGAATTTGGTATTAGGGGAAGAGTTTTGGAGCTCATCATGCATTGTATTAGTTCTGTGCAATATAAAGATATTTTAAATGGTGAGTTAACAACTGATTTCTCTCCTAAGTGTGTTATATGACAAAGAGACCAAAGTTGGAAGCTCTCCCATATAATTCAGCAGAAAATTCTTGACCAAAGTTGGAAGACTATGCAGATTTGTTTGTCTCTCATTTATTTTTTGCTGATGATTTGGTTTTGTTTGGGAAAGCCTCTATACAGCAGGCTTTGGTGATGAAGCAGTGTTTGGATTATTTTTGCTCCATTTCTAGTCAGAAGGTCAGTTTTGAAAATTTTATGGTTTGTGTGTCCCCTAACACTTGTCCTATTTTGGCTCAAAATATTATCTCTATTAGTGGTTCTCCTTTATGAGATAATCTTAGTATCTTGGAGTTCCTTTAATTCACACTAGAGTTACCAAAGATACTTATCAGGAAATTATTGATAAAGTCCAAAAACGACTCTCTTCTTGGAAAAGCCACACTTTTTCTATGGCTGGTAGGTTCACATTATTGCAATCAGTCACCTCTACTATTCCCATATATTATAAGCAAACTGCTATGTTGCCTGCTTCTATTTGTAACAAGTTGGATCAGTTAAATACGAATTTTCTTTGGGGGCATGCCTTTGATAAGGCAAAGGTGCGTCTTGTAAATTTGGAAACTGTGTGTAAGTCTAAGTGTGCTGGTGGTCTAGGAGTGAAGAAGGCTGCTTGGATGAATCAAGCTTTATTGGCTAAATCCAGTTAGAGACTTCTTCAGAATGACCAAGGGCTTTGGGCCAAAGTTCTTAAGGCTAAATATTTAAAGCACTGTGATATGCACCACTGATTTTGATTCCCTCGGAAAAGAGTCTCTAGGGCTCTAGAGAACTAGACGTTTTTTTTCTCTCACACCTTTCTCTTCTATTAATTCTAGTGGTAGGTACCACCGTTCACGATGGTGGCTCCAATGTTGGTATTCGTTTTTTCTGTTGGATCTAGTGGATCTAGTAAAGATGGAGTGTGTATTGTTGAGAAAAGAGCTTGTACCCATAAGTGTATGATGTTGGAGGTAGTGATGGTGAGGATTCTTCTCTTCCTGTGCCTCCTTTGCTGATGAGTTTTAAAGATAAGTTTTTTGGTGTATCTGGCATGCCTGAAGATAATCTGGTTATTGGTGATGGCGATTGTGTGGTTATGAATGGGGATATTCCTTCCATTAAATTCTCTAAGAAAATTAAGGAGTGTCTATATCGTCCTTGGAGAACTTCTATGATCATCAAGCTAATGGGTCGTCCGTTGACCTATAATTTTCTTCGTGCTTGGCTTCTTCAACCCTAAGCCCTAAAGGGCCCCTATGAGTTTGATTGATTTGGAGAACAATTATTTCATTGTTAAGTTTTTGCTTGAGGAGGATATGCAGTATGTAATTACAGGTGGCCCTTGGCAAATTGCTGCTCAGTACCTTGTGACTCAACAATGGAAGCTTGGGTTTAATCCAAAGGAGGAGTGTGTTACACACATGACGGCTTGGGTTAGAATCAATGGTCTCAATGTTGAGTATTTCCCATTTAATGTTATGGGGGAAATTGGCAATTTGATTGGTCATACTGTCAAGGTCGATCCTCTCACTATGAGCCAAGCTAGAGGTAAATTTGCATGAATTTGTTGTGAACATGATTTTTCGAAGCCTCTTATTCCTTTCATTGAAGTTGAGGGTCGATCTTATGGGGTTGTTTATGAAGGGATTGATAAGCCTATATTTTATATATATTTTATGCCTCATTTACTTATTTATTTGTTAATTTCCTTGGGTTAAATTGGTTGTTTAATTGGTTGTTTAATTGGTTTTGTGAGATTTGTGAAGGAATTATGAAATAGGAGAAAGTGTGCTAAAAAGGGCAAGAAGATGAAGATTGGAGATTAAATCAAGTCAAGAAGCCAAGTCATTCCTTCTGTCGCAAGGAATGTTGTCAAATTTCCTAGTTCAAGATATTTCAAGTCTTATCAAGTCAAACAAATAAAGAAGACCCTATTTTAGAAGGAATCCTACTTTTATAACAATTGTAATTATACCTTAGATAGGATTTCTAGGAGTCTTATAAATAGGAAGTCTAGGTCATTGTTCAATGGACGCGAGCACCCATCATCCTACATATTCATACTCATACCCGGAATATCCAAAGGAGACTACGAAGAAAGCTTGCACAACCTTGGCATTCTGCTTGGAGAATTCGGTGCCTTCCATGTCTTCATCAACTATCATGATTCTCAATAAGTCATTCATGAACTAATTCCTTTTACTAGGGCTACGATGTAGCCTAGCTATGAATACTCAAATTCTTTTATATTGTTAATTTTATTTATCTATACATGTTGAGTGCTTGTTACCGTTCTTAATGCTTTCAATTAATTGGCCACTAATTGCATGATTGGAAGAATTAGGTTGAGACCGGAAGGAGATTCCTAGTAAATAGCTTCTTGTAACAAGTACCATGAATTACATAGCCGACTCGGAAGACTAGGTTATGGTTTGTGTAATCTTTATTATTTTCCACAAATCTTAATGGGTTCTGAGCTATCTAAATCCATAACTAGGAATAGAGTGGGTTGATGGTAAGGAATACAACTAATATAACTCGGAAGAGAGTATTGGTGAGGTAAGGGAAAACGATTATCAACATGTTAGGTAATTAGAATTAACAAGCTAGAAGGATTTGGGTGGGATTAGCTAGGTGAAATCGGTGCCCTAGTGCTTTATCATCTTTGTTTTCATCTTTTACATTATTTCCTTAATCTCAATTTATTTTGTTTGCTTAATTAGATTTTAATCATCATAATTCTCTTTTCGTTTAATTCAAATATAATTAGAAATCAATCACTCTAGTATTTAATAGATTACTTGATCCCTGTTGGAACGATACTCTACTTACTACTATATTAATTTGAGCGATATTGTCCACTTGCAATTAATCACATCAGGGATTAAGTTGGTTTGCTCTCAATGTGGCTACTATAGGCATGGTAGGGATACTTGTCCTGTTATTTTGAAAGCCAAGGCTCAGGTTGCTGAAATTGGAAATGCTAAGGATATGGAGGTTAACACTCCTGCTAAGGATATGGAGGTTAACACTCCTGCTAAGGAGGATGATCTGGATGCTTTTGATCCCAAGAAGGTTGGTGAGGGGAACGTCATGGTAAGTGGATGTTGTTGTGGCAGAAGAATTTTAAGAAGAAGTTTCAGAAAGAGCAGGGACCTTTTAGTGTTAATTCTACTAAGGCTTCCCCTCAAATTGAAGAAGGTTTTAAGAATGCATATTCTAGCCCAATTAAGGTTTGCTGTTTTGGACAATGATGTTACTTAAGAGGCTGAAATTGCAGATGAGCAGATTGTGAATTCTTTTAAGTATGAGGTTAGTAAGCCTACAAAGAAAGTGGTTACCCCTACTAGTGATTTTGCTAAGTCTACTGGGAGTAACTGACTCAACGAGATATAAGGGATAGGGAGATCAAACAATAACCCTACAAGTAACAATGTCAGAATCCACCAACAAACTGGAATCCACCGGAGAAATTGAGTAAAACTCAAATATATTGATTGAAAATAAGATGAATAATCTTAGGATGCTCCAATGCATTCCTTTTATACAAGAGAAACCCTAGACTTGCTTTGAAAGCTAATGAGAAACCCTAGACTTGCTAAGAAAGCTAATTAAAAACAAAAAAGGAAAATAATAAAAGTTTCCCAAAATATTCTAAAAACTTTAAACATTGAAAAGTCAAAGTAAACGATAGAATTTGGCTAAAATACCCCATACATCACAACAAAGCAGTCAGTTGTATTTTTCACAACGTTCTCCTCGTAACTATAGGTCATGGGCCCGATTCTGAGCTCGGGTTCCATACTTGCATAGATTCGGCTTTGCTGGAGCGACGACGTGCGCACCTGTCAAGCTATTCCTCTCCAAAAATGGTGACTGAAAAATTGCATTTTTTTCCTCTCATTCTAGTCGCTTCACAACTAAAAATCCTGTCTAGAAAATCAGTGGGTTGTGTAGGGGCGGTGGAGAGGAGCGTTTTGCAAACTATGACATCAAGTTTGGTGGCCGGACGGTACAGGAATCATAGTCTAAAGCGGTGGTGTCGCGCTAGAGATACAGATAGGAGAGAGAGATAGAGAGAGAGAGAGAGAGGGAAACCAGATTTTTAAAACCCAACTTCAACAAATTTACGGTTGTGCCACTGCAATTCTATTGACCATAACTTCTTTGTTAAAACTCCAATTTGGGCCCACTAAGTGTCTACGGACTCATGAGAGCCAGCTCCACGCAATAGCGTAACTCAATTCCCCAAAATCCTTTCCAAATTAAAAGTGATCAATTTACCCTTACCCTTAAGGGTAAAAATGTAATTTCACAGTTAAATTTTTAATTTAATAATTATTTTAGACCGGGATGTTACATGTTCATCGACTTCATACAACTCCTTCAAGAACTCAAATCCCACAACCTCTTGAGCCATGGTAACTAGCATGTTTGCTCTTCAGCTCAAAGCATCTGCCACACAATTAAGGGTACCTGATTAATGTTTAATCACAAAAGGGAATTTTTGCAGGAAGGTACTCCACCTTATATGCATCTTGCTCACGGATTTCTGACTGTTGAGGAATTTCAGGGCTGGTGATTTGTATAGAGTACAAATTCTTGTTGCACCAAGTAGTGCTCCCACTATTTCAAAACACCAACCACTGCATAAAATTCTTGCTCGTAAGTACTCCATTTTTGGCGAGCTTCACTAAGTTTCTCACTGAAAAATGCCACTAGTTTCTTCTCTTGAGACAAAACTGCACCTACTCCTACCCCACTTGCATCACATTCGACCTTGAATATCTTCTAAAAGTTAGGAAGGGCTAGGACCGGGGCAATGCACAACTTGAGCTTAATGAGGGCAAAACTCTTATCTTACTCATCACCCCACTGGAACTTTCCTTGCTTCAAACACTCAGTGATGAGTGCAGTAATGGTGCTAAAATTAAGAACAAACCTTCAATAAAAGGTAGCCAACCCATGAAAGCTTCTCAACTCACTTACTGTTCAGTCCATAATAGCCCGCACCTTCTAGTCATCCACCTGAATGCCATCCTCACCAATAACATAATCTAGAAAGAGTAATTGGTGCAAAAATTACACTTTTTTAGGTTGATGAAAAGTTGGTTTTCCTCCAAGACTCAATTGACATGTTTCAAATTCTCCAAATGCTCTTCCTCGTTTTGACTATATATTAAAGGGTATACTAGTGATTTGCCCCCTGAACTTGTACCTAACTTTCAATTGACCCCCTATCCTTTTTTTTTATATAGAAAATTAAGGATATGAACTTCTTTTTTTCGCCAATTTCCCCCCTACCATCTAAATTCTCAACATTTCATTACATTTTCAGTTAAATCATTTTAAAAATTTATTATTTTGGAAAATATTGAAGAAAAAGAGTAAACCTAATGCCAAACCCTTCCATCTCCTCCCTTCCTCCTCCCATTCCCCCATGACCACCATCCTTTACTCCCAGACCAATCCCCCACCAACACAGACCCTTCCCCCCACCTTCCTCTTCTGTATTTTCATCCCCCAAACCCAATCCACCCCCCTCTCCTCTTGGTTCTTCTCCTCCCATTCCCCCATGACCACCACCCTCCACTACCAAACCAATCCCCCACCCCACAGACCCCTGCCCTCACTACCTCCCTTTTATTTTTTTTACCCCCTCCCCCTCGGTTTTTTTTCGTTTGTAAATCGGTTACAAAGAGAGAGAGAGAGAGAGAGAGAGAGAGAGAGAGTATTTTTTGAATTTTCTGGTTTTTACTTTTTTTTCATTTTTATTTATTTTTAATGTATAAAATGACCATTTTGGCCTCATATTTAACAGAAAATTGGATGAAATGTTGCAGCTTTAGACGATAGGGGGAAATTGGCGAAAAAAAGAAGTTCATATCCTTAATTTTCTATATAAAAAAAAAGGATAGGAGGTCAATCGAAAGTTAGGTACAAGTTCAAGGGGTAAATCACTAGTATACCCTAAATTAAAATATAATCAAAATACACCACAACAAAAGAACCAATAAAAGGACGAAGAACCTAGTTCATAAGATGCATAAAAGTGCTTGGCGCATTTGATAAACCAAAAGGCATCACCATCAACTCGTACAAGCCATCCTTGCTTTTGAACGTAGTTTTCCACTCATCACCCGGCTTGATGTGAATCTGAGGGTAACCACTTTGAAGGTTTTTCTTCGAAAACACCTTAGAACCCTCCAACACATCCATCACGTCTTCCAACCACGGTATTGGAAATCTGTATTTGACAGTAATTTTGTTGATTGCCCTACTATCAACACACATACGCCATGTGTTCTCTTTCTTAGGCACTAGCAATACTGGGACTGCACAAGGACACATGCGAGATATAAGGGGTAGGGAGATCGAACGATAACCCTACAAGTAACAATGTCAGAATTTACCAACAAACTGGAATCCACTAGAGAAATTGAGTAAACCTCAAATATATTGTTTGAAAATAAGATTAATAATCTTAAGATGCTCCAACGCATTCCTTTTATATAAGAGAAACCTTAGACTTACTTGGAAAGCTAATGAGAAACCCTAGACTTGCTTGGAAAGCTAATGAGAAACCCTAGACTTGCTTGGAAATCTAATGAGAAACCCTAGACCGGCTAGTGCAACTACATGCGCTCCTATCTAGTTGTTCCTCAATCAACTCGACCATATGTTCTAGATCAGTAACAGAAATGAGATTGGGAAGAGAAATTCTCTTGCTAAGGATTCTAAGGTGTGGGTTTTCAAAAAACCTTTGAAAGACATTACTAATGCTAAGTTGGAGAAAAGCAGTATTGTGGGTTTGAAGACTAGTTTTGAATCTAAGAACACTAGGAAAGCTAGATTTTGGCATAATAGTAGTAATTTGGCTTGTGCAAGATGATGTTCATGGCTTGTTCTCTTTTAATGTGGATGTTGCTTTTTCATCTGCGGATTTTCGGGGTGCTAATGTAGTGTTGCATGACCCTGAGCCTCCTGATATTGGTCAGATGGAGCTGAATGAGGGTGAGTCTCATTTGGTTACGTCTGGTGCTTCCAATGAGGATGAGCATGATTCAGTTGGTGATGCGGTTGGTTTGGCTGGTATGTTAATTGATTTTGATGTGCGACGATGTTGAGGCTAAGCAAAGGTTGTTTTTTATGAGGTTTTCCCTCTCTTAGTCCTCCTTTTACATATCATTTTTATGATAATTGTTTCTTGTAATATGAGAGGTGTTGGCAAGGTAAAGTGTGCCTATACCATTAGGGACTTAAAAAAGGGTTATTGTATTGATATTTTTGCTGTGCTTGAGCCTAGAATTGGTGGTTCTCGAGCTCTCTCTATTGCAAAGAGTTTGGGATTTTCTCATTATCATATTGTAGATCTCATTGGTTTTTCTAGGGTTGTGTGGCTACTTAGGAATGGAAGTTCTGTTTCTTTACAAGTTGTTGCGCATTTGAGTCAAACCATTACTGCTTTAGTCACTATGAATGCTAAACGGTGGTTGCTAATAATAGTTTATGCTAGTCCTTGTTCTAGTGTGAGAACTTCTCTTTGGAAGTATTTAGATGGGTTGGCTGCTATTTGTAATTTACCTTGGTTGTTGCTTGGTGATTTAAATAATATGGTTTGTGGTGAGGAAAAGCAAAGTGGTAATTTGGATGTTGGTGGTCAACATTTTATTGAGTGGATTGATCGGAATAATCTTGTTGGTTTGGGTTTTTCTGGCGCTAATTTTTCTTGGTGTAATAAAAGGGATGAAGATGATATTATTTAGAAACAGCTTGATAGAGGTCTTTCTAATATTGATCGGAGATTTTTGTTCTCTGAAGCTCACTTATCTCATCTACTAAGGGTGAATTCTGATCATTGTCCTATCATGGTTAAGTTTTTTTTCTAACCATCTTCCTGCTACAGAATCTATGCCTTTAAGATTCCAAGCAACGTGGTTAAGTCTGTAACATCCTGACCCAAAATAAAAGGATTTGTGAATTTAATTAATTGCTTAAAATTTTGAATTTCCAATTTTGCCCTCGGAGTAGGTGTAATTCAGTCACTTTTTTATTTGGAAGGATTTTGGGGCAGCGAGTGGTATTTTTACGTTGATCGTACTGAGATGAGTCTGTAGACACGTAGTGGGCTCGATTCGGAGTTGTAACGAAGAAATTACGATCAAAACAAGTTCAATGGCATAACCGTAATTTCTTCAAAGTTGGTTTTTAATAAATCTGAAAACTCTCTCTCTCTCTCTCTCTCTCTCCCCCCCTCCCTTTCTCTACCGTGCAAACAGCCCCCTCCCCCGACACTATTCATCCGCAGCTCTTCGAGGCACCACCGTCTCATCCGACCACCAAACTCGACAAGGTTGGTACAGAAAGAACCAGCGCGACGTAGCCTTCCCATCCCAATGCTTCGCCACCCCATCCGCCGCAGTTTCTCGCCGGAATTTGCTAAAATCCGGCCGGTTTTACCCATAACTTCACGGAGCTCGTTCGGGTGATTCCGGCGACCAAATTTTTCGAACTTAGTATGTTTTCTCAACCTCTCGAGCTGTTCTTGCTGCTAGTTGTTTTAGTTTTGAGAAATTTCTGCGTTTTGGTAGTCAAATAAGCGATAGAAGTTTTGGCCGGTTTCGGCCACCGATTCCGGCAACTTCCGGTCATTTTTCGGGGTTTGTCCAAGAACAAAAGTGACTCCAAATGGGGTTTTACACCTAGGGTAGGAAGCTTGGCCGGCGGTTTGGAGTTTTTCCGGCCGCCAGAAATTACTCAAGGCACCCACGCGCTGCCGGCGCATGCAGCGGCGCGTGGTCCAGATAATGGACTGGTATTATGTTCTAAAATGATCTCCTGGTCCTCAGAAGTGCGTAGGTACTTTCAGATTCCAATTTGGTTAACGTTTGAACCCCGAACGAATTTCTCCTATTGTGCGTTATCCGGGTTTGATAGGTTCGAACCGTTGGATTCGTCTTAAATGTAATATGTGTTGATCTAGGCACTCCTACGATTGTGTAGGAATTCGTGGATCGTGAATCGGAGCCCTGGATGTTTCGATTCAATACCTTAAAGTTTGCGTTTTACAATAACCGTTTGTGCGATCTTGAGCGATTCTACCGTCCGTTTCAGACCAAACTTGCAGGACGTGTATCCTAGACCTTGTGAAACATTTAGGAACTCCCGGATTGTAAAACATAGGTCGTGAGTCCCATGGGCCCAGTTGACCCAAATTGGGAAGTTTGACTGCCAGTTGACCGACTGTGTCCCGAGGATATTCCATCGTCTGAATTGGGTAGTTGGACCTTAGAACGTCTCATTCCTTGTGCACTTACTTGAAACCCAGGAAATTAGGATATTTAATTCAAAGTTCTCGTACGAAACGCTTTGTATTAATTTCATATTCATATTCTGAAATAGATACTCCGACCACGCATACGTAGCAGGCGAGACCCTCTCATGGTCAAGCAGCGTGGGACTACTTGTGAGTGGACTTTGTTTTCTAATAATAAGCATGGTTTTATGATGGAAAAATTATGCATAATGCATTTGTAATATATTTTGGGTTTTGAGATATTTGAGTATCTTGAGTATGTATATATGGATTTTGAGAAATTCTATCTATATTTGTCTATGTGTGGGGTACTTGGGTTGTTGAGATGAGGTGGTGGAAAGAAATGAGTATAGAATGTCAGTTTGGAGTGCTATAAGCACTACCCTATGTACCTCCTCGGATTTGGAACTTTGTAATTGAAATGGAAGATACTTGAATATGTTGGAACTCGAACGCTCTTGACAGGGTGTTCGTGGACCCTTAGCAGGGTAGTCTGCGCGCGTAGGACCGGTCACAGGCGCACGAGTCTTGAGGATTCGGCTATACGTTCTGGCTGAGAGCTTGTCCCCCCAGTTGGATGGCTCGTTCCCTAGCCACATGGTCAATTGAGGACTCTTCCATGTGGACTAGTCAAACAATCCCCAGTTGAATTGTTTCCCCGGTACAAACTAGGTAATTATCATATTTATATCATATATCTATATATATATATTCATTCGTTCTTGCTTCTCAATGAGGATACTTCCTCACTTGTCGTGCCAACGGGCATGTGTTTCGAGAGTTTAGTTTTGAGACTTATAAGATAAAGTTTGAATGGTTGATTGGTAAAGTTTACTTATGGATTTCGGACTTGGCTCCGATATTGATTTAACTTGATATATGTACTTGATTGTTTTGGGATGCATTTGGATTTCTTGCATGATTTTTTAAACGGTGGGGTTATATTATGTTGGTTTACATTGAACTGAACTTTATTTTTGTTCACTCACACTTTTCTGTTTTGTGCCCCCAGCCAGTAGTTGATTGAGCTCCGCAGCCGAGCCGGATCGTGTGCTTCCAAATCTTGAGCCTTTGTAGGACTCTTTCATCATTTAATTCCCTTTGAACTTTGTTTTTGTTGTAATCGAATTTCTTAGATATGCTATGATACCAAGCTGACAGGACTCGCTGCAAACGAAGAAGCACCACTCTGTGTCTGACCTTGTCCTCTGCTGCCTTGCCCCTGATGGGCCCCAGTCTCCTGTCTAGTAGAGCCATCATTTATAAGATGTGGGCACTCACTTTTATAATGCATTGTCTGTCCACAGTAGAAATAGGTCACTCCACTCCTGTGATTAGGGGCACTAGCCTGTCCACGCCTGAGGCAATCCCTCCTCATATGTCCCTCATGCCCACAGTTATGACAGGTGGAACTTGTTCGCCTCGAAGGATCTCTAGTTGTACTGGTCATAGATTGTTGTCCCAAGTGCTGGCTCCAAACCGGTGGAGAGCCAAACCTCCCATTGCCTAAGCTGGACCCACGTCCTCCAAACCAACCACTACCAGTATAACTAGAATTGGATCCACCCTTCTTTTATGGACCCTGACTCGGCCCATCAAAGCCTGATGAATCCCTACGACGCCTATCAATACATGCACCCAAACTGTACTTCTTGGTCACTCTATCCACTGCTTGAGCCAAGGTTTTCATGGTAGGATATGTGATGACAGTGACTACAGCCTGAATATCTAACCGTAGACCCTCTTCAAAGCGTGTACACTTGTCTTCCTCTGTGGTTACCAACTTAAGTGCAAACCTGGACAACTCATTAAATTTATGATCATATTCCAGTACGGACATTTATCCTTGCTTCAGATGCAAGAACTTAGACTTCTTCGTATTATTAAGAATGCGAGTACAACTGATCAAAGAATACCCTCTGAAACTTTTCCCAAGTAAGGACAGCAAGGTTAGCATACCTTCTGCGGACTGTCTTCCACCAGTGATAAGCATTCCCCTTCAGAAGGAAGGTGGCCAACCGAACCCTATCTCCATCAGGACACTGTAAAACCTCAAATATCTGCTCGACATTCGTAAGCCCTCAGTATTTCGTCTCCCTTGCAAGGCTGTAGATACGGTTCGGGTGAACTAGGTTAATAAATATCGTAGGTCAAGCTCATTCCTTCTAGCATGCTCTCCGACATGTGATGGTAGAGGTGGTGATGGAGGTGGAGAGAGTGGTGGAGATAGAGGTGGAGGATTTGCTCCGCATCTCAGAAAACAACCCCTCGTCCTAAGACGTCGAGGATGCATGATTCTACACAAGGGAAACCATAGAATCATTAGGTTCACTTTCCTCCTCTGACTTTTGCGCTTTTGTTGCATTATTGAAACTAATGATTCTATGGTTTCCCTTGTGTAGAATCATGCATCCTCGACGTCCTAGGACGAGGGGTCGTTTTCCGAGATGAGGAGCAAATCCTCCACCTCCATCACCATCTCCACTTGTTGAAGAGCATGCTGGAGGGAATGAGCTCGACCTACGACATTTATTATCTCAGTTCATTCGAACCATGTCTACGGCCTTGCAAGGGAGACGAAATACTGAGGGCTCTGATATAAAGGGGGTTAAATAAATGGGGGCAAAAGAGTTCCATGGTAGTTCAGATCCTGCTGAGGCCGATGCTTGGCTTACGGATGTCGAGCGGATATTTGAGGTTTTACAGTGCCTTGATGGAGATAGGGTTCGGTTGGCCACCTTCCTTCTAAAGGGGAATGCTTATCACTGGTGGAAGACAGTCCGCAGAGGGTATGCTAACCATGCTGCCCTTACTTGGGAAAAGTTTCAGAGGGTATTCTTTGATCAATTCTACCCGCGTTCTTACAAGAATGTGAAGAAGTCTGAGTTCTTGCATCTGAAGCAAGGACAAATGTCCATACTGGAATATGAGCATAAATTTAATGAGCTGTCCAGGTTTGCACCTGAGTTGGTAACCACAGAGGAAGACAAGTGTACACGCTTTGAAGAGGGTCTGTGGTTAGATATTCAGGCTGTGGTCACTGCCACCACATATCCTACCATGAGAGCCTTGGCCCAAGCAGCGGATAGAGTGGCCAAGAAGTACAGTTTGGATGCAGGTATTGGTAGGCGCTACAGGGATTCATCACGCTTTGGTGGGCTGAGTCGGGTTCCATCAAAGAGGGGTGGATCCAGTTTTAGTTTTGCTGGTAGTGGTTGGTCTGGAGGACGTGGGTCCAGTTCAGGCAGTGGGAGGTCTTGGCTCTTGACCAGTTTGGAGCCAGCACTTGGGACAGCAGACTATGGCCAATACAGCTAGAGATCCTTCGAGGCAGACGAGTTCCACCTGCCATAACTGTGGGCAGGAGGGATTGCCCCCAGACGTGGACAAGCTAGTGCCTCTAGTCACAGGAGTGGAGTGACCTGTTTCTACTGCGGACATACAGGGCACTATAAAAGTGAGTGCCCACATCTTACAGGTGATGGCTCTGCTAGACAGGAGACTGGGGCCCATCAGGGTTAGACACAGAGTGGTGCTTCTTCGTCTACAGCGAGTCCTGTCAAAGTCATCCTAGTTTGTTTGAGTTCATTTATGGTTTGTGGAATTCTGGTACAGGCCATGATGTTTAAAAGTTTGCAACATTGGAATAAACAGGTGTTTGGGTGACTTTTTCACTAGAAAAGAAGGATTTTGGCTCGTCTTGTTGGTATTCAAAAAAGCTTATGTGTGCAGTTTAATCCTTTCCATAGTCAGTTGGAAACTGATTTGACTATAGAGTATAATCTCATTCTTGGTCAAGAAGAGATGTTTTGGTTGCAAAAATCTAGAAACACCTAACTTAAGGAAGGTGATAGGAATAAAAAAAAATTTCATCTTTCTACTATTATTAGAAGGCACCGAAATAAATTAGAAGGGTTGACTAATGATGCTGGAGAGTGGATTTCTGAGAAAGGAGGTATGAAATAGATTGTTATTCATTATTTTCAAGGGCTATTTAGTGATCCTGCTTTATCTTATGAGTATTCTTTGTTTCCCCAGTATTTTCCTCAGCTTGAACTCTCTGATTATACAAGGTTAACTGGTGAGGTTTTTGATGTGGAGATTCAAAGTAGTTTATTTGCTATTGGTGGTTTGAAAACGCATGGCCCTCATGGGTTTCCTGCTCTTTTTTATCAAAAGTATTGGAATCTTTGCTCTAAGGATATTCTTTCTCTTGTTAAGGATTGTTTTGTCAGAGTTTATCTCCCTAAGCACCTTAATCATACTTTAATTACTTTGGTTCCTAAGGTTGAAAGGCCTCTTAATATGGCTCAACTAAGGCCTATTAGTTTATGTAATACTCTTTATAAAGTGTTTATAAGATTTTAGTTTCTAGGCTTCGTCCTATTATGACTAGAATTGTTAGCACCACTCAAGTCAATTTTGTGCTAGGTAGACATATAGTTGATAATATTGTGATTGCTCAAGAGATGCTTGATAAGTTCAAGATTGCTAAAGAACCAAAGGGTTTTATTACTTGGAAAATTGATCTTTCTTAGGCCTATGATCGTTTAAGTTTGTCTTTTATTAGACAGGTTTGTGAAATTGGTATTGGGGGAATAGTCTGGAGCTCATCATGCATTGTATTAGTTCTGTGCAGTATAAAGCTATTTTAAATGGTGAGTTAACAACTGATTTCTCTCCTAAGTGTGGTATACGACAAAGAGACCAAACTTGGAAGCTCTGCAGAAAATTATTGACCAAAGTTGAAAGACTATGCAGATTTGCCAAGGAGGGCCCTTTGTCTCTCATTTATTTTTTTATGATGATTTGGTTTTGTTTGAGAAAGCCTCTATAGAGCAAGCTTTCGTGATGAAGCTGTGTTTGGATGATTTTTGCTCCCTTTCTAGTCAGAAGGTCATTTTGAAAAGTTATGGTTTGTGTCTCCCCTAACACTTGTCCTGTTTTGGCTTAGAATATTACCTCTATTAATGGTTCTCCTTTATCTAATTATCTTGGAGTTCCTTTAGTTCACACTAGAGTTACCAAAGATACTTATCAGGAAATTATTGATAAAGTCCAAAAATAACTCTCTTCTTCGAAAAGCCACGCTTTGTCTATGGCTGGCAGGTTCACGTTATTGCAATTAGTCACCTCTGCTATTCCTATATATTCTATGCAAACTGCTATGTTGCCTGCTTCTGTTTGTAACAAGGTGGATCAGTTAAATAAGAATTTTCTTTAGGGCATGCCTTTGTTAAGGCAAAGGTGCATCTTGTGAATTGGGAAACTGTATGTAAGTCTAAGTGTGCTGGTGGTTTGGGAGTAAAGAAGGCTGCTTGTATGAATCAAGCGTTATTAGCTAAATCCAGTTGGAGAATTCTTTAGAATGACCAAGGTCTTTGGGCCAAAGTTCTTAAGGCTAAATATTTAAAGCACTGTGATATATTGTCTGCTAATGAGCATCAGTTTCATAGTTGCTCTAGCTGAACAAAGCTAAACGGATGCAATGTGTTTATGAAGTTTTACAAGCTGATACACATCATAGCACCTCCTAGTATATCTTGGTATTTGTATTACTTTTTTATGGTAAATTTATTTATGCGATGGGGTAAGACGCATGCATAGCTACACCACATAGACCTTCTTTTGCATAAACATCTCTTTGCATCCTCATGTACCCTTCTTCACCCCAATCCGTGCCCCATGAGTTTTTCAGCAACCAATATTTTGTGCCATCGTCACTGACGCCGTGACCAGTTGCGGTAACACAATGATCCATTTCTAGTCCACATGATCCTGCAAAGATTCCACTTGTATAGTATAGGAAATTGTTTTCTCCAGCATCAATGCAAATAGAAACAGGTTGGTTAGCAACAGCCTTAAGAAGGGCTTCCTCATTGCTTGCGGGCACATCTTCGTAGCCGGTTATATTGGTTGTGTGGGTAGCTTGGGTGTTGCATCTACCGTCAACACTTATGTAGTTGTAACTAGCCTCGAAGCTAAGGCCATTGTTTTGATTGATGAACTCAAAGGCACCGTCGAGCCAACCACCGCCACATCCTAGGTCTTCGCCATTGGTGTCACAATCAACCACCTCTTGCTCTGATAAAGAGATTAATTTACCAGCTGTGTAATTCCTTCAACGGTTGCCACTGCTGCAAAAGCCCAACACCTTCCCACACATATAAGTTTTGTTGCAATTAAATAGTATCCAGAACAAAAACAACTGAAAATATTCTGGAAGAAGAATAATTTCATCATATAAATAAAAATTAGAGGCTTACCACGTTGGCCTTGGTCCTTCATGGGTGTTACAGCTCCTTTGCTTCTCCAATCCATAGTAGCTAGTACTACTGTCACATTTTCATATTTGAAAGAAGTAGTCTTTGTGGAGTACTCACGCCCTCTGAATCCATTTCTTGATGCTTTCACTTCTTCATTTGTTTGGTCTGCAAATTGATTAGCACTTAATTTGTAAGATTTGTTTACATCGCTATTAGAGGATTCTATGTATGCCACATTCTTCTTGAATATCTCAAAACGCTTCTGCTTCTCATTAACATCATTGTATTCACGTCCATAACGAACCATCCATTGTTCATCTCTTTCGTACATTGATGCATCTTGGAGGTTACGAGAAGTGGCTTCACTAGACCAAGTCCCCAACATAAGGATCAAGACCAAACAAACACATCTCCACAACTGCTTAATGAACTCCATTGTATAACTAGTACTGGGAGAAGCTAGGATTTGGTAAAGTAAATGAAACCAAGTGCAATTTAAATAGTGATTTGATGACCTTACTATCTCGGAGTCCCTGAACAATATCTGCAATCTTATTTTGTCGCCCAGTAAAAGTTCTTATATGAACCCTGCTGTCAGATTAATAGTAAATAAATGGTTTCATACTATGTGCTGATAGACCCAAAGAGCACACGTCGAAAATGCGCGTGGTTTCTTCATTGTTTTCACAAATTCCTCAGTTTCTTTCAGGCAAATTTCTTTTGACTGTGAGTCCGCTACTGACAATCCTTTTTTGTGGGTGATTGTAAAAACCAAAAAAGGGGCTAAGACGCACTCTGTAAGTTCTCAAATTGGCATTGGTATGCCCTGGCCCTGGGATGTGGTAGCCTTCCCTTACCCTAAATTTTTCTGAATAGAAAGAAAATACTATGTGCTAACTTATTTGGTCGGCCAGAAAATTTAAGTTCTGATATGACCCGTACTGGCAGAAGATTGTAAATAATGATTTGAAGGACAATATATGTAGTACAAGTCCAAGATGCTCTAATGGCCAAAACGCTAAAAACAAAAAAAAGTACTTACGTTGTTCAATTGGCTATTTCTCTTCTCTAATAACTCGGAGGGAACTGTTAAATAAGCAATAAGTATTTTATTGCACCGAAAATTAAGTTCAGGAAGTGTAGGCGAGGGAATGGGTTAGGATTAGGTTAGGGTTCAACTATGAAATGTTTAGTGAGTGCAGCAGTGTTCATAAATGTTTTAAAATTAAGTTTACCTAAGTTTTCTTACAGCCACAGTACATATCTTATAAAGTATTTTGCACATACAAGTACATATTATAGTACTTACAAACCATATAGTAGGCATTGGTTTAATTTTTTTTTTTTTTTTTTTTTTTTTTTTTTTTTTTTTTTTTTTTTTTTTTTTTTTTTTTTTTTTTTTTTTTTTTTTTTTTTTTTTTTTTTTTTTTTTTTTTTTTTTTTTTTTTTTTTTTTTTTTTTTTTTTTTTTTTTTTTTTTTTTTTTTTTTTTTTTTTTTTTTTTTTTTTTTTTTTTTTTTTTTTTTTTTTTTTTTTTTTTTTTTTTTTTTTTTTTTTTTTTTTTTTTTTTTTTTTTTTTTTTTTTTTTTTTTTTTTTTTTTTTTTTTTTTTTTTTTTTTTTTTTTTTTTTTTTTTTTTTTTTTTTTTTTTTTTTTTTTTTTTTTTTTTTTTTTTTTTTTTTTTTTTTTTTTTTTTTTTTTTTTTTTTTTTTTTTTTTTTTTTTTTTTTCCCCAAGAGAGGCATTGATGGCCCGCTTCATGCAAAGCCACATGTCCATCGAAGCCTGCAGAACAACGAGCACGTTAGCAAAGATACAAATACGATCGGTAAACCTGGATCTGACAGTGTTCTAGACTTACCGATGCCTGAAGACGGAAGGCGCGACCCGCCTCCTCCCGAAGGAGCCTCTTCGGCAGCTCCTCGATCTCGCTCAGCTCCATTGGCGAGCCAAGGATCATGTGGTTCGCGAACTGGACCGTCTTCGACGGACAGGCCAGAGTGACGGGATCGGCAGGCTCCTCGTCATTTTCGGCAGCAAAGGTAGCCCGGGTTGGCTCGGCATGCCGTCCGCGTTTTGGGGCTGGTTCGGCATCTAGATCGACGGTGAAGGGCCGTTTGCCGGCCGCTCGGGAGAAAGCCCCTTCGGTGGTGGAGCCTCGGCGGGGAGAAGGGTCGGCTGCTGTCGCTCTGGTCTGTGCCGATTCGGCGTTAAGCTCACGAAGGCGCTCGGCCAGCGTCTGGTCCTCAGGGTCCACCGATGCCGAGCCCTGCGGCTGGGTTTTCTTCTTCTTCCCCTGGAAGCCCATCATGAGACGGCGTTTGGAGGATTCGTTCATCCTCTTGGCCTCGGCAGCTCTCCTGTCTTCCGTCACTGCGAGAAAAGGGTTCGGTAAGACCCGCAACGGAAAAGAAGAAACAATTTTTATAACACCAAGTATACTTACTCTCGGCAGGATCGACCAGCTGGGCTCGGATCAGATTGGTGGTGAAGAGGAACTGCGGATATACCCTCTCCTCGGCAGGGACTTTCCTCCTCACCCTCTCCACTTGCTGAATCTCGGCCTGAGTTGCGATCGGCTGCTTCAGCTTACCTACAAAAAGAAGAGCAAAGAGGGGTTACTCACGGTAAAACGTATAACTGAGGTAAGGTACCGAACGGCACGTGGTCCTACCGGCCATTTTGAAGGTTGTGGGAATGCGAAATCGGACGGGCTGTCCCGAAGGCGACTCCCAGTCGCCCGAGAGGAGCACCCGCCGATTCCTCCACGACTTCTGTGAAGTCGGTACCCAGCTAACGAAATGGCCTCGATCGGCAGCCCTGAGGCAGTTCGCCTGCACCCATCCGCCATGATCGGCACACTTGGACTTGGTGACGCTGTACAGATGGGAGAACTGCTCGTAGGAAGGGCTCCCTTCGCCAGCCATACCGAAGGCCGTTATGACTCCCATGAGAGCCACCCAGAAGTTGGGGTTGAATTGCCCCGGGGCATAGCCGATCTGGGCTAGGATCCTCTGCACCGCCGGCTGCAACGGCAACCGAACGCCTTGCACAAGGACGTCGGTAAAGAAAACTACTTCGCCGTCCTTCGGCGCGCTAAGGGATTCGGTAGGGCCCGGGATCCTCATCCGTACCGAGTCAGGAATGCGGTACTCTACTCGAAGCTTGGCAATCTCCCGATCGGTAATCTTGTTCGGCCCAAGATAGTCCACGCCGAATAGGTTTTCCTTCGGCACCCCCATGGGCACCCTAGGGTTGCTTGGGTACACCACCGATACCCTGGGTCCAGATGGCGGCCTGACTACCGACTCTCCACGCCCAGAAGTGGAGGGTTCCGATTGACGGCTACCGCTCGCCTCCCCGGGCATACCGAGGCCCACGTGGCGGCCGTCACTGTAGACAATGGACAATGGGACGGGAGCGGTCATTAGCCCCTTCCGACTCCGTGTGTTGGAATGAAGCTGGGCCCTTCGCCGAGTATCTCGACGTCGGTATCACTCCCGCCCTCGGCATCAGGCCCTGCCGCTTCACCGTCGGAGTCAAAGAGACCGTCCGATGACTCCTCGTCGAACGCGTTGGGCTCGCGCTCGGAATATGACTCGCTATCAGACATCTACAAAAACAGGAACAAGGGAAACTAAGGCTCATGCCGGATGCTAACCTACCGATTCCTGCATCGCTACCTATGGCGACTAGACTACCGAATGGAACCCTATGGTCAGTCTAGTTTGAACCAAGGAAGGACGTAACCCTAAAAACATGTAAAGAGAAGGGTGCCGAACGGTACCTTAAGGTGTGCTTGGGAAGATGGGCACGATCTGCTCTTCAGGATGCTTCACTGCCGTCCGCAACGCCGGAAATCGCCTTGCTACCAATAACACTCACCGGAAATCGCCTGTCTACCGAAAGCTCTCGTCGGAAATCGCCTCAGACATAGCTCTCACTTCTCACTAGATGCAAAGTGAGTGCGCCTCCGGGGTCATCTCTATTTATAGGGGAAGTGGCTGGCAACGGTACTCTCGAAAAACCAAACGGCGCATTAATGCGCCGCGCGCCATCATTACTTTCGCCACGTGTCACTCACCCAATGGAGAACTGACGGCACGCGAGGCGCGGAAGTCGAAGCGCTCAGACGTCTCTTCGCCCATCAGATCGACGCGACCTTCTGACTTCACCAACGTCAGCCTCTGAGCTGGTCATGCCGGAAGGAACAAGGTTTTGCCCCTCCCCCAGTGGGGTTACCGAACGGTAAGGCCGTGTTTCCTCCCGAGGACGAATTCAAATCCCCTTCCGAAGACTCTCGCAAGGGGACTTGGGGGACTCCTGTTTATACCAAAATGAACACCCAATGAACATCAACCACGTGGACTATGCCAGGGCTACGTGTGCCTTCGGCACTCACCTTCGGTACTTACCTACCGATCACAACATTAGGGCAACCTTGCCCACTCTGGCACGTGGCAGCTCCACGATTGACGCCCAGAGTCCCACATCGAAACTCTAAACAAATTGCACACCTCCCAAGGCCTATAAAAGAGGACACCTATCCCAGCCTGAAGGTAATCAATCAGAACTTACGGCATACTGCCTATTGATCTGCAGTTAAAACTTACTAAATCCGTACTTACTTAAGCATCGGAGAGCCTTCGGCCGGTACCACACCGGTGCCCTAGGATTTACCGTGTGTTTGCTATCTTACAGATCGCACACCCTACCGAGGACATCAGATACCGAAGAGACTTAATCACTAAGTTGCGCGGGAAAGTGCAGAACCATTTTTCTGCGTCAACAGTTTTGATCTTTTTTTCTTAAGTATGGTTTCCAAAATTTAAGAACTAGTAGACTAACATAAGCAAGAAGTGCCTAGCTCAGGAGGAAAGAGCTAGCTTTCTTTCCTGTCCATAGGGATCCAAAGGACACGTAACCGGGAGCGAGCCAGATTATAAAGAAAGTGAAAGAGGTAGCCAAAAAGCCGTATAGTGCAGGAGGCAGATTTTCTAAAAAAGCGGTTGATTACATGGATTGGTTCTCGCATCCCTATGCCCAAAAGGATGGGCGAGTTCGGTTCAAGTGTTCATTGATTGGGTGCGCGGGGGGGGCGGCGGCGGGCACAGCCTGTGGGGTGAGACGCGAGGTGTAGCGCAGTTTGGTCAGCGCATCTGTTTTGGGTACAAAGGGCCATAGGTTCGAATCCTGTGACCTTGATGTGGCGATAGAAATAATGTCCGAGAAATTACACGGTTAAGGTATTGGGTCGAATGTCCTTTTTTTCTTGCACCACGTAAAGACGTTACTAATCCACACATATTGTAATACACGTTATTTATCTATACTATACACTCCATAGCATATGAACCTTATGTTACACATGCCACTATATTATATCCTAAAAGTTCCTATAACATGCTATCATCTAACAGAAATGCATATTCAACTCATATATTTTAATAAATGAAACATTATTTGGTGAACAAAGTTTGGTACCATAGATCGCTCATAATTAATAATCCCGCTAAACATATATAAATATATATATATATATAATTATGGTTTTGATCTTTTTATCGGAAGCACAAAAGGAAAGCTTTGCAGATTCTGGGATTAAACTTGAGTTGTGGGATATATATAGAGATCTTTCCCCTCTCCGACCGGGTAATTTAGTTTCCACCCAATTCGGGAATATCCAATAATCTGCTTCATTATTTGGAATTTAATTAACTTTGAAACAGTTTTATCTTTAGTAGCTTTTATATTTGATTTCTAAGCAGAAACTCTCATAGCTAAGCTAGCCCAAAATTTAAGATCTTATTCAAACTTTACAATTTTCTTTATTTATTTATTAATGTGAAGGCTTTTAATGGACAGAATAATATTCTTGTTTTAATAAGTGGGTATTAGAGTCCTCATAGTTTTGGCGTTTAGCAAGTAACTTACCGTGGCATCAAAAGAGCTATAAATCTTGCAAGTCAACATCATAATAGCAGATTAATTTGTAGGGCACGACACAAAGATGTAAAGAAAGGCCATTATGTTCTCTATATAATTAAACTACTGCAAAGCAGTCTAGTATTTCAGTACACCTGCTCATTGATTCATTTACCTTATCAAATCCTAGCTGCTTTAGCACTAGCTTCAATGGAATCGATTAACAACCAGCTGTGCAATTATCTATATGTTTCGGCTTGATCCTCTTGACGGGTGCTTGGTCTTGTGAAGCCACTTTTTTCAGTCTCCAAGATGCATCAATGGGTGGGAGATATGAGCAATGGCTTGCTCGTTATGGCCGCGTATATAACGAGAAGCGATTCAATATATTTAAAGAAAACATAGCGTTTATCAAATCTTCCAATAACGATGCGAAGAAATCTTACAAATTGAGCATCAATTGCAGACCTTACAAATGAAGAATTCAAAGCCTTAATAATAGATTCAAGGGGCATGAATGTTCCACAAAGAAGACTTCTTTCAAATACGAAAATGTTACAGCAGCAGTCCCGGCTTCAATGGACTGGAGAAAGAAAGGAGTTGTGACTCCTATCTAGGACCAAGGCCAATGTCGTAATTAAGCGTCTAGCTAAGTTTATTAATTTAAAGAAACACTGGATAGTCTTCTTTTGGAGCTTATTAAATTGTTTATGTTATTCTAACTACTGCTAATTGCAATCAAAATACAGGATGGTGTTGGGCTTTTTCGGCAGTGGCAGCCACCACTACTCACTACTACGTTTTACCCTTTGCGCAACGATATTTTGCACGACAAACAGTTATTCGTCACACAAGAAATCCTTGCGCAATGAAAAAATGCATGCATAGCACAAACTATCGCTACACTTGCGCGACGACACATATTGTCATGCAAAATTACTTACCGCGACAGTACTGGTTATCGTCGCGTAAAGTTAGCAGGAAAAACCGGGGTTATTTTATTTGGCGCCAAAAACTTGCGCAACGAAACTTATCGTCGCGAAAGAAAACTTAGCGTGAAAATACGCATTATCGTCGATTAAAGTTTGCAAGGAAAACACGGGTTGCTATTATTTGGCGCCAAACACTTGCGCGACGATACATATCGTCGTGAAAGAAAACTTAGCACAACAAAACATGTTATCGTCGCGCAAGAAAACGCAGGGATATTTTATTTGGGGTGAAAAACTTGCGCGACGACAATTAGTTGCACGACGAAAGTTGTTTCGTCGCGTAAAGTAAGATATGGGCATGTAACAGCGCGATGAAAAAGTGTAATTTGCGCGATGAAAAAGGAGCATTAGCGCGACGACAATTAGTTGCGCGACGAAGGTTTTCTCGTCACGTATAGTAGGATGTCGGCACATACCAGCACGACGAAAAGTGTAATTTGCGCGATGAAAATGGCCAATTGTGTGTCGAATATGAGTTTTTGCACTGACGAATGTGAACTTTTGCACGACACAAGTTTGTGCGATGAAACCCCCTTTCATCGTGAAAATCCTTCGTGAAATATATAATCTGTATTCAGTTATTGCAGAGGCAATCTGTAAAAAAATTGCAGATTGCCTCTGCCTCTTCCTCCCTCTCTATGCTAGGAATTCATTACGTTCATTGGGTAAGTATTTTTTGTCGTTAGTTTAAAAGTATTAATGTAAATTTACACTAACGCCATTAATGTCGTTGTCTATAGGGATATTATTTGTGATTAGCAATTGGTGGAGATTTGAGAAGGTATTTTTCTTCGTTTCATATTTTAAAAATGTAAAATTAATTACATTATGTTAAACTTTGTTTGTTGTGTTTATATTGTTTTGTGAAATTATATTTATATTATGTTGTTAAATTGTGCGTGACGTAGCACAATGTGTGTGTAATTCATACTTTTTATTTTTTATTTTTAGTAAAACTTAGTTTCCCGTTCGAGATTAGTTGGATTTCGTGCATGGATGCGAAAGCATGACTGCGGTTCAATTAATTCTTGAATTGTCCCATTATTTGGATAGTTTGGGAATGCATAGTCATGTCACGTAATTTACGGCTACTGGATTAGGTTTCGGTGTCATCTCTGTACATTCTTCGGGTGGTACATAGGTATTTTGTACCTACGGTACACCTTAAGAACTGTATCGAGATGGTGCCGAAATTCATCCACGCTGAAATTTAATCTCATGTAGCCGTAAATTACGTGACATGACTATGCTATTCCATCCCGAATGGGATAGGGCCCTTACCGGAGGCATAAGGTGACATTATGATTTGTAAGAAGTTGTTGTGATTGTGGTTCCAGGAATTATGAGCACGAGGTGGATACAGAAGAACCCGAATAGATGCGCAGACGAATACTTAGATGAAATCGAGGATTTTATTGACTTCGCACGTACACACAACCCGGGTGCAACTAGAATCCGGTGTCCTTGTAGGAGCTGTAACAACACGTTGTGGGAGACAATTGAAAATGTTCTATTTCATTTAGTAAGGAATGGAATGATTGAGACATATAGCACTTGGAACCATCACAGGGAACAATTAGCCACAAGAGTGGACAATGTTGAACCTATTGTGGATCCTAATGAACAAGTCATGGATATTATAAATGATGCTTTTCCATTTGCATCAAACAACATCAATTAGGAAGGGAAAGATGACGTGAACAATATGAAAACTGTTAAAAAATGCCAACCAAGAGTTATACCCGGAGTGCGAGAGCTTTTCTATTCTCACGGCCATTGTGGAGCTAATGCACGGAAAAATAAAGTATCGTATGTCAAACCTGTATTTCAATTTTTGGGGGTTTTGAAGAGAATGCTTCCGACGGACAGTTGTTTGCCGAAAGACCATAGACAAGCACAAAAGGTGTTGAATGGTCTTGGATTAGGTTATGAAAAAATTCACGCTTGCAAAAACAATTGCATGTTATTCTACAAAGAGTATGAAACATGGGATACATGCCCTATATGCAATGAGTCGAGGTTCAAAATGACATCTCAGAATAGAATGACTAAGATCCCACAAAAAGTCATGCGTTATCTGCCCCTGAAACCTAGGTTCCAGCGATTGTATATGTCGACGCATACTGCCACATACATGAGATGGCATAAGGAAAAACGGGTAGACGACGATGTGATGCGACATCCTGCAGATGAGGAGGCATGGAAAGAGTTCGATCGAATGTTCCCCGAGTTTGCTGCTAATCCCCGAAATGTTAGATTGGGACTTGCCACTGATGGATTCAATCCGTACCAGGTTCTAAACCAACACCATAGCACTTAGCCGATTTTCGTATTCCCATATAATTTGCCGCCTTGGAAATGCATTAAAAAAGAATACATGATGATGACTGTTTTGATAACTAAGGATCCTGGCAAGTCAATCGATGTTTACTCAAGGCCCTTGGTTGATGAGCTCAAGGATTTATGGACAAACGGCGTGCGCATGTACGATAAATCCACTGGAAAGATGTTCACTTTGCGAGCAGCAGTTATGTGGACTGTGAATGATTTTCCCTTATATGCAATGGTTTCTGGGTGGAGCACAAAAGGTTATATGACATGCCCCATATGCAAGGAAGATGTAACTTCTAGTTGGCACACTGGAAACGTTTGTTACCTTGGTCATCGGAGATGGTTGCCATGGGACCACGAGTGGTGGGAAAATGATAAAGAGTTCGACAGGAACACAGAGCGTGGCCTCAGACCTAGAGAATGGTCCGGTGATGAGATCTTGGAACAGCTTAACCGTTTGGATTTTGCTTCGTTCGGGAAAACAGTTAGTCGAACCAGACCTTCTATACATTTGAACTGGATGCACAAGCCTATGTTTTTTGAGCTCCCATATTGGTCAAAACTAAAATTGAGGCACAATCTTGACGTTATGCATGTTGAGAAAAATGTCTTTGACACATTGATGGGCATGATTCTAGATATCGAGGGCAAAACAAAGGACACGATCAAAGCTCGTCTTAATTTGTAAAGAATGGGCATACAAAGAGGTTTATGGATGAACAAGGATAGTGATAAAGCTAGAAGGGATCTTGCATTTTTTTCCATGAAACCGAATGACAAAAAAGTTTTTCTAAAGTTTGTATCATCTGTAAAGTTTCCCAATGGGTATGCTTCTAATATCGTGCGTTTTGTGAATGTTGATGGGGGTAAATTTTCTAGACTAAAGAGCCATGACTGCAATGTGTTTGTGCAACGCCTACTTCTTGTGGGTATTTGACGCCTATTGTCGGAAGATGTAGTGAAACCAATCATGTTGTCCATATTTTTTTCCCAACTGACAACAAAAACGTTGCGAAAGACAGACATTAATCAGTTGCTCCATGACATTGTCCAAGTCCTATGAAAGTTTGAGATGATATTCCCTCCAGCTTTCTTCACAAGTATGATCCACGTGATGGTTCGCTTGCCAGGAGAGGCATTGCTTGCTAGTCCTGTCAACTATTGCTAGATGTATCCAATAGAAAGGTATATAATCCTCATAATAAATTTATGTATCCTTATCCCACGCTGCTCATTTGTATCATATTGTTTTATTTTGGCAGGCTTCTCGGAGAGTTGAAAAAAATGTACGCAACAGGGCGAAGCCCGAAGGATTAATTATAGAGGCTTGGGTTCAATATGAGTCGCTTACTTTTTGTGAAATTTATTTAAAAGATGCGGAGACGGTTTTCAATCGTCCTCAGCGCAATAATGACAGAGGTGTGAGAAATGAGAAACTTTATGTTTTTGCCCAAGGAGCATGACCCTTTGGAGATCCTGCACGAGGAGAGTCGTTTTCCATAAATGACATGGAGGTAGCGCATTGGTTCGTACAGAACAATTATGATGAGATAATGGCATACTTAGATGAGCATAAAGAGATGATGAAGCGAGAACATCCATCATATTTGTATGCCAAGAAACACCGTGAATTGTTTCCACAATGATTTTGGAATATGTCAATTATAAGTGTTTTTTATTTGACATATATATTGTAGCATTTAATTTTCTCAAATTAACATGTGAATGTTTTTGTATAATATTAGGTGAATAAGTTGAAATCATTGAATTCCCCCACTTACAGTGAAGAGTTATATAACTTGGCTTTTGGCCCGACTCACGTTGAATTGTTGTCGGGTTGCCATGTTAACAGCGTCAAGTTTTTGGGGACTGCATGAGATGACAAGTTGTGTACGCGTCGTGCAATTGCTTTACAAAGACCGATACCAAGTGATCATGTTTAAGTGTAAATGGTTTGATACAAACCCAAATAGGCAGGAAAGTGTTAAAATCGACCATGTCTTACTATCTGTGAACATTAATAGAACTTGGTATGATGACGACCCTTACACTTTGGCAAACATGGCAACACAGATTGTGTATCTAGATGGCCCTAAGGCCGGAAGCGGTTGGAAAGTTGTTCAGAAGATGGATCAGAGGAACATGTATGCTATACCAGAACTAGACCCAACTGACAAAGATGTCGACAACGTCGCTGACCAACGTTTAGAATTTTCAATGGAAAATGATGCAGAAACTCTTCGAGATACAAATATTATACAAGAACCGTTTTAGATACAAGGAGTGTCTTCAATCGAAATACCGATTCAGTCAATTACAATTGACCTCGATGATCTTCCGTGATACGATGTTGCAGTGGGCCCAAACAACGACGATGATGTAGTTATAGAGGAGGAGGATTGGGAGACCGAAAGTGATGATAGTGACGATAACGAAAGTTATTATAGTTCAGATGACGAATAATGCAATTTATTTTGACTTGCCATGTAAAACATAGTAAATGAAATTTTTTGTAATTTAATTATGTTAGTGTAAAGATTTTGGCAAATATGCTTGTTTGAATATATGTACTTGTTATATCCAAACCTTATATATGTGGAAAAATGAAACATTGTTAAATAAATTGAGCTATAAAAGAAAATGAGAAATGAAAATAAATTGAGCTATAAAACATTGTTAAATAAATATATCCAAACCCTTTTGGTAATATTTTTGAAAATTGTTTTTAGAGAAAATTTTCAAAAAAAGGAAAATGAGAAACGAACCTTAACATTCCCTTAGCAAAATAAAAGGGAAAAAAAATTGAAAATGAGAAACAAACCTTACATTCTCGTCGCGTATATTTGTAATTTTGTTCAACGAATACATTCTCGTCGCGTAAAGTTGCAATTTTGCGCAATCACTTTATTTATCGCTGCGTGAAGTTGTAATTTCGCTGGACGACTATAGTTCTCGTTGCATAAAGTTGTAATTTTATAATAATATACGTGTATATATCTATATGTATTTATATATATATATTATATATGCGTATATGTGTATATATATACATGTTTATGTGCATATACGTGTATATATGTACATTATAGTATATGTGTATGTAATAATAATAATAATATATGTGTAATATATGTATATATATGTGTAGTATATGTGTATATACAGTATACATGTGTAGTATATGTATATATATAGTATATGTGTAGTATATGTACATATATCCACTACTAGAAAACTTTGTCATAGGCCACTGATAAACTCGTGGCCTATACTAATGTTAACCACAATCTATCTATGATAAAAGGGACTTGGCCATGGGTTGACCACAGATCACATAATTGTGGTCCAAGTACTTGCAGACTTTTTAATATGATTCATCAGTAATTTTTATAATCATTCTTTAAAAATAAAATAAAAACTTTGAGCGACGCCAAGTATTCCTATGTCGTGCAACATAACTTTGAGTGACGCCTAGGCATCCTATGTCGCACATTGTTATAATTTTCGAGGGTTTAGGGTTTAGGGTTCGCGCGACGCCAATATATTTTTACCTCATGCAAGTTGGCGAAAATTTTGGCTGAATTACTACCTTCGTCGTCGTGCAAGGTGGCGAAATTTTGGACGAATTATTACCTTGTGCGACGGTTTAATTTTGTCTTCGCGCAAGTTGGGGAAAATTTTGGCGGAATTAATACCTTGCTCGCCGTCAACTTTTTTTACGTCGCGCAATCTGACCTTGCACGATGGTTTACTTTCGTCATTGCGCAAGTTCGAGAAATTTTTTTGAAAAAAACACGTAAGTACAGAACTCTCACTTCCTCTCTCTCCTTCGACCCCCTCCCTCCATAACCACCACATCCATCCACCTCAACCCATGAAACCAACACAGGACCCGGCCGCCACCACCTCTTAGTTCCTCTCTCTCCTTCGACCCCTCCCCCTCCCTCTCCCGATACTCCCTCCCTCCATAACCACCACATCCAACCACGTCAACCCATGAAACCGGCGCAAGAAGGACCGGGCTGCCACCACCTTCGAACTCCACCCATTTTCCCGCCGTCACTGTCACGCCTGCTGCAGGAAACCGCCCGAAATTGGGCCGATATTAACAGATTTTAGCGAGCCTCGTTCTCTCTCCTCCGGCCACCAGACCGGACGTGTGACGTATGGTTTCTCGACTATTTTTCGTGCTCTAGCTGATGGTTGGGTAGTATTTTATCGATTTCTAGTTTTGGTATCTCGATTTTTAACCCTAAGTTTGGCCGGATTTTGAATTGAAATTTTGGCCACTTCCAACCATTTTTCAAGGTAGGTCCAAAAACAAAAGTGGCTCCAATTGATGTTCTAAACCCAGGGTAGGAAGCTTGGCCCTTAATTTTGAGAATTTTCCAGTGATCATTATCGCTTTGGACACCTACGCGCTATCGGAGAGTGTGGCGGCACGTGGGTACTGTAACAGAGGGGCATTGTGTCCCAGTGCGATCCCCTAGTTGTCACGAGCGCGTGGGTGTACTCTGATTTCAATTTGGTTACCGTTTGAGTCTCGAACGGATTTCGCCTATTGTGCTTAGATGATATATGCTTAGATTATATCTTGGTAAATTGGATTAATTTTTATGTTTATTAGTTAATGAAGATTCTTATATATTTTTGTTTTATTAGTTTTTGGGATTTTTATTTTTATTTTATTAGACGTTGGCCCCATTAAAAAAAATTAAATAAATCTTTAAATCGTGTTACACCACATATTAGAGTAACTATGGTTTTAACTTTGGATGCTTGTTCAATTGTGCAGATGTCAAACCTTATTAGAAGTTGTAAGGTAGTGACGACTGCACAGAGTTCGCCTCCCCCAGCTCAGCCGTCATTAGCGTCATCAATGGAGCAACCTGTTAGCGCCAAGCGTCGTCACCGCCCCGCCAGCACCACCTACACAACATCGACAGACGCTACTGGTGCGTCGAGGTCACAACCAGGTAAAGATTTCCTTGAACTCTAGCAGTTTTGGATCAATATTTTAGTAGGATTTGTTATTTAATGTTAATTTATATTTCTTTGCATCCAAGAAGAACACCCGAGGGCCTTGTCGCCAGTTGAAGACAGCGAAGGTCACCGGGTGACCAACAGTCGTATCAACATCGGAAACGATGAGCGGCATTGGCCTTGCATAGCTCATTGGCCCACGACATTGGTCACGTCGTTCGGACCCATTGCCCGATGAAATAGAAGTCTTGGAAGGTCATTGCAGACGAACTACAATTTAGAGGACCTTGACGAGGAGTCGTTGGCATACGTCAATAGACTCTTTGCTGAGAGGTACAAGCAGTGGAAGAGCAACTTGCACCACCATTTTTAGGGATTTGATGATCCACAGGTCGTTCTTTAGGAGGGTTGCTCGAAGGGGTTTGAGGGATGGGAGGATAGTTGGGTGTGGTTCTGCGATGTTTATGTTCGACCTTGAAATTTCGGCAGAGTGTCCCCTGAAATACGGACTTTCCCAACAATTTTAAACATGTTAAAACACACACTACTACAAAATAGTTAAACCATGACACAAAATAGATGACAGTGCATCTTAAAACCGTCGTTATGTTTCAAAAGACAACAGTGTTTTTAAAACCGTCATGATATATCATCTTATACACTACTAGCGTTAGATTGATTTTTAAAAGATGACGCTTGTCACTAACAAGCATCGTCTTTTAAAACACGCTGAACAAAAAAAAGGCCACTTGATTTTTAAAAGACGACGCTTGTCACTAACAAGCGTCATCTTTTAAAACATGATAAAAAAGGCCGCTTAAGTGAATTCGCGCTCCACAAATTTTCAGATTTTCCCCGTCTCTGAAAACCTTATATCTCCCTCCTTGAAACCCTCCTCATCTCTCTGAAACACCCTCATGAAACTCTCTACAAAATCATCAGAAAATCGATATCAATGAAGGACTTGAGAGATTCAAGTCTTCACAGATCCACAAAATGGAGAGGGAGGTTTTGTATCTGAGAATCAAAGCTGGTTGGATGGTGAAGATCTCGATCTCCACGCTCTTTAACGTTGATCTCCATCTCAAGCGTTTAACTCTCTCATCAACCTCAACGGCTTGGTCCGATTAGCTCTCCAATTTCGTAGTCGCGATCTAGAAAGACTCGTCAAAATCTGTCGTGTAGGACACTTCAGGCCCATGGCTGTCGTCACCACTTCAGGCCCTTGGCCCTCGCACTCCTTTGAAGGTCCAAGCCCTATAATTGTCCTAATCTCCTGATAATTGTGAAGATCGAAACCCTAGCCTCCTACCTTTTGAAAGGTTTGATTTGAAAGTCACCTAATCTCTCAATGCCCTTCTATATCTTGCTAGTGAATTCGAGATTAGTCTCTTTGCATTTCTGGTATGTTCTTTGTCTCCCTGATTTCAGATTTTCTGTCTCTTGATTTGTCTGGTTTGTTTACATTATTTTTTTATTTATGGTTTCTTTTTAGATTTTTTGATTTGGTTCTCAGGAGATGAGGAGGAAGCTTGGGATTAACTAGTTACTGAGATTGGTGGACATATAACAACTTTATGAAACAATTAAGCATACAAGGTCGGTTTGCAAAGCTGGATTGACTGGCTTTTTCAAGTTTTTCTCAATTTTTTCTTCTTGGTCTTTATTGGTTTGTAAATAATAAATGTTTGTTGAACAGACTTAGAAATGGAGAGATTATCTATTGAAATTAATTGCGCTTTGCTTTTATTTGGTTTTTTCCACCACCATTATGAACAGACTAAAAAAATGGAGAGATTGCTAAGGGAATTAGGAGAACAAGTGCTGGAGTGAAAATTTTGTCAAAATATTGCAAAATGTTTTAAGTGAGTTTCATTTCATGGTTAGAATTTCATATTGTACTGATTCTTCTTTCGGAGAAATTTTTGTCCCTACTCTTAAGTCTTGCTTTGGCTTCTTATGCTTATGCAGTCACTCCGCCAGTCGTGCTGGGAAACCGATTGTGAAATGGACTGAGGTTGCACATTTCATTCACTCTCTCTTCCTTTACTTTTATTGTAGTATAATACCATGATATTCTTGTTACTATTGTTACCATAAGGTGTCCTTGATTAATCATTTTTAGAGCCCTACTCTGTTGCAGTTGTCTTAGGTGCAAAGTTGGTTGCAGAATAGAGCGCAAGAGTTGCCAAACGTATCCAAAAATATCTCTGAGCAATAGGGAATTCACCCTTGGAATAAGGCACTCAAAAGTTCTGAAGTACCTAAAGGTGTACGTGCTTCTCATAACCTCTTGTTGCTTTTATGTCTAGGCTGTAGTAATATGCAAGCTCCTAAGGCTTTTTGCAAACTGGTTAAATCTTATTACTGTATGGTGAGCTCATTTATTATAGCCAAAATAGAAAAATAGTGAACCACAAACCGACCGAGCTAGTTGAAGTTTCGAATTGTATTATTTACACTAGTTTATAAATTTGTCATTCTATTACTTGCCAGCCACTGAATGTCATATCTAATAAGTTGTTAATGCTCAAAAATGGTTCGGCACTTTCGAGGCCAACTTAGTGATGAGGTGTGATGGATGATGGGTGAAGGTGAGGACCTTCACCAAGTGTGTGAGGATTGGAGCAAGCGATAAACATACAGAAGACAAGATATACGTGGTTCACCCTTAATGAATGGGCTACGTCCACGGAGAAGTATATTCTCATTATTATAATATTGTGTATTTACATTTGTACATGAGGTTGGACCCAAATATAAAGTAAGAAAGGAGAAGGCCATGACTAAATATCAAGCCCAGCCCAAGGATCCTTTTCTAAGGGGAGAGTGGTCTCCTTTTATAGGTGAGGGGGAGCCTTCACTTCTTGTAATATTCCAATGTGGGACTCTTTGCGTTGCCTAGAGTTGCTTCTAGTTGCTTGGTCAAATATGGTATAAACATAAGTTATTTCAAGTTTGAACTGTTTCTGTTTCACATAATATCATTCACATATCATTTTATTATTTTACTATTGTGCATTTGAAAGTAGAAGAAAATATCGGAAACATATCAGAGTTGGAATTTGAGGCAAGGTGATCAAAAAATGGGGCATGGTTAGTACACAACAAAGGTGACTTTTTCATTGGATTTCTTGGTGGTCCTTTTATGTACAGGGTGACTTTGTCAAAATCTTAAGGTTGGAGACCTTGTCCTCTGCTTCCAGGTAATTCCCAAAGTTGTAGGTTGTTGTTGTATACCAATAGCAGTTTCAAGTTGATAGTGTTCACGTTTTGGTGGTTTGAGTTTATATTTGTGTTGTATTTGAAACATTTATTCCTTCTTATTTTTGCCCTTTTATGCTCATATTTTTTATTTCAGTTCTCTACATGGAGCACTTGGTGTTATCTTGTCAGCTACGGATACTATTTGCACCCTTCATGTATGTATATTTTCCTCATGGCCATGTTTATTGAAACATAAAATCAGTGAATAACTAAAATAGTATTATTAAGTTTGTATCTGATGTGGCAGGTGCTTAAACAAACTGTTCTTTAAACCACTATTTCTCAAGCTTCATTTGTAAAATTTATGTTAATTTTACAAGCCAAGAAGAGACATGTTGTTGCTGATACTGCTACAGGGGAGGGGAATACAACATGGAAATGTGCAAGAAGACAGAGCTAACTCACACACTCAAGAACAAATTGATGTTCATATCGAATTGGTAGAATTTGTGAGCAATCACGTGTAGCTTCATTATTTAGGTTAATCGATGTGGTAGGAAGTATGTATGTGGTAGGAATAAAGATTGGTTAACTATGTAATAACTATTGAAACTTCAAGTTTTATGAAAGAAACAATTTTTGAGTGTATATATTTATTAATAAAGAAGTATGGTTAGTTTTCTAGTCAAAATAGTTGTATAGAATCATAGGAAACTAAAAAACGAAAATATAACAACCTAGGAATTTATTAGACGACTGAACTAAAATGTAATCAACGATGGCTTTATTGTAAAAACCATCGTCTTTACATACAATCAACGATGATTTTAACAAAAAACCGTCATCTTTCTATACAATCAAAGACAATTTTAAATAAAAACCGTTGTATTTTGACTACAATTAACAATGGTGTTAACCAAAACGTCGTCCTTACCCCTAAACAACAACCTTTTTTTTGTCACAAATGTTGTCTATATAACAAAACAACGACAGTTCTTTAAAAAAAACCGTCGTCCATATAACAACACGACGATAGTGATTTCAAAAAAACCGTCGTCTTTACATCTAATAGACGACAGTTCTTTCAAAAAAGGTCATCTTTACATCTAATAGACGACATTTCTTTCAAAAAACCGTCGTCATTACATATAATAGAAGATAGGTTTGAGTAAAAGTGTCGTCTTTACAAATAATAGACGACGGGGATTTACTGTCGTGGTTTTATGCATCAAAAGATGTCGATCGATTTCACGACGGTTGAAAAACCGGATACACGACTGTGGATTACCGTCGTCTATTGCGATTTTTGTAGTAGTGACATTTATAACTCAACCTCCGGCCTTACAATCAACCCTAACATGGGTGATAACAGAGCATATCTGCGAAATTCAGTTACAAACAAAAATGAAGTTCAATGGAATAGAAATAAGTAGAGGTTTGCCATGCTCGAAAGTTCACAACTTGGTAGAGCCTCTCGGTTCAAGACTATCTATGCATGGGGGGGGGGGGGGGGGGGCAGCAAAACAGAAAAGTGAATGTGACAAAACAAATTCGTTATATTTTGAAAACAACATATAATAACCCCAACGTTTGGAAAATGATGCAGAAAGGCATGCATTTAAAACCAATATAGATATATGTATAGCTAAGACCAAAACCTCGGTGAAATCCATATCTCATAAAGATATATTAATATCCATCCCATTTTTCCCATACTACTCTCTTGAAACATGTCCACATTGGCACGGCGAGCGAGGAAGTATCCTCACCAAAAAAAATGAATGAGCGTATAGGTACATATACATATATAATATAATATACATCTATATATATATATATATATATTTATAAGTATGACCACTACCAAACTTGTACCGGGGAAACAATCCAACCGGGGGATTGTTTAACTAGACCACATGGAAGAATCCACAATTGACCATGTGGCTAGGGAACAAACCGTCCAACAGGGGGACTGGTCTCACCAGCACGTACAACAGAATGCTCAATACTCGTACGCTTGTGACAAGTCCTACGCGCACAGACTAACCCCGCTAAGGGTCTACAAAACACCCCATCAAGGGTGCCCAGGTTCTGTTATATCCAAGTATCACAAAATTCAAAGTATCCAATTTCAGTATTCCAAATCTAGGGAGGTACATAAGGTAGTGCTTATAGCACTCAAAACTAACATAAATCTCAACCCAACTCACATTCCATAATCCCTTTCTCGCAAACCCATGTACCCCACACATATCCAAGCATAGATAGAAATTCTCGAAAATAGCATGACAGGACCTACCCCGAATTCCTCAAAATTCGCAACAAATCCTGTGGTATTTCATACTTCATACCGATGCCGGGCCCACTTATTAAAAGGGACGAGACTTTCTGCTGAAATTTCGGCAGAGTCTCCCATGAAAAACGAACATTTCCCAAAATTTCAACCTTTCAAAGGCACAATTTAAGATTCCTAAACTTCAGCATGCACAATGTAAAAGCACATAGTTCACAAAATAGGCCTCCGGCCTTAAATTCAACCCTCCATGGGCGATAACAGAGCAATTATAAGGAAGACTCTAGTTTACAACTGAAATGAAGTTCAACGGAAATTAAATAAATAGAAATGCCTTACAGAAGTTCAGGCCACACAACAAAAAATCGTTAGGGAATTAAAACAAAGTTTCCATACACTTGCCCCACCGTTTGGAAAAAGATATCAAAGCATGCAGGCAACCCATTTGTATACAATCACAAGTAGTTCTAAAGGTTCAGACCAGAATCAATCATCCATCCAAACGGTTTCAGACTCGTCATGACCACCAACACATTTCAATCACAATTATTTAGTAAAACTGAAATATATAACCTAGCATTTGATCTCACCTCGACTAGGCTCCAGGCTCCCGACATATTCAAACCAAACTCAGCAAAAGTAACAGTTTAAGTCGCGGCTACACCTAGGTGATACCCCAGGCTACCTACGTACCCCTTGGTAAGGGATCAAGCCACACGTAGTTCTTATATCACGATTTTAGATGATATATGATAATATAAAGTAAAACCTACGATTAATTTTAGGTCCATCTACAACTTCAAATCCGACAAGGCACACACTGAACACATTATAAATTCCTTCCCTTATGTCAGTTCATTCTCGTAACCATACCCTATCCAAGGCGTATGTTGCTGAACAACACTTTCCAATCCATGACTTAAACATTCATACCTATGCAGAGTACTCATGAAGCACAAATTTAAGAATCTCAACCCGAAATCCAATCCACATATATATATATATTTAGTATGTATGTATATATATACACACCCGCTTCACACCATCATCATGTACCAGGGGAAAACAATCCAATCTGGGGATCGTTTAACTAGACCACATGGAGGAATCCTCAACAACCATGTGGCTAGGGATGAGATGTCCATCCGGGGGACTTAGCTAACCAACACGTACAGTAGAATCCTCAATACTCGTGCTCCTATAATAAGTCCTACGCGCGCAGACTAATCAGCTATCTATTTCCATGTATTCAAGTATCCATCTCCACTGTTTCCAACTATTAGTATTCAGTGGGAGGTACATATGATAATATACATCATGTACCAGGGAAAACAATCCAACACGGGAATCCTTTGGCTGAACCACACGGAGGAATCTTTGACAACCGTGTGGCCAGGGACGAGCCATCCAATCGGGTTATAGGGCACACCAGCACACATAGCAGAATCCTCAATACTTGTGCTCCTGTGACAAGTCCTACGCTTGCAGACTACCCCGCTAAGGGTCTATGAAACACCCCGTCAAGGGTGCCCGGGTTCTGATCACATCCAAACCATAACCATAGTTTCCAAGTATTCATTGTCCATCAATTCCAATATCCGTATCCCAAAGGGGGGCGGGGGGGTACATGAGACGGCGTGTCATCGCCAAGATCCAAAACACCATAATCCCTTATAAATCATATTAATAGCACCAATAATAATAGTAATAATAAGCATTCCCATAATCATGTATTCCATCCCATAATCATATCCAAACCACAACCACAGTTTCCAAATATCCATTATCCATCAATTTCCAATATCCGTATCCAAGGGGGGAACATGAGATGGCGTGCCATCGCTAAGATCCAAAATCTACTTTCATAAATTAATATATAATAAAGATAATGTTCTAAAAATCCATATAATAAAAATATGGTTAATGATTTCCCCACTCCAATTTTATCCACTTACACTCCTTTTTTTTGTTCTAAAATGGAGTGTAAGTGGATAAAACTAGTGTGGGGAAATCACTACTCTAAAAATATATATAATAAAATAATACCCACTCTTCCTTTTTGAAAACCATATTAAAACCATAATTAAGAAAAAAATCAAGACTAAATAAGCCCATTCGATTTAATTAATATTTAAATCACTACTCATATACTTAGGAAATATACAACCTTTGATAATCCCACAAGACAAGATATAGAATCCAAAACACCATATTCAATTTCCCAAAACCATAGCCCATCCATATATACATACTAATTCCGACATTCTCAAAGATGTTGCAATTCAAAGTCCAACAACCGTATAAACGAATGTACCAAAACCAAAATCCATAACGTACCCAAAGTCACCACAACCCCTTATAAATATTATTGATAGCACCACTAATAATAGTAATAATAATAAGCATTCCCAAAATTCCTATAATCACGTATTCCATCCTAAAAATTCACTAGTTTGAATTAGATCACCCATAACTTTCAACATCCATTCTCAACTCAATTTCCACATACAAATAACCTACCAAATCAGCAAACCAAATTTCATAACCCTTATTATTCACTTTCCAAGACACCCTTTTTAACACCCGCATCAATATCCAATTTACCCACAACCCAAACACATGTAATCAATATTTGAGTGTAAACATGTAATCAATATTTAATTAAATCCTTACTGATACCAAACCCCTTTATCAAGCCATGAGTGAATTTTAATAACAATCATCAAAATAAAGCGATAATAATAATATTAATGCTAACAACAATGATAATAATAACAATAATACTAACAAAAGTAATCCCTGGAAATCCCATAATCATATCTTCCATTTTTGCTCAACGGGGCCAGCGGGGCCCATGACCTCCAATTTCAAATCCGAAATTTCCTAGAGGTCCAACGAAGTCTACTGAACACGTCCTGAAAGGTACATAGATCAACATATTTGACAATGGAGTCGATCCAACGGTCCGAACATATCGAACCCGGATAACACCTAATATGCATAAATCGGATCGACAGTCAAACGGTAACCAAATTCAAATCCGAGCATACCATCGTGCTCGGAAACGACATGGAAAACATTTTAGGACCAAATGGGGCACCCAAGCCTGGCCCACGCCCCACCACACACCGGCAGTATATGGGTGTCTTGAAAAAGACTAGAAAATTCTCAAAACACCCAACAATACCTATACCTACATGATGAGGACAACTAGTGGAGCAACTTTTGATCTTGGGCCATGGCCAAAAAGTGGCCAGAACTTGCCGAAAACTCGATCCGAAAACTTGCCAAAAAATTGGATTGTAAATCGCATTTCAAAACTCAAAAATCGATCCTAATCAACCAAACCATCAGCTAGATCATATTGAGAAGATGAGAAAGCATACCTGGATCAACAAATTTGGTTGCCGGAATCGAGTAAAAATTGGCCGGATTTCGAGCTCTTCTAGTGGTTGTGGTGGTTGGCTGCGACAGAAGAAGGGTGATGTGGGAAGATGAAGGTGAGCTCGACATTTTGGTATCGGCAATGTGCTACGTGTCAGAGAAGTTCTCTATGTGGGCCAGTTTATTTTATATGGATGTCTCCGTTCGAAAGATATATGAAAGTGGTAAAGGGATATGTTCAGAACCATACTCGTCCCAAAGGTTGCATTGCTAAGTGGTATATAACTGAAGATGCTGTAGAGTTTTGCACCGAGAAATTATTTGATATTAGTACAGTTGGAGTGCCATCAAGCCAAAAGATGGGAATTTCAAACTCATTATCAGGTTACACAGTGAGTTTAGTTGATCATGACCTATTGAACCAGACACATCTATATGTCTTGGAGAATACGGAGGAAGTCCTACCCTATATCAAGTATGAGTTTTATTCTTTAAGTAGCCATTTTAAATTATTCCTTATGTTTATCTTATATACAAGGGACCGTAATGCTTGATATTTTCATGTCACGTAGGGAACATATGATCCACATCAAGACCACTTATCCAAAATTTAGAAAGAGAAAAAGTGGCTACAACATAAGCACAATAACACTTTCATTCAATGGCTATGCTTTAAGGTGTATGTTATTGAATAACATATTGGACTCTTAATTTTCTTCTTTCTATGTTAGATTGAATTAAGATATGATTAATTTGCATATTCAAAGTGAACTTAATGGGGAAGACAATAATGGTGTATCAGAAAATTTGAGATGGCTAGCAGCTGGTCCAAGCATGGCAGCGTCATCATATAGGAGCTATCTTATTAATGGTGTTAAATTTAACACCAAGGCACAAGATGATGTGCAAACTGTCCAAAGTAGTGGAGTTTATTTACTTGCACATACTATGCAAGTTGCTAGTGCCAAGGATAAAAACCTTATTGTCTCCAATATGGGTTTTTATGGTGTCATTCAAGAAATTTGGGACCTTAACTACCAAAATTTTAGAATCCCAGTCTTCAGGTGTGATTGGATAGATAACACTTTGGGCCTTGTAGTCAACGAACTTGGATTTACCCTTGTAGATATGAGTAAAATTGGACATAGGAATGACCAATTTGTTATGGATTCTCAAATCAAACAAGTATTTTTTGTTGACAACCCAATGCATCGTGGTTGGTCGGTAGTGTTATCAATGCCTAATAGAGAATACAATGATGTTATTGACGATGATGTGCTAGGTGATATTAGAATTGAGTGTGAGTCATTTACTAGAGGGAAACCCAATGTTGACACATTTGATGGCCTAGTGGGTGAGTTTGGGAGTGAAAATATTAGAGATGGGTGTGAAGATATATGAATTGATTGATTCTTGTAATATATAACATTAGTTATGCAGTTAATTGTATAACATTAATTAATAGCTCTGTATGGCATTAATTTTGCAATAAATTTCAATGTTTGACATTATTCTGATCACATTTTCAGTATGCAGGCTTTGGGCACAACAAATCCAATATAACAAAATATTGGGCTAAAGGTGTAAAATACGACCGTCCAATTAACAAATCGCAAAAACAGACATCTAAATCAAAACCAGCGTCGTATTTTTACAAACGACGTGGAATGACAATGCAAAAGACCATAAAGAAATAAAAACCGCCATTTGAAAAAGAAAACACGTCGGTTAATTAAAATTAAATTATACGACGGCTAATAGATATTAACAACAACGACGGTCATGAAAATAATTCAACTTGTAGATTTAAAAATAACACGACGGAACAGTACTCCAACCGATGAATTTTAGGAAACACTACTTCTACTGATAAATAATTACCGTCGTCTAAAGGGCGTAATAAAGGCAACTCAGTTCCATTAATTGTCTTGAGAGCTCTTCTGAACGTCGGTTAAACGAAAACAATTGACGTCTCATAGAATACACACGTCAATAACGGTTTTAAAAGCGCCTTTTAAAAGGCCAACCACATCTATTTCTATAAGCGTACCGACATGGTAAGTAAAACAACAACGTCGATAAATTGGATTTTACGGACGTATTGATGAGATTAACCACGATCATTAGTTTACACTAACCGCCGTTCAAACTTCGATCCGTGGCGGTTTACCTCCACTGCACGCCGTGAAAATAAGTTTTAACGACCGTGTTTCAACACTTGGGTCGTGGTTAAGGACTGTTATGTCGGTGTATAATAAAATTATGCCATGTTAAAGACTTCAAACGTCAGTATTTTCCAAAAAGCATCATCTAATGTTGTCCAAGTCGTAATTCTAGCAAGAATCAACCGTCGTATATGGGTAATAACGTTGTTCTTTTAACATATTATGACGTTAATATGCTTTTGAACGTCGGTTCTTGATATTTGCGACGTGGAATACATTTAACAAGGCGGTGTGTTCCTGGGTTGCGATGTGGAAGATGTTATAAGCGGCGGTGATTCTACCTCTGTGTCATGGTTAATTTATTTTACGTCGGCTCTAATATAATTCTTGACATGTAATATCCTTTAGACGTTTGTTATTTTTTGTAAGCGTCATCTAAGATTGACAAAGCTTTCCTTTTTTTGTGTTTTTATAGAATTTAGACGTCGGTTTTTTTTATTTAGTAAACGTAGTATATATTAACCATGGCGGTTTCGACGTTTCAAACGATAGTATTTGTTCAAATAGAGACGTGAGTAACTATTTTTATGTCGGCATGTATGTAGTTCTTGACATGTAACACTTTTTAGACGTCTCTATTTTTCTAAAACCATCATCTAAGGATGCCAAAGTTTTCCTTTTTTGCTGTTTATATAGTAATTAGACAGCGGTATGTCTTTTGATATGATGTTATATGTCTTAACGACGTCGGTTATTTGCCTTCATTGATTTATGTATCAAAAGATGGCGGTCGATTTCATGACGGTTTAAAAACCTTCTAGACGACGGTGGATTCCCATCATATATTCCAATTTTTGTAGTAGTGAGCCAAATTTCTCTATGGGGCTGGTAGAGGTGAATTATTTTGGAACCTGTGTCACGACCCAACACCCCTAGCAATATATTGTCCGCTTTGGGCCTTCCTCCTCATGGTTTTGTTCTTGGGCTCAAGCTAATGCTACATTGCCCAAAAGGCCTCTTGCTAGGAAGAGAAGTGCCCACACATATAAGGCACTTCACCTTTCCCTCCCTGAGTGATGTGGGATTGCTCACCATTCTTATCTCCCCAAGACACGGGTCCTACAATCCACCCCGCTTGGGGCCCAATGCTGGCACACTTTCGGTCGAGGTCCAGCTCTGATACCATTTGTCACGACCCGACTCCCCTAGCAAGATATTGTCCGCTTTGGGCCTCCTTCCTCACGGTTTTGTTCTTGGGCTCAAGCTAATGCTATCTTGCCCAAAAGGCTTCTTGCTAGGAAGAAAAGTGCCCATGCATAAGGTACTTCACATTTCCCTACCCGAGCGATGTGGGATTGCTCACCGTTCTTGTTTCCCCAAGACAGGGGTCTTACATGTTGTTACTCCCAACACAACTTCGACATGCGATATTTATGAAAGATATTTGAAATTTCTCTTGCACAACTAGGAAAGCACTATATCGGATGAATGATTTGTGAGCATGGAATTAATAATCGGAGCTATACATTAACACATCTGCCACACGCTTATCTCAAGTTTGACAATATAAGTTCTTTGTATCATTAACCCTTAATCAATTGTATATCGCCAAACACAAAATATGTTAAAATCGATTATCACTTTATTAGACAATATTTGGTCGCTAAGCATTCGGTCATTGTCTAAATTTAATGTAATGACACAAGCAAAACCGAAGATTATTGGAGAAAATTGCTCTCAAGCGTACGTGAGAAAGGGATCTATTCCTAATCAAACACTGATTAGAAACAGACAACATCATTTCAAGCAGGTTGTAAGACCCGTGTCTTGGGGAAACAAGAACGGTGAGCAATCCCACATCGCTCGGGGAGAGAAAGGTGAAGTGCCTTATATGTGTGGGCACTTCTCTTCCTAGCAAGAGGCCTTTTGAGCAAGATAGCATTAGCTTGAGCCCAAGAACAAAACCGTGAGGAGGGAGGCCCCAAGCGGACAATATCTTGCTAGGGACGGGTCGTGACAAATGGTATTAGAGCTGGACCCCGACCGGAAGTGTGCCAGCGAGGATGCTGGGCCCCAAGGGGGGTGGATTGTAAGACTTGTGTCTTGGGGAAACAAGAATGGTGAGCAATCCCACATCACTCGGGGAGGGAAAGGTGAAGTGCCTTATATGTGTGGGAACTTCTCTCCCTAGCAAGAGACCTTTTGGGCAAGATAGCATTAGCTTGAGCCCAAACCGTGAGGGGGGAGGTCCAAAGCGGTCAATATCTTGCTATGGGAGTCGGGTCATGACACAAGAGACCATCACACACTGATTGATTTAGTGTGTTTGGCATGTGGAAGTAACAAGATCCCACATGCCTCATATGCCAGTTGAGTAACAAGATCCCGCCACATGCCTCATATGGAAGTATCTTGATACTATATGTTTGGATGACTTTCTTTTCTGGACGAAACATCTTTTGGCTCTGTCCTTTTGAATGCTACGTGAGTGGACTGCGGAGGGCCTGTCTTCAAATCTCTATCAGCAGCTGTCATCTATGTTTTTCTATTATTTATTATCATTTGTTTGTTTTTATATTTAGAGTTTAAATATCTTAGGTTAAACTAATTACGTGCAGCTTCATTAACCAGTAATAGCCACCATCTCTTTCTTTATTCTCTTCTCTAGTTTTGCCTGCCTTCCCTTCCCATCCCATTGATCGAATCTCTGGTCAAGAAAAAAGCAACCCCATCATTCATGTCCTTGCATCATATATGCATGATGGACCCTACCTTACAATTATCATACTTAACTTCTTTTTCTTTCTGGATTTCAAATTATGAAAAAACACAGATGGCAGCTGCTGATAGAGATTTGAAGATAGGCCCTCCGCAGTCCACTCACGAATCATTCACAAGGGATTAGATGAGATTTGCTTGGCCCTTCTTTTGGTCCCCTGGAATTAGCATTGGAGTCTTTTAATTATGATCTTCCATATCAATTATTAAGTATCAACATTGAATATATATTACAATAATCTTAGTGGTACAACAGCGACCCCCGTAAGAATATTTCTGTGATTGGCTAGCAACAATGATATTAGATTGATAAAATTTATCTTATAGCTATTGGCAGGATCCGAATTCATAAAATCTTCATACATCATCTACCAAATAACCTATCACTCTCATTCCATATTAGGAACATGTACATTGCTTTAAGTGTGCATGAAACCGTACAGTCACGTATGTACTTAGAATTTAGAGGCATTCAGATTATAGTTACTACATACACAATCATTGGCGGACCTATTAAGGCGCAAGGAGGTGTAGCTGCATTTCCCCTCACAGGAAAAGCCATTGTAGGTGCTGCATATTGCACCTCTGCTTAGCCTAGGAGACGCAGTCTAGGTGTTCGACGAAAAGCCTAAACGAAGTTTGTGTTGCTTCGCTATGCGCAATGTGCTTGTGTTTTTTTCAAAAAAATCCTGGCCAAAACGATGTCGTTTTGGAGTAGAAAGAGTTAGGCTACTTCGTTTATTGTCAATTAATTTTGGAGTAGAAACTCAAACTTTAGCCTACCCCACTGCCTGTCCTTCATCCTTTTGGATGACTATCTGTTCTTAAACTTTAAAACTGAATCTCTGGATAATTATGACTTGAAAACTTAATAGTACTATTGGATTACTATATATGGCTTTGCGTATTCCTCAATTCAGACTTCAGAGTGCAACAGCCACATGTTTTTAGTATTTCTCCACTATCTCTGTCATTAAGCCAACAAAGTGTTAACTATTAGCTTTAGATTAATTGTAAAAGTTCTTTTGGTTCCTCAATTTCTAGAAATTTCTATAATTTGATGCTTCATAAACCTTCTTGGTCTGGTGCCATGGAGTTTGGTTCTTTTTTGGCTGCAATGGGAGTTGGGAGTTTTGCTTACTTTGATTGAAAAGTGATGATATATATTTAAAATGAATGAAAAGGGTTAGAAGAGAACTTAGATTAATATCTCTGAATATTTGAGTTCTTCGTGCTTCCAAATTTGGGAAAGAAGATGGATAGAGGAGAGAATATAATTATTATTGAAGGAGGAAAACATAATTATGTATATAATATTAGATGAAACTTCACTTTGTCAATTTCCCTCTCCCACTTCAAAGTTCAATCTACAGTAACTTCCTTCTACACATGCATAGCATATTAGCATATACGTACGGCCCCTTCTAATATTATTTACTAAAGGATTAATTGTAGGAATGGCCCTTAAACTATACCCGTAGTTACATTTTGGTCACTCAACCTCAAAATAGCTGTAGAGGTCCCCAATTATGTATGGTGTTGCATTACTAGTCACTTTCGTCAAGTCTGTCTATTTTTTTGTTAAATCCATGGGAAAACTTGGAAATTCATTCCAAATATTTATAAAAATGAAATAACAAAAAATAAATAACTAAGGGTTATTTGTAGCAATGGTCCCCCAACTATACACGGAGTTACATTTTGGTTACTCAAGTTCAAAAATAGTTACAGAATGGTTACTCAATTAGGTGTTGTGTTGCACCATTAGTCTCTACTGTCAAGTCCCTCTAACGGTAGGGACTAATGGTGCAACACAACTAATTGAGTGACTTCTGTAACTATTTTTGGAGTTGAGTGACCAAAATGTAACTCCAAGAGTATAGTTGAGGGACCATTGCTACAAATAACCCTTTACTTAAATAATTGGGATGTGGATTGTGTCGGTAAGGCAACAACTATATAAGCAGATCCCCAGTATAGAAGACTTAAAATAAGAGCCATCAGTGTTCTTGAGCTACACATATAAACATACACACTTAGATAAATGAGTTTGAATAATGATAAAGTTAGTGCTACAAGCCATGAGCTTCTTCAAGCTCAAGCTTATGTGTGGAATCATATCTTCCAGTTCATAAACTCCATGTCATTAAAGTGTGCAGTTGAATTAGGCATCCCCGATGTGATTCACAACCATGGCCAACCCATATCCCTTTCCAATCTCATTTCCGGTCTCAATGTCCACCCTTCGAAAGCTCATTTCATCTCACGCCTCATGCGAATCCTTGTCCACTCCAATTTCTTTGCACAAGACCAGCAAGTTCAGCTACCACTTCGTCCAAACAATAATAACAACAATGAGATTATTGTTCATCAGGTTCTTGATGATGAAGCGGACGAAAAAGCTGTTGTGGTGTATAGCCTAACACCAGCTTCCAGGCTTCTCCTCAAGGAAAGTCCATTAAGCACCACACAATTTTTACTTATGAATCTTGATCCAGTACTGATAGATCCATTTCATCTAATGGGCACTTGGTGCCAGATGAACAATAATGGAAATTATGATCATCCAGCTTCCCCATTTGAGATGGCACATGGAAGGTCTTTTTGGGGTTTGGCTGCTCAGCAACCAAAGCTTGGTAGCTTGTTTAATGACGCAATGGTGGCTGACTCTCAGCTGCTAGCAAGGGCAGTGGTTGAAGAGTGTGAAGGAGTTTTTGAGGGTTTGAATTCCTTAGTTGATGTTGGAGGTGGCACAGGAACCATGGCCAAGGCCATTGCCAAGGCCTTCCCCAACATTAATTGCACTGTCTTTGACCAACCACATGTTATTGCAAACTTGCAAGGGACTCACAATTTGGATTTTGTTGGAGGAGACATGTTCGAGAAGATACCCCCAGCAAATGCAATTTTCCTCAAGGTAATTATAAAACTCAGTTATTTCTCTCATTTTTATTATTCCTTAATTTCCTAATTAATTATTACCTTCTTGTTAGTAAATATATCTCACCCTTGCCTTTGCAGAATTTTCTAAACTTGTCCTTGTTTTGCTTGGCTTTCAATTCGAGTTGTGTATTTAAGGAATTTTTATGGAGTTTAATAAAAAAACGAAAAAACGAAAAAACGATCTTGTTGAAGAATGTAGAGTAACACATTGGAAACTTAGACAAAATGTATAACATTGCCCTTTTATATAAACCCCACACCAGCTTGGACTATGTTGGTGGTTAATTTGGGGGGAATATCAATGTTTCTAGTGGTCCGTGGGTCCGTCCCTCTGAAATCTTAATAAACCTTACTATTCATAAATGAATTATTAACAATGACATATCAATCGGTGCATGTACAAAGTATACTAAGCAGGTACCATACACTAATTCTATGCCCGATGTGGTTGTGAGTATAAATTCAAGGCTTACTTTAAAGTAATTAACCATTAATTAATGCATGGCATCAATGATCAGTGGATTCTGCATGATTGGAGTGATGAGGAAAGCGTGAAGATATTAAAGAAGGGTAGAGAAGCAATTCTGAGCCAAAAAGGAGGAAAGGTTATCATCCTGGACATAAATGTGTCTGCAGATAATAAGAAGATGGATAAGAAATCAATTGAAACTCAGCTCATGTGGGATATGTTAATGATGGTCCACCTCAATGGCAAAGAGCGTAGTGAAGCAGAGTGGGAAAAGCTCTTTCTGACTGCTGGATTCTCTCACTATAAGATTACACATACATTGGGCCTCAGGTCTCTTATTGAAGTTTACCCCTGAAAAAAAGTATCACTCTTTTAATTGTATGTTAAGTGCTTGCGAATTTCATGAAATAAGCCCTAAATCTCTTTCGGTGTGTATATGCATATATTATCTAAGTTTGGATGTTTCCTTCTTCTTTGTAATCTTTAAAGTTTATAATTTAGTTCTTAAGAAATAAAAATGGTACGCAGTACCTCTCAGTCTAATAGTGTTTCTTAATGACGTGGAAGAAGTTTTATGTTCAAAACTCACCACCTCATTAGTAAAATTAAAAATAATAATAATTTGATGCCCCAAAATGAAAAAGGAGAAGCCCAAATGTATGATGGACCAAGAAGACATACGGCCATGAATGATTTCATGCTAATTCCAATCAATTTTTGGGAGTTAATTTAAAAAATAAATAGTTAACAACAATTGAAGCGTGGTTTCCTACGAATTTTCAAGGCATGAAAAGGACCATAGTCCCACGTTTAGCACTTGAGAAAACAAAAGCAGCCTTGTGCAAGTTGTTAATAGAATAAACAGTGGGTAACAAACAACAAACATCTACAAGCAAAAACACATGTTTCCAAGAAAACCAATTGTTTATACCATATCCGACTGGCCAATTAATCAACGACACATGGAAACAAGGGATCCACAAGGAGATCCCACAAACTTGACAATCTATTACGTCCCACAAAGTACCATCGGCAGGCGCCAAGCCTTTGGCAACCCAGCCTGTCGACCGCAGCCAAAGACTGCACTTCAGAGTAATTTCTCATAAAGACACGTGGTGCCTCCTCAGCCAATCCTCGCAATCCCACATCGAAGTATCACTCAAGATGCACACCCGTCAAAGTCTATAGATGTTAGAGTTACTTTCCCAAATTCTTGGACTCTCAGAGTGACTGGCTTTTATGGTCACCCTGATCATACCTAACGTCATCATTCATGGAAACTTATGCGGAGATTAAGTAGGGTGTATGATAGTCCTTGACTTTGCTGTGGAGATTTTAATGAGATTATGGAGTATCATGAAAAGAGTGGGGATCACATTCAATGCGATGCTCTCATGGAGGATTTTAAAAATGCTATTTTTGATTGTTGCTAAATTCAGTTTGAGTTCACAGGGTATAAGTTTATGTGGAATAACAACAAGAAGGATGCAACTAATGTGCATGCTGTTGGCGAGATCCTAATTCTATTAGGAGATTTATTTTCTATTCTATTAGGATTTTATTTCTTTCTCTTTTGTACAAATCTTGTGTAATTAGGAGTTTATTTGTTTCCTTGTAAAACCCTACTAGGGTTACACACTTGTATTATAAATACCTCCTTTTGGAATGAAAATATATCAGAAAATATTCTACCCCATGTTGTTTGACTTGGCATCAGAGCCGACTTTCTGGTGACCTCTGTGTTGTGCCCACATTCTAGCCCCATATTTTCTCTACCTGTGCCATGTGTGGTATCAAATTATATTTGTTATTCTAACTTCTATTTGTTGGAACCAAAATTGTAGGATGCTGTTATCAAATTATATTTTTTATTCTTTCCGCCATGTGTAGCAGTGCCATGGTGGTGGCTAGACCCAGCCACTAGGTGGTGTGGCAGCAAAGACACAATGGTGGATCCGTGAGGTTGCACAGTTGTGCCGACCGTGGGGCCTTGCGAGGTAGAACCGGCCATGAGGCCGTGGGCGGTACGATGTGGCAAGGGCTGGTGTGGTGGTTTCGGCTGTGGGTCCGGCAGGTGGAACAGTGGTTCCAGTCACATGAGATGGCTACTGTGGTGCGGCAGCAAGGGTTTGCTGTGGGTTCATGGAGGCGAGAGGTGGTGGTGCCACCCTGTCGATCACGAGATCATGGGAGGAGTGGCTTTGGGCGCCTTCGCGAATTGAGCCATTGCAGTGGTCTTGCTCCTAGTGTGCTTGCTTCCAACCATGGTTGTTTGGAAGGCTTTGTCGGATTGGAAAATAGAAGGAACGAATTCCTTAAGCACGCGTTGAGTATAACTCGTGCTTTCAATGAAAGCACTAAATGTTTGTGCAAATACTCTTGCTGGAGAATATTCGTTTTGTGATTCTTCAACCTTCGATCTTCCTTCTTTCTTTTCCTTGATTGCTGTAAAAAAGACCGGAGTAAATAGACAACACTAGGGGGTGTTGGCCAAAGGCCCTCCGATGCCTAAGTTAGTTCGAGTGTTTGTAGGAAAACAATAGTTAACAAAAAGGTACGAAGATGTTTCTATGGTGTGAATCGGGCGGCCGGAGCCGTGTGTGGTGGCTGGAGCAGTGTGGAGAAAATATGGAGAGTGGAGAGTGGAGAGGTTGGCGGCAAGGGTGTTGCCGTCAACTAGATAGAGAGAGGGAGAGAGCTTCAAGTATTTTTCTCGGGTTTTAGAAGTAAGTTTAGATGTACCTTGAATGATGAATGAAGTCATCTATTTATAGGAGCCTCGGAGGCTGGGGTTTCGTAGAGAATAAAACTCTTATTGGGAAGGAGTTTATTCTTTCCCCAAATTGTAGAGATTTGAGTCCATTAGGGATTTGATTGGGATCCAAATCTCCTAATTTGATGATGATTATATCTCCTTATTAGGATAATATCTAAATTAATGATATTATCTCATTAAATAAATATAATATCCTATAATTAAGATATTATTCCTATTAATTAATTTGCCAAATTAATTGGTTCAATTAATTAATTTAAGGGATACTCTTTTTTTCCACGTGACGTGCTCTAATTGGAGACGAAAATAATTGCTCTCACAAAAAGCTAATTGAAAAAGAAAAATAAAAGAAGAATAGCTAGCTGTTTGGATCCCACATGCCTCATATGCCAGTTGTGCATGTTTTTACTATGTTTGGCATGCACTAGCTACTTGCAGTCATTTATATCACAGAGATATGATAACATGTTTAATTCTGAATATATATTTTAAGAACCACTTTTTACTCAAATCAATCTGCTGAAACTCAAGCAATGGCTATTGATTTCAGAACAATCTTCCACCCATCACATATGTACATACATAATTATATATATATATATAATAGCTCAATACTTAAGAGAATAGTTGTGAATTGGATAAAATCCTTAAAACCTGTAAATCTTCACTCCTTGTCTCATAAAATCAAAAAATAAGTATTAAACTTTTACCCAAAAATACCAAGATAAAATCCTCAATTTTAGTTTAAACATCTTAAAACGTGAATATTCTCCACCTAGGCGTACCCCCATCCATATTTCGTCAATTCCTTTCATATACCATCAATTCCGATAATCTTTCGTCAATTCCAATAATGTACCGTCAATTCCTTATGCCCAGATCATCAACAACTCATACATCAAAAATACCTCAACAATTCAAAAAATAGACCACGTCCTCACTCAAATTCATTTATGCACAACATAGTATTCAGAAAGCTAGTATTCATAATTCATTGATTTCAAGCCATCGAGCATATATTTAAATATAGACATATGATTAGGCAATTAATTAATTCCTTATTCATGCCAAAACACGGTTGTCCAAGCCATTCCCAATTTCACACAATTAAACATAAAATAACATGCTTGGAAAGTAAAAGCGATCGCATAATAATTCAAAAACATTTAATAAAACTCTCATTGCAAAAATACCGATTTAAAACATACCTCCAATTACAATTACAACTACTAAAAGTCCTCAACCAAGCCAACATAGCCCACGATCTAAGTCAACTGGGCTCATAGAGCCCACGACCTCAATTTTTTATATGACAATTCCTATTGGTCCATAACCATAAGTTAAACCTATCCTAGAAGTCTCATTACGATCCAATGATCAGTTTGACCCCGACCGTGGAATTTAACCAATTGAGCCCATGAGGCCCACAACCTCCGATTTCCAATCCGAACATTCCTATAAGTCCAATAAGGTCGACATAACACCTCTTGAGAGTTTGGTCCTTATCGAGCTATCGGATCACTCACAATCGTACGATCAGACTTTGACTTAGTACTTAACCCTAAATCATTGATTCAGAGTATCCGAGACTTCGATTCTCGATCAACCAGTTCCTACATAATCCTAGAGATACGAGAAACGATAAATTTGAAAATGAGATCGATCAGACGGTCCGAACCTATAGAATTCGAATATTGCATAAATTGTGAAGTTTCTTTCGATAGTCAAACAATAACCTATCGCTAATCCGAGCATACCGTCGTGCTCGGGACGACATCTTAAGAGCCTCCACAATGGGTCCCACACGCTGACGTCTTGAGTAATTTCCGACGATCGGAAAACTCCAAATCATCGGCCAATACCTATACCTACAGAACCACCACAACTAGGGGAGTCACTTTTGGTCTTGGACCTAGGCAAAAAACTGACCACAAATATTCAAAAACACCATCGAACAGCCGGCCGAAAATGGGTTTAAGAATAGATCTCTAAAACCTCAAAATTAACCCAAACCAAGTAAATAAACATGTAGAGCGGGATGAATAGATGAAGTTTCATACCTTACTCGATGGAAACCATTGCCGAAATCGTCGAAAATGCAAGAACACTACCAAAAAAACCTATCCATTTCTCAGCTTCGATTTGAGCTCACCGTCAGCAAATCGGATCGTGTCTTGGGTGAGTGTCGTAGAGGAGGACGAGAGAAACATTTTTCGTAAAGATGGCACGGGCAACCGGTGTCGATTGGTTGTCAAGAAGTCGAACAGTGACTATGTTGCGAATAGAGAGAGGAAGAAGTGTTCGGGTGAGAGAGGGGGGAAGAAGAAGGAGAAAAAAAATAAAAAGAGCCCCAGTACTGTAGCAGTAACAAATTTGAAATTTCCGTTTACGTCCTTTTCGTTTCTAGACGTTTCCTCCTTCGTTACAACTCGGAATTAGGCGTGCCGCATGTCTACGAACTCGTATCGTCAAGCTCTATGCAACGATGTCACTCAATCTCCCAAAATCATTCCCGAACAAAAAGTAACTAAAGTGCCCCTATACCTAAGGGCAAAAAAGTAATTTGACAATTAAATAATTAAATAAACCCTTAAATTAGGTCAGGATGTTATAGTATACATATATATATATGTGTGTGTGTGTGTGTGTGTGTTGTTTGTTTCCTTTTATATATATGTACCTGCATTACAAGTAATAGTTTTTTTCTTGAATTTTCTTGAACAGTTTTTTGATGGAGTTTCCTACACACACACACACCTGCCTTCCAGGTAATAGTTGTTTTTTCTTGGGTTTTTCAAAGAAATTTTTATGGAGTTTTATCTCAATATACTCAAGTGTGAGTATACCTATTGCAGATGTATGAGTTCCTTTTTTTCTTTTTCTATAACCTTTTAGATAGGTACTTTTTTACTTTAATAATGAGTTTTAAAATCCATACCAAAGGTATTATATGAGTTCAATTACTTGAACTAGGGCAATTTATGGGTATAACTATGTACACAAGAGCTGGCTTTTGGGTTTAATTACCTAGACTAGAGGTAACTTATGGATTTAATTACCTGGACTAGAGGTAATTTATGGGTTTAACTACCTGAACTAGAGGTGAGGTTGCAATTAAATTCAAATCAAATCTGATAATTAATTTCCTACAAATCAATAACTTACCGGTTTTACAAATCCATAATTTACCTTATTTATGTTTTAGGGGCATAATTGGAACAACAAACTAATTAATGAATAAATAAAATAAAGTGTAAGCATCAATAAATAAATAAAAAGCATGTAATCTTATGTGGCGCAAAAGTCAAAGGACTTAAATCAACAACAACTTCTACATGGATTGCACCCAACACATCTCTCATAAGAATTGGACTTATGCCAAATTTTCTATAAAAAGAACGGAGAAGAAAGCTAGGTTTTGAAGAAAATAAATCCTAGCATTGAAAAGACATGAAATCCATGAAATCCAAATCTTGCGAGGTATATTGAAATCCTTACTCTTTCCTAAGTTATAGATAATTACCATATTATCGCCATCTCAAACAATAGGATCTTTGCGTTCTACTCTTTCCAAGCGACAAGTCCTTACGCTTTCCTAAGTTATAGATAAATGAAGTTTCCAAAATTGAAACCCTTAATTAACAAAAAGATAAGAAAGAAAAAATTATAAACTAGTCTGGAAATTATGTTATTGGTTAGCTAGTAGCTTGGTCTTTACGTCACAGATGAAAACCTGATAAGCATCAATTAAACCTGACCGACTTTATACTCTAAACCACACGTTCGATGCATCTTCCAATGCCCTAGAGTAAACTATAAAGCGTTACAGAGCAACAATCAAGCAGCCGCTAATTCTTGTCAGAAAGACTAGCTTATTTCCTTGGGGAGAAAACAAAGAACTAAGAACTGAGTGAAGAAGAATAATGAAAAGAAAGGTAGAAGAAAAATTAGACGGAGAAAAGCACAGCATGTGCAGTCATGGAGTGCACTGGTTGAGAGGGAAGTTGATTGGAAAAGGAAGATATGGTTCTTTTTTTCTTGCTACTCCCAGGAAACCAACAAAGGATGAGCATAGCCACCATATGCTCAATTTGCGAGAAATGATGGCGGTGAAATCAGCAAAGGTCTCTCCTTCTGAGTCCATTAAACATGAGTCAGACGTTCTCCTTGAGATCAAGGGTTGCCCTTTCGTTATTGAGCGCTTGGGTGAAGAGACCACGGCCACAGACAAGGGTGACATGGTCTACAACTTCTTGTTAGAATTTGCTTCCGGAGGAACCCAAGATGGTCTCATACATAAATCCAAAGGTCATAAATTACCCGAATATGATGTTAGAAGATACACAAGGTCAATTCTTGAAGGGATTCAACACATTCACAAGTGTGACTAACTATGTTCACTGCGATTTGAAGCCGGACAACATTTTGCTTGTGCCTACCACAACAACTAGTTCTGTCGGTACTAGTTTTGTAGCCAAGATTGCAGATTTTGGACTCGCTAAGAAAACCAAGGTGAATTACAGTCGATGGAGAGGCAGGCCTAGGTATCTGTTCCCAGAGGCTTTTATTAATAACAAACAAGATCAGTCCTCTGATATTTGGTCTCTAGGTTGTATTGTGTTTGAGATGCTAACCGGCAAGTCTCCCTGGGATTTGAAGCCTGGTTACAATCCAAACAATCTCCCTGACATGTTGATGTTTGATCATCTATGTACTTGCAAAATTCCAACTGGAATCTCAGATGTAGCCAGGGATTTTCTCAAGAGTTGCCTTGCCATGAAGAGCAGGGAAAGATTAACAGCGGAAATTCTCTTGTCTCATTCATTCATAGCGCAGCCACAACCATCAAAAGAGGGTCATACCAAGGTGAAGCTGGTTAACTCCTTTTTGGGCTATGCATCTGGTGTATGTTGCTTCAAACCGAACTCAGATTACGATGCAAACTCTGCCATGGTTCAATGAAAGCATCCTTCCCTGCTGGATAGGTATTCCAGCTAGGTCGTTTGTTGTTGTATTCCTTTTTTTTTGTAATGTGAATCAATTCAAATTAATCATGTCAAGTATCTGTAACCACAATAGTGTACAAACATATTCAAGTTTTTATCGAAATATCTGTGTACTTTTAATGGTCTTAATATAGTAACATTACAGGGCAAGCTATCTATTATGCCTTTAAAATAGCTTCATTTCCATTTCATTATAAATTTCCCTGTGCAAATAATATTTTTCTAGCTAGCTTAATGCTACTGGTAATTTTCGATGGTTTTCGGTTTGCTGGAAATCCGTTTTTTCTGTCTGGGTTTAGAGTAACTCTTGAGCAGTCTCTTTGATCCTGGTTTTTCCAGTTTGTGCAGTCTCCCTTTGCCTGATGGGCGCTCCCCTTAATTTAGTTTGTTGGTTATGATTAAACCCACTTTTTGTTAGTAGTCTATGAGACAGGTTGGAAAGATGATATTTTGGGAGAATAATTGGATGAAGGATATGATTTGTGGTGGGACTGATGATAGTTTAGAACATAAATGGATATGTATAATGATTTGACTGGTGATATTGCAATAGAAAATGATAGTGAGTTTTCTATTTAGTGTGGTTGTGAATGTATATAGCTTTTTTTTCCCCAGTGAATTTGTATAGCTTGGCTCAGAGGAATTTTGTTATTTTTTTGGTTGTGCTATTCCTACTGGGATTCTCTAGTTTGCCAAATGCTGCAGTGTCCTTCTCTTTTGGTGGTTTACTGATCATTGACTACATGAAGCTGGACAATGAAATTTGAACAGGAGAGACTTGTGGAATTCGAAAACTTCTACGCATAAATTAAACTTCCAGCAATATGGACTTTAGAAAAAAAAATACAAATAAAGAATATCAGATTTTATTCAGTTTGTCAACATTATCACATTAAACATTCACTTCTGTAGCAACACCAAAGAGAGAGAGAAAGAGATCTAAGAAATCATCCTCTGTTACAAATGCTAATCATTTTTCTAGGATATAATAAGTTGGCATGTGATTCATATGTTACAAGTGGATTAGTCACATCATCACGTGTTGCTACACCTAGCTAGCATGTTTGTTGCATTTCTCACAATTTGATGTTGGTGTGTTTCTTATGCTTTTTATTAAAAATAATAATTAGAAAAAATCTAATACGACTCATTTTTGTTTTCTTGTTGGCTATATGCAAAAGCTAGATGGTAAGCATGTAAGGCTCGTAGATTATTTTCATATGGTTGCAGAGACGAGCATAAGTGGCCTTGTGGCTGCCATGCTTACTACCCCAGATGAAAATAATCGTCCCTTGTATGGTGCTGAAGATATCATCCCTTTTTATCTCGAACACTACCCTATAATCTTCTCCCAATCTAGGTATAGTTACTTGTTGACAAGGAGACCACATTGTCGTACTATGTACCTTTCATATGCATACAACATTATTTGGTGAACAAAATTTGATACTATATATCGCTTCCCGCTAAACATATATATAGTTTTAGTTTTGATCTTTTCTTCTTAAGTATGGTTGAAGAACTAGTAGAACCCATGCCCAAAATTTAAGAACTAGTAGACTCATAAGCAAGAAGTGCCTAGCTCAGGAGGAAAGAGCTAGCTTTCTTTCCTGTCCATAGGGGTCCAAAGGACACGTAACCGGGAGTGAGCCAGATTATAAAAAAAAGTGAAAAAGGTAGCCAAAAAGTCGTATAGTGCAGGAGGCAAATTTTCTAAAAAAGTGGTTGATTACTTGGATTGGTTCTCGCATCCCTATGCCCAAAAGGATGGGCGAGTTCTGTCACACCCCATTTTTTTTTTTAGGGAATGTGAGGTAAAAGAAAAATTAAAACTAAAAACTTAAATATCAAGAAACATGAAGATTGAACATAAACTTCCATTTAAGTTAAAGTAATTTACATTGTACTATTACAAGCAAAATAATAAAAAAAGTAACAAACTTTCAGCAAAACACTCAAAACTATCCATAATCCGTTCTTTTTGTTTCCTTAGCAAAAACTAAACTTCAGATTCAAAGCCTGCAATAGATTCAATAAGGGGTGAGCATTACATGCTCAGTAGGGGTCCTATGTCATATGTGATTAGTGAGAAATATAATGTACAATTTATGCAATGCATGAATGAACTTCATTTCTACCCAACCCGTTAATTTATATAATAGGCCAAACAAATCTGCATGTCCCATACCATGCATTTTACCACTGTGATTCCGAATGCCCCATTATATAAACTAACACCCGTCTTAGTTACCCTATAATTCCCCTTTTGCTAGTCATCTTGTCTACATCATTGATCTCCAAGCTCAAATCACCCAATCAACAATTATACCGCCGATTTCCTAATCTACTGTGCACACGGGCCCGCCTGAACTTGGTCCCCACAATGATTAGACTCAACTACACAAAAGATTCTTCCCATTATCCTCTTTTCCATAATTTCTTTATTAACCCAAAAATTCCAACCACCACCGACAACATATGAATATGTCAGTATTCATCAAATTATAATGATAATTGACAATACGTATATACCCAATCTCAAGGATAACAATCAAATGAAATAACCAAGCATAATATAGTATTTACAATAATAATCAAATAATATTTCCAAGCATAATATAGCATTTACAATATTTAATTAAATCAATGTATGCAAAAACCTCCCCAAGAAAAACCCCTACCTCAAATCCAAAATTGTTGTATAACTCCCAGTTGTAAGTTCAAACACCTCGAGTTCCTTCAACGAACTTCTTGTTCTACACTTTCTAATATTTCTCCTTTTCTTTCCTCACTCTATTGCTTCCTATCATGCATTACTATGCATGCTGTGTACAACAAGTTAAGAGAATTGGTTTCCTATTTATAGTGGTAAAAGGCGGTAAGTTGATGGTTTGTGATTGGTGGAGGGAAGGTTTGGTGATATACTTGATTTCCTAGATTATCCCACTTCTCCTAAGACCAACAGCTCATGCTTTAACCTAAAGCTTAGTCATCTAGGTAAGAGCTGAGTCATCTAGGTAAAGAGCTTAGTCATCTAAGTTTACACCTGTGAAGAAACTAGAGTGGTAAGTTTTTCTTGTGTAAATCTCTTGGTACGTGGCATTACTTAAATCAACCAAGTAAGTATTACAACAGTACTATTCCTGATATTTTGTCATGAAAGTAATAACTATGTGGTCAGATTATTATATATATATATAGCTATAACCCATATACATATGTAATCAATCTAAACGAAATTTTAACTTATAAGCAAAACATTTGATTTCCAAATATATATATATATATATTTATATATTTTTAAACCGGACTTCCCACCTTCAAGTTGTCAAGCGCATTTTTCGGTACATTAAAGGTACCGTTGAGCAAGGTCTTATCTTTCACCACTCCAACGATTTTTCCTTACGGAGTTTCTCTGATGCTGATTGGGCTGGTTCCGTTGATGATCGACGATCCACCATAGGTGCTTGTATATTCTTCAGTCCTAACCTCCTTACATGGACTGCCAAGAAACAGTCTACTGTCTCTCGCTCTAGTACTGAAGCCGAATATAGGGCTCTTGCCCATATTGCTGCCGAAATTCGATGGTTTGGTTACTTGTTTCGTGAACTTGACATTCCCCTTCGCTCTACTCCGTGCATCTATGTTGACAACCTTTCTGCACTCTACATGGCTGCCAATCCTATTTTCCATGCTCGCACTCGGTATATTGAGATTGACTATCACTTTGTTCGCGAATTAGTTGCTCGAAAAGCTCTTCATACCTCCTATGTTCCCTCCTCACATCAGCTTGCTGACATATTTACTAAAGGTCTCAGTCGTGATCAGTTTTCTCTTCTTAAATCCAAGCTTAATCTCCGCATTGCTCCGTTACGCTTGAGGGAGGGTAAAGAGCATACCACCACAGCTAATCCCATGAAATCAGCCGATCCCCCCAAATCAATATTGACAGACTCGATATCACAAGATCAGAAATATATTAGCTAAAGATTGATTTGTAATTTATTCTGACATATATAAGATTAATGCTACTTACCTTGTATTGCTTATTTTCTGTAAATAGACTTGAGAAAGTCTCCCTCCTGTACATGATATATACGGCTATAATACAAAGACCAAAGTATCATGGTCAGTTCAATTGCTATACTTCCATCTCTCATCTTCCTCCTCCCTTCTTGAGTCTGTTTTCTTATACAGAATAATAGTCTTGTTTTAATAAGTGGGGACAAAAATTGTGAGAATAGTACTGAATAGCTAGGTATTAGAGTCCTCATAGTTTAGGCGTTTAGCAAGTAACTTACTGTGGCATCAAAAGAGCTATAAATCTTGCAAGTCAACATCATAATAGCAGATTAATTTGTAGGGCTCGACACAAAGATGTAAAGAAAGGCCATTATGTTCTCTATATAATTAAACTACTGCAGAGCAGTCTAGTATTTCAGTACATTGATTCATTTACCTTATCAAATCCTAGCTGCTTTAGCACTAGCTTCAATGGAATTGATTAACAACCAGCTGTGCAAATTATCTATATGTTTCGGCTTGATCCTCTTGACGGGTGCTTGGTCTTGTGAAGCCACTTTTTGCAGTCTCCAAGATGCATCAATGGGTGGGAGATATGAGCAATGGCTTGCTCGTTATGGCCACGTATATAACGAGAAGCGATTCAATATATTTAAAGAAAACATAGCATTTATCCAATCTTCCAATAACGATGTGAAGACATCTTACAAATTGAGCATCAATTGCAGACCTTACAAATGAAGAATTCAAAGCCTTAAGAATGGATTCAAGGGGCATGAATGTTCCACAAAGAAGACTTCTTTCAAATACGAAAATATTACAGCAGCACTCCCAGCTTCAATGGACTGGAGAAAGAAAGGAGCTGTAACTCCTATCTAGGACCAAGGCCAATGTGGTAACTAAGCGTCTAGCTAAGTTTATTAATTTAAAGAAACACTGGATAGTCTTCTTTTGGAGCTTATGAAATTGTTTATGTTATTCTAACTACTGCTAATTGCAATCAAATACAGGATGTTATTGGGCTTTTTCGGCAGTGGCAGCCACCACTACTCACTACTACGTTTTACCCTTTGCGCAACGATATTTTGCGCGACAAACAGTTATTCGTTGCACAAGAAATCCTTGCGCGATGAAAAAATGCATGCGTAGCACAAACTATCGCTACACTTGCGCGACGACACATATCGTCACGCAAGATTACTTACCGCGACAGTACTGGTTATCGTCGCGTAAAGTTAGCAGGAAAAAATGGGGTTATTTTATTTGGCACCAAAAACTTGCGCAACGAAACGTATCGTCGCGAAAGAAAACTTAGGGTGAAAATATGCATTATCGTCGCGTAAAGTTTGCGAGGAAAACACGGGTTGATATTATTTGGTGCCAAACACTTGCGCGATGTTGAGGCCCAAAATATTCACGGTTCGGCCCAAATAAATTCTCGGCCCAATGCGATGCTTTACCAAGAAGAAACCCGATTTGGGCATGCGAAAGTTCATCATATGCGCTTGCACACATGCCACGCCAAACGACACGCCACGCTAAGCAAGGAATTATCATTCCGCACCTAATCACGCCACAAGCCTAGGTGGGCCCAAGCCACTCAAAAAACCCGGGGCTTGCTTGAGTGGGTTGTGGTATGGATGGTGATAAATCAACATGAGACCCATTGATGGACCGAGAAATGTAAAGTCTCGGGTTGCTTGGGAGCCTCGAGACTCAAGCCCGTTTCTTAGGCCCAAACATGTGGGTAAGCACAAGAGAGAAAAGTAGCCCAATACCCAAGCAAAACAACCCAACCAAAATAAAGCCCAAACTAAGAAGCCCAATGTTTAGTAAAAGCCCTTTTGCTTAGGAAATCACCTTGGCCCATATAAAAATCCTAAAATAGCCCACAAAAAACCTCAGCTTTTGGAGAAAGCAGAGGACACGTGAAGAGCAGATGGCAGACTCCTTAAGCAAAGCTGCTGGAAACCAGTCTCAAGCCAGAGACATCCAAAGAACCAATGAATACCATCCCGCATGCTGTCAGAAGCATCCCTTGGACCAGCATGTATTTTCACCTCTTTTCCTTCGTCAGGTTCAGCCAAGGAAGAGGAAAGAAAAGAAGAAAAAACAGCAAACCAAGAGTGGAAGCTCCCATTGCACAGCCGCGGGAAAGGGGGATGTTGAGCCCCCAAATCCCCTGAATTCATGAAAATAGACAGAAGCAATCTTTGCCAAGAAAGGGAAGTCAGAGAAGGGGAGGAGAAAGGAAGAAAAGCTTAGCCAAAGTAAGTAGAAGCCATTAGGGTTTCTTGAAAAATGGTGATTTCCAGCAGCTATAAATTGAGCCTTCCCCTACCCAACAAAAACAACCCACAACCTGCAGAGAGCAAGCTTTTCTCTCTATCTTGCAAAACTCAGACTCGTGCACTGTTCATCTTCTTCTCCAATTTGTTTTTCTGGCAGCTGCCAGAAGAACTCTGCCTTTCTTTTCCTCTTTCCCTAGTCGAATTCCTCACAAAACACCTCATTCCTTACTTAAACACTTTCTTTTCTCATAAACCAAGCCTAATTTCTCTCTTAGTGCTAAACCCATGTTGATTTTGCTCCCATGCCACATGCCACTCATGCTGAGCTGAAAAGACTATCTGTAAGCATGCCAAAACTATCTGCAAGTTACCATTATTCTCGTTGGTGAAGATAACCAAAATACTTCCTAAGGCTCTACTGCCTTTTCGAGGTATTTTGGGGCTTAATTTTCGAACTCAAGCTCAAGGGGCAATTTCTTCCATTTTGCCATTTACGGCAGTCAGGCCCGTAGTAGCTGCCGGAAGAAAAAAGCCCCTACATAAATTGGCGACTCTGCTGGGGATTAAGCCACTATCTGCACCAATGCCTCCAAAGAAGAAGACCAGAAGCAATAAACCGGAGGAAATAAAGAGATAAGAACATTTCCTCTTTCTTTTTCTTTTCCTTTTGTTGGCTATCTACTTTGTAGAACAAACATAATATAGATTACTCAAATGCTCCTTTTGCTTGTGTCTTAGATCTCCATTCTCAAGCAAAACAAGATCTTGTAAGAGGACTGGGGGCTTTAGCCAACGTGCAAGCCGCTGACCACCGTCGTCAATGGTTGAGGCTAGGTCTGCCGTTCACCTCTCTGCCATGATACATCATCAGCAAGTCTGGCCATCGCCGTAAATCACCTTCATAGCAGCCCTCACCTCTCTAGAGTTGTGAAAACACGGTGAGAGAGGGAGAAGGAACACTTGCTCAATGCTCTCAGCCTCATCTCTGCGAATGGCTTCACCAAGATAAGATTTTTATTATCATGCCTTGTTGATCTCAATATAGTATATATATTTGTTTGTTGTTTTAAGATATCCATAAAATTTATGTTTCATTGAACAATCTCAAGCATAGACAAAAGCATGTGCATTCAAGAAAAAAAAAAAAAGATTGATTAGTTGTTATTCATATGGTGCACCAGCTTGCATCATTTTCTTGTTATGTATTAAACCACCTTTCAATTTTGCATCTCCAGCAAAATTTCTCAGGGCCTTATTCCACGCACTATTCACTTATCTTACTTCTTATCATTTTGTATCGATCCACCTTTGTGTTAATCAATCCAAGTTACACATTGCAATGTAGATGCCAACTATGCATGCTCAGTACTAAAATCATACCTGCCCAACATGCTTATGTCAATTATGTTAGTCATTTGCAAGCTACAATGCTTATATTATTTTTATGCTTTGGTCATGCAGCATTATATCGGTCATGTGCAAGGGACCCAAGCCTCCAAACAACAAACAAGAAAACAAATGCTCTCATGTTTCCTACCCAACATCTCAACACACTGCCATTATCATCTATTCCTTAGACAAATCTCTCTCTATACTTCCAGTCATAGAAGTTCAAGCACCACTGAAAGAGCCGCTGGAAGGGTGGAAGAAGAACAGAGCCAGTCAAAATCCAAACACCACTGCTGGAAGAGTCGCTGCCAGAAGCACATGCTACCACCGGATCATGCCAAACTGTCACCGTTGCAACAAAGGGATATCCCAAGTTCATCATGCCATGCAATAACCCAAACAAATACTAAGAAGGCCATGTTGCAAGAGTTTTTGTAGCCTATGCCCATCAAATCCTTTTCTGATGATTATGGTGCACTTGGGGGGCTGAGGAAGGAATTCATTGCAATCACCACGGCAGTGATTCCAAAACCCCAAATGAGCTTAAAAATCCATTATTACCAAAACCACTATTCCCAGACCAAAAATCTCCTTGAAATCCCAATTATGTTACTATGACCTCCAAGTTCGCCATCACTTGTTGTTGTAACCCAACACATTTGCTGCAGTGACCACATACAAAGCTCAAGCTTCAATAGCCAAGTCCAAGTTTTTGGTTCCTAAAACATGTTCACAACAGCTGCAACAAACAATACCTAAGTTGCCATAACTGATATGCTCCAACGCCTCAAGCACTTTCTAAGCCTTGACCATTCCAATGACCAAGTTTAGGAGTCAAAACCAAAAGGCTATCGGGATGTCTCAATTGCCACAATTCCATAATCAAGCATCATCAAGCCCCGAGCCTTAGTCAAGAAATCCAAGCACTATGCTTTACTCAAGAAGGAAAACATCTCAATTCATGGCAAATGAAAGGAAAATATTGTGAAGGTAGTGCTATGATACTGCTGGAAGAACCTAAATGCTGTCAAGATGAAGTTTATTTTACCAAGCAATTAGAATTTTTGAAGCGATGTCAAGCTTTCAAGAAAAGGGGTGCTGGAAGCGTATTTTCCTATATTCATCCATTCTTCACCTGCAACATCCACCATTGCTTGCCATACTCTAAGGAAGATCTTACACGCCGAGATACATGACAAAACTCTAAGAGGCAAGCTATTGACAAGGACCCCTTGCCAAAACGAAGGGGAAAGTAGATGGCTACTGTCATTACGTGCTTTGATGACTTGCTCGACGACGACGTATTGTGCCACCTGTGGAAGAATGACCCAAAGCCACCGGAGGCTATGTGGGAACCTTGTGGAAATATGAAGAAGGCCAACTGGAGCAAATATTCAAAATCTGCAAGCTATAACACCCCATGGCTACTTGCTAATTGATGGGAGAATGGTTCCAACAGCGAAGTATTCACATTGGACATGCTGGAAGAAAGCCACTCGGAGGCTTCATTTGGTCATCAAGATTATCAAGAAGCAGCTTTTGTAACCTCTCATAACTTCACAGAGGTTGAAGAAAGTACAATGGGTTAGGAGCTGCAAATCACTCTTTGATTAGTTGGGTATGAGCTGAAGGCAAGCAAAGCAGCAACTGTGGCTCTGTTAAATATCTCTACAGAGCATGGCATCCTAGTACAACACATGCCAAATACATGCCAACCTAAGCCACAAGCTTTCATGCCATTGCAAGTCATGCACAACCTTGGGCCCTTTCATATTTGGGGGCTTGATTTGATTGGAGTATTCATCAATGCAAAGTGGCTCAAGGTCTTATTATTGCTGAATTGCTTTTGCACCTATCATTTTGTTTTTGGCTTTTCAAAATTTATTTCAAAAATGAACTCCTTATGTATTTTCACCCTATGCTTTCACAACTTTTTTAAAATGCACCACCATTATAGCATGCCGAGGTGTAAGACGATATTTGCAAGGAGAATGGAGTATTTTGGAAAAAGAAAAAAAAAGCCTCTAGAATCCTTTCCTTACTTTTATCTTCTTCTGTTTTGCAAAACGTGTTCTTTGAAAAGAAAAGAAAATAGACAAACAAACTTTTTTTAAAAGGCTAAGCCTCTCAGCAGTAACTATACCAAGCAAAGCCACTTAGATGGGGTCCCGAACTGAAACAAGCATCAAGCCTAAGCAAACGATGTGGGGTATGCAAAGTCAAGCTATTACAAAGAAACGAGCAGTAAAAGTGTATTTTGAGGCGCTGGAATAACGAAACCGTTGACTCCCAATCGGAATGCTCAAAAAACTTCACAACATCCAGCAATTCTTACAGGAGCCTTCGTGGAAATCATGCATACAGTGGCCTGACCCTTTTTAAGGCACGGAAAGAGGGTGCATTTTAGGCCAAATGAGTAGACGAGCCTTGCAAAAGTTTTAAAGAGCAATGCATCGAAGATTTAGCTTAAAGGTCCTGTCAAAATTTTGGGCAGCATATACCTTGTTTTTAAGGCTTGCCAACTCGTCAGAAAATTTCAAGAAGTTCACAAGAGCAAGTTCTCCCAACCAAACAATATATATATAAGATGTACGAATTACAACATGCCTCAAGCATTCAGAAATTAATGCAAGTTCCAGTGGTTCAGTAGTACATTACAAAGTCATAATGACATAGTCGTTAGATTATCTGAAAAGTACACAGCCATCGCAAAAACAAGGTTACACATGCTGGAGATTAGTACATCCTATGGTATCAAGAAAGATGGAAGCTGTGCACCGAGCCAACTGACCCCAAGCCAAAGAAAACAACCTGCGAAATAAAAGGAGGCAGCACTGCTGGAAGGTGCAGGACAATGCCGGCAGCTATGTTGGATGTTCCGAGAAGAGGAGAAGTAGAAGGCAGCACGCTGGAAGATGCAAGGCAGCGCCGGCAGCTATGTCGCATGTTCTGAGAAGAGGATGAGTAGGAGGCAGCACTGCCGGAAGGTGCAGGGCAGTGCCGGCAGCTATGTTGGATGTTCCGAGAAGAGGAGAAGTAGAAGGCAGCACGCTGGAAGATGCAAGGCAGCGCCGACAGCTATGTCGCATGTTCTGAGAAGAGGATAAGTAGGAGGCAGCACTGCCGGAAGGTGCAGGGCAGTGTCGGCAGCTATGTTGGATGTTCCGAGAAGAGGAGAAGTAGAAGGCAGCACGTTGGAAGATGCAAGGCAGCGCCGGCAGCTATGTCGCATGTTCTGAGAAGAGGATGAGTAGGAGGCAGCACTGCTGGAAGGTGCAGGGCAGTGCCGGCAGCTATGTTGGATGTTCCGAGAAGAGGAGAAGTAGAAGGCAGCACGCTGGAAGATGCAAGGCAGCGCCGGCAGCTATGTCGCATGTTCTGAGAAGAGAATGAGTAGGAGGCAGCACTGCTAGAAGGTGCAGGGCAGTGCTGGCAGCTATGTTGGATATTCCGAGAAAAGGATGAGTATGAGGCAGCACTGCTAGAAGGAGCAGGGCATTGTCTACCCCTGTATCGGATGTCCCAAGAACATGGGGGCTATGGGAATCATGCCGCCATGCGCTATTGCTAAAGCCAAGGGGAACACCTGCGCATGCAGACAATCTTGGGAAAAGTCACAGAGCAGGAATTTCCCGAGCCATAATGATACAAACGCAGCAAGACGACACAAGCATTCTTGAGAAATGGAGGGGGCCTTCCCCTCTTCAATTTATCATCCGTTGAATAAAGGTGGCCACTAATAATTGACAACGGGTTAGTGAATGCCATGGCAGGTCTTGACAAGCGATGAATCCCTGCAAGAATTGCCAACAAAGAATACGCTGAAAAAACGGCAAAGCATAAAGCTAGTTCTCTGTGTTAAAGCCAAGCAATCTCCACACTAGCATGCAAGCCCTATGAACTTTACAAGCCAAGCAAAGCAAGCTATCTCATGCCAAGCGAAATGCATAAACAAAAAATATATATATTTTGGAGCATCATGCAATCTATTACTCGAGCTCATGATGAGCAAATTTCCCATTCCATGCTCAATCAATCATTCCAGCAGACCCTTTTTCACAAAGCAAGTGCTACAAACTGAGCACTATTTACCTCATAGTAACCTTTTTCACAAAAACGAAATACCTACGAGTTACACATCCTTGCAGACCCATCATACACATGTTTATGTCTATCCCTATAAAGCCAAAAAAATAAACAGTTATCCATGACCAAATTCTAAGCTCATAAAGAAAAAAAAAGAAAAGAAACCAATGGTGCTTTTCTCAAAGCTTTCAATAGCCTCTAATCCTATGCATTAATCATACGATTACAAGCATGCGCTCGTGATGCATATAGTTCAACAACAAAAAAGCGGGTCAAGAACGCAGCACACGCAAAATATACGCCAAGCAGGGCAAGTCAAGCTCAGGCCAAAGGAAACACTTAAGCAAATACCCAAGCAGCATACAATTTATCCATGGCAAGCGAAATTTTCAAGCAATTCCCATGACAAGCAAATTCTCCCTCAAAATGCAAAAGGATTCAAGCATTGCAGAGCATGCACTCTATCAATTTCTATTTCCACAACATGGGAGAAAAGTCCAAATTTATTTAAGCATGCGAAAAACAAGCCTAGGCCAAGATATCAGTCTATATATGTTCCTACAGAGTTAAAAGGGAGGACCTGAGATTCCAGTGAACAAGCAAAGCCCATGGGCATGAAGAACCCAACAAGCCCCTCGATTGATTCAAGAAATTGCAAAGAGGAAAGGGCATACCTTGTCAATCACCTCAAAGGACGACCTCAAATGCACCAAGAAAGAAGGGATGTTGGTGCTGGAAGAAGGGTAGTTGGTGCCGGGAGAAGGGTAGTTGGTGCCAAAAGAATATCGTATCTTCTATTTCACGTTACCATCTCCTTCAGCACCATTGTTGATCTCATTATTTATGCAACCAGCTGACCCATCATTGCAATTATCCCCATGTGTTTCTGCGCAGACTTTGGCACCATCATTATTTTCAGGCATACTTAAGAATTGGTCTTTCTGAAGATGGATACTTCGGCAACTAATACTTGCAAGAACTTCTTCTCATGGCTATACGACAACTCCTGAAAAATCACAAGCTTTATTCATGCAATTGCACTACAGCAAAATTTAAAGCTTTTCAGACAAAACATCTTGCGAAAGGCTTATGGGGGCTTAAGAGAATCCATCATAGCAAACAGCACATGCAAACTCCAAATGACTTGGGGGCTTCATGTCAAGCAAAAGAGAGAGACAAGAATCCTGAAGCTGTTGTAAATTTCAATTTTCCTCTTGGAGGAAAGCAAACTGTTTGTTACTTATCTGGAGGAAAACAAGCTGTATGAATCTCTTCCAGCAACTCGCTTAGCCTCTTCCTTCTCATCTTCAGTCTACTTCTTCCAAAGATCTTCTTTGAAGCAAGTTGCAAAAAAAAAAAAAATAAAAAAAATTTACAAGCAGGCCTCTACTTTGTTTCTCGACCCTGAGTAAGCCAAAGAGAATATAACCCAACTCTGCAACCAATTGCTGACCTCAACAAGCTGACTTGAGGGCTTCATGCCAAGCAAATTCAAGGAAGTACACCATGCCATCCAAACAAGCAAACCCATCTACCTTTTTTGCCACACAGTATAAATCATCTCTTTGATTACAACAAGCCTAGATAATCTTGCATTATGGTGAGAAACAGTTTTCTATTTCCCCTTTTTGAAACAAGCCAAGTTACATTCTTCTAGCACCTACTCCATAAGCAAAGAATTTTTATCACCTACCCTATTTCAAACATCCTTCCAGTACATGCCTAATTTCAAACATTCTGCCAGTTTCAAATCTTCCAAAAGCCTTCATATCGCAAGTCAAGGTGCAAGCAACCCAAAACTCACCTTCATGCTACCAAATCCCTTGCAAATTAGTAAGAAGATGGCATTCCTCATGCTTTGGAACCTCTCAATCAAGCCTGAAAAAGAAACAAGGGAGTACGTTGGCCAGATCAGGTGTCGGAAGGGAACTAGTAAACAGAAAGGGGGTGCCGGAAGTAGAATCGCTATTAAAGCATAATGTTTTCCAAAGACAAGTTGCAAGAGACCAAGACTCACTTTCATGCTATCAAAGTAGACTTCTCATGCTTTATCATGCTTTCGAGCTTTTAAAACAAGAGAATATGTTAGCCAAAATCAGACGCCGGAAAGGTACTCATACACAAACGGATGTGCCGGAAGCATAATTTTCTCAAAGTGCAAGCAAACTCATCTATCAAGCATTTGACAAAATTCACAAGGTGTGATACCAATTCACATACCAAGAAATTTCATTTCATTCAAGCATTCCAAGAAATTCGGGCATTTCAAGCAAATTGAAGAACTCATGCTCTTGCGACAATACCATTCCACTTCATGCTCTCACGACAATATTGCTCAAGAACATGCTCTAGCAATACTCAGATCAGCACTCAATACCAACAGAAAGGACATGCTAAATTCCCAAGCAAAAGCAACATGCCAAGCAAAACTTATACACAAGCTTTTCAACCATCCTAGCTAGAATATCCCACCTTTAGAAAATCACTATAAATCAAGCTTACAACCAACAAATCCCAGACTTCCCAGATTAGAACTAGACATATCAAGCTTCATTTTTCCAAAATTTCGTTTCATTTCGAGCTAGGGAAGCATGTCAAACAGATTTCTAAAACAGCCCATGCAGCAGAAACTGTACAGCTCCAGCACCTTAACCCTTACTTTGAAATTCCACCGAAAATTCATTTTTTCTTCAAGTGATGCAAGACCAATTCCAACATAACCATTGAGAAGTCCATTTTTATGTCTCAAAAGCTCCAACTCAGATTCGAAAAGAAACATTTCAAAAGTTCAAAAACAGCCAGCAAGCTACTTTGAGATATTTTGACAAACACTTGGCATGCATACCCAAGTGAGCTTGTATAACTCTTGTTTATTACCAAGCTAGAATCCTAAATCAAAAGCTCAACCTTAGAATTCGATTTCTAGTTCACAAATTCTGGGAAATACAGAGGAACTCAAGCATTCAAGCATAGAAGACAAGCATGCAACAAAGGCATCAACATCAACTCATGAACATGCTTTAGAAAAATGGAGGCAGAGAGCACCAGAATGGGTGGATGATCCTCAATTTTGGATTTGTTATAAACAACATAATTTCAAGCAAATTTTGTGAAGCAAGTGCAATCATACGAGCATCATAAGTTAAAGACACATGCAGAAGAAAAATCTGCAAAAACTCACCAACCATGGATGAATGCAGAAGTTGCAAACCAGCTTTGAGGTATCAGAAAAATTCAAAAAATTCTGAAAATTTTACTGGCTATAGTACTCGAGCAGATGAACAACTTTGATCAAGGAAGTTTTCTGATCCGAGCTTCCGAAATATGACTTATGTACTGATGCACAATACCCACGGGTTTGGGTCTTGAAGAAGAGGAAAGAAGAGAATGAGAGAAAATCATAAAATAAAGCATGCCATGCCAAATGAAAGGAAAAGAGGGTAGACACTTGCAAATAATAAAAAATTCAAAGGAAAGGGGCAACAAAATTTTGCCCATCTGAAGGCCAAGCCAGCAAGGAGACAACGTGCCCAGCTCTCTTATGCTCTCTCAAACTCGTATCTCTTCTTCCACCCATCAATACAAGCATTTGTGAATCAATCCACGCAAACCATGCAACTCAAGCATTTCACTTAGATGCAATCATTTCAAGCAAACCAAACCAAATATCACAATATCAAGCTTTTCAAGCAATACAGTCATCATAAATGGCAATGTTAGAACTTGGCAGTTCTAGTTGCTGGAAGCACATAGAAGAAGTCATGCTATCATGCCAAATTGTCCTCATTGCAACAAAGGGGTATCATTTTTCCAAAACACCAATATTCATGCTACCGGAAGAGTGAACCCTCATGCCAGATCAAGCTATATCTTGATTCAACTCAACCATTAGATTATCCAAGTCCAAGCTAATCATGCCAAGCCAAGTCACATTTTTTCCAGCACCTATTCCATGCCCAACAAAACCGTTTCCAGCACCTATCCTATTCCAAATATCCTTCCAGCACTTGTTATATTCCAAATATCCTTCCAGCACATGCCCTATTTCAAACATTCTACCAGCACATGCCCTATTTCAAATATCCTTCCAGCTTGTTATATTTCAAATATCTTTCCAGCACATGCCCTATTTCAAACATCCTTCCAGCACATGCCCCATTTCAAGCATTCTTCCAATATCTAGCCATCATGTCGCACGATATCACCTTCATTGAAGTTTTGTCCTCTAAATTCAAAGTGTTCTGAGGCTGGTGCTGTAAAATCAAACACAATGGTGAATCCAAGCTTATTGCATCCGCAACTCTAAGATTGGATCCCCACTATCCACTAGCACGTCCGGCTACTGTCAAATGACATCCACCATGCTAAATGTCCCAAAAGCCATATTAAACCATGCTACCTTAGCCAAAACCAAGCATCCAAGCATGCAAGCCAAAATCAAGCATACACGCCAATACCAAGTATCAAGCCAAAATCAAGCATACATGCCAATGCTAAGCATCAAGCCAAATACCAAATATACAAGTCAAAGCAAATCATGCAAGCCAAAATCAAGCATACATAACTAATATTAGATACACAAGTCAATGCAACTCTTGCAAACCACAATCATGCAAAATCAAGCCTCTCTAGTCACTCAAGCAAATAAATCATGCGAGCTAAGTAGTTATCTTGAGCTAATCCACCAAGCATTTTCTTCTATATCATGCCACAAAATAAGGTCAACTCTTGGTAACTCTAGTAAGTGACCTCCAAAATTACAGTGTCTAGGAAAGTTCTTCAAGGCAACACCCTCGGTGTTTAAGAAGGATTGGGTTTTAAGCGGGACCATTGTGACCCCTCCAACCTTCCCGGAAAAGACCTGGCTGTAATTTCAGAGACTCTAACCTGTTATCCTTGAGTTGCTCCTAAACCCATGCCATGCCATGCCACGGTAATTTATTTTGGGCTGAAAATTGATTATTCGGACCATTTCAATACACATTCATGGCCCCAATAATCAAGGGGGCTAATGTTGAGGCCCAAAATATTCACGGTTCGGCCCAAATAAATTCTCGGCCCAATGCGATGCTTTACCAAGAAGAAACCCGATTTGGGCATGCGAAAGTTCATCATATGCGCTTGCACACATGCCACGCCAAACGACACGCCACGCTAAGCAAGGAATTATCATTCCGCACCTAATCACGCCACAAGCCTAGGTGGGCCCAAGCCACTCAAAAAACCCGGGGCTTGCTTGAGTGGGTTGTGGTATGGATGGTGATAAATCAACATGAGACCCATTGATGGACCGAGAAATGGAAAGTCTCGGGTTGCTTGGGAGCCTCGAGACTCAAGCCCGTTTCTTAGGCCCAAACATGTGGGTAAGCACAAGAGAGAAAAGTAGCCCAATACCCAAGCAAAACAACCCAACCAAAATAAAGCCCAAACTAAGAAGCCCAATGTTTAGTAAAAGCCCTTTTGCTTAGGAAATCACCTTGGCCCATATAAAAATCCTAAAATAGCCCACAAAAAACCTCAGCTTTTGGAGAAAGCAGAGGACACGTGAAGAGCAGATGGCAGACTCCTTAAGCAAAGCTGCTGGAAACCAGTCTCAAGCCAGAGACATCCAAAGAACCAATGAATACCATCCCGCATGCTGTCAGAAGCATCCCTTGGACCAGCATGTATTTTCACCTCTTTTCCTTCGTCAGGTTCAGCCAAGGAAGAGGAAAGAAAAGAAGAAAAAACAGCAAACCAAGAGTGGAAGCTCCCATTGCACAGCCGCGGGAAAGGAGGATGTTGAGCCCCCAAATCCCCTGAATTCATGAAAATAGACAGAAGCAATCTTTGCCAAGAAAGGGAAGTCAGAGAAGGGGAGGAGAAAGGAAGAAAAGCTTAGCCAAAGTAAGTAGAAGCCATTAGGGTTTCTTGAAAAATGGTGATTTCCAGCAGCTATAAATTGAGCCTTCCCCTACCCAACAAAAACAACCCACAACCTGCAGAGAGCAAGCTTTTCTCTCTATCTTGCAAAACTCAGACTCGTGCACTGTTCATCTTCTTCTCCAATTTGTTTTTCTGGCAGCTGCCAGAAGAACTCTGCCTTTCTTTTCCTCTTTCCCTAGTCGAATTCCTCACAAAACACCTCATTCCTTACTTAAACACTTTCTTTTCTCATAAACCAAGCCTAATTTCTCTCTTAGTGCTAAACCCATGTTGATTTTGCTCCCATGCCACATGCCACTCATGCTGAGCTGAAAAGACTATCTGTAAGCATGCCAAAACTATCTGCAAGTTACCATTATTCTCGTTGGTGAAGATAACCAAAATACTTCCTAAGGCTCTACTGCCTTTTCGAGGTATTTGGGGCTTAATTTTCGAACTCAGGCTCAAGGGGCAATTTCTTCCATTTTGCCCTTTACGGCAGTCAGGCCCGTAGTAGCTGCCGGAAGAAAAAAGCCCCTACACGCGACGATACATATCGTCGCGAAAGAAAACTTAGTGCAACAAAACACGTTATTGTCGCGCAAGAAAACGCGGGGATGTTTTATTTGGGGTCAAAAACTTGCGCGACGAAAAGGGAGTATTTGCGCAACGACAATTAGTTGCACGACGAAAGTTGTTTAGTCACTTAAAGTAAGATATGGGCACGTAACAGCGCGACGAAAAGTGTAATTTGCGTGACGAAAAAGGAGCATTAGCGCAAAGACAATTAATTGCGCGACGAAGGTTTTCTCATCGCGTATAATAGGATGTCGGCACGTACCAGCGCGACGAAAAGTGTAATTTGCGGGATGAAAATGACCAATTGTGTGTTGAATATGAATTTTTGCACGACGAATGTGAACTTTGCACGACGCAAGTTTGTGCGATGAAACCCCCTTTCATAGTGCAAAATCCTTCGTGAAATATAACCTGCATTTAGCTATTGCAGAGGCAATCTGTAAAAAATTTGCAGATTGGCTCTGCCTCTTCCTCTTCCTCTCTCTCTATGCTAGGAATTCATTACGTTCATTGGGTAAATATTTTTTGTCGTTAGTTTAAAAGTATTAATGTAAATTCATACTAACGACATTAATGTCGTTGTCTATAGGGATATTATTTGTGATTAGCAATTGGTGGAGAACGATTGAGAAGGTATTTTCTTCGTTTTATATTTTAAAAATATAAAATTAATTATATTATGTTAAACTTCGTTTGTTGTGTTTATATTATTTTGTGAAATTATATTTATATTATGTTGTTAAATTGTGCGTGACGTAGAACAATGTGTTGTGATTCGTACTTTATTTTTATTTTTAGTAAAACTTAGTTTCCCGTTCGAGATTAGTTGGATTTCGTGCATGGATGTGAAAGCATGACTGCGGTCTAATTAATTCTTGAATTGTCCTATTATTTGGACAGTTTGGGAATGCATAGTCATGTCAAGTAATTTACGGCTACTGGATTAGGTTTCGGTGTCATCTCTGTACGTTCTTCGGGTGGTACATAGGTATTTTATACCTACAGTACACCTCAAGAGCTATATCGAGATGCTGCAGAAATTCATCCACGCTGAAATCTAATCTCATGTAGCCGTAAATTACGTGGCATGACTATGCAATCCCAAATGGGATAGGGGCCTTACCGGAGGCATAAGGTGACATTATGATTTTGTAAGAAGTTGTTGTGATTGTGGTTCCAGGAATTATGAGCAAGAGGTGACTATAGAACCCGAATAGATGCGCAGACGAATACTTGGATGGAATCGATGATTTTATTGACTACGTACACACAACCCGGGTGCAACTTGAATCCGGTGTCCTTGTAGGAGCTGGAACAACACGTTGTGGGAGACAATTGAAAATGTTCTATTTCATTTAGTAAGGAATGAAATGATTGAGACATATAGCACTTGGAACCATCACAGGGAATAATTAGACATTGCTTCGTCTTCAAGAGCCACAAGAGTGGACAATGTTGAACCTATTATGGATCCTAATGAACAAGTCAAGGATATTATAAATGATGTTTTTCCATTTGCTCAACCAACATCAATCAGGAAGGGAAAGATGACGTGCCTACACCAATGGACAGTGCAGAGTTCGAACAATATGAAAAACTGTTAAAAAATGTCGACCAAGAGTTATACCCGGGGTGCAAGAGCTTTTCCATTCTCACGGCCATTGTGGAGCTAATGCGTAGAAACATAAAGTATCGTATGTCAAACCTGTGTTTCAATTACTTTTTGGGGGTTAAGAGAATGCTTCCGACGGTCAGTTGTTTGTCGAAAGACCATAGACAAGCACAAAAGGTGTTGAATGGTCTTGGATTGGGTTATGAAAAAATTCACGCTTGCAAAAATAATTGCATGTTATTCTACAAAAAGTATGAAACATTGGATACATGCCCTATATGCAATGAGTCGAGGTTCAAAATGGCATCTCATAATAGAATGACTAAGATCTCACAAAAAGTCATGCGTTATCTGCCCCTGAAACCTAGGTTGTAGCAATTGTATATGTCGACGCATACTACCACAGATTTGAGATGGCATAAGGAAAAATGGGTAGACCACGATGTGATGCGACATCCTGCAGATGAGAAGGCATGGAAAGAGTTTGATCGAATGTTCCCCGAGTTTGCTGTTGATCCCCGAAATGTTTGATTGGGACTTGCCACTGACGAATTCAATTCGTACGAGGTTCTAAACCAACACCACAACACTTAGCCAATTTTCGTATTCCCACATAATTTGCCGCCTTGGAAATGCATTAAAAAAGAATACATGATGATGACTGCTTTGATAACTAAGGATCCTGGCAGGTCAATCGATGTTTACTTAAGGCCGTTGGTTGATGAGCTCAAGGATTTATGGACAAACGGTGTGTGCATGTACGATAAATCCACTGGGAAGATGTTCACTTTGCGGGCAGCAGTTATGTAGATTGTGAATGATTTTCCCGCATATGCAATGGTTTCTGGGTAGAGCACAAAGGGTTATATGGCATGCCTCATATGCAAGGAAGATGTAACTTCTGGTTGGCACACTGGAAACGTTTGTTACCTTTGTCATCGGATATGGTTGCCATGGGACCACGAGTGGCGGGAAAAGGATAAAGAGTTCGACGGGAACACAGAGCGTCGCCTTAGACCTAGAGAATGGTCCGGTGATGAGATCTTGGAACAGCTTAACCGTTTGGATTTTGCTTAGTTCGGGAAAACAGTTAGTCGGACCAGACCTTCTATACATTTGAACTGGACGCACAAGCCTATGTTTTTTGGGCTCCCATGTTGGTCAAAACTAAAATTGAGGCACAATCTCGACGTTATGCATGTTGAGAAAAATTTCTTTGACACATTGATGGGCACGATTCTAGATATCAAGGGCAAAACAAAGGACACGATCAAAGCTCGTCTTGATTTGGAAAGAATGGGCATACAAAGAGGTTTATGGATGAATAGGGATGGTGATAAAGCTAGAAGGGATCTTGCATTTTTTTCCATGAAACCGAATGACAAAAAAGATTTTCTAAAGTTTGTATCGTCTGTAAAGTTTCCCGATGGGTATGCTTCTAATATCGCACGTTGCGTGAATGTTGACGAGGGTAAATTTGCTAGACTAAAGAGCCATGACTGCCATGTGTTTATGCAACGCCTACTTCCTATGGGTATTCGACACGTATTGCCGGAAGATGTAGTGAAACCAATCATGTTGTTGTCCAGATTTTTTTCCCAACTGACAACAAAAACGTTGTGAAAGACAGACATTAATAAGTTGCGCCATGACATTGTCCAAGTCCTATGAAAGTTTGAGATGATATTCCCCTCAGCTTTATTCACAAGTATGATCCACGTGATGGTTCACTTGCCAGGAGAGGCATTGCTTGCTAGTCCTGTCAACTATCGTTGGATGTATCCAATAGAAAGGTATATAATCCTTATCCCACGCTTGCTCATTTTTATCGTATCATTTTATTTTGGCAGGCTTCTCGAAGAGCTGAAAAAAACTGTACGCAACAGGGCAAAGCCTGAAGGATTAATTATAGAGGCTTGGGTTCAATATGAGTTGCTTAATTTCTGTGAAATGTATTTAAAATATGCGGAGACAACTTTCAATCGTCCTCAGCGCAATAATGACGGAGGTGTGAGAAATGAGAAACTTTCTGTTTTTGCCCAAGGAGCACGACCCTTTGGAGATCCTGCACGAGGAGAGTCGTTTTCCATAAATGACATGGAGGTAGCGCATTGGTTCGTACTGAACAATTGTGATGAGATAATGGCATACTTAGATGAGCATAAAGAGATGATGAAGCGAGAGCATCCATCACATTTGTATGCCAAGAAACACCATGAATTGTTTCCACAATGGTTTTTGGAATATGTCAGTTATAAGTGTTTTGTATTTGACATATATATTGTAGCATTTAATTTTCTCAAATTAACATGCGAATGTTTTTGTATAATAATATACGTGTAATTTCATCGCATGAAGTTGTAATTTTGCACGACGACTACAGTTCTCGTCGCGTAAAGTTGTAATTTTATAATAATATACATGTATATATCTATATGTATTTATATATATTATATATGTGTATATGTGTATATATATATACATGTTTATGTGCATATATGTGTATATATGTACATTATAGTATATGTGTACGTAATAATAATAATAATATACGTGTAATATATGTATATATATGTGTAGTATATGAGTATATATAGTATACATGTGTAGTATATGTATATATATAGTATATGTGTAGTATATTTATATATATCCACTACTAGAAAACTTTGTCGTAGGCCATTGATACACTCGTGGCCTATACTAATGTTAACCACAGTCTATCTATGATAAAAGGGTTGACCACAGATCACATAATTGTGGTCCAAGTACTTGTAGACTTTTTAATATGATTCATCAGTAATTTTTATAATCATTCTTTAAAATAAAAATAAAAACTTTTCGTGACACCAGTAAATCATAAGTCGCGCAAAATGTTGCGGGACGCGCTGTTTCGTCGCAGAACCTAACTTTGAGCGACGCCAAGTCTTCCTATGTCGCGCAGCACAACTTTGAGCGACACCTAGGCATCCTACGTCGCGCACTGCTATAATTTTCGAGGGTTTAGGGTTTAGGGTTTGCTTGACACCAGTATATTTTTACATCGCACAAGTTGGCGAAAATTTTGGCAGAATTACTACCTTCGTCGTCATGCAAGGTGGCGACATTTTGGCTGAATTATTAGCTTGCGTGACGGTTTACTTTCTTCGTCGCGCAAGTTGGCGAATATTTTGGCGGAATTAATACCTTGTGCGACGTCAACATTTTTTTACGTCGCGCAATCTGACCTTGCACGACGGTTTTACTTTCGTTGTTGCGCTAGTTCGAGAAATTTTTTTGAAAAAAACATGCAAGTATAGACCCCTTGGTTCCTCTCTCTCCTTCGATGCCTCCCCTTCCCGATACTCTCTCCCTCCATAACCACCACATCCATCCACCTCAACCCACGAAACCGACACAGGACCCGACCGCCACCACCTCTCAGTTCCTCTCTCTCATTCGACCCCTCCCCCTCTCGATACTTCCTCCCTCCACAACCACCACATCCAACCACCTCAACCCATGAAATTGGCGCAAGAAGGACCGAGCCACCGCCACCTTCGAACTCCAGCCCTTTTCCCACCGTCACCGTCACGCCTGCAGCCGGAAACCACTCGAAATTGGGCCGGTATTAACTGATTTTAGCGGGCCTCGTTCTCTCTCCTCCGGCCACCAGACCGGACGTGTGAGATATGGTTTCTCGACTATTTTTCGTGCTCTAGATGATGGTTGGGTAGGATTTTATCAATTTCTAGTTTTGGTATCTCGATTTTTAACCCTAAGTTTGGCCCCTTTTTTAATTGAAATTCTAGCCACTTCCAGCCATTTTTCAAGGTAGGTCGAAGAACAAAGTGGCTCCAATTGATGTTCTGAACCTAGGGTAGGAAGCTTGGCCCTTAATTTTGAGAATTTTCCGGTGATCATTATCGCTTTGGACACCTACGCGCTGTCGGCGAGTGTGGTGGTGCGTAGGTACTGTAACAGAGGGGCATTGTGTCCCAGTGCGATCCCCTAGTTGTCACGAGAGCTTAGGTGTGCTCAGATTTCAATTTGGTTACCGTTTGAGTCTCGAACGGATTTCGCCTATTGTGCAATTTTCAGGTTTGATATGTTCGGACCGTTGGATTGAACTCAAACTCACGTATATTGTACCTTGTATTTCTTGGATTGTATAGGATTCGACAGATTGTGGATCGGAGTCTCAGATACTCCGAAATAGTGAACCCTAGGGCAAGATATGCTTTAATTAATTAGTGAAAATTCTTAATGAAATTATATATGCTTAGATTATATCTTGGTAAATTGGATTAATTTTTATGTTTATTAATTAATGAAGATTCTTATATATTTTTGTTTTATTAGATGTTGGCCCCATTTAAAAAAATTAAATAAATGTTTAAATGGTGTTAGACCACATATTAGAGTAACTATGTTTTTAACTTTGGATGCTTGTTCAATTGTGCAGATGTCAAACCTTATTAGAAGTTGTAAGGCAGTGACGACTGCACAGAGTTCGCCTCCCCTAGCTTAGCCGTCATCAGCGTCATCAATAGAGCAACCTGTTAGTGCCAGGCGTCGTCACCACCTCTCCAGCACCACCGACACAACATTGACAGACGCTACTAGTGTGTCGAGGTCACAACCAGGTAAAGATTTCCTTGAACTCCAGCAATTTTGGATCAATATTTTAGTGCGATTTGTTATTTAATGTTAATTTATATTTCTTTGCAGCCAAGAAGAACATCTGGGGGCCTTGTCGCCAGTTGAAGACGACGAAGGTCACCGGGTGACCAACAGTCGTATCAACATCAGATACGATGAGCGGCATCGGCCTGCACCAATGGCAGAATTGCATAGGTCATTGGCCCACGACATTGGTCACATCGTTTGGACCCATTGCCCGATGATATGGAAGTCTTGGAAGGTCATTGCAGACAAACTACAATTTAGAGGACCTTAACGAGGAGTCGTTGGCGTACGTCAACAAACTCTTTGCTGAGAGGTATAAGCAGTGGAAGAGTGACTTGCACCACCATTTTCAGGGATTTGATGATCCACAGGTCGCTCTTTAGGAGGGTTGCTCGAAGGAGTTTGAGGAAAAGGATAGTTGGGTGTGGCTTTACGACGTTTATGTTCGACCTTGGAATGAGTTGGCCGAGTCCCTTCACGTAAGTATTCTTTAATTTTAATTATTATCTTACACATTCAAGTTTCATGGTTATTATATGAATGTTTTAATTAATATTTTATGTTATGTTAAACAGACGACGATGATGGAGAAGAGCCAGTTGGTTCTTCAGGAGTCCGCCTCCCAACTTCCTCCCTATACTCCACTCAAGTTTGTAGATCCTCCACAGGATACGGGGTTTCAGATCCTGACGGAGACCTCGGGTCAGACTCTTGGGAGGAGGCCAGGGACTTATTGTTGAGGGATAGGGAATGCCCGGTGGCGGGAACCTCGACCTCGTTCATCGTCGCAGTCAAACGAGGTGACTGCTTTGATACCAACGGTGGCCGGCATTCCAATCCCGCATTTTGGTCCCTCGTCGACCTCCGAGCCGTCCAACCAAAGCATGGCCACAAGATCTTTGCCCCTGTCGACAATGTCCAGACCTTCGAGCCGCATTTGCCAAATGACCAAGTAGATTTTGAAACATCGTTTGATTAGTTTTTGACTTTCTTAATTACATTTTAAACATTTGTACTATACATTTATATTATTTTATTTAAAAAACAAAAATTCTCTTCATTACATTTTTTATTGCAATTTCATTTTATTACCAAAAAAAAAAACCAAATTTATTTTTTTTACAAAATAAAAAAACGTAAAATTAAATTTAAATAAAATATATTTTATTTTTTCGCAACGAAACTCTTTTTGTCGCGCCAATTCACATTTTTACAAAATACAAAAATGTAAAACTAAATTTAAACAAAAATTATTTTATTTTTGCGCAACGAAATGTTCGTCTCGCGAAAAATGTAAAGCGACTAAGACCATTTCGTCGCGCAACAAAAGTCATTGCGCAAATGTTTGCAACATGAACAGTTTTCTTGTCCCTACATTTATGCGTGACGAATATAAGCCGACAAAAGTCATTGAGCAAATGTTTGCGACATGAACCGTTCTCTCGTCACCTACATTTCTGCGCGACGAATATAAACCATCATGTTGTGTACTCGCAACGAACGTGTTGTCGTCGCACAAAGGTTTGAGAGACGAACAATTGTGAGGTCCCTAAACTTTTTGTGCAACGAAAGTTAACCGTCGCAAAGTTTTTTGCGATCAATGAAAAAACTTGGTTGCACAAAGTCTTTCTCCACGATCTTTGCACGACGAAGTTTCTGTCGCGATAAAATTTGTGCTACTCAAATGTACTTTGCGCGACCAAATTCTCTTCATCGCGCAAATTGTAAAATATAGTAGTGACTACAAAAAATGAAAAAGATGACCCAAAAACAACGACAATATATCAAAAAACAGTCGTTATGTTTGAAAAGACGACGGTATTATAAAACCGTCATGGAATCTTAACTTAAACAGCTAAAAGGGGCGATTCCCATGGATGTTTCTAAAAAATGATGCACCTAATTAAAAAAGAGTCGTCTTATTGAAAAGGTTTTCTCAAGAGTTAAATTATGAGCCCAAAAACAACGACAGCATCTATGAATCCACCGACGTAGAAAATAAAGACGACGGTGTCCAAAAAGGCCGCTGTATTTACTCCTAAATAAGCACGACAAAATTTTCTTAGTCAGAGTCGTATGATGCCAAAGTAATCCACGTCAGTACATTACAAAACTCTGTCGTACTAAATCCTTGTACAACGACGGTAAAGATAAATCTATTGTCATTTTATTCAAAATTACTACGACGGTATCTGTTACTCTACTATCCGGGGTAAGTTTTAATAACCACGTTGGTTAGTTCAAATAACGACGTATCATATTATTTTACCACGTTGTGAACTTAAAAATACTGTCGTATTTATCGGCTTTCTACGTGTGGCCTTATCTGTAAATAACCCACATCTTAATTTTTATTGCTTTTCAAGATTTATTTTTGTGTTTTTTGTAGCCTACAACAATAGATCAATAGAATGACAAGAATTTTAAAAACCAGGACGGTTTATATAGAAAACCGTCTTAACAAGATAATTACAATGAAATCTTACCATTGGGAATTATGTTCCTTACCATTGGGAAGTTGATGATGTATGTATCTTTGTGTCTTTGAGATACACAAAGGCACATACACATCAACATCCAAAAAATTGCCTCTAAAATTTGATGACGGCAACCATACATCAACATCCTAATCATTTGCTTTCAGAATGACAATTTTTTAGAAGTTGATGATGTGTGCATGTTTTTGTCTTTCAGATACATAAACGCGCACACACATCAACATCCAAACTATTGCCTCCAAAGAGGTGAGACAGAGCCAAGGGCAAGAAGAAGTTGGAACCCTAATTGAAAACTGAAATTGAAAGAAATCGTGAAAAACACACTATTTACACAAATAATCTTCGTAGTCCACGTCGGTGAGTAATAAATTGCTGTCGTATAAGTTTATTCATAGCAACCACGATGCAAAGAACTAAAATGTGTCGTCTTATTAAAAAGGCTTTGATCATTAAACTCATAGTGAAAAACCAACGACAAAATCTATTAAGTAACTGACGTAGAAAGTAAAGACGTCGGTATAGATGAACTTACCGACGTATTATTAAAATATGCTACGATGACATCTATAACGCCACTGATGCATAAGTTAAACTAACCACGTCGGCAAAATGTGTGTCGTTTAATATAGTTTACCAGGGCATGAACTACATATTTACCACTGTATAAAACCCTTTACTAGGGCGGTTCTCATTAATAACGTCGTGTTATGAAACGGTTCGTTAATATTTTAAACTTCGCCTTTCTTGACCTACACTTATACTGTTTCCAAACCCGAGAAAATATTTCATGCTCTTCTCATTTTTCCTTCCCAAAGCGCCATGTCTGAATCTCATCGGCTTCCTCTCCTCTTCATCTTCGTCTTTGAATTGACACTCCCAACTCCAAGCAAAAACTTTCATTGCAAGCGAAAGGTAAGCATTTCTCATCTTTGTTCCTGTTCATGAGAAAATCATTTTAATTTTTGGATAAAATCTACTGACAAAGAACAAAGTGTCATTGACCACGATGATAAAATCTACTCTGTTTTTTTGTGTTTGAAGTAGTAAACCAAACGGTCTGGGAACCGTTTTCGAGTTTCATATTAATAAGCCGACGGTATTTTATTACTAACGTCGTTGTAAATGAAAACCATGATGTTTCTTGAAAAATATTTTTACTTTTTTCCTAGTGAAAATCAATTTAAGTTTTTCCAAATATGAAGACAAGAACCAAAGGGTCTAGAAACTGGGCTCTGCATTTTGTATTTCATTTTAATAAGACGACGGTATTTTATATTTTACGTCGTTGTAATTTAAAACCACGATGTTTTCTTACTACCGTCATGAAAAATTTAAATTTACGTCGTTTTACTTTCAAACCACGTCGGTAGTTAACTACCGTCGTTATAAATTCTTATTGCGTCGGTTGTTATTATTTTCCATCGTATGAAATTTTATACTACGTCATTTTTTTTACATAAGCGTCGTTTTTATTTGAATTTTGTGTTATTTTTTCTCTACTTGCAGGTCTGATTTCTCTGTGACCATGGTTTCTCAAGCGCCAAGTAAGGATTCTAGCTTGAACAAAAATCAATGTAAGGAGCTTAAAGTTTCAAAACCTCAAACCAAGCCCTCGAAGAAGATGAAATTTGTTTCATCTGCTGAGACAGAACGAGGCAGCATGACAACATTTTCTAAGGAGCCAAAGTCTAGTCATGGCATAAACACAATGCCCCATGTTGTGAAGATAAAATTGCATAAAATCAAGCCAGTTATTGAGTACAACAAAAAGGGGGAAACCATATGCCCCTGCACATAATGAGTTGCAGTCCTACATTGGTGTGTTGGCACAGTCCAAAGTCCCAATTGTGGACAAGAAATGGACTGAAATCCCAAAGGATATAAAAGAGCATATTTGGGAAGCCGTTGACATGGCTTATGTGGTAGGGCAAGGGGGTACAAAAATGGTGTTATCATCTGCTGGCAAGAAATGGAAGGATTTCAAGTCTACACTAACGAGGCATCATATCCTTCCATTCATCAATGAGAAGGAGAAGTTAAGACAATCCCCTGAATTATATAAATTCTTAGAGAAAGCAGACTGGGATGCCTTTGTAGCTTTAAGGTTATCCAAACAATTTGAGTCTGTCCATGCTGAACAAGCACAGAGGAGAGAGAAATGCGAGTACAATCATCGATTGTCTCAAAAAGGATATGTTGGTTTAGAGGATGATTTGGAAGAAATCATGCTAGGGGTAGAAATTGATCGATCTACCTTGTGGAAGAAAGCTAGAGAAGACAAACACAGTAACATCCCCGTTTTAAATTTGTATTAAACTGTATTGGAATTTTAATTATACTTGCATATGGAACTAACTTTATGTTTTTATTGAATTTAATGTGTCTTTGTGTTAATTAGGATGAATTGCGAAAACAAGTCAGTGAAGGCACTCTTACTATCTCTTGAAGTAATGATGTGTTGACTATGGGTTTGGGTCCTGAGCATCCAGGGAGAGTTAGAGGTGTTGGGGCTAGGATTTCCACTAGGCAATACTTCAATTTACCTAGACAACAGAGGGTAAAGTTTGCCGATCAAGTAAAGGAAAGTGTAAGAGATGTCCTCAGAGAAGAGACCTTGAAGATGGAGGCTAGATCAAGAGAAGAGACTTTGAAGATAGAGGCTAGAACCAAGCAATTAGTAGAAGCTGAGAGGGAGAATTTACTGAATCAGCTGCAACAACCAATTCCAAATTTTGATCTAAGCGTGCTGAAACTAACAACTATCCAAGGTCCAGAGCAAAGTCCCAAAAATCCAATGTCAGATAAAGCAAGCTGCTCTGGGGCGCTTGATGTCAAAGCTCTCAATTTTGAGGATGATAATGCCAAAGATGGAGAAAAGCAACCAAAATGGTAACTTCTATGAACTCTGCATACTGCATTTGAAAACCAATTAGACATCGTTACCTTAATTACAGACATTAGAAACAACACGCGATGACGTCTTTTATTTACAGTCGTCTCAATTTAAATTAGACGTCGTTTTCTATTATTAACCATCGTGTGTATGCCCTTACCACGACGTTACGTTTGTGTAGTTTTTCATTCTTGTACAAGTTGTCTTATCTATCTTTCTTTATTTCTTCAAACAGAAATCCAAGGATGCAGAAAAGCAAGATGAAATGGTAAATTCTCTGAAATTTGAATTTCTTTCTTACTTGGAAATACATCTGCGTCGCTGTGGTTCACTATAGTCGTTATATATTTCATAAAATGATGTTTTTGGTTAATGACGTATTGAATTTCCTACCACGTCTGGTTTTTAATAAGACGTCATCGAATTTTAATACCACGACGGTATCGGGGATTCAGATAGTGTCGTATTTTCATTTTTTTTTCAATCTTTCTTCACTCACTATGTTCCACATACTCTCTCTCTCTCTCTCTCTCTCTCTGCAATTCATGTTATCTATATTTTTGCTAAAGCATACTTTTGAGTTGATATTTGCAATTGTTAATTTTGTAGGTCTCTGTTTTATACTGGCGTAATTAATACATACGACAACAGTTTTTACTTACCATCGTTGTTATTTAATTTACACGTCATTTTTATCTCTTCCCTGTCGTGTTTATACCATTTACAACGACGTTTAAGTTTGTGTAGTTTACTCTGGTTTTTTCACTTCTGTATTATATATCTTTCCTTATTTCTTCAAGCAGAAAGACAAGTGCTTGGACGTTTCTGAGAAGGAACAACAAGTACCAGATTACTCAAAGCTAGTCTTGTCATCTTCTTTACAAGCCCTTTGTCGTTATATGGAGACGACATTAAAGGTTCATGAGAAGACTATTACACAGTTTGCAACCATGGATGAAATTGGGGCTACTATGGTTGCTGTATACATGAGGTTTGTCCTTATCAACTCATTGTCATTTCACACTCTCCTTTCTTTAAAAAAGTTAAAAAAACTCATGCCTATTTGATGTTTTGAAAACAGCAAATATGGTAAACATGGTTGGCCTTGTTGACCCCGCTCAAGTTAGTGCTAACTCTAGATCATTAACTCAAAGATCACGTTTGTTAGCCAATTGACTTCAAAAGATAGATGGGGAACAGATTTTCTTTATGCCTTACAATCCAAGGTATGTTAGTCAACATGATTTTCTTTGTATGATGCAGTGTATATAAAACTATTTAACCTCTATGTTTATTTGTGTAGTCGTCATTGGGTCTTGGTCATTATGAGACCAAAGAGGGAGACTGTGTATTTTTTGGATCCACTACCCGGAAATCGAGTGGTTGATGATGAGTGCAAAAACATAGTGAACACATAAGTTGATTTACTAACTTGTAATGTGTGTTTGGAGCCTTTATTTTTTTTTTTTTTTTTTTTTAATAACACTTTGTTGTCTTGAAACAGTGCTATCAAGATGTATAATTCACACATAGGCAGACAAGGCCGTAAAGCACCGATTTGAAAAACTCTACAAGGCACACCAAAGCACCCAACAGTGTAGAGTGTGGTCATGTGTTTTATGAGAGACATCATCACAGATCCTTCTTTGGAGTTTGAGAAGAAGGTAAATGGAAAACTTTATGATTTTAATTTCTGTGGTTTTTGTAAGTGGATGACGGTAAATAAAATTACCATCGTTTGAATGGATATACCACGACGGTTTTTAGGCGCTCTGTCACAGATCCTACAAAACTATTGATGAAGTCTAAATAATCATTTTTTATTGACTGCAGTTTGAAAATGGCAAAGATGAAGCACCATACCCCCAAGAAGCCATAGAAGAAGTGAAGAAAGAATGGGCAGATTTTGTTTGCCTTCATATGGAGTAGAGGATTTTTACAAACAATCATGAAAAATGTACATTTTTTTTTTAGAATAGACAATTTTTGTACAGGGTTTATGGGTATAATGTATTTTTTTTTGGCTGTCAATAAAAATTGTTTTTCAGTTTTTAAAACTAAAGTAATTCCTTAAATCATCGTATGAAGTAACTTGCAACGACATGATTGTTTCAACAACACTCGTCTTATGAAACATGAAACTAAACAAACGACGGTAAATTCATAAAATGACATGTAAACTTCCTTAACACGACGGTATATGTTAAAAGACCCAAAAAAACTAAGAGCCATGTAAGCAAATACCACGTCGATAACTTTATAACAAACGACGTCTTATGCAATTTCAACGACCACCCTTTTTGAAAACCGTCATTTGGTCAACTTTATGATATTTCAAATGAATTTTGAAATACTTACAACGATGTTATTTTATTTAAGCTATGTCTATGTTCTAGTCGTCTTAAACGCTCTTTAGTGGCAGTTCTGACCTATTTCCTAACTTCTGAACTGAACTAAAACGACAGTTTCTTTATAAGAACAGGCTTTGTGATGTCTATTCTCCTTACCATGTCGGTTAATATCATAGAAGACGTAGGAGTATCAAAACAACGTCTACAGGGATGATGTCGTAACCACTTTGCAACGTAGGTATCTGGATAAATAACGAAGTTTAAACTTCATAGAACGTCATTTGCATATGTAAAACTGACATGGTTGGTTGTGTTTATAACCATTTTTTATTGACCTTAATTCATAATATTCATAATAAATTTGTAAAATTTTCAAAAAATACACCACAACTCCTATGTAGTCATTGAGATATTTTCTTTGTCCTAAAGCTTTCAAGTAATTTGAGTTATAAAAATGAAAATATCCACATAAAAAAAATTGTGATGAATCACAACATCACTTATAGTTTCATCAAACATTCATATGGCTTGTGTCATTCATTGGTGGGGATAAATAATTTTTTTTTTAAATACTGGTTTTAGCAATCTAATATTGACGGCATTGTCGTAAGGAGTCCGTAGCAATTTTCTGTTTATTTTTCTCAAACATTTGTATTTTTGTACAATTTTTTTAAAAAGAAATATATTATTATTTAGGGTTTAGGGTTTAGGGTTAGTGTTTAGGGTTAGGGTTTAGGGTTAGGGGTTTAGGTATTAAGGTTTAGGCCCTAAACCCTAAACCTTTTTTACAATTTTTTTTTACAAATTTATAATTTATTGTTCAGGGTTTAGGGTTTAGTATATGACGCCAGTGTTATTTTATTTTTTGTCCCTTGGGCACACGCGTTCGAATCCCAGCAAAACCAAATCCCGATAAATATTACTTAGTTCTTTCAACGTCTGTTTTATGTTTTACCGCCGTGTTACTTCTTTACCACGTCGTCTTTCTTATATTAACCGACGTGTATTTAACGATAGTTTTGTATTATTTCCATCGATGTTTGAAGAAGCGCGCTTTCTAAAAATTTGGCCATGACCTAAAATTTTCAGATTTCGCTCTAAGTCTACATTTCGCTCTCTCACTTCAACTCTAATTCTAAATTGAACTCTCCAGCCTCCGTCGAATCCAAGGTGGCCATAATCTGTGAGCTCTGCTTGCCTGTAAGTACAAACCCTAATATCATGCTTCTTCATTCATTGATTGATATTCAGTTCTGGGTTTTGAAGTACAAACATATATAGTTAGAAGATTATTCTGAAATCATAGACTGCATTGTTGGATCCAATCCTTCAGGGTTTTAGATATATGTTTTGCGACTTTTTAATGTTTTTGTAGGCATGTTCTTCATCAATCTCTGTTGTTATGAATAGGGAATGGCTTTAATATTTGCATGTTTTTCATAAAAATTCAATGTTATGGGTTGTTAACATATGTTGGGTTCTTGGAAATGGTATGAATAAAAGAAGATTTAGCCTCCTTTTCTTTAAGAGTTTGACGACGGTTTTTCGTAAAAACCGTCGTTTGTATTTCCTTTACAAGGCACTATTTATTTAACTACTATCGTATGTAATTGTATTGTTGTTTTCAGAATCACTATTTACTAGCTTAAAATGTCGGTTTTTGAAGAAAAAAAAATAGTCGTCTGTATAAGTATAAAATGTCGGATGTTTTGAAAAAGCCATCGTCTGTATGTTCAATTACTTTGTATTAAAGTAATTATAATCTGCTATAGTGATGGTTATTGCTTGTCTTTCCACTTTATTATAAATAATAGGCTATATTGTTGGAGATGGATAAGTCATGGATGCACGCAGATAGAAGATCGAAGGCATATGAGTTAGGGGTGGAAGCATTTTCGAAATTTTCAATAGAAAATCTTCTAACCACAACACATATCACTGTCCATGTGTTAAATGTGGGAATTTTCGATTGTTTGGGGTTGGAATTATAAGGGACCACTTATACTTTAATGGAGTTGACCAAAGTTATAAGAATTGGACATTTCACAGAGAACCTTGGCAAGCAACTACTAATGCTAGTAGAAATGTGGAAGAAAATGATGAACATAGTAGGTACAATTTCGTGTTTGAAGAAATAGAGATGGATGATAATGGTTTAGGCAATTTTGGATCCGATCCTTATGAGTTTGCTAATATGATTGGCGATGGAGATCAACCCTTGTATCCTAGTTGTAGTAAGTACACCAAGTTGTCGGCACTAGTGAAGTTATATAATTTAAAGGCAAAACATAGGATGAGTGATGTCTGTTTTACAGAATTGTTGATACTTCAAGGAGATTTGCTTCTAGAAGGAAATACAATACATCATCTATGTATGAGGCAAAAAGACTTTGTGTGCATTGGGGCTGAGTTATGAGAAAATCCACACATGCCCCAATGATTGCATCTTGTATAGGAAGAAGTATGAACATTCAACTCATTTACTTGTGGAATCTCAAGATGGAAGGAAGGCAAAGATTCAATCTTAAAAGAGGGTATCCCAGCAAAGGTAGTGTGGTATTTTCCACCAATTCCAATATTTAAAATGATTTTTCAATCAAGCAATACAGCTAAGAGTTTGACTTGGCATGCTGATAGAAAAGCAATTGAAGGTCAGATGTCTCATCCAGCGAATTCTCCCTCTTGGAAACTCGTTGATGATAAATGGTCCGAGTTTGGTAATGAGCCGAGAAACTTGAGATTGGCTCTCTCATCTTATGGATTCAATCCCCACAGTTCTCTAAGTACCAATACAATTGCTGGCCAGTTATCTTAGTTACATATAATCTCCTACCATGGCTATGCATGAAACAAAAGTTCATGATTTTGACCTTATTGATTTCTGGTCCTAAACAACCCGGAAATGATATAGATGTCTACTTAGAGCCTTTGATTGATGATTTAAAATCTTTATGGGATGGGATTAAAGGAGTGTCTGATGCTCATACAGGAGAGTACTTTACACTCAAAGCTGCATTGTTGTGGACACTTAATGATTTTCCCACTTATGGAAACTTATTTGGTTGTATTGTAAAAGATATAAAGCTTGTCCAATATGCGGTGATAATACACCTAGTCACAGGTTGAAAAATAGCCACAAAATATGTTACATCGGGCATAGAAAATGGTTACCAATATATCATCCATATCGGAGGTAACGTGTAGCTTTTAATGGGAAACCTGAATATGACATGCCTCTAAAGCCATTAACCGAAGAAGAAGTGCTACAAATGGTTGAAGGTATTAATTATAAATGGGGCTCGAAAAAAGGGCGAGGTGGAAGTGAAAATGATGGTGACAGAGTCTGTTGGAAGAAGAAGTCAAAATTCTTTGATTTCGAGTATTGAAATACCTTCCTATGAGGCATGCCCTTGATGTTATGCACATCGAGAAAAATGTTTGCGATAGTATCATTGGTACGTTGTCGGAGATCCTTGGAAAAAATAAAGATGGGGTTGCTACTCGTTTGGATTTATTGAACATGGGGGTCAAAATTGATTTGCAACCCAAGTATGAAGAAAGACATACTCGCTTGCCTCCATGGCCTTGGAATTTGTCAAGAGCAGAGAAGAGAGAGGTTTGCAATTCTTTCTATGGTATGAAGGTCCCTGAAGGTTATTCTTCAAATATTAAAAATCTTGTATCTTTACAAGATTCAAGACCTCTTGGCTTAAATCACATGATTGTCATACCTTGATGCAACAATTGCTCCTTGTGGCAATTCGTTCTGTTTTGGAAAAGCCTGCAAGGTATGCAATAACTCGTTTGTGCTTCTTCTTCAATGCTATATGTGCAAAGACGGTAGATGTTTCCAAGCTAGATAAGTTGGAAGAAGATGTAGGAGTAACTTTGTGTTTGCTTGAGAAGTACTTTCCCCCTTCATTCTTTGATATCATGGTTCATCTAGTAGTACATCTTGTCAGAGAAGTTCGTCTATGTGGGCCAGTTATTTTAGATGGATGTATCCGTTTGAAAGATATATGAAAGTTCTAAGGGGGTATGTTCAGAACCGTACTCGTCCCGAAGGTTGCATTGCTGAGTGGTATATAGCTGAAGAAGCTGTAGAGTTTTGCACCGAGCATTTATCTGATGTTAGTACAGTTGGAGTGCCTTCAAGCCAAAAATGGGAGTTTCAAAGCCTTATCAGGTTGCATAGTGAGTTTAATTGATCAAGACTCACTATAAGAAAAACACCCTTTGTTGAAACTTAAAAAGCGTCATGTTAGCCATTTCCTGACGGCTCAAAAAGCTCCAGGAATACCAGTGTCTGCGAAAGTTAACCCCCCTTCTTGACGCTTATTATCCATCAATACTTAATATTTCCTGACGGTTATGAAATGTCACAAACCCGTCAAGAAAATATGTCACAAATTTTTTTTTAAAGTTCAGAGCTGTTTCTTGATGGCTTTTAGCCATCAACAATAGCATGACTATCAAAAAAAAATATTAATTGCAAAGAATAATTATATAAAACAACAAACTCAAATCTCACATCCACTAAAATAAAATTATATATAAATATTCAGCACTACAAAAATGTTATAACGTATCAACTCTATAGGCAAATGATATTAAAAACATAAAGAAATGGAAATGATCCAAATCATCTAATATCCTGTTAAGTGTAGGTCTCAAACTATGTAGAACTTGTCACTTGGAAGCTTGACATTCTTTAGCACTTGATGAGCCTAAAATTGCCTTTGTGGTATGAGCCACACTAATCACATCAATCTGCTAAGATGTAAACATATGAATTAAAGAGTTAATTAATGCACATGGAACTAAAAGTAAGCATAATTCGGATAATAGATGATGACTTAAATAATCTCTAATTTATTAAGATTAAGAACCTGTTAAGTCCCCACTCTAACGTTATAGTTAAACTATACACATTCTTAGATATTTAAGATAATGTAAAGTTAACAAAGATAATATCAACCAAATAAGTTCTGTGATCAAAGGTATTGAATGATAGCCTAGTAAATGCATCACAGAAACTCATGATTAAATCAAATCAGAACCTAGTTCAAAATCAACACAAAATGCTGACCTTGTTGCATATGCTTTGCCCAAACTGAATTGATAACCAAAATCTATAAAATCAGAGCCCACGATGAAATTGAAACCTCAAACTTCAAATATAAATTAGAAAGAGGATTGTTATTCAACAAGGGTAAGACAATGATCAAAGATGAATCAAAACTTTTAACAATTAATTTCAGATTAAGGGGGTTAATAGACAGACTTGCTGGAAGAAAATATACGAACTTCGTGGAATGTGTGCTTATTTAGTTTCAAATTCTAAGAAATTTCAGCGACAAACTTTCGAATTACATATTAAATATGTGTACTCTTAAATGCACAACGAAACTAAAAGTTCATGATTAGCATATGAAACTATCAATAAAATGTATAACCCATACAAGCAAGCATTGGGTCCTCAAATGCCAAGCATAATTAAACTAAGCCAAATCTTTTTGGTGAACCAACAACCACACTGATAATTAAACCAAGTCTAAACCAAATCAACAACTAGTCCAAGAGTAATATACAATGCCAAATCAACAACTACCCAGTGACTAGAAGCCCATGTGTATTCTATAAATGCAACCATTATGTGCACATAATTTAGAAGCCCATGGCTAGCCCATGTCTAAAGTCAATTTTTACTGGGTGAAAACAGAAAGAAGAATATGAATTATGAAAAAGAAAAAGGAGATATAGAGACTAGCTTAATCAAATGATGTGTGGGCTCCAAAATTAAACTTGTTATTCATCTGCACAATGCCAACAAAAAGGAAACAAAATTAAGAAACAAAGTTCTTGTAGTGGCTATATGTGCATGCTAGTGCTATCGACAAACCTATAAGAATTTGATGGACAATTCTTGTGACATGGAAATAAATTCCTACTCAAAACACATATTACGAGTACTTCACAAAACTTATAAATCCTAGAATCATCCATAAAGAAGAATATATAAATAGACAAATATCTTCTTATATGTCTATATAGCCATTTCACACGTTAGTACTATCACGTTGCTAATAATTTTTCAGTAAATTATGAAGTACGAAATTTCGAAAGCAAAGTAAGTGTCACCAAGTGGGTTGAACTACCTAGAGAGCATTATATATGTGGGAAGAGAATTATTTTTTAATTAAAAAAAAAAAAAAAAAAAAAAAAAAAAAAAAAAAAAAAAAAAACAAGTCATCCGCATCCGCTGCTTAAAGTTAAATGAAGTAAGAAAAACAATTTAAATTAAATCAGCAGCTAGTAGAAAACTAATATCACATCCTCACCTTCTTTGCAAATGGTAGGTGTATCAAGATTTTATAAAACAGAACCTACACACATCACAACCTAAGTTAGAGAACTAAACTAAAAATAGAAATTGAAAAACTCATAGCCTAAATAATAGGAAAAGCAATGAAGAGTAACAGCTAAGCAGAGGAAGTTTAGGTCTCAGAAAAATAAGCAAGAATTTATTAAGAAACTTCTCTGGGTTTAAAAGAAAATTAAATATTACCAAACAACACCCAATGGGATGAAATTGACGAGGTAGCATATTCTTTGAGCTAAGAATTACTAGACAATACAGTAGAAATATATATGAAAAGAAACCCAAAATAATGGAAATGTATAAGTGAATCAAGATGACCTTAAAAAGCATTAAGAAGAAATGGGCTGCAAGATGAGTGATACTCATAAAGTAGATAACTCCCCTTCCTGGCCTCAATCCCAAAGGCTCATGCAGCTGCCCTGGTTGAGGATGCACTCCAGTATCCCCACACGGCTTTCCACTTAACCCTACGCTACACATACTGATGCAGAATGCATATTTTTAGTTTTCCTAATTCTTAAAGATTCCTTCTTGGTAAAGAATCTCTTATTAGTCAATTTGTTTTCCTAATTCTTAAAGATTCCTTCTTGTTAAAGGATCTCTTATTAGTTAATTTGCTTTCCTATTTCTTAAAGTTTACTTTTCCTTTTCCTAGACTAAAAAGGGTTTTGCCTCTATAAATAGAGTTGTTTGTAATCTTTTAAGGCAGACTTGGTTAATGATAAATTTCCTTACTTTAAAACTCTTTGATTCCTTCCCTTTCCCTTCGTCTCTTCGATCTCTAATTCTTCTCCTCGATCCCTTACTTCTTCTCTGTTCTCACTACTACATTTTACACTTTGTGCGACGAAGGGACTTTCGTCGCGCAAAGTAACATTTCGTCGCACATAATTATGAGCGACAGAAGATTCGTTGCGCGTATTCCGTCGCGCAAAGATCGTGAAGAAAGACTTTGCACGACCAAATAATTGACTTCGTCGCGCAAAACGGTGCGACGTAGCACCTTCATTGCAGAAAAGTTGTAAGGACCGAACGACTATTCGACGCACGAATTTTTGCGCGACGAAAAAGTTGTCCCGCAAGATTAGTGTCGCACTATTTTGCGCAACGAAAAGGCATATGTCGCGCATACATATTTTGCGCGACGAAAACATTCGTCGCACAAGCATAAAATTAAAGTGTATAAATTATTCTTTTCACGGTTTTTTTTTAAGTGAGTTTGCACAACGAGAAACATTTCGTCGCGCAAAATTTATACAGATTATTTAAATTTAATATTACGTTTTTTTTTATTTTGTAAAAAAATAAATTTGGTTTTTTTTTTTGGTAATAAAATGAAATTGCAATCCAAAAATGAATTGTAAAGAATACATTTATTTTAATATTTAAAAAATAATTATGAAAATTATAAACTAATCAAATAATGTTCCAAAATCTACATGGTTGTCAGGCATATGCGGCTCGGGGATCTAGGGGTCTATAGGGGCCATGGTCTGTTGGGGATGCTCGGGGTGGACAGTCTCGGATGTCGAAGCACCAAAATTCGGGATTGAAATGTCGGACCGCGCGAGGGACTGCAGAATCACCGACATCTGACCCTCAAGCTCGGCAACCCGCAATGTCAAAACAATCACCTGACTGTTTGCCTGCGATGATGACCGGGGTCGAGGTTCCCTTTGTCGGGCATTCCCCATCCCTCTACAATATGTTCCCGGCCTCCTCCCGAGAGTCTGATCCAACGTCTCTGTCAAGATCTGAAATCCAGCATCCTGTGGAGGATCCACAGACTCGATCGGAGTCTCGGGAGGAAGTTGGGAGGCAGACTCCTGAAGAACCAACTGGCTCCTCTCCACCATCGTCGTCTGTTTAACATAACATAAAATATAAATTAAAACATGTATATAAATTGAATGCGTAACATAAAATTTTTTTAAAAAAATACTTACATGAAAGGGACTCGGCCAACTCATTTCCAGGTCGAACATTAACGTCACCAAAGACGTCGATCTCTGGGAATTTCGACCCCTCCTAAATTGAATAAGAGAAGAAAAATATTAGTATGAACAAAATAAATTAATAATAATGACATATTAAAAATTAAATAGAAATGATATTATTATTACCCGCCGCCGTGCATCCATCCTATATGAGAAGGGCCTGGAGCCGAAATGGTGGAGAAGAGTCTTCTTCTTCCTATTGCCCTTATTCACTTGGGTTTTATTCTGTTATACAAAAAATAAAACATATTAGTTTAAATATAAAAAATTAAATAATAATGAAATATAAAAAATGAAATAAACATTAATAAAAAATATGAAATAATTAAACAAATACCACATAATCGGGCGCCTGAAAATGAGTGCAGAGCCATGCCCAACTATCCTCCCGCCCCTCAAGCTCCTTCGGGCAACCCTCTCGAAGAGCGACTTCTGGATCATCAAACGCCTGAAAATGGTGGTGCAAGTCGCTCTTCCACTGCTTGTACCTCTCACCGAAGAGTCTGTTGACGTACGCCAACGACTCCTCGTTGAGGTCCTCTAAGTTATAGTTCGTCTGCAATAAATTAATTACATACATTAAGTAATAGAAATATATAAAATTTGAAAGAAAAATAATTACAAGGTAGGATACATACCGACAACTGGCCGCGAACCTCTATCTTGATCTCGTCAGGCATGACCTTCCAAGACTTCCAGTGCATCGGGCAATGGGTCCGAACAACGTGGCCAATGTCGTGGGCCAAGGAGCTATGCAACTCCGCTGTCGGTGCAGCCCGATGGCGCTCGTCGTATCCGATGCTGATACGACTGTTGGTCACCTGGGTGACCTTCGCCGTCTTCAGCTGCCGACACAGCCTTCGGGTGTTCTTCTTGGCTGCAATGAGATATGACAATAATGTTCAATAAATAACAAATTTAACTATAAAATTCATAATATAAAAAATTAAAAAAAGAACTACAGTTGAAGGGATATCTATACTTGGCTGTGACCCCGAGGCAACAGTACCGTCGGTCGACGTCGTGTTAGTGGTGCTTGCAGGCCGGTGACCCTACCTAGCGCTAACAGGCAGCGCCACTGATGAAGCTGATGACGCAGGTGCCTGGGACACCCCTGGCAGTTGGTCCATCAGTGCTGGAGCAATGGCAACAGATGCCGACTGAGCCGGAGGCTCTGAACTGGGTGCAATCGTCATCGACCAACGACATCTAATCAGATCTGACATCTGCACAATTTCCAAAGGGTACACACACAAATTAATAGAATTTAGAATATATAAGTTATAAAATTTCATTAACAATTTTAAATAATTAATTACAAGAATAACCTAGGGTTTGCGATTTCAGAGTATCCGAGACTCCAAAACACAATCCGTCAAATCCTACACGATCCTAGAAATACAAGGTACAACATACGTGAGTTTGAGCTCAATCCAACGGTCCGAACATATCAAACCTGAAAATCGCACAATAGGCGAAATCCATTCGAGACTGAAACGGTAACCAAATTAAAATCCAAGCACACCTACGTGCTCGTGACAAATAGGGGATTGCTTTGGGACCCAATGCCCCACTGCCATAGTCCCCACGCGCCACCACACGCACCGGCAGCGCGTGGGTGTCCAAAGCGATAACAATCGCCAGAAATTTCTAAAAACTAAGGGCCAAGGTTCCTACCCTAGGTTCAAAACATCATTTAGAGGCACTTTTGTTCTTGGACCTACCCCAAAAAATCGGCCAAAACCTAGGGTTTAAATTCGAGACACCTATTCACACAATTATCCAAATCCTAATCAACAATCAGCTAGAGCACAAGAAGTAGTCCAGAAACCGTACCTCAGGCGTCGGAATTGGTGGCCGGAGGAGAGAGAAAACAGCCGGCGCAGAATCTACCAAACGAAGGTTTTTCCGGCGGGGGAACCTCTGGGCTTCGACAGTGGTGGCGGCCCGGTCCTTTTTTCGGCGGAGCATTGGGCTGGGGTGACGGCGGAGAGAGAAGGTGTTTAGGGCAGAGAGAGGAAGTGAGGAAGAAAGGAGGCTGTCGCGATTTTTCTAAAAATTTCTCAAATCTTGCGCGACGAAGAACACAATGCGTCGCGCATACTCCATTTTAATGAACCTTGCGCAACGGAAAAAAGCAAAAAAACCATCGCGCAAGGTTGTTTTCCGCCCAAATTTTCATTACATTCCGCCCCAATTTTGAAGACCTTGCACGACGATGTGCAAAACTGTCGTGCAAGCTTGTTATGCCGCCAGAAATTTTAGGGTTTATTGATAGGTATGACCACTTTGCGCGACGGATAAATAACATATTCGTCACTCAAGCTTGTTATGCCGCCATAAATTTTAGGGTTTAGGGTTTATTGAAAGATATGACCACTTTGCCCGACGGATAAATAACATATTCGTCGCGCAAACTTTTTATTATGCTAGAAATTTGTAATATATCGCTTAGGAATAGTGAAATTATGGTTTTGCCCTACTTATGTTCTTTGTTCTTTCTGTCCTATTAGGCAGCACAGTAAAATGACCGTATTGCCCCTCTCTCTTTTCAATTAATTTTTTCCCTTCTAAACTTTTTATAACACATTTAAAAAAGTACTGCAACTCACAATGAGTACTTTGTTTAATTCACACATCACCAAGTAAGTAGTCGTCTGAGAAAAAAGGTACCTCTATATCTCACTTGATCACAGAAGGCTGAGAAAAAACAGAAAAAAGAAAAGGGTTGGAGACTTGGAAATTTAATGTGAAAGGTTGAATTAACTTTCAAGTTAGGCTTGGGTGGGGCTAAACAAAATCACAATTTATAAACATGATAAAACATTGAAGTCTTCGTGTTCGTCTATGTTTTGGCATTAATGGATAATAAAATATAAATTTGTACATAGAACGTAATCCCTGCCTATATTTTGATCACTTTATACACATTTTACACAATTTTAAAAGAATTGAATGACATTGCGTGACGAAATATTGAAGTATTCGTCGCGCAAGCCTTGAGCTGGCAGCTTGCGCGACGAAGAGGTAGTAGATTCGTCGCGCAAAGATAATAAATTTCAACCAAGTGTACCATGGGGTTTAGGATTTAGGGTTAGGGTTAGGGTTTAGAATGCGCGATGAATAGCGTGTATTCGTCGCGCAAGTCTTTGTTCTGTGCAAACCTCTCGCAAAAATTTATGCCAAGTGTTCCGTATTTGTAAAAGGCCTGAATGAGATTGCGCGACAAATATACCACTTTTTCGTCGCACAAGCCTTTGTTCTGTGCACTTTGCGCGACGAAATTCTGAAAATTCCGAAAATTTAATTATAATTACATTGTTTTTTGTTTATAGGTGTTATATATGTGTTATGTCAGTATTCATATATTCATATGCTAAACATAGGAGTATATTAATTTAAGACTATTGGAAAAAGAAAAAGAAAATGTTAACATGTTATTCTCTACAAAAATCTCAAATTTTTTCCAATAGATTAATTTTAACAGAGGAGTATATTAATTTAAGACTATTGGCAAAAAATATATACTCTTCTTTGGGTGAAAGGTGTAAGTTAGATTAAAATGTTAACATCAATTATGATAAAATAAATTTAACATAATTTATGTGATTAAATTATATGTATATATATATACATGGTTCTACAATAAATTTATAACAATAGTGTTTAATATTATAATATCCTTCAAACAAAACCAAAAATGAAAAAATCATCTACATGTGGTATTCATTCAATTTGAAGATTTTAAACACAAAAAAGAGAAAACCGTAATTCTTATATTCATAAATGGCAATTGAAAATCAAATAGATATATTCAAATATAGGTATATTCAAATAGATATATTCAAATATAGGTATATTCAAATAGATATATTCAAATATAGGTTATATTCAAATATGTTTTCAAATTTAGGTATATATCTAAATTTTAATTTATATATTATATGTTGTAATTTAATTTGTGATTGCAAATTTTGTGTGCAACTTCATTTTAATTTGTGATTGCCATATTCACACTACCATAATTAAATTACAACAAATTTCATCTACTATGTTTTACATGGGTAGTCGCCAATGAATTGCATTATTCATCATCTGAACTATAATAACTTTTGTTATCCTCGCTATCATCATTTTCGGTCTCCCAATCCTCCTCCTCATCACTTTCGTTGTTCGGGCCCACTGGAACTTCGTAGCACAGAAGATCACCGAGGTCAATTGTAATTGACTGAATCGGTATTTCGATTGAAGACACTCTTTGAAGCTAAAACGGTTCTTGTATAACATCTATATCTCGAAGTGTTTCTGCATCAGTTTCCATGGAAGATTCCAACCGTTGGTTAGTGACGTTGTCGACGTCGTTGTCAGTTGGGTCTAGTTCTGGTATAGCATACACGTTCCTCTGATCCATCTGCTGAGCAACTTTCCAACCGCTTCCGGCTTTAGGGTCATTTAGATACACAATCTGTCTTGCCATGTTTGCCAAAATGTAAGGGTCGTCATCATACCAAGTTCTGTTAATGTTCACAGATAGTAAGCCATGGTCTATTTTAACACTTCCCTGCCTATTTGGGTTTGTATCAAACCATCGACACTTAAACATGATCACTTGGTATTGGTCTTTGTAAAGCAATTGCACGACAGTTGTGAGTTTGCCATAGAAATCAATGTCAGTACTTTCGCCACCACCTGGGACATGGACACCGGTGTTTTGCGTACACAACTTATCATCTCGTGCAGTCCCCAAAAACTTGACGCCATTAACATGGCAACCTGAGAATAATTTAGTGCGAATAAGGCCGAACGCCAAGTTATATAACTCTTCATTGTAAGAGGGTGAATTCGATGATTTCAACTTATTCACCTAATATTATACAAATGAATTCACATGTTAGTTTGATAACATTAAATAATACACAAATATATATATATATATATATAACAAACACAAAACACTTATAACTTACATATTCCAAAAACCATTTTGGAAACAAATCACGGTGTTTCTTGGCATACAAATGTGATGGATGTTCTCGCTTCATCATCTCTTCATGCTCATCTAAGTATGACATTATCTCATCAAAATTGTTAAGTACGAACCAATGCGCTACCTCCATGTCATTTCTGGAAAACGACTCTCCTCGTACCGGATCTCCAAAGGGTCGTGCGCTTTGGACGAAAACAGAAAGTTTCTCATTTCTCAGACCTCCGTCATTATTGTGCTGAGGACGATTGAAAGCCGCGTCCACATCTTTTAAATACATTCCATAGAAAGTAAGCGACTCATATTGAACCCAAGCCTCTATAATTGATTCTTCGGGTTTCGCCCTATTGCGCACAGTTTTTTTCAACTCTCCGAGAAGCCTGGCAAAATAAAAACAAACGATACAAATTAGCGACCATGAGATAAGGATGCAGAAACAAATTATGAGGATTATATACCTTTCTATTGGATACATCCAGCGATAGTTTACAGAACCAGCGAGCAATGCCTCTTCTGGCAAATGAACCATCACGTGGATCATACTTGTGAAGAAAGCTAGAGGGAATATCATCTCGAACTTGCATAGGACTTGGAAAATGTCATTGCGCAACTGATTAATGTCTGTCTTTCGCAATGTTTTTGCCGTCAGTTGGGAAAAAAATCAGGACAACAACATGATTGGTTTCACTACATCTTCTGGCAAAAGGTGTCGAATACCCACAGGAAATAGGCGTTGCATAAACACATGGCAATCATGGCTCTTCAGTCCATTAAATTTACCCCCGTCAACATTCACGCAACGCGCGATATTAGAAGCATACTCATCGAGAAACTTTACCGACGATACAAACTATAGAAAATCTTTTTTTTCATTCGGTTTCATGGCAAAAAATGCCAAATCCCTTCTAGCTTTATCACCGTCCCTGTTCATCCATAAACCTTTTTGTATGCCCATTCTTTCCTAATCAAGACGAGCTTTGATCGTATCCTTTGTCTTACCCTCGATATCTAGAATTGTGCCCAGCAATGTGTCAAAGACATTTTTCTCAACATGCATAACATCGAGATTGTGCCTCAATTTTAGTTTCGACCAATATGGGAGCTCAAAAAACATAGACTTGTGCGTCCAGTTCAAATGTGTAGAAGGTCTGGTCCGAGTAACTGTTTTCCCGAACGGAGAAAAATCCAAACGGTTTAGCTGTTCCAAGATCTCATCACCGGACCATTCTCTAGGTCTGAGGCGATGCTCTGTGTTCCCGTCAAACTCTTTATCCTTTTCCCGCCACTCGTGGTCCCATGGCAACCATCTTCGATGACCAAGATAACAAACTTTTCCCGCGTGCCAACCAGAAGTTACATTTTCATTGCATACAGGGCATGTCATATAACCCTTTGTGCTCCACCCAGAAACCATTGCATATGCGGGAAAATCATTTACAGTCCACATCACTGCTGCCCGCAAAGTGAACATCTTCCCAGTGGCTTTATCATACGTGCGCACACCGTTTGTCCATAAATCCTTGAGCTCATCAACCAACGGCCGTAAGTAAACATCGATTGACCTGCCAGGATCCTCAGTTATCAAAACAGTCATCATCATGTACTCTTTTTTCATGCATTTCCAAGGCGACAAATTATATGGAAATACGAAAATCGGCCAAGTGCTGTGGTGTTGGTTTAGAACCCCGTACGGATTGAATCCGTCAATGGCAAGTCCCAATCTAACATTTCAAGGATCAGCAGCAAAGTCGGGGAACGTTCGATCGAACTCTTTTCATGCTTCCTCATCTGCAGGATGCCGCATCACATCGTCGTCTACCCGTTTATCCTTATGCCATCTCATGTCTGTGGCAGTATGAGTCGACATATACAATCTCTATAGCCTAAGTTTCAAGGGCAGATAACGCATGACTTTCTGTGGGATCTTAGTCGTCCTATTTTGAGATGTCATCTTGAACCTCGACTCTTTGCATATAGGGCATGTATCCAATGTTTCATACTCTTTGTAGAATAACATGCAATTGTTTTTGCAAGCACGAATTTTTTCATAACCCAATCCAAGACCATTCAACACCTTTTGCGCATTCTTTTGAAAACACCCAAAAAGTAATCGAAACACAGGTTCGACATACGATACTTTATTTTTCCGTGCATTAGCTCCACAGTGGCCATAAGAACGGAAAAGCTCTCGCACCCTGGGTATAACTCTTGGTTGGCACTTTTTAACAGTTGTTCATATTGTTCGAACTCTGCACTGTCCATTGGGGTAGGCACGTCATCTTCCCCTTCCTGATTGATGTTGGTCAATGCAAATGGAAAAGCATCATTTATAATATCCATGACTTGTTCATTAGGATCCACAATAGGTTCAATATTGTCTACCCTTGTGGCATTTGAAGATGAAGCATTGTCTAATTGTTCCCCGTGAAGGTTCCAAATGATATATGTCTCAATCATTCCATTCCTTACTAAATGAAAGCCAACATTTTCAATTGTCTCCCACAATGTGTTATTACACCTTCTACAAGGACAACAGATTCTAGTTGCACCCGGGTTGTGTCTACGTGCAAACTCAATAAAATCCTCGATTCCATCCAAGTATTCGTCTGCGCATCTATTCGGGTTCTGTATCCACCTTCTACTCATAATTCCTGAAACCACAATCACAACACTATCACAACAACTTCATACGAAGTTATAATGTCACCTTATGCCTCTGGTAAGGGCCCTATCCCATTCGGGAATGCATAGTCCTGTCACGTAACCTACGGCTACATGAGATTAGATTTCGATGTGGATAAATTTTGGCAGCATCTCGATACAGTTCTTAAGGTGGGCATAGGTATAAATACCTACGTACCACCCGAAGAACGTACCGAGATGACACCGAAATCTCCACAATCGAAATCTAATCTTGTAGCCGTAGATTACGTGACAACACTACGCATTACCAAACTGTCCAAATAATTGGACAATTCAAGAATTAATTGGACCGCAGTCATGCTTTACGCATCCATGCACGAAATCCAACTAATCTCGAACGGGAAACTAAGTGTTACTAAAAAATTATAATAAAAGTACGAAGTTAATTTCAATTAACTTCGTACATCACAACACATTGTGCTACGTCACGCACAATTTAACAATATAATATAAATATAATTCAACAACAAAATATATAAATATAACAAACTAAGTTCAACATAATGTAATGAATTTAATATAAAATGAATGAAATACCTTCTCAATCGTTCTCCACAATCGCAATTTACAAATATCTATAATTAAAAAAAAATTAATACCGTTAGTACGAATTTACATTAATACTTTTAAACAAATGACAAATAATACTTACCCAATGAGCGTATTGAATTCTCAGCAGAGGCAGCAGCACAGACAGAGGAAAAATCGAAATGGCAGAAAAATGGAGCAATCTGCCTCTGCAATGGCAGATTGCAGATATGTAGAAGAAGGATATTGCGCGACGAATAACGTTTTCGTCGTGCAAGAAATCGAGTTTTTGCACGACGGAAAATATTTGGCGTTGCGCAAAACTTCGTCGCACAAACTCGTAAAGGTGTCACGCAAGTGAAACTTTCCGTCGCACAAGATAGTGCCAACATCAAACCTTGCGCGACGAATCAAACGTCCGTCGCGCAAGTATTTGGCGCCATTTTCCCTCCTTTGCGCGACGAAAGTAAAATTGTTGCGCAATGATGTCTTTCGCGACGATTATCATTGTCGCACAAATATTTGGCGAAAAAAAATACTTGTTTTCCATTCCATACTTTGCGCGACGAAGAAAATTAATTTGTCGCACAAAGGTTCTTAGCGCGACCAACTCTGTCGTCGCGCAAATGTTTGGCGCCAAAAAAAAACCCCCGCGTTTTTCTTCCCCACTTTGCTCGACGACTCATGTTTTTTGTCAGGTGAACGATCTTTGCATGACTGAAATGTTCGTCACGCAAGTTTCTAGTTCTTTGCGCGACGAATAATTTTTCCCATCGCTGTAGTGCCTTTTGCGCGACGAATTTTCCTTCGTCGCGCAAATAGTAAAATGTAGTAGTGTTTACTCTAAACCTATGGGCTGTTCTACATCAATTGGTAATCAAAGCCTTCCCTCACTTTCGTTTGCTTTTGCTCTCTACCATGGCTCCCCAAACCATGGCCAGCCTTGCAGAACAATTTCATGCGTTCCAAGACAAAAATTTCTGACAATATCGCTGGCATGGAAACCCAACTCTCCAAACTCAATGTTGACCTCAAAGAGGAGTTGGTACAAGCTCCCACACATCATGCGAAGACGGACCTGGCCATCACCAAACTCCAAGACTTCGTTTAGTTGCTTATCAATCACTTTTGGGCTGGACATGCTGAACCCTCTTCTATCTCAGCAGTGCTCTCAAGTTCCTCTACACCACCACCAAAAAGTGGCCTTCTGCCCACTCCACTGGTGGATCAAAAACTCAAGGCCATGCCATACGGCATGCCGCATAGCTCCACTGGGCCCTCGCTTGATGAGCCCAAGGCTCAATTGGAGGCCCCCTTTTCCTTTGGGTCTTTGCCACTGCCCCATTATACCCAACACACAACGGGCCCTTCTACAGTTCCACATGATCAAGGCACTCACCCCCTCGCTATTTTGACGACGATGTCATCCGCCGCATCAAGCCTACCGCTCCTACTTTTGATGGTCGTGGGGATCCTACGATGTTTCTTGATTGGGTTCAAGCCATGGAAGATTATTTCGCCTAGTACAACTTGACAGATGCTCATAAACTTCGCATTGGTAAGATGACGCTACAGGGAGCCGCTAGACAATATTGGAATTCGGTGGAGGAGCAACTATATCAATTTGGACAGTCGCCTGTGACTCTATGGGACGAGATGAAATTAAAGCTTCGCGAACAATATCTTCCCACCTTTTATCACCATCAATTGTATGATCAATTATGGACCCTTTCACAAGGAAGTTTGACTGTTACTGAATTCCACGCTCATTTTATTGAACACAAGATACGTACAAGGATTCGTGAAGAACCCGACATCACTATGTCTCGCTTTATCCACGGTCTTCGTGACGATATCAAGCGTGAAGTCCGTCGATTTTGTCCGCATATTTTGGAAAATGCATATTGCCATGCACTGGAAGCTGAAACTTTTTTGGGCCCACAACTTAGATATACCGGGTATTCCTGGCTCTCTTCCACTCCTACTCCAAATCGTAGTACTCCTAGCTCCACATATGGCGTTGCCGGTCCACTTGCTCCTACGGTACCCACAACAGAAAAAGGACCAGTTCCATCCACGGCTGCTCATATCAACTGCTATCATTGCCATGCTAAGGGCCACATTACCTCTCATTGTCCGCACCGAACTTTAACCATTAGCTCCCTCAATGAGGACTGTTGTGTGGACGTGTGTGTGGAGCCCCTTGAACCTATTTATGATCCAGAACTTGATAATTGCTGTGAGGAGGCGTTTCACCAAGTGAGTGTCATGCGTTGTATTTATTCAACATCTACACCTCTACCTCCTGATTCATGGAAACGCACAAGTATTTTTCAAACCTATGTCCCTTGCGGTACCAATAGATGCCAACTGGTTATTGATGGGGGAAGTACACTGAATGTTATCTCTAAAGCGGCTGTCGACTGCCTTTACCTTCAGGCCGAGCCACATCCCCATCCTTTCATGTTGGCTGGGTAGATAACACCAGGTTACTTGTTACTGAAAGATGTCTTGTTCCTCTTCAATTGGGTCCCTTTCCTACCCATGAGTGTCGCACATGTGCTACTAGGCCGACCATGGCTTTACGACCGTTGTGTGAAAAGTTGCGGCAGAGAGAACACATGTACTTTTCAACATGAGGGAAAGAACATAACGCTAATACCTTCCAATCAGCCGTCAAACCAACTAAGGATGTTCAACCAACTCTGTTACTTAAAAAGAAGGCTTCGGAGCATCAATTGAGTAGTTTATCATCTGCAGACTTTGCACACGACCTACAAGACACTGGTGTGTCCTTTGCTCTATTGCTTAAACCTGAATCTGACAGCAACCCTACACCACTTGCTGAACCCATACATCAGTTCCTCCCTGAATTCTCTAATATCATACCTGATGACTTCCCAGATGAACTACCTCCAGCGAGAGAGAGTCAGCTTGCCATTGACCTTATTCCTAGTTCGCAAATTCCTAATCTTCCTTATTATCGTATGAATCCGTCTGCGCGAGCAGAATTGAATCGACAAATTCAGGTGTTGCTGGATAATTGCTTTATTCGTCATAGTTTAAACCCTTGTGTTGTTCTAGTTCTCCTTACCCCCAAAAAGGATGGTTCTTAGCGAAGGATAGCCGCACCGTAAATAATATTACAGGTTTCATTCCTCCTCCGGTGCCATGTAGTCCTTCTCCTAGTTCTGCCCCTGCATATCAGATTGAGGACGTCTCAGATCATGAAGTTGTGGCCTCGTCTCCTGGAGATTCTACCCGTTCTCTGGTTCGTTGGGTTGGAAGGCCTGCTACTGCAGATACTTGGATTACAGAAGCTGAATTTCGCCAGTTGGATTCCACTCTTCTGCACAGTTATCAGGATGATCTTCATGATCTTGATTTGGTTGCCTCTCGTCCTCCCATCATCCATACTTACAAACATCGTCGTCATCCTTTATCTTGGTTTACTCCCCGGTGTCGAGTTCTTTTTCGGTGGGGGAGAATGATGCAGAATGCATATTTTTAGTTTTCCTAATTCTTAAAGATTCCTTCTTGGTAAACGATCTCTTATTAGTTAATTTGTTTTCCTAATTCTTAAAGATTCCTTCTTGTTAAAGGATCTCTTATTAGTTAATTTGCTTTCCTATTTCTTAAAGTTTACTTTTCCTTTTCCTAGACTAAAAAGGGTTTTGCCTCTATAAATAGAGTTGTTTGTAATCTTTTAAGGCAAACTTGATTAATGATAAATTTCCTTACTTTAAACTCTCTGATTCCTTCCCTTTCCCATCGTCTCTTCAATCTCTAATTCTTCTCCTCGATCCCTTACTTCTTCTATGTTCTATTGCTCAAGTGTTTACTCTAAACCTACGGGCTGTTCTACATCACATACAAAAGTCACAAATTTACCTTCAATCCTAAAAATCAGAAAAACCCATGAACAATCTGAACAACAAATAAAATTCAAAGTCATACCTACTTTGAATAAAGCAAAATACCAATGCCTCTAAATTCTTAAAAAAAAATACCATAACTAAATTAATTGAATTAATCCATCATGAAGTAAACCCTTGATTGTATGAATAGGACCAGAAGATCAAGTAACTAATGTTGCTGCCATCAAAATGTAAATTGGTGAGACAAGTTCTAGCCATGTGGCTTTTAAGAGAAATTCATACTCATGCTGTAAGTGTTGGATTATCTAAACATTATAATAATTGAAAATATGAAGAAACTAAAATAATGAAATTGATAGAGTGTAGGGATTTGGCCAAATTAGAGCTGTACCCAGTGTATGAATCTGGATCATTTTCATTACACTAACAACAAAAACAAAATAATAATAATCATATTTCTGTAGTCCTTGCTTGAAACAACAAATATGGTGCAAATAATCATTTTTTTTTATGGTGCTTGCTTTAAAATTCAAAATAATTTAATTGTTAAGATCTCTTTCCAACATCAGTTTTTCAGTCCCCACTTCCAAAGTTCAAGAGTTACAAATACCCAGAGTCAGAGTCTTGGACAAGACTTTATATGAAGCTAATCAAAACAGCTGATAAAATACACAATTACTCAGCTTTTGCTTTCCTCCTAAACCTAAAATTCTAAAACATAAATTATTCCCTTTAGCTTTCACCAACCCGTGACTTTTTGAGAGCTCAATTTTATATGTTGAAGTGAGCCTTCATAACGCAGTGAAAGCCACTCAAATACAACCCAATAAACATAATTAAAAAGAAAAAGGAAGAAGAATGGCGAATTGAACTTACCAAAGTATCATCCAAAGTGTGAACAAGAATGTATTTGCCATTCGGTGCGAAATGAACTAAAGAAATTTGGGGTTCTCATCATCAATCACTTGTGATCGCCTTGTCCTAAGTGATAATAAAAGTGTGAGACAGTAAGGTGAATTTGGGTTTTTTGTAAATTGGGGATGAGAGTTTGTAGGGTTTAGTTTTGGAATTGAGATAAGGAAAGAGGAGGAGACAATGAGAGTTAGGGAGAGCAAAGTGGCGATTTGTGGATGGAGACAATAAAATTTTGGCAAATCAAAGGAGCGATTTGTGGATCGAGACAGTGAGATTTGAGGCGAGCAAAGGGGCGCGATTGTGGCTGAGATTGAGAGACCATGGAACTACATAGATGAGACAAAGGGAGAGCTATGGAGAAGAGAGAGCTACAGATGGAGACAGTGAGGTGAGCGCGAGGGTGAAATTTGAAAGAGAATCCTACCCTAACACACTGAATTTTGGATATGAAAGAAAACCTACCAGCTCTCTCTTTTTTTATTCCCCTTTTTTTTGGTCTAATGCTAGTTTTGTTTTCTTTACGGTTTTCATTTTTATTTTTTGAAGTGTCAGGCATATAAGGGTTTTAACTGACGTTGTTTATCAAATGTCGGGGAAAAACGATATATAGTTGACGCTCTTTATAAAAACGTCAAGGAATGTGATACATACTTGACGTTTCAGATAAACATCATGAAAACATGCTGTGTAGTTGATGCTTTTTAAAAAGCGTCAATGCTTCATAGAAGAGGTGATGGTTTTGCAAAAAGCGTCAACTATGAAGTGTCAACTAAAGCCCATTTTTTTGTAGTGACTTGTTGAATCAGGCACATCTAAATATCTTGAAGAATACGGGGAAAGTTCTACCTTATATTGAGTATGAGTTTTATTCTTAAGTAGTCACTTTAAATTATATTCCTTATGTTTATCTTATATGTTGGGAATTTCTTTTGGTTTTTAAGCATACATAATGACCTGCAGTTGTTTATATTTATGGACTAACATTCAGAATATTAATATGGTACTCAAAATAGATGTGAGGAGGAGTATCCTAAGGTTTGAGGAATTTAGGTTTATTGGTTTTTTTTTCATTATTATTGTTTTCCTACGTTCATTAATTCATAACTATTGAAGTAAATAAAAGAAACAAACTGAAAGCCCCTTATTTTTTATTGTTTTCTTTTTTCCCTTGTGACATAGTTTATTTCTTATCAGCAAGGTGACAGATGAGGACGATTTAGACAATAGTCGTAGAAGGAAAGGACGACCAACTGCTAAGAAAATTCTTAGGCACATAATCTTTCCCTTAACAAGAAAGACATTTATATTATTGTGTATTGCAGGGTCATTTGATTCTAAACCCTAAACCCTAAACTGCACCACACCTTGTAGTTATAGGATGGGAATATTTGTTCCATAAAGCCCCTTATTTCTTTTAAAATTTATAACTTTCTCTGGGAACAAGTAAAGGATAAAATAATGGAAATGCAAACTATTTCCTTTTTCAGTTTCCCTAGTATTCCAAAGATAAAATAAGACGGAAAGTAAAAGATCATTCCATTTCAAAATAAAAAGGAATACAATTCCTATTCCCCTTTTAACATTCCTGTCAAACAAATAGACTGCTAGTTCACTCATTTGTCAGAGATTATCAAAGTATATTATTATTATTATTATTGTTTGACACCATTTTCTTGGTATGCTAGCTGCCGTCCAGTTGATTATTTATCTCCCCATATATAAATCTTTTGTTGTTTAATTATTGTATTTGTTTGAGCTCAAGCTCCCCAGCTAATATCTACATATATATACGTTACGCCAGAAGTGGAATGATTGAGAAGCCACGAATATTTCCTACCCTTGTATTCTATCTCTCATCACAAGAGTATGATATGCTAGTTTCGTGTAACATGTTTCCCCGAAGTTCACAGTGATTAGTCTAAACTAAAAGCCTTGTAGGGACAATTCTTGCAACCTCAAGGCTCAAGCTCTATTCGTGTAACATCATCTTTTCTTCTTTTTCTTTTAGGAAACAAAGTACGTTTGTTCTTTTCTTCTGGTTTGGGCAATTGTTTATTAAATTTTCGGGGTATATTACAATAACTTTTCGTACATATGGGAGGAAGCTCCAGAACATGAAACCCAAAGCCAAATGACATGCTTATACCCTCAAATATTATCGGCCACAGTAATCTGGTCTTTTTACTTATGTATAAATAACTTTTCTATTGTTTTTGAATTAACTACTTGTACATCCCATGGCAAATTAGTAGTGTGTGTGAGAAATCTCCCACTCTTTGTAGTTCAGATTATCACTTGTCGTTTGGCGTCTCTTACAAAGGTTGTTCATTCATTAAAGAAAAAAATAAGTAAACTTAAATGAAATTGGTGTGTATACAATCAAATCTTTTGAATTAGTGAGCATATTTTGTCAGTGCAAAAATGATATGTAATCTCAATCATAAAAGTCCACCATGTCATTAGGTTTTATCAATTTATTTTGTTGAATTAGTATATTACTGGTTGAATAGGCATGCCTCAAAGTTTCATTAAAAATTTACATATTTGTATAACAATTTTCATAGTTTTTATTCAATCTTCACCGATATCGAAATTTCCATAAAAATTTTGAGAACCATATTTCAGAAGTGATCGAAATTTAACACCTTGCTTACAATATCCAAAAGGAATTAACAGCTCAATTACAATAGTTGCTTCATTTACTTTTAATCTTTAACAGCTCAAACTAAACTTTACAGTTAATCCACCCAAACCCCACATCCATGATAATATAGCATAACCGTCGACCTGTTCTCTCTGTAGAAATATTTTTTTTTTTTTTTTTTTTTTTTTTTTTTTTTTTTTTTTTTTTTTACCGACTGTAGATAGTATTAGCTGACTAGAGTCGACTGTCCAGCTCATCATGTTTTGTTATTGTCCTGTATAAAAGGCAATTGTGCCTTCATTCAATGCATATACAGACAAATAGAAATCAGTTTCTCTCCAAATTTTTTTCGTTTGGTCTTCTTCGATTCACACACATTCTCTGTTTCCATGGAAAGGTTACGTTACAATAACAGGTTGGCAATGGAAGAGGGAGAGTTAACCCATCCTCCCAGGTAAGTCGTCATTTGTTTTTCTAATGCATAAATATATATATATATATGGGGGATTTGATTGAACTATCAAATGAGATCACCATTAGTTACATTAAGAATGATTATTTTGAGATATATTGTTTTGTATTTGTGACTAGTTTAGGTTTGGTTTATACGAAAACCAAAAAGGGGTAATCAGAAATATTTATTTTAAGATGACTTTTGTTGAAGAAATAAGTAGGAAAACCACTTACTAATGCAATTGTTTATACTTCAGGACTGTCGTTGGGATTATTATTCATGTTCTCGCACGTATGGCCGATATCGTGGGGTTAGTATATGCATATAACTTATAGTCGAAAGGTTTATTGGTTCTTATTATTCATTATTGTTTTCTTATATATGTTAAACTCTTAATTAATTTATGCCTATATTGAAGTAAGTAAATACAAGAAATCAAAAGGATAAACTAACCTGAAGTTGTTTATATTTCAGGACTCTCATTCAGATTATTGTGGACGTTCCTACATTTGTGCCCGATATCGAGAGGTTAGTATATGTATATATATATACGTGTTATTAAAAATTGTGGTTTTTCCTTTTTATAAAATTCTTACTCAAACCTTTAGATATAAATAATATTAAAAACAAAGCTTTAACAGTAAAGTAAAAATAAATAATAAATAATAAATAAAATAAGTCAAGAGTAAGAAAGCAAGCTTGGTATAGTGAAAGCACATCAAAGACGTTGTCCTAAAGTCTTTGTAGCCTTCCTACGTGTAGGTAATGACTGTCTACAACACTCCAAGATACCCTAATACATAGGCTTAAGGTCTGCTATGAGCACATTCACAGTCGGATAGAAATCTCCAAGCCACAAAACCATTGCCCAAAATAATAATATGGAAAGTAGAGAATATATGAAAATATGAGAATAGAGAATCTGATTGTGGTGTGTTTCAAATTTGAAGGAGGAGTGGCCTTTTATAGGCATCAAACACTTGTAACCTCCAAACACATTTAACCAGAAAAATTAAGGCAATGAATAAAAATAAAAACTGAAAATTAAACAATTTGTAACTCCCATAATAAATAAAAGAAAATAGTCAAAATATTAAAACAGAAAATAAAAAGTTAAAATTTAAAAAACCTTTAAAATAATAACCTTTTGGGGCTTTAGGTTTATTTATTTATGATTTAGGTTTATTGGTTCTCATTACTTATTATTGTTTTCTTATATATGTTAATTAATTTAAAGAAATTTATAATAAAACTTATTTCTTATATTGAATTTATATATAAATCCTAAAAACTATAAATTGAAGAAGAAAAAAAAAACCAAAAAAGGGTAAGTTGTAAAAAAATTTTAATTTGAATTATGTGTGAAATACCATTATTATCCTTGCATTATGATTTTTAGAAAAAAGAAAATTGATGGTATTGTTTTAATTTCTGAATTTTCAAGGGGTGTATGGTATATTTAGTCCATTTGAAATGTCAAACGGATTTTTCCCAAATATTTTGGTATTGTAGGATTATTCTATATTTTTGACCCTATTAAAGGCTTACATGTGAAAACCCTATTAATTTATGCCTATATTTAATCCAGTAAATACAAGAAATCAAAGGGACAAACTGACCTGCAGTTGTTTATATTTCAGGGCTATCATTAGGAATATTAAGAATGTTGTCGCATGTGTGGCTGAATGCGTGAGGTTAGTATATGTATATACCTTTGGTGTGATTTTTTTTTTTTTTTTTTTTTTTTTTTGTTGTGAAAAATATGCTATTGCATTCATAATTCAACCAGAAAAGCCACTAGCCACAAATAGACAATACAAACTAACCACAAAAGGTCCTTTCATTAACATAGCAAGCTAACATCAAAATTAAGAAAATCTAGGGCTCCTCCACTAACGATCATGGAGGATCGAAGAAACTTTAGCATATACATCCCAATTAAGAATGCAAATTCAAAACAACCAAAAGTAGATAAAGTTTGAAAAAAAACGAAGTCATAACAATACAAATAAAACTGTAACATCCCACATCAACCAACGGAGAAAGGGTGATGTGGCTTATATGTACATGCCCGTCTCCATCTAGCACGAGGCCTTTTGGGAGCTTATTGGCTTCGGAGTTATAAGAACTCCGAAGTTAAGCGAGTTGAGGCTAGAGCAATCTCAGGATGGGTGACCCATTGGGAAGTTGCTCGTGAGTTCCTAGAAACAAAACCATGAGGGTAGATAGGGGGCCCAAAGTGGACAATATCGTGTCACAGCAAAGCCGATCCCGGGATGTGATAATTTGGTATCAGAGCCACTCTGCTGTGTGGTGCAAGTGTGCCAACAAGGACGTTGAACCCCTAAGGGGGGTGGATTGTAACATCCCACATCGACCAACAGAGAAGGGGTGATGTGCCTTATATGTACATGCCCGCCTCCATCTAGCACGAAGCCTTTTGGGAGCTCATTGGCTTCGGAGTCATAGGAAATCTGAAGTTAAGCAAGTTGTGGCTAGAGCAATCCCAGGATGGGTGACCCACTAGGAAGTTGCTTGTGAGTTCCCAGAAACAAAACCGTAAGGGCAGATAGGGGGCCCAAAGTGGACAACATCGTGCCATGGCGGTGCCGATCCCGGGATGTAACAAAAACTCTCACAAAGGAGAGGTGGAAAGCTCTCACAAAGGATAAGCGAAAAACTCTCACAAAAAAAAAAGTACCAAGAGTAAAGGTGACATAGCCTAATCATCAGAAAATCAGGAAACCATACCTCTTGTCTGGCTAGCTAAAGTTCCAATTTACCCTTCACAAGTTCTCGGATCCATTTTCGTGCCTCTTGTCCAAGCTTCACTTTAGATCCAACTACTAAACGAGTTTGAACTTCAAATCCTCAAAGAAGAATCTTCACTCTGCTTAACTAGGAACAATAAAAGTACTTAACTCACTTTAACATTGCACGTTTAAAAGCTTTGCTCCAAAAAGACGAAAATGCCCCTCAGACCATCCCGAGATCCAAAGCTATCAAATCTTATACAAAACAATCCAAAATTGTGTCATACGCCTTATCGGAAACAAAACAATGTAAAAGACAGCCGTTGTCCAAAAAGTCACTATTTAGGTTCAATGAACCCTACATGAACCGACACTCCAAAAATTCACCTCAGCACAACTTCGGATTTCGAATCCTGAAGCACCGCTGGACTCTATACAATCCCGACAACAAACCACATTAGTTTGGGTCCAATCCAACAGTCGGTTATCCGTAGATCTAACAATCAAAAAGATATCACTTTATGTAAACCAAGAATCATAGATCCGGACTTGGGATTCTCGATTCTTCTAAACCTACACACATCTTCTGAACCTACACACTCACAACAACACCAGCTTCAACATGCTAAAAGTGTGATATTTGCTTTCTTCCAAAATTTCCAACTTGAAACCCTAAAATGAAATGGTGTCATGGCTTCTAATATGTAGATCCACATTTGTGACACATGTGGTCCACATGTGTGCTGCATCTCAAACTTTGGGGCCTACTTTTGGCCTTCTTGGTCCTACACATTTTTACTTTAATGTGTCACATGTGTCTAAAGTCTTACGGTTCAATTATTTATTCCTTCAGTCATGTGGGGTTGGCTTAAGACGGAGGAGGAAGGATGGGGTTTGCTAGGTGGGTGGGTTGGATGATGGGCGGTGGACTTAACAGAGTTAAGTGCTAGCTTTTTTTTTTTTTTTTTTTTTTTTTTTTTTTTTTTTTTTTTGGTTAAGAGATAAGTTAAGTGGTTTGTCACCTATCAAAAAAACTAGAAAGGAAATAGGGTGGGCACAGGATATTGGTAACAGAAAAATTGGACTCTTCCCACCCAGATGCACCCCTGCAGCTGCATCTTCATACCCAACCCACCCATCTTCACACGGGTTGTTCTTTCAAATCCTCCTCTCACAAACAAACCCCATGGCTGTCATTGCAAGACCCATGGAAACCACTTAAGACAAACCCACGAATTCAATCTTCATGTGCATAATCCTCAACGTCCAAAACAGATAAGCACAATAATTCACTTGAATGAACAAAAAACTTCGTAAGTTTTTAATTATTCCAAACCTGTGGTTCAAACCCAAGCAAAATCCCCAAACTTCAAAACTTCAGTGTTTTATTTCTTACATTGCACAACACTTAGATTTCTCCAAACACGTCCTATTAAAGTTGTAAGAAGATAAGTTAATTTAAATTTCCTTCTAATTATCATGGCAACAAAAAACCCATGGAAGGATTTTTATCTTAATCCTTGTACAGCTTCCTGTTTCCATGGCCTTCTAGTTGGCATCCATGGAAGCAATTGTCTGAATTTGTTGAATGGAGAGAATGAAAAGCTTCGAGCTTTGCTTCTTTTTCTTTTTCTTTATATTTGAATAATTTCAGTCGATGGCAGCTATGGGGTTCTTGACTCTATGAGGCTAAGGATGAAGAAAGAATGAAAAATATTTTTTAAAAGAAATTTTTATTTTTATTTTTCCACACATTACTTTTATGTCATGTATGTCAGCAAAACATGGGTTCCACTCGTGCCACATCATCATTTTTAACATATTATTTGACGGAATTGATGATAGGGGCGAAGTGAGATGCAAAACATCGGCCAAGGGAGTAAAATGAGTCACTTTAAGTTCCTAAGACAATGTGAAATTTGACTTGTCAAAGGAATAAACATGTCATTGCCATAAAAAGTTACATACAAGCCCAATACAAAAATAAATAATAAATAAATAAAAAACCGAAGGTTCAACCAAACAAAATAAAAGCCCAATCCAACATACAAATAATTTAGGTCCAAAACAACAACAAAAAACCCCAAAACACAAAATCCCTAGAATCAAACCTTAGAAATACCAAGCAGTCACAGCCACCCGATCTGTTGCCGCCACCGCCTCAAGAAGAAGGTCCGTGGGAACCGACAAAGGGGATATGTAGAGCGTGGCTTTGGAGGAGCAAGCCACCAACATGCATCAAGCTCAAATTGGTCAAAATTGACCATTAAACTACAGAGCCCACACCTCCATATCAAAATCTCATATTTGAGGATGGGTTGCAGGGGAGAAGCAGCTGCAACAAACCAGGAGACAACCATGAAAATCCTAGGGAAAGATGAGGAGTTTTGGGTTTGAGATTTCATGTAAAACATTGATTTAGCATTAGCGCAATTAAGCCTTGATTTTATGTAAAACCTTTTTGTTGTTGAGTTTAAATATTTCAAAATATATATGTTAGAGTCTTGATTGCTAAAACACAATCGAGAGTCCTTTTCCCCTTCTTCCATAAACCTCTTCTTCCTCTTCTTCCTATCATTCCCACTAGAACCCCTCTAATCGAGTGCAAATAACTTCTTTGATTCTAGAGGAACGCCCTAGAGTCATCTCTTTTCGGTTAATAAATTGGGCCTCTCTTCCCCCCGTCATGTTGTGGAGAGTTTTCCCCCCTAGTTTTAGGCTGGGCTTTTGCTCCCTTGCCTCTTTGGCGAGCTTCTCTCCCCCTAGGTGTTTAAGGGTTGCTTCTCAGCCTTTTGTTGGCCTGATTTTGGCTTGATAGTAGTAGATCTCCACCTTTGCCCTCCTATTGTTTGTATTTTTGAAATTTAAGGGTTTGGTGGTTTCTCTTCTAAGATCTCTTTTTTGTGGAGGTGGAGTTGATGAATCTAGTGGGATCTACTATCCTTTGGTGTTGTGGGATCATGAGGGGCGGTGGAGATATTGTGATTTTCTTTAAAATGTCAAGGTGAAATTTGAGTGGTAATACTCTTTCACTCTCTGGTGCTTCTAATCCCAAAGAAGTTTCAGAGGTGGTTATCCACATGATCTCTGTTCAACACTGGTTCCTAAGTTTTATGGATCCTATCATCTTCAACTTTGAGTGAGCTGAGATTTAGATACACATGGTGACATAAGTCCCTCCCTACAACTCATTAATTAATAATTCTCACAAGAACAAGGTCTACTCGACATAAATTATGAAGATAATGAAACCTTTCACTTGCTTACTGTTCTTGCGCTGGTTGTATTTTATTGTGTATATTTTCTGTTCTTGTTTTCAAGAACCCTCTTATGGGGCAGTGTTCTTTGTGTGTAATCTTGTAATTGCCTCTCATGTTAATGGATCTACTTTGTCTTAAAAAAACATTAAATTAAAAATGTATATATATATATTTCAGAATATGGATGCTACTAAAAGTCGTCCGTACATATGATTCGTTTTTCTTTTCCCTTCTTATCAGCATATATTTCAATGAGGGAGACCGTTACAATGATGGAAGGAAAAAGAAGGGAATTCTTTGGTGCATCTTCTTCTCTTCATTAACGAGGAAATATGCATTTATAATATCATGTGTTGCAGTGTCAATTGATCCTTTTTTCTTTTACATTCCCGTCATTGATGAGAAGAACAAGGGCCTTGGAATAGACAAAAGGGTGAAGACTCCAGCTCTTTGGTTGCGAGTACTTCCTGATGCCGCTTTCGCGCTGCGTTTAGAATATGTAAAGAGGCGAAGAAGCGTTTTGAAAGACTTGTCGTCAGCTTTATGGGTATATTAATTGGCGCTTTCCTTATCCTTCCCATCCCACAGGTAAGATATTGAAATCTCAACTTTTGTTGCTTAAATAATGCAGACGTTTGAGTTCCTAAGTAAGCTTTTAAGTAGGAGATAATTTACGACTATGTTGCCCTTTAAGGTAAATAATGGAAAAAATAAAAATAAAATTCCTTGATTTAAGGCATTATTACTCTTAAATTTTGAGTTTGACTTTTGAACATTTATGGCTATAAAAAAAATTATAAACATATACACCAAATTAAAAATAATAATTTATAATACATGTGTAATCCACATAAGATGAAAGGGAAAGTTACAGGTCGTCGGTTTCGGGTGATGCCGTCGTGAGAGAGAGCAGTGACTACCTTGAAGCTGGAGCTTGCTGGCAAAGACAGATCTCGTGCTATCTGGAGGGCCATAAAAGAGGAAGACTGAGAGACAAAGAAGGGGAGAAGAAGGGATATATAGAGAGAGAGAGAGAGAGAGAGAGAGAGAGAGTGGAGACGCATGTGTGTCTAATGCTCTTTAGTTTCAAAAGATAGTCAATGGATCTAGCCCAGTGAAAAAGGGCTTGACTTGTAGACTAATGGCTTTAGATTCGAACCTCCATGGTAATGTGTACTATGTGTGTGCGAGAAACTCCCTCCTGTCTTATTTAGACTATCGCTTGTATTAAAAAAAACGCTTCTTAGATGTTGTTTTACCTTTGGGTGCATAGCTGTACTTGAAATGTTTATCATATTCTTGAAAAATCCATCGAATTAGATAGCTAATAATGAGTCGTCCTACTCGTGTGTATTTCATTTTATATACACATGTGCGGCATTTAGTCAAGATTTATTTGCCCACTTCAATCCTCGTTCATATCCTTATTTGCCCACCAGCTATTACGATGACAGAAAAATCAGTCAAGGTTTATATTTAGGTCAACCTTGTCTTATGCACGTAGTTAGATTTTGCTTATTGACTCTGGTCTCTAACCAGCTGTTTTTTGGTTCAGTTGGCAATAGTAGTATTCTTTTTCAAGTCAGGAGGCTCCGGACATTTCGGCCAAAGAGTGACCACCGTGAACGTGTTCCTTGTTATGCATTATCTGACAAGGGTTTTCCTAATCTACAGATTCGGTAATTATCTTTAGTCATGTAAGTTCAAGCTCCATTCTATTTTTTCTTCTACGTTCTTGCTAGTCATGTAAGTTCTATCTTCATCGTCATAATTCATAAATCACAATTTTATGTCTTATCTTTAGTTTTGTAACTACAAACTTGACTAAGGGCCCGTTCGTTTGGGACCATAATCACCTATAGGGAAAAACACATTCCACATGCTTCTCCATATAATCATTCCCAAACGAGCCCTAAGTTTTCTTTTGTATTAAATAAATAGCTAGGTTAAATTTAACCAAAACTTGACAAACCTATTTGAAGATGATCTAATCATGAATAAACATTTTGTGGTTAGGTACTTGGAGGTTTTTGGTATTTCTTTTCTATTCAACGAGAGATATCATGCTGGCACCAATCCTGTAAAAATGCTATAAGTTGTGGTGCTACTGATTATTGCAGTGGTAGTACTTCACGAAATATCATGTTCCTAAATGAGTTAGGCCCGTCAAATCCACCAAATGCTAACGTATTTAATTTTGGAATATTTCTTGATACCATTCAATATGGAACCACAAGATCAATGCATTTTCCAACCAAGTTCTTTTACTGCATATGGTGGGGCGTCAGAAATCTAAGGTACGCATATATGTATGTTAAGCTATTGATAGTCTAGACGAAATTCATATACTTTTCCACTTCTAACTAAAACAGAACTTTTAAATGGATGCCTTGTAGGATAAAAGTGGTTTAGGTATATTATCATTTATTTACAAAACTATATGTCATTTTGGTTACAAGCATTTTTTTTTCTCTCAAATAATCCCTAATTCCTAGCATTTCAAAAATCCAGAATTTATTGAACATTATTTATTTTCGAAATCCCTAAAATTTCTCTAGTAAGAAAAGAGAGTTGAGAAAATAGTTGCGTAGTTTTCTTCTCATTGGCACCTTTATTTTCCTATTTGTGGTTACATGGATAGCACACAAGAGACACTTTTTCTGAAGGACAGCTTGTTGAGTCCACTACAAATTTTATTTTAACAATCCAAATTATCTATTTTTCATGTCTTGATTTATAAATCATCCTTGACAAATACGGTACTCCAAGAAAACATTAAAATGACAACCATTTTATTGAGTGGTAAAATAGATTCTGATTCAAGTAATTTTTTTTTGTAAGGATGATCTTTGAAAAGAAACCAAAAAAAAAAAAAAAAAAAAAAAAAAAAAAAAAAAAAAAAATCGGGGTGTTTGGAGAATCACATATATTAAATGGGTCTCACAAGAGTGCTGGCCCTTCTTTGAGGAATTTGTTAATTAAAACTCTCTATGTATCCTAAATATTTCATATCAAAACATATTCTATATATATATATATATATATATTAAATACTTAATTGGTTGTTGCAGTAACTTTGGTACGAATTTGCAAACAAGTAGCTATGTGTGGGAAAACTGCTTCGCAATTATCGTTTCTTTCATTGGCCTGCTATTATTTTTATATCTCCTTGGAAACCTACAGGTACGCTGGTGTTGAATCATGATAAATAAATTTAAAAGAATTGTGATGAATATCTTCTTCTTTTTTGTTGAAAAGACTGAAATATTTCATTAGAAATCATGATGAATCTCTTGATATTAGTAAATTTTTTAAATTATTATTCAGTTATTCAGTTATTTGGTCACTGACTTGTGAAATGGTAACCATCTTAATATTTTATTTATATAAAAAATTGAAATATTAATTAGTTAGTTTAAAATTAATAAATATACATAAACTTATGTTAAATTTTAATAATAAAATAAGTTTATTTAAGAGAAAAAAAAAACAAAAAAAAAGCCCCTAGAACCAGAACTTGACAACCCCCAGCACAACTCCTCTCACCGCCCTCACTCCCACCACAACCCAACCCAACCCTTCCCCATCGCCAACTGCCACCCCCAACCCGTGGCCACCATTTCCTCCACATATCGCCACCTTGATTTATCCTCCTCCATGTCCAAATCTGATCGCACACCCCACAACTTTGTAAACAGTCCCACCCCACCTGCCCCTTTCGCCCCTAGCCATACCCGCCACCACAAATCCACACTCAACTCCACCAATCCGATCTGCTTCCAGCCGCAGCTATCCGAATAAAGTAACCAGAAAACCCACACCCAGTCACTACTTGAAATCCATAGACACCAAAACCAAAATCATGAACACCGAGAAAAATAAAGGGAGATTCACTATTATACCCAATATAGGGCCCGAATTATAAAAAATATGAAATGGACTTTAGAAACACACCCAAATACTATTTACATCATAACAAAGATAATTTTAATTTCATATAAATTATAAAGGGAGCTGATTTTCCCACTCTCCTTTTCTCCACTTACATTCCCTTTTGCTTTTTAATACTTTTTAATACTTTTTTGTTCTTTCTCTTTCCAATTCTACCCTTACATTAAGATTTTGATAACTGAAATTAAGAAAAGTTAACATAAAATAAAACAAAACACAAAAATAAATTTTGAAAATGGATATAAATGTAAATATTTATTTGCCAATTCTTTTTTTTTTTTTTTTTTTTTTTTTTTTTTTTTTTAAAAATAAATAAATAAATTTTTTATTTGTTTTTTTTGTATAATATATAAATAATTTTTTGGGTAACACTGTTTACAAGTAGAAAAACCAAAGAATGCTACTAACCAAACTGCCATTAGGAGCTTAGATATGTAGAGCGCAAGGTATGCATAATATTCTATAATTTTTAGGGAGTTTCACTAAAACACCCAAAATGGAGGTTGAAATTATAAAAAAAACCCAACACCCAGAACACTTTATAAACACACCCAAAACCCATCATTACACACACTCAAAACTCATTTATAAACACACCCAAAAAGTGACTTTGGGGTTGATTTTGGGTGTGTTTCTATGTTTAAATAGTGCTTGGGTTTTTTTATAAATACATGTCTAGGATTGGGTTTATTTATAAATTTGTATAATTTTTATTCTTTCATAATATTAGTAAGTGATTGTACATATCTTCTTATTAAAAGGAATTGTAGAACAAGGGTAGAATAGGATAGAGAAAGAACAAAAAAGAACAAAAAAAATTAAAAAGTATTAAAAAGCAAAAGGGAGTGTAAGTGGAGAAAATGAGAGTGGGAAAATCATCTCCCATTATAAAACTGTCATCGATTTCTTAAAATAAGCCCAACCCAAAACCTCACTAGTAAAAAAAGTGACAACAGTCACCATTATTTGATGACATTTGTGGCCGTCACAAAAGGTATTAGTCACATTTTTTTTATTTTTGGTGACTAAAAAGGCTTTTAGTCACATTTTTGCTTTTTTTGGTGACTAAAGCCTTTAGTCACCCCCCGCCCCCAACAATAGTCACCAAATAATGGTGACTGTTACCACTTTTTGTTTTTGTTTTTTGTATTTTTGGTAGTACTCATTAAAAAACCAAAAACACTCAATAGGGTATCAAAGTAATTTAATAATCAAAATTAAATTAAATAAGGCCATTTGTCATTTTTTGAGGTTTTTTATAGAAATTAAATGGTGTAGAGTTTATCTATATCATTAGTGCTAAGAATAAGTATATGACTAAAGAGCTAAAAAATAAATCCATACATAAACAACAGAGACAGTAAAATTATGGGAGGAGGGGAAAATGTGGTATTTTTTGGATGGGGTTTGGTAGTTAGGGTGATGATGACCACAGTCTTAAATATCGAAATTATCGGCGATATTTCGCCGATAATTTCATTTTTTTGAATGAGCGATATTTTAGGCCATATCAACTTAATTATCGTCAATATATCGATATTTTCGTCGATATTTTCACTATAATTTCATACTCGTTCTTGCTTTATTTGGGCAATATATCGCAATATTATTGATAATATCGCGATTGAAATTGAAAAATAAATGAAATTGTTGAGAAATGGCGCGATATTATCAAGCATTTTATTATCGATATTATCAGTACCATCATCACCCCAAAATCATAGAAAATATGAAATATCATATCAAATCTACAAGCTCTTTACCCAGATCTACAAGAATTTAACCCATATCTCCAAGAACTTCACCCAGATCTACAAGATGAACACATATATGTACAGAGAAACAAAACATGAAGAGAAAAAAAAATGAAGAAGAGAGAAATAGAAAAGGAGAGTTGCAAAGAAAGAGATATAGAGGGAGAGAGAGAAACATAAAACCAAGAAAAAAAAATTAGATTAATAGAAAATCAGAGAAAGAGAGGAAGAAGAAAGAAAATAAAGACGAAATGAGAGGAGAAAGAAAAAGAGAGAAGAAATAAATAATAAGAGAGAAAGAAGAAAAAAGAACTGAGAGGAAAGGAGGCAAAAGACAGAAGAAAGAAAGAAGAAAAAAGAAGTTAAAGAACCAAGAGGAAAAGACGCGGAAGAGAGAAGACAGAAAGAAAAAGAGAGTTAAAAGAATCTGAGAGGAAAATAGCGAGAGTGCGTGAGAGAAAGAGAGTGAAGTGAGAAGTGGGATTTGATAGGATTGGGGATATTAAAAAATGGCTTGTTGGACTTGGGCAATGGACTTGGGAAATTTGGGCTTTTTGTTGGTATAATGAAATAGTTGGGTTTGGGCCTAAAAAATTGATATTTTAAATATATATATATATTTTTTTTTGTTTTTTTTTAATGTGGTACTAAGTTACTCATATATTTTATTTTTGTTTTTTTGTCAAGCTCATATATCTTATCATATGCAATATATTGTAGTAAATTATTATAACTAAAAAATTATGGTGCGTTTAATTTTCTTTCACTAATTACTACATATTTTCTAAAGACACAGTGTTTGTTAGGTCGCTACATAATCAACTTAAATCACTCTAACCCACCATGCCATGCATTTTATTCCAATTTTTTGTGATAAAATAATAGACAATTGACTAAATAAACATTCTCTAAAGTTTCAATAAAAATTTCCAACTTTTTCTCACAATTTCCGTGATTTTTATTCAATTTTTATCGATATCGATATTTTCTCGATATTTCCATCGATATATCCGTGTTTTTGGACCACCGATATTTCCGAAACTCTCGATATTATAGACCTTGATGATGACTGACCCATTGTCTGAATGGCCTAATATCCACTTCGTTTTTTTATTTTAATGAATTTTTTAACATAAAACTGACAAAGTGGCTTAAAATGTTAATGTTTGCCAACTCAGTAACGAAATTAATGAAATTAAAACTCAGATATTAAAATAGATTTTTGGAACCTACACAAATGCAAGTTTTGAAGAGTTTGTACGCAAAATAATTCAGCTCTAGTACATTTCGCATTAGCGCCTTGAGCTTGACCGTATTTTTCAAATTGTGTCCATAGTATGTGTTCGATTACATATTCTTTTATCCTTTTACTTTTCAGTGAAGGATATTTTTTTATTTTATAATATATTGTTTATTTGTTTATCTGTGACGCTATGTTTATGCTTTTTTTAAGAAAACAGTTTAAAACTCAGGCATACTACACGGATGTTATGTTTATGCATATTTAATATGACGAACTAGCTTCTTATTTGTTATGAAACAGATATTTATGCAACAAGCACTCACAAGATCGTTGGATAAGGAGCAGTTAATGAAAATGAAGATGCTTGAGAAAGAAAGGAAGATACTTGAGAAAAAAAAGGAGATACAAATGTGCATGAAAATGCATGGCATTTCAGATGACACGGTTGGAAGAATTTTGGTTAATATTCGAAAAAAGGAATTGGAAGAAAACATAGATGGTGAAGTGGATGTGAATTATATCTTCTCTGTTCTTGATGAGTTTGCGAAAGTAATTATGCGCCGCAGTATTTGCTGGGAGATGCTGAAAAAAGTAGGTCTTTTTTTCTTTTTGATTTTATTTTATTTTATTATTTTTAGAAGTATGTTCATGAATCTTTATATATGTATTGTTCACTTATTAGGAATGGAGAAAGTCATAAATCGTAGAACTCAGATAGGGCAATCAAGGAATTGGAATTGGGTCAACTACTCTCCCCTAGTTGATCCATTCTTGATTTTGAGGTTATTAGATTATTGAAATTGTTACATAGGTGTAAGGGGTAAAATTAACGGATAATCTAGCTTACCACAAATTAGACCAATAAAATAATCCCAACAAATGTATGACTAGCCAACAACTAGTCACAGACCTAAGATCACACATCAAACAACACACATATTCAACAAATAAATCTCATTCCTGTGCAAGTCTAGAAGATAACTATATGACAATCTAGGTACTCAAAAGGATTCGTCAATCATAAGTAGATTCTTACAGAAAAAGTAATCACAAGCTCAAATAATCCTAGGTCTATTTAGGAAATGAGCACAACTACCCTATGCAACATTCTTCTCCAAACTTAATTGAGCTAGTAGCTTGTCCTTCATGGAAATGGCAGCTAGTCCTTCATGTAAATGGCAGTTAGTCCATCAGTTTCTTTATCTCATGGCACCGCAACTCAGCTCCAGATCGAACAAAACAATGAAATATAGATTTTGAGATGAAACAGTCAATTTTCTTCAAGATGAAGATTTTAAAAGTACAACAGATTTCAAAAAACCATTTTCAAAATCTCACAATGAAAAACGTAGACTTCACCAAGTAGAGAATGCATAGTAAAATTACTCTTAAAAAATTCTCAATAGGTGAAGTAGATTTCAAAAATAGAAATAGATTTCAAAAGCTATTTGAAAACCTCATTTCCAAAAGCCATGAACACTCTCAGACAACCCAAAGAGAAACCCAAGTTTTCCAAAATGGTGCAAATAGAAGAGATGAGAGATTGAAACTTAGATGTGCAAACCTATGGTTAGATTTTCTAAAAAAGAAGTAGCTTTCAAAATGAAATCTTGAAAACCCATTTCCATGCCATGAACACTCTTAGACAAACCAAAAAGAAGACCAAGTTTTCCAAAATGGTGCATTGAAAGTGATGAGAGATAAAAACTTCATATCACTAAACAAAAGTTTGAGAAATGAATTACCAATGAAAGCCCCAAAAGGAATTCAAGAACTCATGAACTCTTCTCTCAAAAAGCGAAACCTAATTTATGCACAATCTCTCACTAGAACTCTCTCTCTCTCTCTCTCTCTCTAGAAACCCATATGAAAAATGTAAAATGAGAGAGTCAATGAGTCCAAACCAGCCCCAGCCTTTTTGGCAAGTCAAAAGGACACTTGGCAGCCAATATTGGATTTATAATAAGCAATCACGTGCCTTAATTAAAAATCCAGTGCTAGAAATATTTGGCCTATATGACTGGTCATCTAGACAAATTATTGTGATACATATGCTGATTTTCCTAATGATGTACATCGATTATAAATGAATGCACAAATTATCTTGGTTTTATAGCCTCATAAGCTCTTCGATGTACTTTAACTTTCTAGCAAATACCCAAGTCCTAATTTCTAAAGATGAGCTAAAAAGAATTACTTACATGACAACTAGTGATGCATATAGGAGAACACTATAATGCATGCAATGCAGACATAAAAATATTACCTTCATTGAGCTTGGTTGCATTGGAAAATTATGAAGTTGATCTAACTTGAACTAGCCTAAATTCTTTGAGCTTGATCATACGTATGAGATTACATGTTTGTCAAGGAAAGCTAAAAACATTAGCTAAACAAAACCTAACAATTATGGATTTTAACATAGAACTCACATGATTTTTGATTCCTTACGTATCAGTAAATGTAGGGGAAATAAGGAATTGAAATCATTCAATACCATGTGTTAGTAAAAATTAGAATCATTCCAGTATTTAGTACTCAATGGTAGAGTCTGAGCTGGTTTCAGAAGAAAAACGATGTTCAACAACAATTTCTTCACTTAAGACAAGGACAATAATCTCCTTTATTGAGATGGGATCTAGACGTAGTCTAACTGGAAGTAGCAAAAGCATCATAGTCAGGAGGAAGGCCATGTAGGGCATGAAAAATAAAATCTGAGTCATTAAGAGGAGCATTAGTTGCAACCAAGCTGTCTGCAAGGTGTTTGATGTTTTGAAGATAGTTGAGCATGGTGAGAGGTCCTTTCTTGATGGTCTGAAGCGGAGGTTTGAGTTGCAGAGGGTGAGATCTTGTCAAATTGGCGAAACTTTTTCCCTAGCTGAGCCAACCCTCTAGCTGTTCATGGGCCTACAATATAGGCACGAATGGTCTTAGATAAAGAAGCATGAATAATGCAACATGTGCGATCCTTCTTGATCCATGGGTAATGATGGGTTCTCTTGCATATGGTGGGATGACCATCGGTATCAAGGAGGAACTGAGGGTGGACATGGTTCTGTGCCATCAAGGAGTAGCCTATTATATCATAGGTTTGAAGGATAAGGAAAGGGTAGGAGCTGGGGTTAAAAAAAAAGGATTTAAAGAAAGGGTTGGTAAAGTTAGCCAATTTAGGAAATAGCACATTGTGGTGTGGTGTGGTGTGGAAGGAAGTTAAGATTCCACCCCAAAATCAATTGGCAATGGGGAGTAGCCTAACTAATTAGGAACCAAGGGCAGGTCCCATGACAAACACTCACAACAAACCAAACTTGAAATCCTACAACCCTGTAGGACAAATACCACTAAAACCAAAAGATAGTTGTGTTAGTTTGTATGGTTCCATAATTCTCTCACAAAATTTCATAAATGCAGGGGGAAAAAAGGCCTTAAAACTGAATTGGATTATAGCGATGTTTAATCTTTTATAAGGAATTAATCAAATTGAAATTTATGTGAGGATTAGGATTAAATTTTCTGATATATATATATATATATATATATAGGTAAAGGAGCTTCAACATATGAACGATGTAGCATTGAGAATGATCGGCGGTTGTCTCAAGCCAAAGATCTTCAAGGAGAATGAGATGGTGATAGAAGCGGGACAGCCACTTAACGTGATGCTCATTATTATAGCAGGCTCTATGCTGGCATACAAGCCAATTAGGGTTACTACAGAGGTGAGTCCCTCAACCTCATTTGAAACTCTTGACAAAGGTATGTTTGTTGGAGAACAACTTCTGGATTGGGCAGGGAAAACCAAAACTTTCGATGACCAACCTGTTTCTTTCAAAACTATCCGATGCTCCAATAGAAGCCTTTGCTCTCACAGTTGATGACTTGAAAACTTTAGTGCTCTCCGGACACATCTTCCCGATGAAGTCAAAAGGTGAAGTTTAGACAATCTTTACCTTTTGAAACTTGAAATATTTGGCACTTCTTCTTTTTTCTTTTTTCTTTTCTTCTTATTTTGATCATGTAGTTGGCACTAATTTGAAACAGTTGGCATTTTCAAAATTGCTGCTGACCGGAAGATACGTGAGAAACTAGAGGCGATATTTCGGTGGATGGCAATAAATGGCATTTCTGATGATGTGGCGATAGATATTATGCATGGTTTTAGTCAAGGTAAATTGAAAGAAAACATTCATGCTGAAGTGGATGTGAATTATATGTTCTCTGTTCTTGAAGAATATGGGAAAAGCATTATGCGGCGCCATGTCTGCATGGAGACCCTGAAAAAAGTAGTTCCTTTTTCCTTTTTTTTTTTTGGGGGGTGTGTTATGGATCTGTATATAGAGAAACTCTTTTAGAGTCATATAAAAATAAATCCTTGAAAGCTCTATATATAAAAACCCACTTATATTACTGTTGTGCAAATAGCTCGTTTAGGATCTTGTTGTTGATGGACTTTGGATAAACACAATAACGATTGTGTCAGACACTCACACACACATAGAAAATAACCAAGCACAAATGTCACAAGTATTTATAGAGGTTCAGCAATTGCCTACATCCTCTTTGGTGATCCTCTTGAGAAATTTCACTAATGAAGATAGGTTACAACTTTGGTTTACCAATGGAAAACCCCCTTAGAACACTACCCTCACAATCTGTTTCTCTCACACCCCTAGATCAACACCTTGATGCTCTTGTGAAACTCTCTCACACTTGGTTTTCTCTCTTCTCACTCCAGTTTCCAGCCACACTTGTTGTCTTGTATCCTTTTCCCTTTTATAGACAAGCCCTTGGACCTAGGAGGAAGCTTCTTCTTGCTCACATTCACCCTTTAGCCACCCTACGTAGACGTAGAGTTAGGTGAACCAAAAAGCAAGTCACCAATGGCTGCACCTTCACCCACCTTATCTAGAACCAAAGAGTGGAAAACCTTTGAAACAAGTCAACAAACAACCATAAAGTGCTATCCCAGCTTTTCAAGAGATTGCCAACCTTCCTAGAACTCAAAAATGACTTAGGAAGTCCTTGCAATTAGGTAGAAAGCATAGCACATGAAAAGGAGTCTAAAAATGCATGGAAAATCAAAACAGCAAGATAGAAACGATCAGTCGCAAGTATAGGGCGACCGATTGCTTTTTGGTGATTTCCAAGTTTTACACTCTCCTTCGAAAAGACCGATCGCACCTACCTGGTGACTAGTCGCTTTCTCCGAAACTTGCTTATTTTAGGTGAGCCAATTTTCCAACAATTACAACTCTAAGTAAAATTGAATTTTTGAATCAAAATGCCATGAATGAACTTGAAAGCTCTACAAATGATGCCATTGAATCTCTCTTTTAATTGCTAACCCTTTTTTGACCACTTGTTTTCTATATTCAGATGTTTGCTGCTAGGGTTTATTACAAGAATAATATCTCTCTCACTGTCATTCATTTACACAAAGGAAAAACGTATATATTTTCCCATACAAGAAATCTATAGAATTAGAACAAAAGAATACAAGGAAGAATAAGCCTTGGCTCATCCATATCCCTTCCACATAGGTACTGTGTGAGCTGGCTACTTGCTGGTTCGGGTGCAAGTTTGTTGAGTGCCTTGAGTATTTTTTTTGTTCTCTTTCTAGCCATTGGATGATTTGATTGTTTTGTTTCTTAACATACCCTCTCAAGCGGAGTTGTGTTGAGACAATGATAAGTTTGGAAATCAAGTGTTGAAATTGGGCTTTAGGTAATCTCTTGGTGAAGATGTCAGTAATTCGATAAGGAGAGGAAACATGACAAGTTGTCAGATATAATGGTAGTCAATTTCAACGTTTTTGGTGCGGGCATCGAATATGGGATTAACTGAGAGAGGGGGAGGTTTGTCAAGGAAGAAATGTAAATCTCGGCAGTAGTATGTGATTAGGCACAATATTCACTCTCTAAGGAACAAAGATTGACTTCTTAAAATTGTGGTGGAGCTCATCCACAAACCATATTTATTGTTAGTTTATTTGGGTTTTAGTTGGTGTTTGTTTGTATATGGTTGAGCCTATAGCAAACGATATATTTGAAGAAAATGGTATTATGGGAAGAAAAAAAAATCAATAAAAACACTTAGCATGCTGAGGTGGATATAATGGATATATAGACCAACGATAAAGATCAATCTTGAATATCTTAGAAGGAATTAATCAAAATTGAAACTTAGACGATGATTAGAATCTGATTTTCTGATATACTTATATAGGTAAAGGAGCTTCAACATATGAACGATCGTGAATTGGGAAGGATCTGCGACTCTCTCAAGCCAAAGGTGTTCGAGGATAATGCCAAAGTTGTTGAAGTGGGAAAGCCACTTAACGCGATGCTCTATATTATAGCAGGCTCTATGCAAGCGCCAATTATGGATGCTGGAGAAGCAGCTCCATCAACCTCATTCCATACTCTTAAGAAAGGTATGTTTTTATTTTATATTTTTTTGGTATGTTTTTACTTTATAATTTTTTTTGCCAAACGGGTAGTCTGCATTTCATTCATTTGAAACTCTTGAGAAAGGTATGTTTGTTGGAGAACAACTTCTGTATTGGGCAATGAAAACCAAATCTTTTGATGACCAACCTGCTTCGTTCAAAACCATCCGATGTACCACAAAAGTAGAAGCCTTTGCTCTCACAGTTGATGACATGAAAACTTTAGTGCTCTCTGGAGACATCTTCCCAATAAAGTCAAGAGGTGAAGTTTAGACAATCCTTACCTTTTGAAACTTGAAATATTTGGCACTTCTTTTTTTTTTCTTTTTTTTTCTTTGTTTGATCATGTGGTTGGCACTAATTTGAAACAGTTGGCATTCTCAAAATTGCTGCTGACCCAAAGATACGTGAGAAACTAGAGGCGATATTTTTGTGGATGGCAATAAATGGCATTTCTGATGATGTGGCGATAGATATTATGCATGGTTTTAGTCAAAACAAATTGAAAGAAAACATAGATGCTGAAGTGGATGTGAATTATATCTTCTCTGTTCTTGACGAATGTGGGAGAAACATTATGCGGCACCATTTCTGCATGGAGACGCTGAAAAAAGTAGGTTCCTCTCTCTCTCTCTCTCTCTCTCTTCTTTGTCGGAAGCATGTTCATGAATCTCTATATATAAATTATTAGAGTCATATAAAAATAGATCCTTGCAACTTTGAAAGCTCTACTCAATAACTCACTTACATTATAACTTCTAATTAAAAGCTGTCTACGCGTTTGATTGACAAATGAAGCCACAGAATCTTTCCTTTAATTTCCTTTTTTTCACAACGTGTTTTCTGCATTCGGATGTTTGCTGTGAGGGTTTATATAATATCTCTCTCCCTATCGTTCCTTTACACAAAAGAAAAACGTATATATTGTCATATACAAGAAGTCTCTAGAATTAGAACAAAAGAATACAAGGTTCGCAACTTGATTTGTGAAATTTTGAAATCAAGTGTTAGAATTACAACTTAATGGATATAGCCAATAGAATCTGGGCCAGTCATCAACAAAAATCACATAGTACTTGTGACCCCATAGATACGAATGTATTAATTGAAGAGGGAATTGGGAATTACATGAAGATTGATAAAATGGCAAAAAGGTACATTGAAAAGAAAGTTGATTGATAGATAAGATTTGATGGACGATGTGAGCTTAAGGAGGACCTAGTGTTTGTGCCAAAGAGAGGTTGTGGCTTGCTTTTGGATAGATGAATGGGTTAGAGACTGCCTTCAGTAGCGCCTTGAAATAGGATTTTCCCTGTAGTATTATCATTGATGATACCTAAGAAAGGAGTGCAAGTCAGATAACAATTGTTGTCATTGGGAAATTTGTGAACTGAGGATAGGTTGTGTGTGGCTTGTGGAGTGTGCGAAGAATTTGATTTAAATGAAAAGATGAGTGATAAGTGTACAGTGTTGGCAACATTAACTTTGTTAGATCCAGTGTATTCAGGATGCAGGGAAAATTTGCGCAAGCCATTTGTAAGGTTATTAGTGGCTCAAGAATAAGCATTCCAAGTTGTTGTGGATGAAGATGAGGGTGTGGTGTAAGGCAGAGGGCCAAGTGGGAGCTGAGGGGAGGGGGTGAAGAAGGGACGGTTGGGAGAAAAGGGTTGTAGAAGCAAGATGAAGGTCTAGGGTTTCAAGAGGAACATAAAGATTGTTGGTAGATAAGATTTGATGGAGGACGTGAGTTGAAGGATGACCTTTCCATTTGTGCCAAAGAGAGGTTGTGGAAATGGCGTTGAAGTAAAAAAAAAGATGGCTTACTTTTGGATAGATGAATGGGTTAGTGACTGCCTTCAGTAACGCCTTGAAAAAGGATATTTCCCCTACTATGATCCTTGATGATACATGATAAATGAGTGCAAGTTAGATCAAAATTGTCATACATCATTGGAAAATTTGTGAACTGAGAGAAAGTTGTGTGTTGTCGAGTGTGAATAAATTTTTTTTAAAGTTAAAAGATGAGTGAGAAGAGTATAATATAATGTTGATTCACCATTGGCAACATTAACTTTGTCAGGTCCAGTGTATTAAGAGAAAAGTTGCTCATGTCATTTGTAAAGTGATTAGTGGCCCAAGAATCAGCATACCAAGTTGTTGTGGATGAAGATCAGGGTGTGATGGAAGTATATGTGGTAGAGGGGTAAGTAGGAGCTTAGGGGGAGGGAGTGAAGAGTTTGGGTTGTAAAGTGTGATCCTGGTAAGAGCTGTTGAGAAAGTTTCTGCAAGTGAGAGCACCATGGGCTGGCTTTTTACAGATTTGGCCAATCGGGCAAGAGTTGGAAAAAGTGTTTGGCCGGAAGAAGTGACTGTTGGGAGAGAGGGTTTGTAGAAGTGAGAAGTTAAAAGGAGCATGGTTTGGTTGTTTGTGAGAAAGGAGAGAGCTTGGTTAGGATTTGGTGAGGGAGAGGTTTGAAAGGCATGGTTGGTAGGCTCATTGAAGAAGCGAGTGAGGAGGGATGGAGGAAACATATTATGCAGCGGGAGGAAAAGAAAGCTGATGGATAACGTCAAAAGAAGAGGACTTGTAAAGGTCTGCGAAAGGGTTGGTGTCGTGAGAATTGTCCATAGGCACAAAAAACGAAAGAAAGAGTTAAGGATAAAGAAATAGTGATTGAAAGTGAATGGAAGAGTTAAGGGGCTTAATGTTGGGGAAACACCGATTCCCTCCTGGTCACAGGGAACCCGATGGAAGAAATAAAGATAAACAAACCAAGAAGCCCAAGATGACAATGAGTAAATATATGAGAGAACACACCGAGAATTTACGAGGTTCAACAGATAACCTGCCCACGTCTCCAGAGTTACCACTTCCACTGTAACATGAGAAAGATACAAGTACAAGATAACCACTCAAGAGTTTTATACCCAAACCCGAGTCCCGTATCTAATAGGATACACCCCTTGTACACCCTCTCTAATACATGTGAAGATCACTCTCACCCCAAGAGATATATCCTCTCTTGAAAGTTGAACCCTTGATGAACCCAGCTAACTCCCTGCTGAAACATCCTCCAGGAGTTCGTGGGACTGCTTGCTTGCATCTCACAAGCAATCCACTCCCTCTCTGCCGTGCTCTCTCTCCCTTGCCTTGGTGCAGCTGAAGCACAGCAGCCCACGCACCCCTTGCATGCTTTCTTTCCTTTGGTGCGGCTCACATGCACACCAGCCCACAACTCACTCATGCCGTTGGTGCAACACAAGCACACTCCCACTTGCATGCACCCTCCCCTTTCATAAACCATAAAAGGAAGGCTGATTTTCACCTCCCAAAAACAGCACACGTACATGCTAGAAGAGCCACAATGATGGCCGCATCATTAAAGACAAATGATGATATCTTCCCATCATTGCAACAAACACCATCATGACATACAAAAATATTCCTCCACTAAGGAGGGAACCCAAGGCACCGAAAGCATGTGCAGCTCCCCCATTTTTCTGTTCCTTTCAGCCATCAATTGTAGACCATGCATGCATCTCCCATACTTGCGCATTCATGTGCTAAGGAGGGAACCACAACACTTCAACTCAAAAACTCAAATAATAACCCATCTATATTACCAATTCTTAGTAAAATTCAATTTTTGAATCAAATTCCATGAAGATCTATCAAAGGTGTCCACTTGTTTTGATTAAGTTACAAATTATGCTACAAAATCTCCTCTTTAATTGGTTACCCCTATTTCACAACCATCCATGTTTTTATGCAATTCAATAATAATACCTCGATAGACATTTCTATTTCTACTTCTATAATAATTTGATTATAGCAAACGAAATATTTTATGACAATGGATTAATGGGAAGGCAAAAAAAAATCAATAAAAACACTCAGTTGGAACATACATGCTGAGATGGATCATGTACATATATCCAATAGATAGAGATCAATGTTTAAGCTTTTGAAGGATGTAATCCAAATTGAAACTTATACGAGGATTAGAATCTAATTTTCTGATATTTATGTATATATAGGTAAAGGAGCTTCAAACTATGAACGATCAAGTGTTGGGAACGATCTGCGACTATCTCAAGCCAAAGATGTTCGAGGAGAATGCCCAGGTCATTGAAGCGGGACAACCACTTAATGTGATTCTCTATATTATAGCAGGCTCTATGCAGGCATACCTGCCAATTAGGGCTGCTGGAGAGGCACGTCCCTCAACCTCATTCGAAACTCTTGAGAAAGGTATGTTTGTGGGAGAACAACTTCTGGATTGGGCAGTGAAAACCAAAACTTTTTATGACCAACCTGTTTCGTTCAAAACTGTCCGATGTGTCGAAAAAGTAGAAGCCTTTGCCCTCACAGTTAACGACTGGAAAACTTTAGTGGTCTCCAGAGACATCTTCCAAAGGAGTTCAAAATCCGAAGTTTAGACAACTCTTAGCCGTTGAAACTTCATGTAGTTGGCACTTCCTGCAACAAGATTGATGAGATACTAAACAATTTTTAAGAAGAAACTAAGCATGAAGGTCAGGAGGAGGTTCGTTTGTTTATTTTTTATCGTGGATGAATATTTCTATTTTCTTCATTTCATGAATTAATTAATACATTCATTTTCATTTTGTGGTTTCCTCTTTTGAGAAATAAATTCTGTATGAAACCGAAAAATGAGGGCAAAAGCCCGAGGATATACAGAACCACAATGTGGATATCATACATTTCTTGTGTAATTTGATAAATTAATTGCATGTTTGGTGCCTCAGGCAAGCCGAGCCGTTTAATTAATTAACTCACTTCGGTCACCAATGAATCTTGTCTTCTGTATCCTATAGTTGGATAGGAAAAATACGTTTAGCAAAGAAAGCACAGTGGTGGTGGATTCCCCCCCCCCTCCATGGCACCTATGATCGAACCCCAATAGGGTTTCTCTTCTCCAATGTAACCCAAAAAAAAGAAAAAGAGCAACCCTTCTCAAATGCGTGAAGAATTACTCTACCCAAACCAGTAATCATCGAGCTCTAACAACCAAATGAATCACATCCCTTTGATGCCTCACTTGATACTCACTCTTGAAAGTTGGAAAAGAATATTCATTATTGAGTAACCTAGAACTCATAAAAAGTAATTAATTAAAGCAATATATAAAACAGTTTATTATGAATAAAAATACTGCGATCGTGCCCGATTCTGAGCTTCATGTACAATCGGATTCGCTATGGACCGCCATCAAGAAATATTTTATGTCTTATCCAAGGTTGGCTGCCAAGGGATTAGCTTTGAGGATGCCTTGGTTATCTTTCGACTTCATAGTTGAATTTCTCGCCATCCTTCCCGTCCCACAGGTAACAAACACTAAACCTTTTGTTCTATATATGCACACAATTAGATTTTTTTTCTTACCCATATTATCATTTGTGCAGGTGGCAGTTGCAGTTCTCTTTTTCAAAGTGAAAGGTTCTGGAAGTTAGATTTCTTTATTATACATGTTCAAGATCTTTCACACAATCTAAAATACGTAAAGACATAAAGATATACATGGAGCCATGTTCCTAGCAAGAACAGTAATGGCTCAAGGCTTCTGCTCTCTCTCAGAATTTGTTTCAACTTTCTCTTTATGATGAGAATAGGGTTAAAGAACGTGTCTGATGAGAGCAGGGCCTTAAGCTTATATAGGGCTAGGTCAAGTCGTCTCTACTCATCATCGAGGGCCGACTTGACTAATCTTCCAAGCCCACCAAATCGGTTCACGCAAAAGAGGAAATTAATAGGACCCCTTAATAGGCTACCTTTCCTTATTCCACAAATTTTTGGGTCTCAATGTATAACTTAATTTAAATTCTTATCAAAACCTGATATAACTTAGTATCTAGTGCACCGATCTAAATAGGAAAACATGACACTGGATACTTTTACGAAAGATCGATTATCAATCTCGTTCTTCTCTCTCAATATTTGTCCAGGATTTTACGAATCTATCTGCATGCATCTTCTATGAAGAAAATTTGGATTAAAGGCGTTCTCAACTTTTACCTGTACATCCTTTCTAGTCACGTAAGTCTCTTTAAATTGGAAATATATGTAGCTATCTATTTATTTGGTAACAACTATATCTAAACTTGTGTTATTTGAGAGATCAGTTAACTAAAGCCTGCTATAAAACACACTTACCCAAAATAAGACATCGATGAAATTATATAAGCATCACATAAGCTTTATTTTTCACATTTTCATGATAATTTACTTTTGTTACTTGATTTCTTCTTACAACGATGTATCTTTATGGAATTTTCTTGAATAATTAGTGAATTTCTTGGTGTTTTAGATGCTTGGAACTTTTTGGTACTTTCTTTCTATTCAACGAGAGACAATATGTTGGCACCAGGCTTGCAAAAATACTGAAGGATGCAAAGCTATTCATTATTATGATGAGATTGACACTAGTCATTCAACAAATAATATCACATTCCTAAATGAAAAATGTCCTATAAATCCAGCAAATGCAAAGCAGTTTGACTTTGGAATACTTCTTGAAGCTCTTAAATCTGGTAACACAGGCCAAATAAATTTCTCAACAAAGTTCTTCTACACTTTGTGGTGAGGCTTCAGAAATATGAAGTTTGCATACATATTTTGAACAAAAAGTTTCCTGTTTCAGCTGTAGTTAAGATTGTCTTCCTTAGATTTTCTTACTGTAACTAAGCATTACATTAACTTCTGCCCTTCTTATTAGTAATTACTTGACATCCTCAATTGATTTGCAGTAATTATGGCACGGATCTTAAAACGAGCAATTACTTTTGGGAAAATTGATTTGCAATTCTTATTTCTGCTATTGGCTTACTACTATTTTCATATCTCATTGGAAACGTTCAGGTACATTGGTGATGTTATATCTCTACATTATAACTTGTTAATCACTGAATTTTTTTTTTTTTTTTTTTTTTTTTTTTTTTTTTTATTGGAAACAGACATGTACGCAGCAGTTTGATAACCAGTCAAGTATGAACAGAGGAAACGAAGAAGAAAACTAAAAAAGTTCTGGATTTCTTTTATTGATTCTCTATTGATTCAATACAATATTAGCTGGCTCAATATTTATAGAGTTTTGGGTTTTGCAGAATACATGAGCTATCATGCTTGAATTTTTTGTGTTATGTAGAGAACATATGATCCACATCAAGACCACTTATCCAAAATTTAGAAAGAGAACAAAGTGGCTACAAGATAAGCACAATACCACTTGCATTCAATGGCTACGCTTTAAGGTATATCAAATTGAATAACATATTGCACTTTTAATTTTCTTCTTTTTATGTTAGATTGAATTAAGATATGATTCACTTGCAGGTTCAAAGTCAACTTGATGGGGAAGACAATAATGGTGTATTAGAAAATTTGAGGTGGCTAGCAGCTGGTCCAAGCATAGCAGTGCCATCATATAAGAGCTATCTTATCAAAGGTATTAAATTTAACACCAAGGCACAAGATGATGTGCGTGCAGTTCAAAATAGTGGAGTTTATTTACTTGCACATGCTATGCAAGTTGCTAGTGCCAAGGATAAGAACCCAATTGTCTCAAATATGGGTTTTTATGGTGACATTCAAGATATTTGGGACCTTGATTACCAAAAGTTTACAATCACAGTCTTTAGGTGTGATTGGATAGATAGCACTTCTGGCCTTGTAGTTGACGAGATCTGAGTAAAATTGGACATAGGAATGACCAATTTGTTATGGCTTCTCAAGTCAAACAAGTATTTTTTGTTGATGACCCAATGCGTCATGGTTGGTCAGTAGTGTTATCAATGCCTAATAGAGAATATAATGATGTTATTGGTGATGATGTCTTAGGTGATGTGAGAATTGAGTGTGAGACATTTACTAGAGGGATACTAAATGTTGACACATTTGATGAACTAGCCGGTGAGTCTGGGAGTCAAAATATTCGAGATGGGTGTGAAGATATATGGATTGAATGATGCTTGTAATTTATGACATTAGTTACGCCCTAAATGGCTGTGTATGACATTAATTTTGTAAGAAATTGTATTGCATTTTTTAAACTTTGATTATACAAGGTTTGGGCTCAAAGCTTTCAGTACAAAAAAATTTGGTTCAAGTACCAAAATATGACGGTCCTGCTAACAGAATTGCAAAAACAGACGTCATAATAGTATCAGACATCGTTTTTTTATCATATGTCATGCAATGGAAGGCCTTAAAACCTATATAAAAAAACAAAGATAAAAATACAAAACACATCGGTTTAAAAAAATGGACATTAAAAAGGTCGTACATAACCAATGAGATAGCGTCGATGTACTTACCACCGTCTAAAGCATAACTCAAAAGACTGCACATAATAATAGAACAACGACGGTAATGATAAGCCGTTGTTACAGGATATCACGACGGGAAGGCCCAAAGAGCCGACATTTAAAAGAGGATAACACGACCCCATAACATATATACCGTCGTCTTACTTAACAAACACAACGATACACTCTTATTAAGAAACGCCTTAATAATATACCACGTCAATTTATGTCTTAATGGACTTGGTGAATAATTGAATAACGTTGTCTTTAGAAATAAAATGGCGTAGTACGAAGTAACCACGTCGCCTTTTATATGCTTAGCAACGTTTATATGACGACAAGCGACATTTATATGATGGCATACGACACACTATTTACTGTAACCGACGTTGTAAGTGCATTTTCACCATCAGCATTTAAATTAAAGGAGACGTAAAAACCTCTTTCTTCCCATATTTACTGCCGTCATTAAACGTTTTCACGTTTCCTTGGTGACCATGTGTCGTGAAATATTGTACACAAACGTCGTCTTTAGAAACAAAAATGACGTAGTATAGAGTAACCACTTCGTCTTTGATAGGTTATGCGATGTTTGTATTACGACATATGACACGGTGTTTACATTAACCGAAATTGTAAATCTATTTTCACCTTTAGAGTTTAAAGTAAAGGAGTCGTACGAACCTGTTTATTCCCATATTTACTGACGTCATTAATAGTTTTCACGTCTCCTTGGTGACCATGTGTCATGAAATGATGTATAAAAACGTCCAATGTGGAAACAGATGTGTCGTGGTATGTTTTTATAACGTCGTCTCTGGTATGCTAATAGACGTGTATATCATTTAATATGTCAACTTCTGAGTTAAGACTGACGATGTAAATGATTTACAACGTCATATCTGGAAACAAAAGTGATGTAATATATTTTCATGTGTCATGGAATGTCTTAATAACCGTCGTTCAGTTAATTGTTTATGACGAGGTGGCTTTTTTTTCGAGCGATATTTTACTAAACAACATCATGTTTTATGATTTAGACGACGGTTATTTCCCAAATTGAGTCATCTAACCGTGTACAATTCGTTATTTTGGCGGTCATTTTCTTTACTTTTACGTTAGCTTTTATTAATTCTGATGTTGTTTCCCGATGAACAACATCTCCTTTTTACCATAGTGGTTTTGTTTTTAAGAAGATGTTGGTCAATTCACGACGATTAGAAAACTTGCTACACGACTGTGAATTTCCGTAATCTACTACCCTTTTTGTAGTAATGCACGGAAGGAAATACTCAGCTTTCCACTGGTAAATTGATCTCTTTGCCCGAGCAAGAGTTGGTAAATTGTGATACAAGTAGAGAAGACCAAGGTTGTGAAGGTGGCTTGATGGACGATGCCTTTCAGTTAATCCAACAAAATCATGGGATTAGTACGAAAGCTAGTTACCCCTACATCGGTGTTGATGGTACGTGCAACACCAAGAAAGAAGCCACCATTATAGCCAGGATAACTGGGTATGAAGATGTCCCTGCAAAGAGTGAAAAGGCTTTTCTTGTTGACGTGAGTCTCCTAATTAATCAAGGAGATTTATTTCATTGATTAATTAAGGGATTTACTTTCCTATTTTTATATAGTTGATAAATCATTGTATAATTAGGAGATACTTTCCTAATTCTTTACTGTATCTAATTCCTTGTAAAGCACCCTGTAAACTCTTATATATACCTCCTTATGGGGAAGAATAAAAAAAACCTAATACATTCAAACCATATTCATATTTAAGCATGGTATCAGAGCAATCGATCCTCGGTTGTCTCTAAACCCTTATATCAAATTTCTCATATTCAAATCCAAAACCCTAAATCAAATTCCTCATAATTTTTCCCCAAATCCAAATCCCTCAAATCTAAAGTCCTAAAATCCTGTTATCCAAATCCCTAAACACATACCCTCAAATATTATATACATACCTCTTAAATCCAAATTCCTACATCAAATTCCTCACCTTCTCATCTCACATCTTACTTCCGCTGCGATGTTAGGAACCCCTATGATTCTCCATCTTATTACAAACTCACAAAAGCATGCGGTCAATCCTGCTGACCCGGCTACCCAGACTCTTGCTTCTATCACCACCACCAAAGGTTCTACTTTTCATACGTCCTCCAAAAACTCTGCATGGATTATCGACTCGGGAGCTACGAATCACATGACATTTGATCCTGACCAACTTATTAATCGCAAATCATCTACTCCGTTGGTGGTGTCTAATGCTAATGGTACCCCCTACCCTGTGGTTGGGGAGGGCTCTCTCTCTCTCTCTCTCTCTACTTCCCTACATCTGGATTCTGTATTACTTGTTCCATCTTTGGACCATAACTTGTTATCTGTTGCACAACTTACTACTACTTTGGGGTGTATTGTAACATTTTGGCCGAATCATTGTGTTTTTCAGGACAACCTCACAGGAACGATGATTGGTTGTGGTACTCGACAGGGCAAACTCTATTACTTGGACTGGGCACCGGATAGTGAGGTCAAGGGTGGTCAAGCTTTCACAACTAGTGGAACTCATCATGAGGGGAAGTGAGACAAAATTTGGTTATGGCTTAAACGTCTTGGGCATGCCTTGTTTGGTTATCTTAAGAAGTTGTTTCCATTATTATTTTCCAGTCTTGATGTTTCCAGCTTCACATGTGATACGTGTGAATTAGCTAAGAGCCATTGTGTCCCATTCCCATTAAGTTCAAATAAGAGTTTGGTTCCGTTTTCTCTTGTTCATTCTGATGTTTGGGGACCTGCTAAAATTGCCACTCCGGCAGGGGAGCGATGGTTTGTCACGTTTATAGATGATTGCACATGCATGACTTAGGTTTCCCTTCTCAAAACTAAAGGGGAAGTTAGTTCCAGGTTTCAACAGTTTTATCAAATGGTGGAGACTCAGTTTCATGCCAGAATTCAAGTTCTTCGTTCTAATAATGGCAGAGAATTTCTCAACCATGATCTTAATTAGTTCTTACAAGATCATGGCATCATACACCAACGCTCATGCCCTTACACTCCCCAACAAAATGGAGTGGCTGAAAGACAGAACATACAATTATTGGAAGTCGTTCGTGCCTCTCTCTTTGGTGCCAATATGCCACGATCTTTTTGGGGCGAAGCCGTCATCTCTGCAGCATACTTTATCAATCGGATTCCTTCTAGTATCCTACATTTCCAAACACCACTTCAAACACTTCACCACCATATCCAAACACCTCCCACCCCAAACCTGGAACCCCGGATTTTCGGCTGTGTTGTATTTATCCACTTACATGATCACCAACGAAGCAAATTGGATCCTCGAGCCGAAAAGTGTGTTTTCATTGGCTATGCACCTCATCAGAAAGGATACCGATGTTATCATCCTCCTAGTCAGAAAATCTATACTTCTATGGATGCTGTGTTCTGGGAAAACGACATATATTTTTCAGCTGCACAGGAGGAGCATTGGGACATCAACACTTCTCAAATTTTCAATTTTTTTCCTCCAAAATCGTACCAGACTGAAAACGACCGGTCACCAATGACTCTACCAAAAAACGACTGGTCGCAACTTGGAAGCCACCGGTCGCTCCCTGAAAACCAGCCTTAGCCTGATCTGTCGTCTCCTTGCTGTCCAACTCAAGAGGAGGAAACTGATGAGATTTTGCCAACTCCGGAGACTTCTTCAGCTCCAGTACCACACTAATAATCTGCTGAGGATGTCATTCAGGTAACATCTTGTCCTAAAACTGATAACACTAATGAAATATCCCATGATGAATTAATTTCAGAAGGCACAGAGTCTACATATTAGCTTCCAAAAAGAAAGATCTGTGGTAAACCTCGAGTACAATATGAAACATATCTTAAAGACAAAGGGAAATACCCCATCAATAATTATATATCTCTCAGCAGATTATCAGAGTCATGTGTGCACTATGTGAAGTAGTTGGCTGACATATATGTCCCTAACAATGTAACTGAAGCACTAGAATACCTAAAATGGAAATAAGCTATGAATGAAGACAGTAGGATACTCTCCAAAAGAATGTCACATGGGAACTCGTGCTCTTACCTCATGGAAAGAAGACAGTAGGATGCAGGTGGATTTATACTGTGAAACTCAAAGCACATGGATCCGTTGAAAGATATAAAGCTAGATTGGTGGCGAAGGGGTACACACAGAGATATGGGATAGACTACGAGGAGACCTTTGCCCCAGTAGCCATGATTAACACTATTAGAGTCCTATTGTCTCTAGCAGCAAATCTCGATTGGCCACTACATCAGTTTGATGTCAGAAATGCATTCTTACATGGAGACTTGGAAGAAGAAGTATATATGCACTTACCACCATGATGTAACGTAGCTCGTGACAAGGAGAGTCAAGTTTGAAGCTCAGAAAGTCATTATATGGGTTAAAGCAATCCCCTATGGCATGGTTTGGCAGATACATTAAATCCGTGAAGAATTTTGGATATATACAGAGTAATGCAGATCACACTTTGTTCTTGAAGAGTGATGGAAGAAGACTTACTACATTGATTGTTTATGTGGATGACATAGTCGTAACTGGAAATGACACAGGAAAGCAACTGAAATTGCAGAAGTATTTGTCTCAGGAATTTGAGATGAAGGATTTAGGTTATCTGAAGTACTTTCTAGGAATTAAAGTAGCCAGGTCCACAACTGATATATTTCTGTCTCAAAGGAAGATGTATTAGATCTGCTCACTGAAACAAGAATGCTTAGATGCAAACCTGCTGATACACCCATCGAGATGAATCACAAGTTATGTGAAGACAAGGATCAAGAACCAACTAATAAGGAACAGTACCAACACCTTGTTGGAAGGCTTATATATTTAGCCCACACAAGACCAGATATTGCATATGATGTGAGTGTGGTTAGTCAGTTTATGCATTCACCCAGTGTGTCCCATAGGAATGCAGTTGATCGAATCTTAAGATACTTAAAGTCAACACCTAGAAAAGGATTAATGTTCTCAAAAAATAGAGATCTTGAAGTTGTTGGATATACATATGCTAATTAGGCTGGCTCTGTCACTAATAGAAGCTCTACTTCAGGTTACTTCACTTTTGTGGGAGGTAACCTAGTCACTTGGTGGAGTAAGAAACAAAATGTGGTTTCTTAATCTAGTGCTGAAGCAGAGTATCGAGGAATGGCTCACGGAGTTTGTGAATTACTATGGATCAGAAGACTATTGACAAAATTTGTTTTCAAGCTAGAAAAGCAATGGAGTTACATTGTGATAACAAGTCAGCCATTGATATTGCCCATAATCCAATTCAACATGATTGAACTAAACATGTTGAGGTGGATAGACGTTTTATCAAAGAAAAAATTGAGAAGAAGATTATTCGCCTACCATTCATAAGATCAGAAGTCAATTGGCAGATATCTTAACCAAAGCTGTTTGTGGAAGAGTATTTAATGACTCACTTACCAAGTTGGGCATTGGTGACGTATATGCACCAACTTGAGGAGGAGTATTGACATGAGTCTCCTAATTAATCAAGGAGATTTATTTCCTTGATTAATTAAGGGATTTACTTTCCTATTTTTATATAGTTGATAAATCATTGTATAATTAGGAGATACGTTCCTAATTCTTTACTGTATCTAATTCCTTGTAAAGCACCCTGTAAACTCTTATATATACCTCCTTATGGAGAAGAATAAAAAAAAACCTACACTACTACAAAAATCGAAATAGACGACGGGAAATCGCCGTCGTCTAGAAGGTATTCCAACCGTCGTGAAATCGATCGCCATCTTTTGTACAACCAACAACGACGGTTAATAACCGACATCGTTAAGTAATTCAACGTCCAGATTTATTACGAACCGACGTGTAATTACTATATAATTAGCCTAAAATGAAATCTTCAACAACATTAGAGGACGATTTTATGAAAACTGAGACGTCTAAAGAGTGTTACATGTCAAGATCAAAATAAGAACCGACGTACAGATAATTATCCACGTCCCTAAAAGAAGGAAAAACGACTTGGATAAGCTAGAAACCGTCGTGGTTAATTTGTACTACGTTAAACAAACAAAAAAACCGACGTCTAAAACATAAACTACGACATTAACACAAACCAACAAACGTTTAAAGAGTATTGCATGTCATTTGCCTCCCAATAACTGCCGTAACATGATATAACCACGTCCTGCACCTGGCATCACCGACGCTTATGTAATTATCCATATCGAGAACTTTAATAAAAACCGACGTGGTCAGTATATTCCACGTCGATTACTTGAGAGACTCATCGTTTAAATTTAACAAAGAAGGCCCTTTGACACAGTTAGACGTCACTTTTTCTAAATAACCGACATTTAAAAGATTTAAAATGACGTAATATTACTCAATATCGACGTACAAAACTATACCCCACTTCGGTTTTTGTCAAATGATGACGTTATAAATAGAATTGAAGGCTTGGATAGGAAAATAACCGACGTGGATTATATATTCAACATCTGTGGCGTTAAAATAATGGACGTGGTTAATTATATCACTACATCTAGGGATCCATCTGCTTGACGTTGTAATTGCTTACCACGTCGGTTTTGATTACATAATGACGTGGTTGTCCTTTTAAAAGTCGCTTGTTTAACCTGTCTTGACGTATGTATGCTCGGAGACGTCAATTATTTTAGACTATCCGACGTGCAGAACATCTATCACGACTGTTAATGGAACTTAACGGCCTTTATTTCGACCTTTAGAGGACGGTTTATTTTAACCAAACCGACTTGATTTCTTTTTCAGATGTCTATTTTTTTCCTTTACGGTATTTTGCCTTTTTAAAACCCGACGTTGTTTTTATTTTAGACGTCTGTGTTTCTATTTTTTTACCGGATCGTCGTACTTTACAACTTTAACCCAGCTTTTTTAATTTTTGATTTGTCGTGCCCAAAGCCTGCATATAATGAATATGTGATCATAATTAAAATGATGTACATAATTATTAATTAGTGTCATACAATTAACTGAATAATTAATGTCATACATTACAACAATCAATCAATCCATATATCTTCACACCCATCTCTAATATTTTCATTCCCTAACTCCCCCACTAGGTCATCAAATGTGTCAACATTTGGTATCCCTTTAGTAAATGGCTGACACTCAATTCTAGTATCACCTAGTGCATCATCACCAATAACATCATTATATTCTCTATTAGGCATTGATAACACTACCGACCAACCACAATGCATTGGGTCATCAACATAAAATACTTGTTTGACTTGAGAAGCCATAACAAATTGTCATTCCTATGTCCAATTTTACTCAGATCTACAAGGGTAAATCCAAGTTCGTCGACTACAAGGCCTGAAGTGTTATCTATCCAATCACACCTCAAGACTGGGATTCTAGACTAGGATTCTAGACTTTTGGTAGTCAAGGTTCCAAATTTCTTGAATAACACCATAAAAACCCATATTGGATACAATATGGTTTTTATCCTTGGCACTAGCAACTTGCATAGTATGTGCAAATAAATAAACTCCACTATTTTGGACAGTTCGCACATCATCTTGTGCCTTGGGGTTAAATTTAACACCATTAATAAGATAGCTCCTATATGATGGCACTGCCATGCTTGGACTAGCTACTAGCCACCTCAAATTTTCTGATATGCCATTATGCTCTTCCACATTAAGTTCACTTTGAACCTGCAAATTAATCATATATATCTGAATTCAATCTAACATATAGAATGGAAGAAAATTAAAAGTTGAATATGCATGTCATTCAATAACATATATATACCTTAAACTGGAGCCATTGAATGAAAGTGCTATTGTGCTTATCTTGCAGCCACTTTGTTCTTTTTCTAAATTTTGAATAAGTGGTCTTGATGTGGATCATATGTTCCCTACATTGACACGAAAAAATCAAGCATTACGGTCCCTTGTATATAAGATAAACATAAGGATAATAATATTTAAAATGGCTCCATATGAAAAATAAAAGTCATACATACTCGATATAAGGTAGGACTTCCTCCGTATTCTCTAAGACATATAGATGTATCTGGTTCAACAAGTCTCGATCAACTAAGCTTACTGTGCAACCTGATAATGGCTTCGAAACTCCCATCTTCTAGCTTGAAGGCACTCCAACTGTACTAACATCAGATAAATGCTCGATACAAAACTCTACAGCTTCTTCAGCTATATACCGCTCAGCAATGCAACCTTCCAGACGATTATGGTTCTGAACATACCCTTTTAAGGACTTTCGTATACCTTTCAAATGGATACATTCATCTAAAATATACTGGGCCACATAGACGAACTTCTCTGACAAGATGTACTACTAGATGAACCATGATATCAAAGAATGAAGGGGGAAAGTACTTCCCAAGCAAACACAAAGTAACTACTACATTTTCTTCCAACTTATCTAGCTTGGAAACATCTACCGTCTTTGCACATATAGAATTGAAGAATAAGCACAATCGAGTTATTGCATACCTTGCAGGCTTCTCCAAAACAGAATGAATTGCCACAAGGAGCAATTGTTGCATCAAGGTATGACAATCATGAGATTTAAGTCCAAGAAGTCTTGAATCTTTTAAAGATACAAGTTTTTTTATATTTCAACAATAACCTTCAGGGACCTTCATATAGAAAGAATTGCAAACCACTCTCTTCTCTACTCTTGACAAATTCTAAGGCCCTGGAGGCAAGCAAGTACGTTTTTTTCCATACTCGGGTTGTAAATCAGTTTTGACCCCCATGTTCAATAAATATAACCGAGCAACAATCTCATATTTATTTTTTCCAGGGATCTCCAGCAATGTACCAATGATACTATCGCAAACATTCTTCTCAATATGCATAACATCTAGGACATGCCTCACATGAAGGTATTTCCAATACTCGAGATCAAAAATTTTGATTTCTTCTTCCAACAAACTCTGTCACTATCATTCTCACCAACACTTCCCCTATTTTTCGAGCCCATATGTAATTAATATCTTCAACCTTGTGCAACACTTCTTCTCCGGTTAACGGGTCGGGAGGCGTGCCATATTCAGGTTTCCCATTAAAAGTTGCACACTGCCTCCAATATGGATGATTGATTGGTAACCATTTTCTATGCCCAATGTAACAAATTTTGTGGCCATTTTTCAACCTGTGACTAGGTGTATCATCACCACATATTGGACAAGGTTTATATCCTTTAACGACACAACCAGATAAGTTGCCATAGGCAAGAAAATCATTAATTGTCTACAGTAATACGCCTCTGAGTGTAAAGTATTCTCCTATATGTGCATCATACACTCCTATAATCCTATCCCACAGAGATTTTAAATCATCAATCAAAGGCTCTAAGTAGACGTCTATATCATTTCCAGTCTGTTTAGGACCGGAAATCAATAAGGTCAACATCATGAACTTCCGTTTCATGCATAGCCATGGTGGGAGATTTTATGTAACTAAGATAACTGGCCAACAACTACATCTGCTACTTAAAGAACTGTGGGGATTGAATCCATCAGATGAAAGAGCCAATCTCAAGTTTCTCGGCTCTTTACCAAACTCGGGCCATTTATCATCAACAAGTTTCCAAGATGGGAATCTGCTGGATGAGACATCTGACCGTCAACTGATTTTCTAGCAGCATGCCAAGTCAAACTCTTAGCTGTCTTATGCGATTGAAACATCCTTTTAAAGCTTGAAATTGGAGGAAAATACCACATTACCTTTGCTGGCACACCCTCTTTCAAGATTGAATCTTTGCCTTTCTTCCACCTTGAGACACCACAAGTAGGACAATTAGTTGAATCTTCATAATCCTTCCTATACAAGATGCAGTCATTGGGACATGCGTGGATTTTCTCATAACTCATCCCTAAAGCAGACAATGTCTTTTTTGCCTCATACATAGAGGAAGGTAGTGTATTTCCTTTTGGAAGCAAATCTCCTTGAAGTATCAATAATTCTGTAAAACAAACATCACTCATCCCATGTTTTGCTTTCAAATTATATAACTTCACCAAAGCCGACAACATCGTGTACTTACTGCTACCAGGGTACAAGGGTTGATCTTCATCCCCATTCACATTGGCAAACTCATAAGGATCAAATCCAATATCGCCTAAATCATTATCATCCATCCCTACTTCTTCATAAACAAAACTGAACCTACTTTGCTCATCTTCTTCCACATTTCTACTAGCATTAGTAGTCCATTCCCAAGGTTCTCTGTGCCATGTCCAAATCTTATAGCTTTGGTCAATTCCATTAAAGTATAAGTGGTCCTTTATAATTCCAACTCCAAACAATCGAATATTCCCACATTTAACACATGGACAACGAATATGAGTTGTATTTCCAAGATTTTCTACAGCAAAATTCAAAAATCCTTCCACACCAAACTCATATGCCTTCGATCTTCTATCCGCATGCATCCATGACTTATCCATCTCACACCCTATAAAATCATACATATAATAAAGTGAAAAGACCAGTAATGAAACACTACTATATTGACAGAGAAGAGAACAAAAAAAAAAAAAAAAAAAAAAAAAAAAAAAAAAAAAAAAAAAAAAAAAATTCCACAAGAATCAGACAAACGGTTTTACAAAATAATAGTCCAATAACATAGATTAAGACGACGTCGTGTCTATATTACCGTCGTCTTTAAGCAAACTAACAAGATATTTGTTAGGGTTAGGGTTGATGGCGGTAGTAAATAAAAAGCCGACGTATAATAAAAATTTAGACGACAGATGGTCCCACCAATCGTCGTCGTGGTTTACAAAACACCAAAGCCTAATTCTTCCATCCCCATTCCTTTTCAAAGAACCCTTAACAGAATGCAAACATCAAAACATAACAGAACCTATTTATAGCTCCCAAAACATAAAAGAACCCGTATTAAGAAACCAAAGCTAAGAGAATATACAAATTAACATAATATTTAGAGAGATCTAAGAGAATATACAAACTACGAGAATATTGAGAGAGAGCTGAGAGAATATATATATATACAAACTAATAAGAGAATATTGAGAGAGAGCTGAGAGAATATATGTACATGGATATTGAGAGAGAACTGAGAGAAAATATCAAATGCTTGAGAGAGCTCAGAGTATATACCCAATGCTTTGAGAGAGATCGAAAACTTTAAAACAAATTTACGTTGAAGAGAGAGAAGGAAATACTTTAGGGTTAAAAGAAAATTCTGAAAATTTTAGATCCGGTCAAAAATTTCAAAGGACCGCATTCATTAAAGACGACGGTAAATACAACCCAGTCGTCGTTGTATTTCAGACTTACAACGACAGTTATGTTACACCGACGCTGTTGTAAAGCGTTTTGACGTTGCCCATACAAAAACCGACGTCTAAAGTATTAAATAATTAGATTTGCTTTGCGTTTCCTGGGATTCGAACGCGCGTAATTGACCAAAAAGAGGGAGAGAAACCGGCGTCGTTTCAATAAAACCTAAACCCTAAATTTGACAATAATTATAAAAAAAATACACAAGTATGAGAAAAATTAACCGAAAATTGCTACGGACTCCTTACAACAATGCCTTCTATATTAGTAAGATAATATCCATATTAAATAATTTTGTATTTTATGACCACCAATGGATCACATAAACCTTAGGGTTATGTTATGGAAAGTACATGACTATTGTGCTTTGTCTCTAAATCCTTTTGACTTTTGTTATCACTTCTGATTTTGAAATCTAAAATTAAAATTTTCAGGCATGCAGGGGGGAGATATTGCCTCAATGAGTGCATAGAATTTGTCAGTTTATTTTTTGGATTTTTTTTTAATATATTATGAATATTAGTAAATAAATACAAATAAAAATATTTTAAATATTAAATATTTTAAAGATTTAGGGGAGATAAAATCTTTCCATGAGTGCATGGTAGTTGTCAGTTTATTTTATGGAATTTGTTTTGAAATTATTATGAATATTATGAATAAAATATAAAAGTCATACAAAAATTAAATGACAAATGTACATAACCGACATTGCATCCGTTTACAACGATGTTACATAACACATAACACCGTCCTAGAACACATTAGACGTCGTAATGTACTCCTCAACGTGGTTAGTATGTTACTACGTCAACCTTTTCTTAATAACCGACGTAAGTAGAATTTACACCGTCGATTATTATGTTAATGACAACGTTGTTTAGATATACAACGTCACATTTTACCTTGTAACTGACGTTGTACTCTTTTAACATGTCCTCTCTATTTTACTAATGGACGTTGTATGTCTATATTAACCGTCGTGTATATCAATCTTACATGGCGTTTTTGAGAAATGCATTCGATGTTTTCTTTCCCGCTACTTCAAGACGGCGGTTGTTCATAGATATGAGACGTGTAAATAAGAATGAGACGTCGGTTTTGGGGGTTTAATTTAAATTTTTATGATATATTTTCATTTTATTTCATTTAACGACATAAATATCTTATCAGAAAAAAAAAAACAAAAAAAAAACTAGAAACAAAAATATATTTCATTTGATTTTTTTTTATGAATGTTCAGTTAATTATCAAAAAGATGTTTATATACATTATCAAAAATTAAAATAAACCTAAACATTTTTAAAATAAATTATATCACTTATTGTTCTAAATAGCTTGTTCACGAATTTTGCCCATTCCAGCCTGACTTCATCAATAAGTTCATGAGTATACCCAACTGGTTCCTTTTTCTTGTCAAACTGCAAATAAAGAACAAAAACCGACGTGTTATAGATATTAAAATGACGGTTTTGAAAGAAAACGTCATGGTATTAAAATAAAGAAATTATATCTTAAATTTTACCTTCTTCTCAAATGCTACCTGGATCATGAATTATATGTCTCATGAAAACACATCACATAATAGCCACACTCTACATTTGTTGGTTGTCTAGGAGTGCCTTGTAGATTTTTTCATATGGGTGATTTATGTGATGATTGTTTGCCTGTGTAAGAGTTATACATTTTGATTGAACTGTTTCAAGAAAACAAAAAGTGTTAATGACAAAACTAAAAATCAGCATTAAAAAATATTAATTGTCGTGGTAAACAAGTGAAGACGACGGTTTGTTAAAACAAATG